CCTCCGATCTGTCATCCAAAATCCGGTTCTCCGAGGCCGATCGCTGAAACCCAGCCCTAGGGGAGTCTCGCAGACGCACCTCAACGGCCGCCATAATGCAGGAGTGAGCGTGTCATTCCGCCGTTAAGAATAGAAATAAATAACAGACCTTTCAAATGAAAATATAATATATAAAAATATTATACTTTAGCCCTAGGAGGCCTCCAATAAGCCGGGCCTGTCTGGCGGTGATGAGAGTCGCTGCTGGTTAATCTACGGGCCTGGTACCGCGGCCACAGGGAAAAAAACCCCTCCCGCCGCCGCCGCCGCCGCGCGATCCTACCTGGCTGGCGAACGAGGCTAGTGCAGCGGCTTGAGATAAAATGAAAACGAAGAAAAAGCAAAATAAGATAGAACCATAATGTGATTGTGCGAGAAACGCAAAGCTGTAAACAAGCCAGTCCTCAGATTCTCTCGTTCTCTTATCTGTGGTCTCTATTAGATATTTACAGTATCTAGCAAGCACTTAGCAGATAGTAGGTCGTGCTTTTGAACACGAGGTCAGCGAATAAGAAAACTGGATAAACTAGGGTAGCATGTTTGTAAACAGAATTACTATTCAAAAGATAATCAACAGCCGACCGAAGCAATGTCTCACTCCGGTTATAAATCTTGGGTGGGCGACCTCTCAGGCCTCTCAATCCAAGCAAAGACGAGACAGCTGATTGATGTAGAAGAGGCACGGCACGGATTCTCAGACTTGTGCTTCGGTCCCGTAGTTTGAGGCTGGTCAAATGATCTGGTTTTTTTCGATATTAATCGTGCTCGTGGTCGACTATTCGGACATTTTTATAATCCAGGCTCGGCGACGAGAGTATGCTGCATCTGCTCGTTCCGCGCGTCCGCGGACAGGCAAGGTGCTCGTGTGCGCGGAGTGGATTTATACAACAGTACAGCAGCAATAACTATCACTGCTTGTTGATTATATAGCATTCAATTTATCAATCGGCTGCTCGAACAGCAATCCTGGTCCGGAACTGGACACGTCCGTCTCCGCTGCTGAATTGTGAGCAGCTACGTATTAAAGAGGGAACAGTCAGGCGGACCACTATAAGAAATGCGGTCCCGCGTCGTCCAGCACAACTTGTTCCGCAGAAGACGAAGAAGGCAGCTTATCGATAATCCACATTAAAGCCAGACATGATCTGCGCGATCTTCTACTAGAGACCGCGCAGAAGAAGACGTAGAATATGCAGGGTATGAAACAGTTGACTTGAGCTGTGAGCAGAAATCTGGAATACTGGGCGGCTGAATCTGTTGATTCTTGAGAAAAGCCTCTTTCATTTCACCGGGCTGGGCCACACTCTTGATATGACTCGTATAGCAGCACTTTGATTAAATCGTGTTGATCAAATGGAAGACTAGGCACGACTACCGCAATCACGAAAAAATAAACGAAACGCGAGAAGAAAAATAAAAGAAAGGAAAGATAGGAAGGAAGAGAAGCTAGGGATCTATATGCTTTGACAGCGAAACAGCCGAATGACACATAACGAAGCCAACCTTGAACTCATGGCCCCTCGCCGGGTCACCCCTGGCTTCGACCTGTTTCTCATGCTGAACAAAGAGCTGAGTGCATTACACGACCAGTACGTCATATTCTGGGATTAATCTCGCTCAAGCGCAGTCGAGGTGATAAGCATCAAGCGTGAGCATGATTCAAGACCGTAAAGAGAGGGGCGACCTATTCAAGTTTGCACGTGTATAGAAGGAAGAAGTCCAGAGTACGCGCGCAACTGGCGGCGTCGAGAGCTCACTAATCAGATTTTCTCGCCTCGGGAGCAATATCGAGTGTTGTATACGATAGATTATATAGCGCATGATAGAAATACGGACGAATCTATTCTGACCTGGTATTTGTTTGGTCTGCAGTAGTCTACCACACTCCTGTACAGAACCAAGCATGTTCTCCGAAGAAGTCGGCTGCTCCTGCTGCACTGCACGCCCTGATAAAATCTCGAAATCTCAGAATGCGTAAGCACGCGCGTCTGATGGCTAAGGATGTGCGCCGCCACCTTAGCTCAGTGGCCCGAGCCCCCGACTCCTTCCGTTCGTCGCGCAGGTTCAGCCGTCGAAAATTGCGTCACCGGTGTTCTATGGCAGATTTCCAGCTCACAGCCCGGCTGTGTGACTGGCCCACGCAAGCTGCATCTGCTTTTTCTTTCCTTCGCTTCCGCGCCGCTGCCCTCGGACTTTGCATTCCCGGGCCCTCGGATATGAACCTTACTATGTCCCCGTGAAAAGAGACCGAGCATCGGCCCGATCTCGATTGCGCATGGTTCCCTAATCTCACGCTCTCGGTTTGTCCTCTGATATCTTGGGTGGTTATGAAGGGTCTGCGTGCGCTACATTAGCAATGGGGAATATATTGGCGGCGGAAACAAGAAAAATAAGTAGCGAACGCAAAGGTTTCGCTGCCGTCGCTTCGGCGAACGGTGGTGACATTCATTGTGCAAGCGTTCAGGGACTAGGTTACGCCCGCGTACCTCGGTTGGAATACCTCTTGGACGAAAACCGATGATGAAATAGGAGGTCCCGCGTCTTCTTTTGTTCGTATTGCTGCTTCTACTGCAGGTTCGGCAAGTGTACGGTGTTCTTCTACCGGACGGCGCTGTCGCATGCCAAGAAAAACTGAAATGAGGGGGGCAGTGAGGTTTAACTTAATGAAGGGCAATGTGCAGCAGTGGACGGGGGCGCGGTAGAGAAGCATGTGTGTAATGGAAGGAGACGAGTCAGAGTTCAGGAACGGCCAGTCAGTGGCGAGTGAAGGCGAGACAACGTGGCATTTGCCAGAGAGCTCAGGTAGAGAAAGAAGGAAGATCTACTTACTGAATTAGAAGCACAATCGAACTAGAACTGAAAGGCAGATCAATGTATTCTGATCTACAAAGCGCTGCAACAGCTAATCTACGAGTCACATAACGGCAAGAGCGCAAGGGTGTGCAAAAGAGATCGATCTGCGATCAACGAAGTCTGAACGCTGCTGCAATGCAAGAAGAGGGCCCCGGAACCCGCACACCAGCCAACCAGCTAGCCAGGCTAGCTAATCGGTGGCAAATTCGTTAAACTTGATCTCCGACGGAATCGCTAGATCTGACAAGGTCCTGGAAAGAACATTGGAATCTGAGACGACGACGGCTGCTGCGACGCGGCAACCACCAGCGACGTCGATGATAGACATGTCAGTTACCCCCGAAGTTTTGTTCCCTAATCCGAACTAGCTGGTGATTGTTTTTGGAATTTCATTTTTCTTACATCTGGAATTTTGCTTCTAATCTTGTCCAAGCTTCCCTCGGCTTCCAGAGCGAGTGGCCGCAATACGAAATTGAGCCACCCAGCTATTGAAGCCGTAGAGCAGTAGAGCAGTGGAGGAGCAGCACGGCAGCAGCAGCAGAACCCGAAGATAGCGATCTTCCAGCCTTCGCCTCTATCGCCGACTCCCTCGAAGCTAGAAACTAGTGAGCGGGTGCAGTGCAGCGACGTTGCAGCTCCGCCCTCGGTTTAAGTTTTAGTCGAGGAAAGATGTCAGCCGAGAAGGAAAAAAGGCTCTGCAGCAGATTATTAGTAGGGTTCATGGTACCCTTACCGCGAATCTTATTTTATCCCTTCTGCTCCTGCTCAGCAAGCGCAGGTGGTCAAGCGGCGGTTTTTTTCTTTTTTCATTTCACGAGAGCTCCCGAATGGTGGGCCTGCCCGTCGCCTAATAAGGCTCAAAATATTCAGCTTTTTGAAACAGCCAGCAGCCCGCCCGGTTTCTTACGCGACCATTCGCTCTCGCTCTGTTCAGTGCTAGAAATCCTCGCTGACCGCATCGAACCTTCTCTTCTTCTTGCTCTCGCTCTGCAAACCTCGTATCACACAAGGGCATACAAACGAGCGAGCAGAGGAGACGAAAAAGCTTATTTGCTCTGCTCTCGCTCTGTCTCCTCCACCCTCCCCCAGCTCGTCTCTGAGAGTCTTCCTCGACTACTCCGGCTCTTCCTATCTCTCGCCGGCTCCTGCGTCTACTAGCTCTCTGCCAGCTCTCTACTAGCTCTCTAAGATACGGCAAATCGAGGTGTGCACTAGCGAGCTGCCGGTAAAGCAAGCGAGGAGAGCAGGCGTCGCAAGCTAAGCAAACTAGTCACTGCTACTCCTACGCTAAACACATCTCATATCAGAGATCAGCTTTGGGTTTTCTGCCTGGTGGACACGAAGCAGGGCGGCTGCTTCTCTGCTTCTGCCTCACACTCACTGCTGCTCTGCTTGGCCAGGCTACGAAAACACTAAACCGAAAACACCGACGGACCGAGATGCGGGTGGAAAGTCAATCTGCCTGCTGGCCGGCTAATATTTTAGCTTCTTCCACGCACAAAAACAAAGTGTGAGCGTAGGAACCGGCGGTTGTTTTTATTTTGTTTTTTTTATTGCCGCTGTGTTTAACGTATGCATGTCTCTCAGTGTCTCTGCGTCTTGCGAGTGCGCGAAACCTGCCGCGCTGCTGGCCGCCCGCTGTCTGGCGGGCGATCCGAGCCGGAGATCTGCGGATACCCGGTCCCGATTGGCGGCCTGGCCTACCTGGACTTCGTCGCACGCAAGCAGAGGAAAGCAACAGCGGGCGGACTGGTCCGAACGACGGGCTCACAAGCGACAGCGCGTCAACAAACACCCTGTCCAATGCCTCGCTCACACCCGGCCCCTCTCTCTCGTCTCACCCGCTAAGCACGGACTAGACTTGTCCACGCGAGCGCGGAATAGGAAGCGGGCCAGCGTACGCGGGAGAGGCCGAAAGAGATTCCCGAAGCGGAAGACGCGTGGAAGCGCCGTAGAAGGCTTGGCGAAGCCGTAGATGGACCCGACCGTCGAGCCGAAACAAGCGTCACGTGGCGGTGCAGGTACGACAACTGGCTCGTGCAAGTGGTGGCCAACCGTACCCGGTACCAGTCGGGCAACATTCCTCTTTCTTAACTCGCTCGCGAGCGCGCTCAATTTGCTAGCGCCTCTACTTTATAATAATAGCAGGGCCGCCCCGCAGCCTTCCTGCAGACATCGTCCTCGATATCCTCCTCTGTTCTCCCTCCCACCGCAACCATCACCTCTCCTCCTCCGCCCATCTACCCCCCGCCGGCGCAAGAATCGCCAACAATGATGGCCGACCCTCTGCCCTCTATTACTCCCTACGCCCGTCCCGGCATGCAGCCTTCTCCTCAGCTGCCCTCGCTCTTCCGGCCCCAGCAGCCCTATCCGCAACTCTTCCCCCAGCAGATCTCCCCGCTGTCCTCGCCATACTCCTCCGCCCCCTACGCTGCCGCGGCCTACATGCCCACCTACGCCGTCCAGCCCCAGCAGCAGCCCCAGCACCCCCACATGCAGCAGCACCAGCACCAGCACCAGCAGCAGCAGCAGCCTCAGCAGCAACCCCAGTATCAACCCCAGCAGCAGCAGCAGCAGCAACAGCACCTCCCGCCGCTACGGCTACACCTGCAGTCCCCCGTCGGCCCTCAGCCCGCTCCCGTCCTCGTCGACGGTTACTACCGCCAGCCATATCCCCACTCGCCGCCTCCTCCGCCGGCTCCGCAGCAGGCGCCCTCGCAAGTCGCCGCTGCCCAGGTCGCGGCCACCCTCGCCGACGTCACCGCCCACAAGCCCCAGAAGGAGGTCAAGCGACGCACAAAGACCGGCTGCCTGACGTGCCGCAAGCGCAGAATAAAATGCGACGAGCGCCATCCCATGTGCTTCAACTGCGCAAAGTCCAAGCGCGTCTGCCTCGGCTACGATCCCGTCTTCAAGGCCCAGCGCGGCCAGAACTCGCCCGTCAGCCATATCGGGGCCTCTCGCAAGCGCGAACCGCAATTGCTTCCACATCATCTTCCCGAACAGAGCCGGCACATCATTAACTCCACCCCTCCTTCCGTTGCCGATCCTGCTATCCATAACGACCGGGGCTCGGATCGCTCAGAAGTAAAGCGGATAAAGATCGACAGTCTGCTCTCCGAGTAACTGTTCTTCTATTCTCTTTACATACTTCTTTGCTTATACGTGTTTCCTTTTCTCTGAATTCTCTTGTCGCAAGGAATCCGCTGGAAAAATGCCAAAACATCGCTTTTTTATGATGTTGTTATGTGCGCGGCGTTGGTCTTATCTCATTTTTCATTATCTTGCTCTCCATCCCATCATATTCCTCTTTTTACAGTTTCACCTCTGGTTAACGGATCTTCAATCTGCTCGGTTTCTCTTTTATCTATAAATTGTTTATCTCTTTTCCTGGCGTCTGCTGCTTTGTCTACTACAAGATCTATACTCTATTCATTCATTGTATCATAGGAGTTCATCTTATTATTTTCCAATCTATGGCTGTTAATAATGTTATATATATACTTATATACTCATACATATTCAACATGTAAACTTCACTAACTGTAAGCCTCTCCAGTGAGTCTCATAATTTTCGCACTTGAGCGTTCTAAATATTTATGATATATATTGCGAATTATACAGTCTGAATCATAGATCTAAACATCAAAAGTCTTTTATTCTAATCGCTTAGAAGATGCCAGCAGCAACCTGCTCCGGGACAAGAGTGTTAACCTTGGCGGAAGTGATGGCAGCACGGATGTTGTCGATGACCTGGACCTCCATCTTCTTCTGCGTCTCGTACGTGAGCGTTCCGACGTGAGGAAGGAGCATGACCTTCTCGTTCTTGAGCAAGCCCTCGTGGATAGTAGGCTCGTTCTCAAACACATCCAGACCACAGCTCTTGACCTTCCCGCTCTCGAGGGCTTCGACCAGCGCAGCCTCGTCCATAACCGCACCGCGGGCGGTGTTCGCAATCACAACGCCGTCCTTCATCTTGTCAAAGGCAGCCTTGTTGATCGTGTGGCGCGTGTTGGCGTTCAGCGGAAGGTTGAGCGAGATGACGTCCGAAGTGGCAAGGAGCTCGTCGAAGGAAACGTACTTTGCGCCCGCAGAGAGCTCGGGAGACAGCTCGCGACGGTTGTAGTACTGAACAGTCATGCCAAAGGCCTCGGCGCGACGCTTGACGGCACGGCCGATACCGCCCATTCCGACGATTCCAAGAAGCTTTCCCTCGGGATCGTTGGCGAGAGGGGTGGTTGAGTTCCATTCGCCGCGGCGGAGACCGACGGCGGCCTGGTTGAAGTTGCGAAGAGCACCGAGGATGAGCATCATGTTGACGTCGGCGGTAGCGTCGTCAACGGTCGAGGGGCAGTTTGATATCTGGATTCCAGCAGCCGAGCAAGGCTCGACATCAATCTGATCGTATCCTATTGTGTAAAATGTAAGCAATCAGTTCAATTGAGGTAGAGCAAAGATCCACCTCTATTGTCACGACAGGGGTAAAAAAACACTACTTACCAGCACCGTTGTGGCAGACGAACTTCAGAGTAGGAGGGAACTCCTTGATAAGCTCGGCATCAATGCGACCAGTAATGCCAACCGACTTGAAAGTACGGAAGACAGCGACGACATCAGAGTACTTTCCCTTGAGGTCCTTGATAAACTGCTCGCGGTTTCCCGAATCACAGATTGAGAGGGTGGCAACGTCAGAGAGGGCTTCCCACTCGGCCTTGGCGTGGGTGATGTCTCCGAGGAGCAGAACATGAGGCTTAGACATTTTAGCGGACGAAGAGGAGAATTGGCGGGCGAGAATTGGAGTAATTGCGCGAGTGACGGGGGAAGGAAGAGAAGTGCGGAGAGCAGAGGTGGACGCGGCGGCGCAGAAGGACCCGATAAACTAAATGAGCGGGCAGCGATAGGTTAGCAAACAGATCAACACAAAGCCCTCGGATTGGCTGTGCGCTCCCACGCCCGCGCGGCTTCTCAACCAGGTCCAGCAGCCCCCTGTGTGGGGGTTCCTTGGTTGTTCAATTGAGAGTGCCGTTGTCCGTATTGAGCATTGCAGACTCTTCGGGCGGGGAATAGCGAAAGAGGAGGGCCGAGCAAGCGCGTGGCTGCCGCTGCGTGCAGAGTATGGCGGATCGAGCACGTACTTTACCTGCGAAAACATTACCTCGGGAAGAGGCAGGCCGGGCGCACGCGCGCACGACTCTGGGCACCAATGCGCTCAGCTTCAAAGACATTGCTGGGTATTGCTGTACTGCTGGTGGTAGTGCTGATGCTACTGCAGGAGACAGGGGTGGTAGGTGACTTGAAAGCGAGAAGAGTGTGGGAAGAGAGAGAGTCGAAAGCTGGGTTTGGATCTTTTATCTGGGTTTGACCCCAACTAGCGATTATCGGTGCGCCGCTGTAGACCAGTTTCTTGAGTCTGAGTTATTTCGCTTTACTCATACGTGAGCTACCACGTTCATTATCGAGTAAAGTTGATGATATATAATACCTGATTTTTTACCAGTCTTTGATTGTTTTTTATTTTTGTTTTATTGCAATGCTGTGTTTGTGGCATGCCTGCTACGCAAAAACTATTCGCAAACAATATTCAGAATATTAGCTGCTGTGGGCGTGTGTTTATCTCGTCTACCCCCGAGACCAAAGAAATTTCTCCTTCATTTGAGATCAGCATAGCTGATTGAAAAGGTCGTGTAGTCGAACCATGCGTGGAAACTAATTCGATTAAATTCAATTACGCATTCTGGAAGCAGTGGTAAGCTATTGCTCGCAATAAGGCCAGCCGCAGGTGATTTTTGACCTTTTCCTACCCAACGTCCAGTTATCAACCAATATGGAGATTGACGGGGGCTGCAATGTTCTGTAGAGTTTAGACAAAGTTGAATATTTCACTATTACGAATGTGTAATGGAACGAAATCCGACTTGCCTACTTCTCACAATAAGCATTGATCGTGTCGCAAACTCTTTTCTGCACTCGATAGCCGTCTGTCCCCCCAGACTGGAACCTCTACAGACTTTTCTCATACGAGTACACAGTTAACCAGTGCTTTTTGGACTGGTCACTTTCAGTCACTTCTCTTCTTTTCTTCCAGTGCATAAAGCTGAACAAAAAACGACGCGAAGATGGCTGGGTCCCAGAGCTGTACATGTTGTGGGTTAGGTGTGTAAACCTTAAAAATACCACATACGGCAGTCTGCCTTCCTATAACAGTTTAGTGCTCTTTAAATAAACTTCCTGACATAAGAATTTAGTCAGCGGATTTGGTGAGCGCGACTCCCCCGCCGTGGTCCCAGTTGAATTTCGAGATGGGCGGGCTGCTTTTTCACTCTTGCTCTCGTTCCCTTTATTCCTCCTCCTTTGTCTATCCACACCCTTTCCATCCAGCCAGTTGTCTACCATTCTATTTTTTCGACCAGATAACTGCACTATTTTATTTTTGAATCTATTGGCTGGACGAATTAGACACTTTTGAACGATTGATTTCAAATAAGGTGTATCCCCCTCGGTCTTCGCGCGCGAGCGACTATCCCTCCCTTCAATCGCGTCTGCTGCTAGACACCTTTCTCCAACCTCCGACTGTCCTGCGCACTTTGCGCTCTAGTTGCTGATCTAAAGCAAGAGGCGATCAGACAATATGGTCGGTGTTACAGCCGAGACATACGCTCAGCGTCTGTCTGATGCAAGTCTAGGTATGTGTTCCTTGTTGATGCGCGTGCTGGGTCCAGAGAACATTCTTATTCCACACCGCTTGCCGCCTATATCTATCGAGAGACAAAGGGAAAGAAGATCAAGTGGGAACTAACGAGTTGGTTTATTATGATTAGATGTGAAGACGAAAGTCACCGTCGCAGCCGAGCTACGCGACGTGCTCGAGACCTTCTACTCGGCCCAGGAATACCCCAAATTCCTGAACCGAATCATGCCCGTTCTGATTTCGATTCTCGAGACGCTTCCGCCTAGCTTTTTGACTGTTTCCCCTGAACAGGTAATGCCTACTACATCTTTATTAACTGTCTGGAAGCTGTTGTTGACATCAAGCCCGTGATCTATAGAAACTGCGAAACTGCGTGCTCGAGATCATCCACCGTCTCCAAATGAACGAGGTATTCAAACCGTACGCGACCCAAGTCATGCAGCTCCTCATGGCCGCGCTGCGGATAGAAAACGAAGAGAACGGAGTTCTCTGTATGAAGATCATCACCGTCCTCCACCGAAGTTTCAAAACCGCGCTCGACGACCAGGTTCAGCCTTTCCTCGATCTCGTCGTGGAGATGTACAAAAATATGCCGATGGTTGTGAAGGAATCGTTCGATTCTCACGGGACTCAGCCTTCTAGCAGTATTACTAGCGTTTCAACGGTAATCCTCTCCTTTTTTATTCCCTGGTAGCAAGATCTGATGCTGATTCGCAAATCTAGCCCAGTAACTTCAACTTCCAATCACCGCGGCCAATGTCTCCCTCTCTATCAAACGAGATAGGAAGCGAGACTCAGCCCGCAAAGTCACTCCCTAAGAGTCTGTACAGCTTCCGTGTGCTCACGGAATGCCCGATCATCGTCGTCCTACTTTTCTCAACGCACAAGCAATCCGTCAATGACAATCTACCAATTTTTGTTCCCTTGATTGTCGAGGTACGTATACCCTCTGTTCCTACCTCCTGGTTTCAGTCCAACGCTAATTGGATCTTGTTATCTAGATGCTTTCGTTGCAGGCAGCCCCACAGGCGGAAGCCCACACCGCTGCTGCGTCGCGAGGCGAGATTTTTACCTCCGTCTCTTCTGCGATCAAAAATAGGACGGCGTTTGGTGAATTCATTACAGCTCAAGTGAAGGTAAGCTTTAACAGTTTTGATCGATGATTAGGATAATTCTAACTGTTCCCTAGACTATGTCATTCTTGGCTTATGTTTTGAGAGGCTTTGCACCAGCGCTAAAGAAGTACAACCATCTGATTCCGGATTTCGTCATCCGGCTTCTGAAGGATTGTCCTCGAGAGTTATCCGCCTCACGAAAAGTATGCATCACCACATCACTCGTGCTATTGGACAGCGGTGCTAATTATTATTTAGGAACTTTTGGTTGCTACCAGACATATTCTGTCGACAGATTTCCGCGTGATATTCATCCCTAAAGTGGATCTTCTGCTGAACGAGAAGGTTTTGATTGGCGATGGTTTAACGGTCCATGAGACGTTGAGGTAAATACTCTCCCGTCCCAATTTTGTCATTAAGTCTTCTTTATACTGACTACCATTTCACTAGACCTCTTGCCTACAGCATGGTCGCCGATCTTCTCCATCACGTTCGTGCAGAACTGAACCCCTCGCAAATCTGGATGACTGTCGAAGTATATTCGCGAAACCTACAAGATAACACTTTAGCTGCAAGCTTCCAGACCATGAGCGCCAAACTTTTACTGAATTTGGTTGAGAGAATCATGAAGCTTCCAAACAAGGTTGAAGGTATGTACATCGCTGCTACGTGAACAGGTGGTTGATCTGGCTTTGAGTTTTCTAACGTGATTATAATTTTTTTAGGACGACAATTGATAATCTTCATATTGAATGCCTTTGCTGAGAAATTCGCCGCGCTGAACAGAAACTACAAAAACGCTTTACTACACAGCTCCGAGAAAGTTGACAAGAGACCGATCGACCCAATCGCTAGCATTACTCGAGAAGAAGAGAAAGGCAAGCCGTTTGAATTCCCCGACGAGGCAGAAGAATCGACGGACGAGAAACCCGACCTCGACCATATCGACATCATGAGCGCGTTTCCTATCAAGTTGCACCCCGACACTGTTGCGGATGGAATGAGAGATGGGCGATATCTTTTCAAGAACTTACTCAACGGATTGAAAACGATCATGTTTGGCTTGAAGTCGTGCAACCCGCCTCCAACATCTGATATCAGCAACATCAACGCTGCTCAATGGAACGAGACAGCTCGCGGATTCAATTATGAGCAGGTCTCTATTTTCCGGACGCTTTTCCGTGAAGGTGCAAACGGTTTCTCATACTATGCGACTGTTCGTGACAAGGCGGTTATCGATGCACACCGGGCTGGCAGCTACGATTCAATTGGACCAAATATTCCTATCACGAGCTCAAAGGAAGAGAAAGAGCTTCTAGAGACATTTGCGACTGTCTTTATTCACATCGACCCCGCGGCTTTCCACGAAGTTGTCGAGACTGAGCTGCCGTATTTGTTTGAGGCGATGATGCGAAACACTTCATTACTACATGTTCCTCAATTCTTCCTCGCTAGCGAGCCTACGTCTGCCAACTTTGCTGGAATACTTCTGAACTTCCTGATGGAGCGTTTGCCGGATATTGGCAAGGGAGACCCCCTGCGTGCGAATTTGCTGATTCGGCTGTTCAAGTTGTCGTTCATGGCTGTTAACCTGTTCTCGACCACCAACGAGGAAGTTTTCCAGCCGCACCTGTGCAACCTGATACTCAAGTCGATGTCGCTCGCTACTACGGCGGAGGATCCTCTGAATTACTATCTGCTACTGCGGACGTTCTTCCGTAGCATCGGAGGTGGACGATTTGAGCTTTTGTACAAAGAATTTCTGCCTCTTTTGCAAGTTCTCTTGGAATCTCTCAATCGCCTTCTTCTTACTGCTCGGAAGCCTCAAGAGCGAGATCTGTATGTCGAGCTGTGCTTGACGGTCCCTGTGCGTCTCAGTGTACTTGTGCCTCATCTCAAGTATCTCATGCGTCCTCTTGTGATCTCGTTCACCGGCTCTCAGGATCTTGTCAGTCAAGGTCTCCGCACGCTCGAGCTCTGTGTCGATAACTTGACACCAGACTACTTCGACAATATTATCGAGCCAGTGATTGACGAGGTGATGCAAGCTCTATGGACTCATCTCAAGCCTCTGCCTTATCCGCACCAGCCGAGTCATACCACATTGCGCATTCTAGGAAAGCTCGGAGGCCGTAATCGTCGTTTCCTTGAACCGCCTAAGAACCTCAAGAACGATAACCTGCAAGCTGATGATCCCGTTATCATGATTGAAATCAACGGACTCAACGGTCGCCGCTCATTCCCGATCTCTACCGGTCTGGATGCCGTTTTCCGTGCGATCGTGGATTACAGAGCAAACATGCATTATCGTGTCGAGGCATTCAAGCTGTTGGCGACAACCACCAAGCTCTTCATTGACTCGTCGAATCTTGGACCCGAGACAGGAGAGATTTTGCAAGAGTGCGCAAATGCCATTCGGACAGGCATGATTCCTCCCGATCCAAAGTTCTCGTTATCAAGCACGCCAAAGTCGATCAAAAAACTGCACACTCAGAATGAGATGTTCCTCAAGATCCTGACATATGTGTTCAATGCGGCTGCAATCACTTCAGTTCGCGAGGATGCCGGAAAGCTCATTGCTGACCTGTGCGAGCACGTCGTCATGCTCGAAATTGGCAAAGTTATTCTCGAAGTCAAGCGCGACAAGCGTCCGTTCCAGGTCACCGACCACGATCCCCAGTGCCTTGACTTCAGACTTTTGTACCAGGCTATTTCCGACGCGCTCGGATCCTACAAGGTTCCGGTCCGCGAGGCCGCAAAGGAGGCAATCAGAGTCATCTACCGATGCTGCATCGATATCTTTGGAGACCCGGAATCGGCGCAAAAGTTCCCAGTATTTAAATATCTGGCCGCTGTGTTCTGTCATTCGTGCTTTGAAGAGCCTTGGTACAACAAAGCCGGTGGTTGCCTGGGTCTCAAGGTGCTCTTAACTGAGTTTGAGCTCAATCGTGAATGGGTAATGAAGCGCCAGTCGGATATTCTCAGAGCGCTTCTGTTCGTGCTTAAAGATATCCCGCCCGAATTACCCAGTCTTGCTCAGGACGACGCGAAGGAGCTTATCAAGCATGTTCTCACGGTCTGCAACCAGAACATGACTCGGGAGGAACTATCCACGCGGATGTTCCATCAAGTGCTTGGCACTCTCTTCTACGAAGTCTCGAACTCACATCAGATTGTCCGCGAGACTGTTCAAGAGTCTCTTCGTCTGCTGTCAACGTTAACGCAAGTGCCGCTGCACGAGCTCTTGTCCTCTGTTAAGAACTCGCTTCTGGTTTCAATTTACGGAAAACCTCTTCGTGCGCTTCCTTTCCCCATGCAGATTGGAAACATCGACGCGATGACGTTCTGTCTCAGTCTCGAGAACTCGTTCATTCAGTTCGGCGATGAACTACTCCGTCTTTTGATGGAGGCCTTGGCCCTGGCGGATGCGGACGACGACGCACTCTTAGCTGCGCCGCATCCCCAGCGGGCGATGGAATACGGCTTCTACGAACAGCTCGTGCAGTTGCGTATTGTGTGCATCCGCTTGCTCACGATTGCTATGATGAGCCCAGAGTTTTTCCAGAGTCATCCAGGTCAGCAGGCCCAGACGCGGGCAAAGATCATTGCGGTCTTTTTCAAGACTCTATACTCTAGATCGAAGAAGGTGGTCAATGCCGCAAGCGAAGGGTTGAAGGCCGTGCTTTCGCAAAACCACAAGCTGCCTAAAGATCTGCTTCAGAACGGATTGCGACCAATTCTTATGAACCTGTCGGACCATCGGAGACTCACTATTGCGGGACTAGATGGCCTTGCGATCTTGCTTGAACTGCTGACGAACTACTTCAAGATCGAAATCGGCACCAAACTGCTGGATCATCTCAAAGCATGGGCCGAGCCGATGAATCTCTATCAGGCTTCCGGCAAGCAGCTCATGAGTCAGCACAACATCAAAATCATTGCTGCGATTATGAATATCTACCATCTGCTTCCTGCCGAGGCCAGCCGATTTATGGAGGGATTGGTGACGACAGTGATCTACTTGGAGGAGCACCTTCGAAGGTATCACGATAGTCCCTTCCGTCCTGCGCTCGTCAAATTCACAGTGCGCTACCCCAAGGAGACGATGGAGTACTTTGCTCCCAAGTTGGCAGACCGGAGGTTCGGCAAGATCTTTGTCCATCTCGTCGCTGACGAAAAGAGTACAGAGCTGCGCGAGCTTTTGGTCGCGCGCCTGCCCAGTCTGATTATGCGGGCGCTGGATATCGCGAATAATGAGGACAAGTGTGGGGCTGTCGTCAATATGATTTACGTGCTCAGCGCCGTCGCTAATCAGAAGAAGGACTGGATCGGAACGCAGAAAGAGCAGCTTGTCTTGCTGTTGCAGAATGCTAACTGGCTCAGAGTGTTTGCGCGCTCTCGACAGCTTGCGTCTCCTGTGCATCTGGGTGTTAAGCAAGCCCTTGATGAGCTGCTCAACATGTGCATCCTTTACAGTGAAAATAATGAGGACGACATGGACATCATATTCAAGGTTGTTGACTCGATTGCTACGAAGAGTATCGAGGGTACGCCTGCCGTGTACAACTACATTTTCAACAACATTGTGCGGTCGCAGTCACTCAAGAAGAGACAATACTATCTGACAAAGTCGATCGAATACTTCAACCAGCCAGGAGCATCCACAGCGACCCGGTGCTTCATTTTCCAGTACATTGTCAACTCGACCTTGATGATGGAAGTACATCGGTCAGACAATCTGAACCAGCTTCTTGAAAAGTCATGGATCGAAGGTGTTCATACCAAGATCTGGAAACCAGCTTTGAGTGATCTTGTGGAAGACAGCTCAGAGTACCAGGACCTGTACAGAATCCAGCTCTTGCAGATGTCTGCTATTCTACTTCATCATGCTTCGAACTCTGTTGCTGATATCAGAAAGGACATCATCAAAGTTGGCTGGAACTATATCAAGCTCGAAGATGTCATCAGCAAACAAGCGGCGTCTGTTCTCATTGCGTATTTCATTGTCGCTTATGAAACGCCGCTCAAGATCGCTCTCCAGATCTACGTGCAGTTGCTGAAAGCTCATCATAGCGACGCACGAGTGCTCGTGAAGCAGGCTCTTGATCTGCTGGCCTCCGTTCTTCCTAAGCGGTTCGGATCAGAGAGTCGATTCCCGCTGTGGTCGAAGTACGCCAGACGAGTCCTTTCCGAGGATGGGCACAACGTCAGTCAGGTGATCAACGTCTATCAGTTTATCGTTCGACACCCTGATTTGTTTTACGAGTCGCGAGACCATTTCTTTGGCATGATTGTGGGAGCCATGCCGAAGCTTGGATTCATGACAAACTCGCCTTCCGAAAACCAGATTCTGTCCGTTGACTTGGCAGAGTTGATTTTGAAGTGGGAGAAGACTCGTATCGGCAAAATGTCGCTGTCGGAAGACGGAGCAGCAGAGACAACGACTGCGGGAACAAACAGTCCGATGCCTCTCTCTCCGGAGTCTCGCAAACGAAGATTTGAGGAGATGCAGCAAGGATCACAAGGATCGCCGGCGCCTAACCAACCCGCCGAAGTTCAATCGACACAGTCGCCGGCATCGGCAGGCGAAAACAAGCCTGCTGAAATCCTGGTACCTTTCTTGATGCGGGAAGCTACAATCACATATCTCATTCGCTTCGCATGCATTTCTCCACAGAAGGCAACCGAGAATCCTCTTGCGCGCCGAATCGTCAATATTCTGCACCAGTTCTTGGGACCGGGACTCTGGTCTGAAGTAAACGTCAAGCTGACATTCTTCGAGCGGAGCCTGGCGCAAAACTCACTCTCAAGCGCGACCTTGGTATCGTACATCAATGCCCTCCAGGTTATTCGAGTGACACTGGATCAGAAGTCAGACGAGTGGATTCTGGCCAATTTGGAACAGCTGGAAAAGCTGTTGAATAGGTCTATCCACTCAGATGTCGAAGAGGTGCAAGAGTGCCTTCAGCCGGTCTTGGCGCGGATTCTGCGCGCCATCAACTCGGCGAGCAGCGATCAGTCTGGACAAGAGCAGAGCTCTAGCTTTGTTTCTCTGATCAGCAGCGTGATTCAGGAGAACTTCAATAACGGTCAAGCGCTTGTTTCGAGTGTTTTGTTGTCTTGTACGCTTTGCGAGTACAGACCACAGGCGATTGACCCGCTCCTACCTGTGCTCATGAGAACTTTTGGCAAGCTCTGCAAAGATCACATTATGGTGAATGTTCCACAGATGCAACCAGGAGGTGCTCAGGCGGCAGCAGTGGCAGCAGCAGCAGCAGCGGCGGCGGCGGCAGCGGCTAATGCAGCCAATGCGCATGGAGCGAATGGCGCGGCGGCAAAGGCTTTGGCTGCTAGTCAACAGGGCGCAGCAGCAGTAGCAGCAGCAGCGGCGGCGGCCGCAGGAAATACAGGCGGCACACCAGTGGACGGACAGGCTAATGGGGCGGAGCTGGAGCCGAAGAAGATTGTCAGTATGCTGGAGAAAATTCTACAGATTGGGGCGGATCGAATCTCGCACCTGGAGGATCAAAGGCGTGTTTTCCTCAGCGTCTTGAGTCAGCTCGTTGATCGATCGACTGATATTGGGCTTTGCATGAAGATTTTGGAGATTGTTCGCGGATGGATTTTCAGTAACTCGGAGCTCTATCCGTTGTTGAAGGAGAAGACGGGTATCATCACCAAAATGATGGTGTTTGAGAATCGTCAAGATCCTTCGTTGACTGAGAAGTTTTATCGATTGGTGGTTGACATTTATGAGACGCCATCGCTGGTTCGTACCGAACTTACCGTTCGTTTGGAGCATGCCTTCTTGGTTGGAACTCGGATCAACAACGTCGAGATCAGAAAGCGGTTCATGAAGATATTTGGCGATAGTCTGGACAAGTCGCTTTGGAAACGGTTTATGTATGTGGTCAAGGATCAGAACTGGGATAGTCTCAACGACTCGTTGTGGATCAATCAGGCTACTCAGTTGCTGTTTGGGTCGATACTGCCGGACTCGCGGATCTATCTGGGCGAGAAGGATTTCAAGATGCCGTCATTCTACTCACTGACGAGCACTATCGAGAACCGAACCGAACACATCATAACCGACCAGTTTGAGAAGTATCTGCAGCGTCATCAGAAATTCATGACTGAGAGTGCTGCAATCACTTGCAAGGACTTTTTCGAGCCGCTTATGGAGTTATTCTACTATGATGCGGATGCGGTTCGCAAAGCTTGGGTCGCGTTCTTTCCTATTGCCTGGTCCACTGTCGGGGCGCGTGATCGCCAGGACGTTTCTCGCAATTTCATCACCCTTCTGAGTAAGGACTTTCAGACTCGACAGGTGGACAAGACACCAAACACCATTCAGGTTTTGTTGGAGGGAATGACCAAATGCGACCAACCGGTTCAGCTTCCTCCTCATTTGGTGAAGTACCTGGGCAAGACCTATAATGCCTGGTATACAACCATGCAGATTCTGGAGGAAGCTGAGCTGCATCCCCAGACTGACAGTCAAACAGTGAAGGAGAGCAACTTGGACGCTTTGGTTGAGATGTATGCGGCTTTACAGGAGGACGATATGTTTTACGGACAGTGGCGAAGACGGTGCCAGTATGTTGAGACGAATACGGCTATTTCGTACGAGCAGCTCGGTCTCTGGAATCAGGCGCAGCAGATGTACGAGACGGCACAGATCAAGGCTCGCAGCGGAGCGCTACCATACTCCGAGTCTGAGTATATTCTGTGGGAAGATCATTGGATTCTGTCAGCAGAGAAATTACAGCAGTGGGATATCTTGTCTGAGTTGGCCAAGCACGAAGGGTTCACTGATTTGTTGCTTGAGTGTGCCTGGCGTTTGGCTGATTGGACTGCTGAAAAGGAGCCTTTGGAGCAGTCAATCAAGAGCATTATGGATGTTCCGACTCCTCGTCGCTACATTTTCGAGGCTTTCATGTATTTGCAGAAATTCTCGCAAAAAGCTGACGGCTCAACCACCGAGCTCTCCAAGTGCTGCGATGAAGGCATTCAGCTCACCTTGCGCAAGTGGAATTCGCTTCCCAAGACACTTACAAATGCGCACATTCCTCTTCTGCAAGCTTTCCAACAGTTTGTCGAGTTGCTGGAAGCCTCGCAGTTGTACAAGAATTTGGTCAGCACAGACGTGAACAATGTTGAGACCAAGGCGCAGGAAATGAAAGTGATTTTGCAAGCTTGGCGCGAGCGTCTTCCTAATCCCTGGGATGACATCAATGTCTGGGGAGATCTGGTAGCCTGGCGACAGCACGTGTTCTCGGTGATCAACAGATACTATATCCCCCTTGTTCCGCAGATTCAGGCTCAGTATGGCAACAACTCGGCCACCAACTCGACGTCGTACCGGGGATACCATGAGATTGCTTGGATCATCAATCGCTTTGCTCATGTTGCTCGCAAACATGGCATGGCTGACGTTTGTATCGGCCAGCTGACCAAGATCTACTCGCTTCCTAACATCGAGATCCAGGAAGCGTTCTTGAAGTTGCGTGAGCAGGCAAAGTGCCATTACCAGAACCCCAACGAGCTGCGTACTGGACTTGATGTTATCAGCAACACGAACCTGATTTATTTCACTTCAGAGCAGAAAGCCGAGTTTTTCACATTGAAAGCTATGTTTTTCGCCAAACTCGAACGGTGGGAGGACGCCAACCAGACATTTTCGAACGCGGTTCAGATCGACTTTGGTTTATCCCGATCGTGGGCTGAGTGGGCTTATTTCCATGACTGCAGGTTCAAGGCTACAAACAATATGAGCAACGCGGCCCACGCAATCAGCTGCTACATGCAAGCTGCTGCGCTCTACCGCAACGGCAAAGTTCGTCGGTTCTTGGGTCGCATCTTGTGGCTCATTAGCCTGGACGACAGCTCTCAGGTTTTGTCTCAGGCATTTGACAACTTCACTGGAGATGTGCCTGTGTGGTATTGGATCACATACATTCCTCAGCTTTTGACCTCTTTGTCTCATAAAGAGGCTCGCTTGGTTCGCAAGATTCTGATAAGAATTGCAAAGAGCTATCCCCAGGTGCGTTTCCATCGATTTATTGTGTTGTCATATTGATATACTAACATCTTCCGGCAGGCTCTTCACTTTTCTTTGCGAACGACAAAGGAGGACTACACCGTTCTCCAGCGGCAAGCCATGCAAGCCTCTCAGCGCGAAGCCTCAAGGCAGAGCGCTTTAAGAAACGCTCAACCTGGCGCGGCTGCGATGCGGAATTCGCCTTCACTTCAGCAAGCGTCGATTCCTGGATCGCCGTTGGTTCAACATACTAATAGCAATGATGCTGCTAGTAGTCCGCAAATCGCACCAGGAACACCAGTGAACGCGAACGCGGCGGTGCCACATATGATGAATCGTCCTGGTCAGCCTGGAGGTACGCCCGTGCCTGCAGGCGGATCGCCGGCGATGCAAGCGGCAGCGGCGGCGGGTGCTCATCCGATTGCTCCCCTGCAGCCATGGGAGTATGTTGACGAGATTCTCGGAATATTAAAGACTGCTTATCCTTTGCTGTCGCTTTCGATGGAGACTTTTGTGGACCAGATCTATCAGAGATTTAAGTGCACTGAAGACGAAGATGCGTATAGGTTGGTTGTGGCTTTGTTGAGTGATGGAGTCCAGGTGAGTTTTTTCTTACTTTTGTTCTGATTGAGATTTTTATACTGACGATGCTGGTTGTAGTACATGAGCCGTCTTCCGGCGCCGAATGATGATAGCAGGCTGCCTCCTGCTGCCGAAGTTAACATTTCCAAATTTGCAGACAGCATTTTGCCCAAGTACTTGAAGGTGAGCACTAGTCATTTGTATAATGTATATCAGAACAGCCTCGCTAACTTTTTTTGCTATATAGGCTGCTTTCGAAGCTGATTTTGTGCATGAAGTGCCCAATATCCAGACATATCTGAGAAAACTGCGGATGTGGCGAGACAGATTCGAAGAGAAGCTGGATCGTCGGCAGATGTCGGACAGACTAAACCTGGAAGCGTTGAGTGCGCATTTGAGCGAGTTCCATTACCAGAAGTTTGACGAGATTGATGTGCCGGGACAGTATTTGCTGCACAAGGATTCGAACGCGCACTTTGTGAAGATTGAACGGTTTTTGTCAAAGGTGGATATTGTGCGGGTGCAAGGTCTGTGCTATCGCCGGATTACGATCCGTGGATCTGACACTCGAACGTATCCGTTTACGATCCAGTACCCAGCGGCGCGACATTGTCGTCGGGAAGAGCGAATCACGCAGCTGCTGCGGATTCTCAACAGCAATCTTGTGCGTCGGAACGAGAGTCGGCGGCGGAACCTGCAGTTTGTGGTTGCGCCGGCTATTCCGCTGTCGCCACATTTCAGGCTTGTTCAGGATAGTCCGGACTTTAGTTCTTTGCAGAATATATACGAGGACTATTGTCACCGGACAGGAAGGCAGAAAGACGAGCCGCTGATTTACACGATTCAGAAGCTGCGACAGGCTACGGAAGCGCGACAAGGGCGGACGGCGGATATCTTGACGGACAAGATTGATATTCTGAGTCATATCCAAAACACGATGGTTCCGGCTACGATTCTTCGCGATCATTTTATGAAGACGTTTAGCTCGTTCAATGATTTCTGGCTGTTTAGAAAGCAGTTTTCGTACTCGTACGCGGGCGTGGCGTTTATTTCATACATGATGTGTTTGAACTCTCGATTGCCGCACAAGCTGCTGATTTCACATACGTCAGGGTCAGCGTGGGCGACGGAGACGCTGCCATCACTTCCGTCGCAGACGCAGACGCCTGCGTTTTTCAATGGCGAGCAGGTGCCGTTTAGATTGACGCCGAATATCCAGCATCTGATGGGACCAGCCGCGACGGAGGGATTGTTTTCGCCGTCGGTGATGGTGTTTGCGAGATGTTTGACGATGCCGGAGTTTGATTTGGAGCAGTATATCACGCTGTTTGTGAGAGATGAGATAATGTATGTATCTTTCATTGTTTGGTTTAGGTTTATTGATTTACTAACGTTGTGGAATTTCTAGTTCGTGGTATGCATTCCAGCACCGGCCATGCGCACAGGATCAGCAACTGCAAGAGATTGTGAAGTTGAACGTTGAGATCATTTTGAAGAAGACGGCGTCGCTGGCACAGCCAGGCAAGGGCACGATTCCAGCGAACCAGACGGTGATTGATTTGGTTGCGCAGGCGGTGAACCCGAAACATTTGGCGATGATGGATAATTCGTTCATGCCGTATTTGTAAAAAAGGTGGATGTTTTTTAGTTGATTTTGTGTTATTTTTTTTCTATTTAGCTATGTTTTGTTTTATTGCGTTATTTATATGATTTGATGAAGTGTAATTTATCCTAATATCTATTATCATACACATTAACTATACAAGAGTATAAAAGCAGAGAAACGCCAATCCAGAGATGAAACCAGAGATGAAGAACTATTGTACAGCTTTGGGCTTTTTCATGATCCCCAAGTTTGCGGAATTTAACCCGCTCTTTCGTTTCCTGAGTAGGTCGAGAGGACTTATTTGTTTTTGCGTCGGTTTCTTAGTCGACGCAGCAGCAGCAGGTGGAGGATGAGGAGCAGTATCAGGTTTTGGTTCAGCGCTGGCGGACCGTTTGCGAGCTTCAGCGAAGGCCTTTCGCGCTTCTTCGGCATCCTCTTCATCTTGTTTCCGTCTGGCTTCAACAGCTGCCGCATCGTCTTCCTGCTTTGAAAGCTCGAGCAATTTTTCAGGGTTGACATGTTCAGTAAGCGCGTTTCTGGTGCGTAACTCATCGAGCGCGTCATCGATCTCCATCTCGCGCTTCGAGTCGACAGCTTTCGTCTCAAGCTCCTTCATCGCGTTCTCTTCCTCCTGCTTCTCCAACCTATCCAACCGCTCCTCCTCTGTCTCGTCTTTATTCTCCGGATCGCGCCAGGGCTCGAAATTGCGCACCGCGCCCCGCTCGGAGACGTAGTCCGAGTTCTTCGGATCGGTCTTGAACGTGATCTCGGCCGAGCACCGCGTGCATCTGATGTGGAACCGCAGGATCGCTATGCCGAGGTATTTCTCGCCCGTGTTTTCCTTGCGCGCGTTGAATTTCTTGCCTTTGTAGATGTACTCGCCGCAGCTGGTGCATTTCATCGAGTACGGCGTCATCAGTCGGACGGTCTGGAGTTTGACGACCGCATCCTTGCCTTTTGGCTTCCGGTTGCGCCGCTCGAGCTTCGAGGGGTCGAAGTTCGGGGGGTAGTATTTGTTGAGTGTCTTTCGCTCAGACATCTTTGCTGGGGGGTGAAGGAGTACGTTCTATTGAGATGTGAAGGTGGAAAAGTGTGGTGGTGGGTTTGGCGAGCGAACCCTAACCTGTTGGGAGTGCGTACAACTTAACAGCGCTACGAGAAGTTAAGAAGAGAGAAGGAGGAGAGAGCAGAGAGGAGAGGCGACGAGAAGGAAGGATCTGTTTTGGATGGTTAATGATAGAAATACATCTGATCTAGACGGAAAAGGAGATGAAGGAAACAGCTACTGAGAGCAGCCACCGCAGAGATCAAGCAAAGATCAAAGCAGAAGCCTGCAAGCAGACGTTCTATGTCTTCCTCTTCCTCCTCCTCTCACTTTGTGTTTGTAAATGATCTCTATCGCTGCTCTGAACAGAGCCTCTGAACAGCTGCAGAGCTGTAGAGCTGTTCACTTGAACTTCTTGGCTGCTTCCGCTTCATAGCTCTCCTTCCTCTCCTCTCTTCATATTAGATACGATATCTGCTCTCGCTCATGCTCAAACAGCGCCACTATCGTCATCTAGCAGCAACGCTCTTTTATCAGTAATGTAATGTATGCGATATAAACAGCAATAACCACAAATCCTGCATTGCATTGTAGATCTCAATCTATTCGGATTTCTCGGCTCACCGCAACGGCACCTCCAAAATGACGTCAGCGCCAACTCCGCGCGGGGTCTCGTACCTTCGACCGCCCGCTCCATCAGCCACCCGGTCGTCGAAGCTCTTTAAGCGGTCCTCGCCTGCTCACCTCTGCTCCCCATCTGCGCTTCTCTAATCCTGCTTTGATCTCTGCTCTTCCCACGGCTCGAGCCGGTTGCTACTTGAAGCCATGTCGAACCCCGAAGCTTCAGCAAAGCCCAGGTGAGTCCTCAATCACGCTCTATTTTTGCTTCATTGTGGAATTCCCGCTGCTCTCGAATGATCTCTGCACAGCCTCGGGCTTCGTCGTCGCCTACCCCGTCGGCTTTCGAGATCGTCGACCAGCCTCGGGTGCTCTTCTGTGTTTGATGCTGCGGGCAGTTATGCTGACTCTTGATCCCGGTTTTAATAGTCTGTCGCGCACTCGCAGCTCCGTGAGTGTGATGTCGAGAAAGGCGCGCGACTCGTTGAATATCAGAAAAGGTGGGTGGATTGCCTCTTCTTGCTACGATTTGTGCTCGATCACCATTCAGCTGTGATTATATATGTGCTATACACATGCTGCATGTCGACTACATTTCCTGCTCAAACGACTTCTAACACTAATCCAGCTGGATCACTTGAAGACTCAATCCGGACCTACAAGCTCCTCGGCGCGCTGCGGTCCAACGACCTCGAGTTCATCAAAAAGCTCCTCGACGCCGACAACGAGAAATCGATCGGCGCGCCCGCAGAGCTGCTCACGCTCCTCCACACCGCAGTCCAGGTCTCGTCGCCGGCGACTGTCCAGTACATTCTCTCGGCCAAAAACCCGTTCGTCGACATCAACGCGACCGATGTCAACGGCAACACGCCGCTGCATCTGGCGGCCCTGCTCGGGCGCGAGGACGTGGTCTCGTTGCTGATGGCGCATCCGGAGATTAACGACACGATCGTCAATCACGAGGGCAAACAGCCCGTCGAGATGTGTCGGTACCCGGAGCTGGCGCAGGCCATGCAGGTCTCGCGAGCACAGTTTGTTGAGAAGGTCGCGTCCGAGATGAAGTCGTACTTTGAAAAAAGCGACACGGCTTCGTTGGAGCAGCTTCTTGCCAACCCACGAGCAGCCGCGTTGCTCGATATCAACGGCCAAGACCCCGACACCGGAAGCACTGTGCTGCACGATTCCGTGCGGTCGAAAAATATAAAGCTGGTGCAGTTCATCCTCGACCACGGCGGCGATCCATTCCGTCGCGATCGCAAGGGTAAGCTGCCAGTCGACCTGGCCAGAGACGACACCATCAAGAAGATGCTCAAGGCCGCTTCAAAGAACCAGTCGATTGTCACTGGAAACTCTGCGAATGAAGCGCCGCGGATGAAAGGATACCTGAAGAAATGGACAAACTACACGGGCGGATACAAGCTGCGCTGGTTCGTGCTCGAGAACGGTGTGTTGTCGTATTACAAAAATCAGGATGATACCGGGACCGCCTGCCGCGGATCGATCAACATGCGCATTGCCACGCTGCGTCTAGACTCTTCCGAGAAACAGAGGTTCGAAATCATTGGTAAAGGATCGGTTCGGTACCATCTCCGCGCAAACCATCCCGTCGAAGCCAACCGCTGGGTATGGGCTCTCTCGCAGGCGATCCAGCACGCCAAGGACCAGGCCAAGCTGCAAGAGTCGCTCGGGATGCGGAAGAAGATTGCGGGCGACACGCAGTCGCTGCAGTCGACGCCGTCGGACCGGTTTGTGGTTCCGCAGAACGTGCCGCGGTCGTCGATGATGATCAGCGAGAGCGATCGAAACATGAGCCTGCCGATCGTCAACAGCGGCGGGAATAGTATCCAAAACAGTCTCGAGCTCGACGACGACGACGGCGACGACGACGCGGACGACCGGGAGCTCAAAGACGACTTTGACGACGACGACTCTGAGCACGCGATGCAGGAGGAGCCGCATAAGGGCCAGGTCGAGGTTGTCGCGCACTCGATCGAGATGGAGATCAAGATTTTGCAAGACATTGCCGCGTCGTTGACGGAAGAGCGCGAGGCGATCGTGCGCGAGCATCCGAAAGTCGAGGCCGCGTTCGAGTGCTACGAGCTCTCGCTCAAGAGTCTCAAGAACCTGATGGACCAGCTGCTGCGGCAGACGAGCGACCGCGAAGCGTACTTCAAGCACGTGGCCGAGCGCGAGTCGGAGCTGCGGCGGATCTGGGAGGATAACATGCGGCAGTTGGCGGAGGAAAACGATCAGATCGAAGGGCATCTGCACGATGTTGTCGAAGAGCGCAAGGCGGCGCGGAAGGCGCTGCGGGAGGTGCTCGGGACGCATGACGCGGAGGTGACGTCGCCTGGGTCGGCGGCGGTGCTCACGGCGGTCATGAACGAGGACGAGGAGGATGAGTTCTTTGACGCGATCGACAATGAAGAAAATACAGAGAAGAGGTCGGTCGGGTCTGTTGCGGCGGCGGCGTCGTCGTCGTCGGCGGTCGTGCCGTTGGCGAGCAACTCTGCGACTGAACTCGCAAAGGCGGCGGATCAGGGTCTAACCGAGGCGCAGCGCAAGAAGCAGCAGGAATTGATCGCGACGGGCTCGTTCCACGGATACGAGGACCCGCCCCGGACGCGGCTCGCGCTGGACGAAGACGATCGGCCAAAGATTAGTCTGTGGGGAATTCTCAAGAGCATGATTGGCAAGGACATGACGAAGATGACGTTGCCGGTGTCGTTCAACGAGCCTACGAGTTTGCTGCAGCGCGTGGCGGAGGATATGGAGTATACCGATCTGCTCGACCAGGCTGCGCTGTGTGAGGATTCCGCGCTGCGGATGGTTTACGTTGCTGCGTTTGCGGCGTCGGAGTACTCGTCTACAATCAACCGGATCGCGAAACCGTTCAACCCGCTCCTGGGAGAGACGTACGAATATTGTCGGCCCGACAAGGGCTACAGGTTCTTGGTCGAGCAGGTGTCGCATCATCCCCCGGTCGGCGCCGCGCTGGCGGAGTCTGCGCGGTGGGATTACTACGGTGAGAGCGCGGTGAAGTCCAAGTTCAACGGGCGGTCGTTCGACATCAACCCGCTCGGGACATGGTACCTGCACATCCGGCCGACGAAAGGCGGCGAGGAAGTGATTACGTGGAAGAAAGTGACGTCGTCTGTGGTGGGTATCATCACGGGCTCACCCGTGGTGGACAACTACGGCGACATGATCATCACGAATCACACGACGGGGGTGGTGTGTAAGCTGAGATTCAAGCAGCGAGGGTGGTACGGCTCGGGCGCGTACGAGGTCATCGGGACCGTGACCGACAAGGCCGGACGGCCGTACTGGTCTGTCGGCGGGCGATGGAACGACAAGATTTACGGGAGACGGTACCAGAGCGACACCGAGTCCGTGCTCGTGCAACTGAGCAAAGAAGTCGAAGGCTCAGCCGCGGACGGCACTTTAAAGCGCGTGAACACAGGCCTGTCCAAGAAACAGAGCAATATCTCGTCTGAAGTGACAAAGACGCTGAGCGGACCCAACCCGCCGTTTTTGGTGTGGCAGAACCATCCGCGGCCGACGGCGCCGTTTAACTTGACGCCGTTCGCAATCACGCTGAACGCGATCAATGATAACCTGCGTCCGTGGGTTGCGCCGACGGATACGCGGTTGCGGCCGGATCAGCGCGCGATGGAGGATGGGAAGTATGATTTCGCGGCGACGGAGAAGAATAGATTGGAGGAGAAGCAGCGGGCGCGGCGGAAGCAGCGGGAGATGGAAGGGTCGGTGCATAAGCCGCGGTGGTTCGCGAAGGCGAAACATCCGATCACGGGAGAGGAGTATTGGAAGTTCACGGGGGAGTATTGGGATGTGCGGGAGAAGATGGGGAGGAAGTCTGTGGAGGTGATGAGGGTGGGGGAGAAGAAGTTGGGATGGCCTGCGGTGGAGGATATTTTCTAGTTTTGATAGAGAAATGCAGTCCTTCGAGTAGCAGACAAGATAACAATAAGAATAAACAAATAAGAACAGACAAGACTAACAATAAGAATGAAGACAAACAATGGGCTAACTCCGATGTGGGGTGCGGACGAGCGGATCTTGAGTTTGTTGATCCATTGGACCGTGTAGATCAGGGGAAATGATGAGGATGATATATGTTGCTACGGTGTAGGATATAGAATGAAAATAACAATTGATAGATATATGGAAAGCAAAACACATAGATCGAAACACAAAATAAGATAAAAAGCAGAAAAAAGTCGCGCTGTCTATCCATCCAGCCACGTCCTTCCCCCCTGCTTTCTTGATTAATGATCATGATATGAAGATGAAAAAAAAAAAAAAGAGAGAATGATGTGGAATCAGTTTAACTTCTAAACCCCGGAATGAACTTCCACGAGTCCTTCAACGTAGGCTTATCCAGCGTCGGCGGCTTGCCAAAGTTCTCGTCAATGTCAAGCAAGATCTTGAGCGCGTTGCGACTCCGCAGGAAATCCGCGTTGCGCGCGTCCGGATCGATCGACTTGGGTTCGCCGGACGGGATCGAGTGGCCGGCCTCGGTCGCGCCCGAGGAGTGGTGGTACGGAAGCATCTTTTGCAGGAGCTCGTACATGGCGAGCGTGCAGCCAAACTGCGGGGAGGAGCGGAAGATGCGCGCGGGACCGCCCTTGAAGAATGCTTTGAATCCTTCCTCGCGGAGGATGGTGGACGCGCAGTGCGCGATGTTTTTGTAGTGGGTTTGGCCTGCGCGCGCCTCAGCCTGGAGACGCGTCTTGATGACATCAAACGGGGTGGTGAAGTAGGCGGCGGGCATACCAGCTGCCGCGCCGGCGAGAAGGAGCTGGCCGGTTCCCAAGCTCTTCTCGGGGCCCTCGCCAAAGTAGTCCTTCTTGATGTGGTTGTAGGTCGGGAAGTAGATTGCCGAGAAGGGCACGTCGCGGCTGAGACAGGCGGTCGCGCCCTTGTAGAGGCCGAGCAGGCCGAGGTGTCGCACGATCCAGATCGCCGACCGGCGCGGCGCGCCTTCGACGGATTTGCTGACCTCGCCCTGGATCTGCAGTCTGATCTTGACAATCTCGAGCGGGTTCGTGAAGACGACCTGACAGGCGCCGGCGGACGCGCCAGAGAGAATCTCGCCCTTGAGCGAAATATTTCCTTCTTCGTCTGTGAACATGCCGCGCGCGAGATCGTTGACCGTCAGCTTGATTGCCTTTTCGGGCGCGACACCGATGAGCTGCGGGCCGAGGCCAGAGTAGAGGCCTTTAACGCCCTCGCGCTGGATCACTTTCCGGAAACAATCGAGCGAGTTCTTGTAGAGCACCTGGCCGGGCACTTTTGACGACGAGCGCTGGTTCTGCATGCGGGTTTTGACGAGGTCGATGGGGTAGACGATTGTCGCGCCAAAAGCACCAGCGACAGAGCCGAGGAGGAAGTGGTAGGCCGACTCAAAGACCTGGGAGAGGAACTGCGAGGGCTCGTTGAGCGCGTTCTTGGCGGCCTCGACTTTCTCAGCCTTGGAGAGGTTGTAGAGGATCTCGGGGTCCTGCCAGGAGGGGTCGAGCACGCGGCGGAAGTCGTCGACGGAAAGACGGCCGGAGGAGTTGTCGAGCGAGGCAAAGTGGAAGAGCACGTCGATCTCCATGGGGGTGAAGAGCGAGAAGAGGGTCTTGCGAGCGGCCTCGTCGGCAAAGTCGTTGCGGGTGATTTTGTGGTCGGGGCTCTTTTCGCAGGCGCCCTTGACGATCACGTCGACCATGTCGGATTCGCGGATGACGTTTTGGAACGCGCGCACGTTTGCGTACGAGATCTTGGAGGACGAGGAGATGTTGCAGAGGGTGTGCAGGGACTCGAGAAGGCGGTCGGAGAGCTTGTGTTTTTGGGTCTGCTCGACGATTTTCTGGAATTGCCAGGGCTCGATGAAGCCGGTGTCTTTTTTGTCGTAGTAGTGGAAGGCCTAGATACTGTTAGATGAGAAGTTCAGAGAAGTTGAGAGAGGGAGGTGTAATTGAGAAAGGGAGAAAGAGAGAAAGGGGGTGTACCTGGCGCACGCGCTCACCCTGAAGACCGCGGAGCATCTGGGCAAACTGGTCATAAGTCATAGCATGACGACGGTTTTTGTTTCCGCAGTAGAGAGAAGCCCATGGCGCGTTCCAGTCAAAGGGGAAGGAGTTATCGGACTTGTTTTGGTTGTAGTATCTGATAAACTCGTCGTAGTCGACGACGCCGTTGCCGTCGGTGTCGAAAAGCCGAAAGGCGATTTGGTATTCGGCGTCGGGCTTCTTGAGCAAGTTTTCAAAGTAGATCCAGTCCTGGATCGAGACGAGGCCTTTTTGGGAGCGGTCGGCGGCGGAGAAGAGGACGGCGTAGGACTCGCGGGCGATTTTGTGGTAGTCCTCGTTAGGGGGGGCGATGGCGGCGACGAAGTCGTCGGTGGTCATGTGAGGCTCGCCGTCGAGTTGGCCGGAGGCATGTTTGCGGAAGATGGCGACCGCGCGGGACGACGGGGGGGAGGAGGAGGAGGACATGAGAGGAGAGGTGAGGAGAGGTGGTGAAGGGGAGGAGAGGTGAAGAGGTGAGGAGGGAAGGAGGAGGAGGAGGAGCAGAAATAAGTCGCTGTGGGGGAAAGCGGCGCGGCGGGGTAGTCGCCGCAGTGAGGCAGCGGTTTTGTTGCCGGTCTGGTGTTATCGGTGGATGTAGTTGTGATATCAATTGAGTAGCGGTTGATATACAATTGACTTGTAATTGAATATATAATGATATTCAATTGATACAATTGACAATAATACTACAACCAACGACTATTGAATAGAGAACCCCTCGGTTCTTACGTAAGCTCGGGTGAGCACGGAAGGCCACTTATAGCCGGCCGACTGCCCCGCTTTCTCGCAACGCCCAATCAGCGCCCGCGGCTGCCCGGATTATCTCGGCCCGTAATCAATTATGTCAGCGGATGTAGTCCTCCTCGAACAAAAGGTCGTGGCATTGCCCGACGACGTCGCCCATCGCGCCGCCTTCTTCGCGTCTGCGCACGCGTCCGGGGGAGGTCGCGGTGACTGCCATGCTGAGAGGAGGAGCAGAAGGTGTTGAGGTTGTTTGATCGACGACCGACCGCCGCTTATTCCACAGACAGTACTCGCCCATGATCCGCACCATCTCGTCGTCCTCTCCAGTATCTCTCCTTTCCCTCTTTGCACTCTCTCTGCTCCCTAAATCATTACTACCACTCAACCCGATATCAATCGCTGCATCATCCAGCAGCACGCAATCCCAATTCGAGCTCGCGGTAGCAGACCGCCGCCTCATCATCCCGTAGAACCCGACCCCGTTCGTGACCATCTGCTGCCTTATCTCGGCCGGAATCGACGAATCGCTCATCTGTGCTGCTGCTTGTGCTGTGTGCTGCTGCTTGTACCCCGGTCTGCCATTCTCCTTGTCGCTCTCTAGGCTCTTCTCTATCGAGGTCGGCTGTGTAGATGATGTTGATGTTGAGGAGGATAGTGGGAGGATCGAGCTCAGGAACCGGTTAGGCTGCCAGGTTATTGTCGTCTCGTGCTCTGCTCTGTTGTGGTTTGAGAGAGATCGCATAGCTCGTTTCTCTGATCCGAGCATCTAGAGTGTGTTAGAGTAGTTGTAGTGTATATTCTAAGCACTCCTTACCTCTGTTTTTCATATATAGAAGACAATTATCTGACAAGATCATTAGGTTTTGCTCTCTATAGAATAAAAGACTGAACTACTCACTTGCAATTCACTTCTGTATCTCAGACAACTGTACCCGACTGTCAACATCACCACCGTTAGCCCTGCATCCTGCATCAGATAACACAAACCATCATACCTCTCTTCTCTCTTTTCTTCCCTAATCACCTTCTTCTATTAATCTCAACTCGTATATCTGACTATCAGCATCAACGTAGACCCAGAGCACTTCACGTCACCTCAGCACACAGAATCAGCGGTGGGGAAGTAAACGTAAACAGACCAGAGCCGATCGGCGCACGTGGGCCTTATCAGATCTTGTGTCCTGTGCGCTTGGCCTTATCTCGTATTCGCTTAATCTTTTCTGTTGTTTATAGCTGTTTTTCATTCCTGTTTGTTTATAATTGTTTTGTATGAAGATAGTATTATAAAATAGCGTGTTTCTAAATAAGCAGGTTATCTTTATGTTGATAGTAAATAACTACGGGGCTCTTCTGGACTGTTGTAGACTGCTGTAGTAACTGCTCTAACTTGCTCACACCGTAACCTGGAGTAGACACCCGCACCGCACCGCACCTCAACAACGAACAACGACAACAACAGACAACAACATACAACAACATACAACGAACATGAGCAACAAACAACAACAGCAAAAGCAAAGAATACAACAAACACATCCCACTTTTCCTCTTCTTTCCTCTTCTTTCCTCTTCCTTCCTCTTCCTTCCTCTCCTCACAACACACAGACCACAGACTCCGCTCCGGTCTTCCGACCCTTCGGCGGATCTCCGAGTCTTCCTGCGCCCGCTTCCGACGGCCTTCTCCCGTTCCGAGGTCCACTCTTCTCTTCCTCCTCCTCTTCTCCTCTTCCTCGGTCCGAGGTCTGTTTATATCTGTCTGTTCTACTACTCTACTACTCTACTACTATTACTCTACTACTCTACTACTACTGTCGCTGCTATTACTCTACTCTACTGCTACTCTTACTACTAGAATACCCTACTCTTCCACACCCTACCAATATTCACACTCACTTCCTAACCCTATGAGCACCTCTACAAACACCTCAACAATGTAACCAAAGAAAATACTGCATCCACCAGATCAACCGTAATAAGATCATCAATCCTCACTATTGCAGATGGCTCAGCCATGGTCTCTCAGACTGAATATGAACTCATCGAGCAGGTACAAATTATCCTAATTCTCCCTTTTTGCTCTCCTCTAACCACCCCATCCAGAAAGTCAAGCAACTCTACCTCCCCGGCTCTCCGGACTCCATAAACCAGTACGTCCCTCCTCCCCTCCCTCCTCTAACTCATCCTAACCTCATCCTCCTAGGCTCCAGCGCGAACTACAATCCCTGCAAAGGTCGCCGGCAGCATGGGATCTTGCAAACCTCATGCTCTCCTCCCCCGACCAAAACGTCAGATTCTTCGGCGCTCTCACCTATACCGTCAAGATCAATAACGACTGGTATGTCCTTTTCTTTGATTCTCCTGGAATTCACCATCAACAGCGCTGACACCGCTGATAACTAGGCACTCAATCCCCACCACCTCCGTCCACCAACTCCTCTCCCAGCTCCTCAACTGGATCATCCTCCACCGCAGCGGTCCCCGCTTCATCACCCAAAAACTCATCGCAACCCTCGTCCTCGCGCTCATCAAGTTCCCCTCCGACGCATCAACCATATGGCCCTACCCCATCCACGACTTCATCCTCTCGCTCTCGCAGCTCTCCGTCGTCATCAACACCCGCTCCACCGACGCCGACCTAAACTTGCAGTCCGAAACCGACTTTGCCGTGCTCATCGCCAGCTTTTCGAGAGAGAACCTCGACACCTCCCTCCTCTTTTGCTCCACTTTTGCCGAGGAAATGCTACGCGCTGATGTTCCCCGCCAGGACCGTCCGCTACTTCAAAAACTACTCGCAGACAGCACCCAACACGCCCTACCAATCATGACCACCCTCATCTGCACCACCCCCTCCGAGCTCGCTCCTGATCTCTACCCCGTCCTCACTTCCTCTTTCAAATGCTACCGCGCCTGGGCATTGTCGCTCGCAACCAGCAGCGGCATGTCCCCCGAACTTTCCAGCGTCGCCGCCATCTTCCCCCGCGTCGTCGCCTTCCTCGAACTCGAGTCCGACGACACCGTCTTTAGCACCGTCTCTGAAGTCATGATTGATTTCATGGAGTGGTCAGATAAACTCGTCACCGCGCAGTCCATGAACACGCTCCTCCATCTCTTCGCCGGCCCATGGTCGGCCTCCAAAATCCAACAGATCGTCGCCGACCCAGACTCAGCCGAGGACGGCATCAACCTCTACTTCCTGAACGCATTCATCTCCTTCGGCGAGCTCACCGCCCGGGATATCTCCGGAAGTCTCTCCCTCTCCGAGTCGCAGCGCATCCTCGAACTGACTCTCGCGCTCGTAAAAGTAGCAGGCTACCCGATCGAGGACGAAACCGTCAGCAAACGAACGCTCGAGTTTTGGGATCTTTTCGTCGAGAGCGTGCTCTACGACGACGACGGCGTCTTGCAGCAAGCTGGTGACTCTGCAGCTTCTGCATCTAAAGAAAAAGCCGCCCAGGCGACGACAATCATGATGACGGTTATCGAGTCGCTATGGCACAAGATCAGGCTCCCGCCGACAAACATCTTCAGCCACTGGTCACAAGACACTAGAGACCAGTTCTTTGCCTTCCGCAAAGACGTCGCAGATCTCATCGAGTCCTCGTACCAGCTCGTCCAACCAAAGCTCTACTCCGTCCTCGTCGACTTTGTCATCCAGTCTACCTCCTCCGGAACCCCCGACGCGGTAGACTGGCCCGGCGTCGAAGCGTCCTTGTATGCCCTCAACGCCATCTCTCAGTCTTTGACCTCTTCCCCTGTCGAATACGAAACGCTCAAAATCCTCCTGGACTCCAACCTCTTCCATCTCCTCCCGCAATCGCCCATGCTCCGCGCAAAGCAAACCTCGCTAAACCTCATCTCCTCCGTCATCCCCTACTTCCAATCCGACCCGGGAAAAACCTACATCCCAGTCGTGGTCCCCTACCTCTTCCAATGCCTCGCGACCTCCTCCCTCGCACTCCACGCCTCGCGCTCAATCTTCCAGCTCTGCGCGGACTGCGCCCCGGTGCTGGCGCCGAACGTGCAAGATTTCTTGGCGATATACCGCGACATGCTTGTAAACGGGCACGACATCGACGCGCTCGCGAAAGAGCGCATCGCGGGAGCTATCGCGGAGGTAATCGTGCAGGGCGTCGAGGAGCTCGAGAGGAAGGTTGCTTATATTGGTGAGCTTGTTGGGATTTTGAAAGTGTATGCTGAGCAAGCTGTAGCTGCCGCCAACAGCAAAGTCGATCAGCAGCAGCAGGAGGACTCCATCCTACCGAAAGACATAGCGGCGTCGGCGCTAAAATCTCTAGCGATGGTCGGCAAAGCCTGTCGCGAAGGAGAAGACCTGATATCTACACACACGCCCGAGCAGAAACGCGCATACGCAGAGACCCTTGCGCAGGTATGGGACGCGCCCGGGTCACGCGGCCGCGCAATCAAAGACGAGATCCTCTCCGTCGTCGTCACGCTCAGCCAGCGCGTGCCCGACTTCGCAGGCGAGATCGCGGTACGACAAAACGCGTGCGCGGTTCTGCGCGCGGGGTTTTCGGAGCGCGGGCCGGGGCCGTTCACGGTTAGCGCGGAGGTGATTGTCGGGTACGTGCGCGAGGAAGTCGCGAGGGTGGGGAATTTGGCGACGATGCAGCCGGTGATTGCGTTGGTTGGCGGGTTTGTGGTTGCGAATTCGGATAAGGAGAGTGAGGATGCTAGTTCTGCGTGCGCGGAGTTGCTTGATGTTTTGTACTCTGGCGCTGTGGTGCCTAATACTTGTGCAAGCAGTGCGCTGCAGGATCCGGATGTGAACCAGGGCATGCTGGAAGTAATGCAGAAATATCTCGCGCGGTACACCCCCGTTCTCTTCTCAAGCTACTGCTTCGAACCCCTCGTCGGCCGCTTCGCAGTCGAAATGCTAACGACGCGCGAACCGCTTGTCGTGAAAGCAGCCGTCAAGTTCTGGACGGCGCTGATAAACACCAAGATGCGCGGCGCCGACGAAGCCGAGCTTGTCGCGGTCGTGGACCAGGTCGTGCAAGCCACGGGCGAGGTCGTGATGGGGAAAGTGGTGTGGGCGATCACGGGGAACGCGCCGCGGAGTCTGTTGACGGAGTACGCGCAGCTTGTTAAGGCGTATTTTAGGCTGTACACTGGTCTCGCGCAGCGGTGGATGAGCGCGGGGTTGGCGGTCGAGGGGGAGCAGCAGCAGGAGGAGAAGAAGAGAGCGAGGAGGATGTTTGTGGAGAAGATTGCGAGGTTGAGAGGACGGCCGCCGACGGAGACGATTGTGAAGGAGTTTTGGCTGGGGGAGAGGGGGCAGGAGGTTGATTTTGCATAGACTGTGGACGTTGTATGATAGAGAGATTTAGAGATATGCATTGGCTTAAGTAGTATCAACTTTATTTAATAATAATCAATAGAAGAATCAATCATAAGCGTTCGTATTCAGATAGTTGACTGACTCCGGACTGACTTCAAACTGCGCCTGGCGCGATTGGCAAACGGGCTGATAACCCGCACAACGTCATACCCTACGTTAACCACTCCTTCGACCTTCTGCTGGTCTTCCTTTTGTTCAAGACAGCATTTTTTTTGTTGGAATAGTGTTGATGGTTAGTAGAAGAGTAGAGACAAGATGAGTAGTGTTTAGTTTGGTGGGGATTAGTTCTGGTGGTTGAGTGTACAAATACGTGATTCGCCCTCGAGCTACTTAAATACCCTACAACCTCTCCCTCTCCCTCCCTCACCACCGAGGCCACCACCCACCCACCCACAATGGCCCTCTCAACCATGCAAGAACCCCCCACCTCCTCCCCCATCGCCCTCTCCACTCCCCCACCTCTCCACGACCCCCCCGACAGCGCAGATCAATTGCGTCCACAACTGCGAATGCGGATGCGGATGCGGATGCGCAAGCGGCCTGATCGGATGCCGCGACCTGCTCTGTCTACCGTGAGTTTCTTTCCACCCTCGTAGTGGAACTAGTTGCTGATTCGATGTATGAAATGGATAGAGAGACCAGGCAAGGCGGTTTTTTAGACTGTTTGTAATTCGTCGGTGTAGACGTTCTCTCGTGAGCTTTCTCCTCTCATCTCTGTTTCTATTTCTCCTCTGTGTTTTCTGCAATGAATACCCCCCCTTCTACCAACAGACTCTGACATTTATCTCTTCGACAAAGGCGAAAAAGCAAAAACAAAAGCATAAGCAAAAATCTCACACCCGTCCGAACTCTGAAGTACACCATGACTCCTCCGTGTCCCGCAGCCGTACCTGGCGCTGGTATCTTCGCGGCCGTCAGCGTCGTCAACAGCAGCAGCAGCGTGACAGCGGTGATAAAAATGCGAGTGTATGCTCGATTGCATCGGGGAAGACGAGTAGGAGTTTTTATAGGCTGTTTAGGAAGCAGGAGAGGATTGCCATTCGTGATGAGGACGAGAAGGAGGAGGAGGAGGAGGAGAGTGAGCTATCATCCTACAGCGCGTTCGAGAGTGGTGGCTGTCTTGGGTTAGATGAGACAGCGACAACTACCACCCCTCTCACTTCCCCCGAAAGCGTGGAAAAGCACGCTGACAGACACCATTTTCTGCTCTCCAGAAAAACCGACGACAACGCGAACAAAGCGTTTGATCTCCCGGATCAGTTTAACAAGCTATCCCTCGCCTCTCCCTTCAAAGAATCAGCGACACCCTTGCTCGACGACGCAGCATACGACGCCGACGACGAGCTTGAAAGCGAAGAACGCAGGCCTCCGCGTGGACGTCATTCTTCTTCTTCTTCTTCTTCTTCTCCTTTCGATGGGTCTGAGATGACGCAGGACGGCGGCGCGACCGTGGTTAGTTATCGGCAGCGGCTGTATCGGATTCTCGAGGCTGATTCGTCAATCTCTTCATCCTCCTCTTCTTCTACTTTCTCCTCGCCGTCGCGGGAAAATGGGAATGGAAACGACCACCCCTTCCAAAACCCAACGCACACTCTAACCCCCCTGTTCAAACCCCGCAAAGCAAGACTCAACCTCCAAACCTCCCTCTCCTCCTCCTGTCCGCAAGAGTTCTCCCCATCCTGCGACGCCGACATCGAAAAGTCGCCACTGACAGAGTCGTCCGCGGACCTAAGTACGTTCTCAGGCGGCAGTGTTTCTCTTTCTCACCAACTGGTTTGATATTTGCTGGTTCTGTTCTGGGTTCTGTATTCTGCCGCTGTTTTACCTGCTGTCGAGGCTGTATCTGTTATTCCCTACATTTTACTGTCGCATAGACTAGACTCACACTCACACTCATGCTCAAGAGACTTTTTTATTACAACAATTATTTTCGTGGGCGTGAAAAACTCCAGTATAGTGCAACCCAAGCAAACACACCCTCTCTCTCCCCCATTTTCAGCCACCCCCTCCCCCTTTTCGAATGAAATAATAGACAAGAGAACTAATGCCCAAGATGCTCTTCCTCGATGTAATAAAGCGAGTAGATATTCGACGACAAACACGCCACCATGATAAAAATGCCCCAGCACGCGAGCAACAGGCTGCCGTACTTTATATAATACCCCTCGCCATCCACGCTCCGCAACATCTCGCGGTCCTCGTCCTCGGGCGCGGGGGACGACACGCGGGGAACTTGTTCGCGCTGCTGCTGGAGGTGCACGGCAGGGTGCACGCCGTCGGCGGCGGAGTCGAGGAGTTGCTCGTCGTCGTAGGTGGTTTCGGGGATAGGAAGGTGGTACGGCGAGCCGAGGAGTTTATATCCAAACAAGCCCGGGAGGATGAACGAGATCGAAGTCGACCCTGTCGCGCCGACGAACGCGAGGACGGTCTCGAGCGAGGTAACCGTCATGGCGATGATGTACGAGAGAAGCATGATGAGCGCGGTGGTGATGATGAATCTTCGGGTCGGAATGACTTTATTGCTCGTCCGGCTCGAGAGCGCCGAGGGCGCGGGCGTGCCGGTTACGGTTGGGAGGATGAAGTGCGTGAAGATGTGGTCGACGGAGGCGCGGCACGGGTGGCACTGCAGCGGGTAGGAAAACAAGACGAGGATGACGATCGCAAGACGGCCGACGGCCGAGGCGAACGAGCTCGCGTACATGTTGCTGATATTCCCGCTGACGGTATCACCGAACGAGAGGTACCCCGTAAACCCGACGAGCGAGTAGAGCACGATCGCGGAGCCGATCGAGCTGAGGATGATGCGCAGGACCGAGTCCTGGCGGTTATCGCGCAGCTCGTTGACGACGGAGAACATGTTTTGGTGACAGGTGAACCCAAAGACAACGACCGGCAAAGACGAAAGCACCGAGGTCAGCGACTTTGGCGTCAGCGAGATCTCGCCGCGGCTCTCGAGCGTGTCGCCAATCATCCAGTGGCCGAGCACGAGCAAAGTGAGGTACCCGAGCGACACGAGCGCGATGATCGACGTGTACTTGAGCGAGTCGAGCCGGCGCATGAAGCAGAGCGGGATCAAGGCGACCATCGCGAAGGACACCCAAAAGTGCCGCGAGTCGGCGGTGTTGTACGGCAGCTCGGCCGCGTCGGAGTAGAAGAAATCGACAATGACCTGCGGCATGAGGTCGCCGATGATGATCAAGTACGAGACGCCGACGCCGAAGCATTTGACTGCGATCGCGGTGTCGAACAGGACCGCGAGTTGCGGGTATGTCTGTTGCGCGAGGGCAAAGAAAGAGGCGGTGCCGCGGGTGAGGTAGCGCGAACATCGGTATTGGAGAAAGAGGCCGGCGCCGGATGTGAATCCAGATACGAGGATGACGAGGAAGCCTAACAGAATACCGTTACTGCTCAAAGCGTGCGGCATAGCCAGCAGACCCGCGCCTTTATACAATCAATTAGCAGATAACCAAAGAGAAGCAGGTTATTGAAGCATACCCAAGATGGTGTTGGACAGGTTCGTGACACTGGAGATCATGCCAGCAGAACCCACGTACGCCTTTGCTGAGTCGTCTTCTTCCTCCTCGTGCGTAGACTGGTCGTGCAGCAGCATGGGATTATAATCATCGTCCTCTTCTTCCTCAACGTACTCGACAATCGCCACGGGGGGTTCGCGGCGCGAGGCAGCGGCAGCGGGCTCGGCGGCCATGTTGGATGTAGTAGGTGTAATTGAGCGGCGAGACCGAGCACAGTCAGGAGAACGCGATTGAGCAGCAAGTTCACACTCTCAATACAAAGTCTTCAAGCAAAGAAACAACTACACAGAAACTCCAGGCAAAGAACAGCAACTGCAGTCTTGTAAGAACATCCACCTGCTATTTCTATTATCGGCTCGAGATGAGCAACGAGTGCGGCGGGATTGCGAGCGAGCGCCGGGTAATCATCCACTAAGCCTAATCAGGTGCGTAAACAGCAGGCAGTTTAGAGTTTGTTTTTAGTGTTTGTTCCACTCCAAAGTAGTAGCAACACAGAACCTTATCGCACCCTCGTCCTACCTGGCTTCTTATCGCACCCGCGCAGCCTTTGCCTTCTTACGGCAGCTCGCAAAGGGATCAAAGCTCTGCTTTTGTTTTTGGCCGCTGCTGCTTTGGATTTCTTGAAGATTATTGCTGTTTTGCTGCTTTGCTTTGTTCAGACCGAATTGTCGTTGTTAGTTTGCATATCTTCCTTGTCTTGCTGTGACTCCTTCTTCGCCATGTCGCGCGTCTAGTTCTGTTCACTTCCTCGACTTCTCTTCCTCACCTCCCCATCTGCTATCGTCAACACCCAACCGCGATGGTCGAAGTCGCCGGCGACCGTCTGGCTGACGTTCCAGCAACGCAGCAAGCCAACTCTCGCAACCCTTCGCGCTTCCTCTCCATCGCCTCCTCAAACTTCTTTGCCTTCGACACCCCGCTGTCCTCGCCCTCCAAGTCCTCAATCTCCGCCGCCGGCACCCTTCTCCCACCCGCCTCCGTCAACGAGAAGCAGCCCCGGAAATACTCCCGCCCGTCCAGTCTCCGCAGCGTGGGTTCCTCCACACAAGTCACCTCTGTCGTCACGGCCACCGGCAGCACTGCCTCCTCGCCCTCCACGCCATACTTCCCTTCCTCCTCCTCCTCCTCCTCTTCCTCCGCCGCCGGTCTCCTACCCTCCTCCTTTGTCTCGGCCTCTGTCCCCATCCCAAGACCAGCCAGCGCCGGCCGCAAGCCGCAAAACTACAAAACAATCACCCCTGCTGACCCACCCGTGGCCCCGGCTTCGACATGGTCGCTGCGAAACAGCGAGCGGTACGGAACCTCGGAAGACGCTTCCGTCGTGACGGGCGAGCGCACGCAGAGGGAGGTTATCATCAACGTCTATGATATGCTGCAGGATATCAAGCTTGCGCCTGTCTTGTGGACCTTGGGAGTCGGCGTTTATCACTCTGCTGTCGAGGTCGATGGACGAGAGTACGCTTACGGAGGTCGGTATCTGCTTTGTTCATGCTATACAGAAAGTTCTGCTGCTAACACTTCTTCACAGGGCACGAAGAACCTGGCATCTCGGGTGTCTACTACTCCAAACCACAGACACCTCTCCCCGGCAACATCGTCTGCAAGACACACATCGTCCACGGCTACACGACCTACACGCCCGGCGAAGTGCACGCGATAATCAACGACCTGAGCCTAGAGTACATGGGCACGAGCTACAACCTCCTCTCCAAGAACTGCAACCACTTTACAAACTCGCTCCTCATGCGCCTGACAAACACGCCCGCGCCCGCGTGGCTCAACCGCGCGACAGTCATCGGCCTCGCGGTGCCGTGCATCATCCCGCAAAACTACATCAAGCCGCCGGAATGCACCGTCACCCCGCGCTCGTCCTCGGCCTCGTTCAATTTATCACAGTCCCGCAGCGAAAAATCGTATGACCAGATGTCGGTCGCGCAGCCGTCCGCGTCCCTGCTCATGCTCCCTCACTGGTTGCGCAAACGTCCTACCGAACAATCCTTACTTCCCCCTTCTCGAGCATCCAAAACCGAGATCGTGAAGAGCCCAAAGGGTAACGACGAAGACTCGTACCTGATCAGCACGCGATACCTAGACGACGACGAAAAAGACAAATTCTGCGACGACGACGACGATAATAACGAAGACTTCGCCGTCAGCGACTCCGAAATCACAACCTTGCTCGCTGCTGATGAGAAATCCGCAATGATCCCCGGTAGCAGACGCAGCACGTCTGCTCACCGTGGCGGCGTCGTTTACGAAAAGACTTCGCGGATCACAGATTACGCCGCGCTCAGCCATTCTTCGCCCGCGTCCTCGCCGTCGTCATCGAGCGGCGCCGCAAAGCGGCATGACCAGCAGCAGCAGCAAGCCGGCAACAACCAAAGCTACTACGACGAGAGCAGGAACGGAAATGAGAGTCCCGGTGCGTTCAGTCGGTTTTTGAGCGAATCCGTGTCTTTCCTGGGGTGGTCCTACTCGAGCCGGTAGTCTTTTGACATACATATATACACTCAACACATTCGAAACGCCGGCTCAAGTCTGAGAACTCATATCGTCTTGCGTGTGCATTATGGCGGGTGTAGAGAGCGCCTGGCTTAGAAAAAAGCGTATATGAAAATCAACGGCATAGAGAGTATACACATCTCTCGTTTATAGACTTACATGGCGAAAAGTATGCTTTGTCTTTTTCTTTTATTTCTTTCTTACTCTTCTATATTTTCTTCTATACGTTTTACGTTTATCATATTTGACAAAATTCATAGTGGTGTGGTTGTGGGCTTCATTTTATTATCTAGGTGTTTGAATCTAGAAGGAGTAGTAAGGGGATTATAGTGTTTATATAAGGATCGAAGGGGAGGGGTGTTGGTTAATGCTTTTGAATGTAAATACTTAGATTAAGGTATTTATGAATAACTAATTGGTTGCTGTAGGCAGCAGTAAGCTATATTACATATACACACTACTCGTCATCGCTATCTTCCTCCTCTGGATACTCATCAACATCCAAAATCCCCTCCGCATCCTCCGGATTAACAAACTTATCCGCAAACTCATCCTCATCCTCATCTTCCTCCTCCGCATCCGAAATCGTCATCGCCGGCTCCTCTGTCTTCTTACTCTTGTCGTCCTTGATCCCCATATCCTTCAATAACCGGTTCAGATCCTTCTGCTTCTTCTGCTCCATCTCTTTCTCGCGCTGCTCTTTAATCCGCTCGACTTCGGCCTTGTAGTCGGTGTTGAACTCAGTCACCTTCTTATCCACAGCCGCAAGAAAGTCGTCCATCCCCGCTCCCGTGTAGGCCGAGACACTGACGACGTCGAGATGCCGGTAAAACTCCTCGAGCACTAAACTCATCGAGTTCATAAGCGAGGTCATGTACCCGCTCCCGCCCTCTGTGTTTTCATCCTCATCCATATCCCTCAGCGCGGCCTGGAAACTCTCAAAGTCCGTCATCCACTCGGTCGCGAACGTCGCGTCCGCGGCGTCGGTCTTGTTGAACACGATAATCATCGGCAGCTTGGTCTTGTACAGAATCGAGCACGCGTACAGCATATTCGACATAAACGTCGCCGGCGAGGTCGTCCGCGGCGTGTCGACGATGTACGCGATAACGGTAGGCATCGCGGACGCGAGCGCGTCGAGCAAGATCGCGCCCGAGGCAGACCAGACAAAGCATTCAATCTGTCCGGGGGTGTCGACGAGAACGTGTGAGACCGCGCCGGCGCGTTTCTCGACAATGCCGAGCACTTGGTCTACTTTTGTCGCAAAGAGGTTGAGCGATGTGATGATGGCGCCGTTGGGGCCGAGGTTGTATCTACTAGACGTCAGTACTAATTCAACACATACAGAGCAGCACTAGGGTAGACTTACTGCTTCATGACTTCTTTGTAGTTTACTGAATCGCGAATATCAATATTAGTTCCAAACGGCACGTTCAGCACTGCCGGATCGAGATTTATAATGTACGGCGGCATGTCTTGCGAGTGCAGATGTGAGTTTAGCCGTTGCATGAACGTCGTCTTTCCGGATCCTGATCAACACTGTTAGTATATAAATCGACAGAAGAAGAGGAAGTCTGCTGGAATATCTGGAAAGATGCAGACTTGATCTATCGGACATACCAGCCATGCCGATGCACACGATCGCAGGAGTCTGAAGCTCCTGTTTTTCCTCACTAGTAGCCATCTCTTAATTCACTGTATTCACTTCTTAAATCCTTCTCTTTACCGTCTTGCTACTTATTCACAACTACTTCTTCAAAAGCAGTATTGCGATAAAGAAGGCGAGCAACTTTTCAGGGGATTTCCCAACTCCCATCGAAGCCCCAAACCTTATTCATATTTGGGTCAGGGTTTTGTGGCTGCCCCGGTCGTGAAAAGGACACAGACGCGGTATCGAGGAGGTTTGTTTACTCGACAATTGCGATCTGCCTGCGCCGAGCTGACAAGGACGGAATAGAGAAGAGGCAGAGATAAATAGCAGGGTGAATATGAGGATTCTGTCGGTATTGCTGATTGTGGCGGCCGTGTGGATTGCTGCGGTCGCGGCGTGGGATGAAAAAGATCATGAAATTTTCAGGGTGACGGAGGATCTTGAGAAGGTTGAGGGCAAAGGAACGACGTTTTACTGTGAGTTTCTGTGTCTTTGATGTGAATTGGACTTGTTTTGGAATAGGTATACTGACTTTGCGTGCGGGAATAGCGTTCATGGGTCTCGAGAAGGGTCCGTCGTCGTCGCTGGATGAAATCACCAAAGCGTGAGTACAGCCCGATATCAGCTCGACGAGGAATCAAAAATCCAACTGACAGCAATACCTACAGCTACCGAAAAAAATCACGTCAGCTGCACCCCGACAAGATGAAGAACCCGTCCGCGGAAGCGACAGACCGCTTCGCGCGCTTGGGAATCATCGCCAATATCCTGCGCGGAGCGGATAAAGAGCGGTACGACTTCTTTCTCGAGAAGGGGTTTCCTCGGTGGAAAGGCACTGGCTATTACTATTCTGTATGTGAACTTGCTATACCTGCTTCTGCGCGTGATGTGATGATGCTAACAGAATTGATGTTATAGCGCTTCCGACCTGGTTTGGGAATGGTTTTCGTGTTTTTGTACCTAATCACCGGTCTAGCCCACTACCTAATCCTCAGCATCAATACCAAGAGCGAGCGCGCACGCATCGCCCGCCACGTCTCAGAATGCAAATCCCAAGCGTGGCCGAGCGGCTTCCCGCCCGCGGACGCCTCCAAGCGCCGGCTGCAGGACAACGTGGGCCGCGTGTTTACAGTCTATCCTGATGGTACAGTGTGGATTCTTGATACGGCGACGGGAGACGAGTATTTGCTGGATCCGGAGGAGGTGCCGGATGCGCAGTGGGGAAATACTGTGCTCGCGAGATTGCCAAAGTGGGTGTGGAAGCGCACGGTCGGGCGGGTTCTCCCTGCAAAGGCTGATGCTGTTGAAGAAGAGGTTGCTTCGTCTGCTGCTGAGCCGGGAGCGTCGAAGAAATCGAGAGCGAAGAAGGGAAAGGCGGCGAGAGTTAGTTCGCCGGCCGAGGGTGAGGAAGCGGAGGGCCCTGCGCCGAAGAAGATCGGAGATGCACCAAAGAAGCAGTTGAAGACCAAGACGCTGGCTGACGGAAGCGTTGTTGCGGAGGCTTCTAACGTCGCGGGCGGAAGGAGACGTCGGAAGAAATAGAGACGAAGATGAGATGTAGAAGAAGTAGACAAAAGTTATGTGCTTAGGCCAATACATGAATAACGTCGCCACGCTTGCGTGTTTGCATATTGCTCTATCATTCTGAATACTGTAGTTCTATCTACTATTGAGATATACAACAACTGAATACACAATTACAATATCAACAACAGTTGCAACAGCGAACAGACTTCCCAGAATAGCAACTGATAAGCGAGCCGCACGCCAATGACTCAAACTGCTCGTCAACCGTCGAGGCCATCACCAGTTCTCCCTCTCTCTCTTTCTTCCTCTCTGAGAACCGATAGTAATTACATCTACGCTTGATCCGACCTTATCAATGACTTTAGAAGACCCCGCAGCCTACCTACGCACTCTTCCGGCCGTGCGCGAGCGCACCCGTTTGGTGTACGCGCAGGCCGAGCGCGGGGCACTCACGAACTTTGATCTCGACCCGACCAAACTCGACGCCGTGGTCTCCTACGTATCCGCCATCATCGAGCGCGATTTCGCGCCGGACTACAGCAAGATCCCGCCGCATGGGCGGTGGGGGAATTTCGACGCGGGCGGGTACCCGCGGATCCAGGGATTGCTCGATGAGTGGGCTGCGAGCGGGGTGCCGGAGGAGGAGGTCGTGAGGCGGCTTGTTGATTTGTTTTTGATCTCGGTGTTGCTTGATGCCGGGGCGGGGAATAAATGGGTCTACACTGAGGCTTCTACGAACTTCTCGATTGGCCGGAGCGAAGGTACCGCGGTGGCGAGTTACTACCTTTTCAAGTCCGGTCTGCTGTCTTCGGATCCGACCAATCCGTACCAGGCCGACGCGGCGGCGTTGAAGGATCTTGATGTCGCAAAGGTGCTCGAGCAGATCCAGCATTCTGAAGCGAATCCGATCGATGGGCCGACTGGCCGCGTCGAGCTGCTAAGAAGTCTTGGGCATGCTCTCGAGGCTAGTCCGCAGTTCTTTGGATCGATCGGAAGACCGGGAAATATGTTTGGTAAGCTGTCTACTGTATACATCATTTGCGCATATATACTCACACACTCTTATGTATCTAGACTACCTCATCCAAAACTCGACGCCAACCCCAGACGGCAAGCACCAGGTCTCTCTCCCCACGATCTGGGAGGTGCTCATGACAGGCCTCAACCCGATCTGGCCCAAAGGCCGCACGGTCATCAACGGCGTCCCGATCGGCGACGCCTGGCCGTGCTCGTCCATGCCCCAGGACGGCGAGGAGTGGGAGAAAATTGTTCCATTCCACAAGCTCAGCCAGTGGCTCTGCTACTCGATCCTGGTCCCGCTCGAACGACACGGGAATATCGTGTTTACCGAGAAAGAGATGCAAACCGGACTTCCAGAGTATCGCAACGGCGGACTACTTGTCGACCTCGGTCTTTTAAAGCTCAAGCCTGCGGTCGTCGAGAAGGGATTATCCAACTACGCCGCTCTAGGCGCGGTTAAAGAAGACGAGGTGCCAATCTTCCTCCCCGACGACGACGTCATCGTCGAGTGGCGCGCCATGACGGTCTGTATTCTCGACAAGCTGCTGCCGCTTGTGAACGAGAAGCTCGGGATAGCGGGGACTAAGGACGAGCTGATTCTCGCGCAGTTGCTCGAGGCGGGGACGTGGAAGGGCGGACGCGAGGTTGCTGCGAAGCTGAGGCCGGAGAGTCGAGGGCCGCCGATTGCGATCAAGAGCGATGGCACTTTGTTTTAGCTGTTTTTACAGTAGATCTTATGTGTATTACTATTATTCTATTATATATTCAACAACTGCATCTATTACTATACAGCTCTTTATGGTCTCTTTGATCCTCAGGGGTCTCGTCTGTGGCTGAGCTGTGGCTGAACCACTGCCACTTCGTCTTCTATCGCATTCAACTCCCAATCCCTCCGCAGCCCATCCAGAACAACACCTCTCTGCCTGCAATTCCTCGCATCGATTGTCGCTGTAATCTGTCTAGAAATGTACAAGAAACCAAGCGCAAAGGGCGGCACCGCCATCCGCCGGCTCATGACCGAGTACAAGCAGCTCATCAACGACGGTCCGGACGGGATCTCGGCCGGGCCTATCGACGAGGAGTACGTCTTCTTCTTCTTCTTTTCTATCTGTTGTTTGCGTCTGGTGCGGTTGTGAGCTAACTTGTGGTTAAGCAACTTCTTTGAGTGGGAATGCTTGATCCAGGGACCGGAGGATACGCCGTTCGAGGGAGGCGTGTTTCCCGCCACGTTGACGTTTCCCAAGGTATTATTGTCGCTGCTGCTAGCAGATGATCAACTGCAGAGCTCTAACGCAGACTGTCTGGTTTAGGATTACCCTCTAAGTCCCCCGACCATGAAATTCACCTGCGAAATGTTCCACCCGAACGGTATTCCCTCTTCTGCTTTGATCCACTGCAGGAACTGTTGAGCGCATCGCTAACACGATTTTGATCAGTATACAAGGACGGCACGGTCTGTATCTCGATCCTCCATCCGCCGGGCGATGATCCGAATATGTACGAATCCGCATCCGAGAGATGGAGTCCGATCCAGTCCGTCGAGAAGATCCTCATCAGCGTGATGAGCATGCTTGCAGGTGCGAACTGTCGCTGATCTAAGCGAGTTAAGCAAAAGCTAACACTAAGTAATGAATGCAGAACCGAACGACGAGAGTGGCGCGAATATCGACGCGTGCAAAGTCTGGAGAAATGATAGAGCGGAGTATGGTCGGATAGTAAAAGCCAACGTCCGCAAGACGCTTGGTCTATAGCCGTTCATTCATCGATTGCAGATCAAGCGAGCATTACTGGGCGAGTGTATGGGCGTGAGAAGTTGGTGTTTGAATTGTGTCATACTCTCGCGGCTTGAATGGTTTTGTCTTTGGTGAATCTTTGTGAATCTTGTTATGGCGTTTTTAGTTTGACTGTTGTATGTAGCGATCCGTTTGAATATAGTCGGGAATTTGGTCGGGAGTATGAATATTATACTGATGTAGTCAGTTCTTGCTCTATTTCTCGTGTATTTACAATGTAGTCAACTCAATCTGTCGACTCCTGAATCTCCAACTTCTCCACCTCCGCGCTGATCTCCTCAGTCTCCGCATCTCCACTCCCACCCGCCTCCTTCTCCGCCAACTCAGCCTGTCTATCCTTCTCCTCCTCCTCCGCCTCCAACACATCCTGGAACCGCGTCAGGATGTAATCCACCACCTCCAGCTTCTCGTTATTCTCCGCCTGGAACAGCGCGTCCTGACCCGCGAGGTTCTTGACGAACGGATCCGCGCCCGCGTCGCAGAGTTTCTCGACAATCGCCTGGTGGCCGTTCAGACAGGCCCAGTGGAGCGGGGTGTTGCCAGAGTCGTTTTTTAGGGTGACGGGGGTCGTGGTGTCTGTTGAGGAGGTTGGGAAGTGCGAGAGGATGTACTCGACGATGTCTGCGTTGCAGTGTCAGCTCTTTGCAGCTCTGTGCAAACTCTTTGCAAAAACTAGATATGTCTTTGATCTTACCAAGATTTCCATTAGCACAAGCCATATGCAGCGGTGTGCTTTTACTATAAGGATCAACAGCCACCAACAGCACCTCAGCCTCGGTCTGCTCAAGCTCTTTACTCAGCGCCTCCACCGACGTCTTCAGGCTATCCAAGTCATCCGCGCGAGCAGCGTAGATCAGATCGTCGATCTCGTCTTCGGTTAGTGATCGTGGCATTGTGTGTGTGGTTGAGATGAGAAGGAGGAAGAGCAGTTGGGAGTCGGATTTTGGAGGTAAAAAAAATTGAGGATGGCGATGAGGAGTTGGGAGATGGGAAAGTTAAACTGAATATTCTGGTTTATCTTCTATTTGTTGTTGCTTTCTCATATAAACTGACTATAAGATGTATAAGTAGTCTGAATAAGTATCTTAGCTAACAGAGTGATTATACTATTTACACAATTATAAACAAACAAAAAAACAAAAAGAGGAACGCCGGCAAGAGCAAGAAACGCCAACTATATACACACGACTGATACACACAACTAATACACGCCTAATTCAACAACCACGACCGCTGATTCCTCTCCCTACGTTCCTGCTTCTTCCTCTTAAACTGCTCGACCTGTTTCTTCGACGGCTTCTGCTGCTGCCGTTCCGCTTTCAAGCTCTTGCCGCCGTTCAACTGCTCGACCGAGCTGGCGTCGTAAAACACATTCAGCTGATTGCGCGAGCGCTTGTCGGCCATCGTCTCGTTGAAGGGGACGATCACGCCGGGAGGAACCACGACGTCGTCCGAGAGATCGACGGTGTCGTCGTCGACGGGGAATTGCTGCCATTTGCCAGTGAACCGGTTGAAGAATCCTCGCGAGGCATAGTCTGTGGTCTGCTTCCGCTTCTTTGAATTCGTTTGCATCTCAGCCTCGACCAGTGCAAGCGGTTTGTCCCAAGTAGTTTCCTCGGTAGCGTGGTTGTAGTAGTAATAGTTGCCTGATTCTGCGTCGAGAATAGCTTCCCAGTCCTCCAGACCCCGAGCCTTTTCTGCAGTTTCAGGGACAGGGCCGGGTGGCAGCGGAGGTGGACCATCGTCGTCGTCATTGTCGTCGACTGTAGCTACCGCAGTGGGTTCTATTGCGTCCTCTGCTTTCTCTGCTTTCTCTGCTTTCTCTGCTGTCTCTGGAACAGGGCCTTCAGGTAGTGGTGGCGCGTCATCGTCACTGTGATTCTCATGATCGTCGTGATCCCCATGATCCTCCTCGCCCGCATCCTCTGTAGAATATGCGGTCTCACGCTCACCAGTCTCAGACGTGGAAGTCAAGAATTCTGCACTATCTTCAATGTGCTCTTTGGTCTCGGTGCTGGTGGAGGATATTTGCTTTGCTTGCTCTGGAGAGGCGAGCGCTGAGTCTGTGTGGTCCTGATTGTCCGCCATGTTCAGAGACTAATACTCTTTTTGTAACAGAATAGTTTTTTCCGCTTTCTGTCTGCTTTCTGTTCTGTATATAAAACAAACAATATCTTCATCAACAGTGAGCAGAACAAAAGAGAGCGGCGACAGTGAGGCTCTGAAAACTCTAAGCGGCTGCGCACCAAATGCACGGCCGACGTTGAGCCCATCCTCACCGCCTCGTCTGCCGTCGCTCACCACCCCGTCCCTTCACCTCCTCCTCCTCCTCTCATTCTCTTCTTCTTCTTCTCCTTCTACTCCCTCTTCAGCGCTTTCTGCGGCCTCAATTGACCTCGCGTACACCCGCCACAGCAAGCAATCACAGCCGGCACACCTCCCTCCTCGCCGCGTACTCCTCCTCCTTCCTCCTTCCTATCTTTCCCCATCTCCCTCCAGATCCCATCAAACCAGCCATGGCCTCTGCTGTCTTCTTCCTCGATCTCAAGGGCAAACCATTACTCTCGCGCAACTACCGCGGCGACGTGCCCATGTCGGCCGTCGACAAGTTTCCTATCCTGCTGCTCGATGCTGAGGAGGAGAGCTCCGTCGTCCCGCCTTGTTTCTCGCACGAGGGCGTCAACGTATGTCTATCGATTATTTACAAGTGATTGTCTGGATCACCTCGAAGGACTTGCTGCTGCACTGCAATTTTGCAAAACCGAACTGACTTACTGACTACAATCAAACAGTACCTGTACATCCGCCACAGCAACCTCTACCTACTGGCAATCACCAAAAGAAACTCCAACGCCGCCGAGATCCTTTTGTTTCTCCACAAAGTCGTGCAGGTACGAACCACAACAGCCATACGAAACACCTTCTCTTCTTTCGCAACGCCCACGCTAACTCGAAACAACAGGTCCTCACCGAGTATTTCAAAGTCCTGGAAGAAGAGTCTATCCGAGATAACTTTGTCGTCATATACGAACTGCTTGACGAATTGATGGATTTCGGATACCCCCAGACCACCGAGACCAAGATCTTACAAGAGTACATCACTCAAGAGAGTCACAAGCTAGAAGTCCAGGTCCGTCCCCCGATCGCCGTCACCAACGCGGTCTCATGGCGCTCCGAAGGCATCCGCTACCGCAAGAACGAGGTCTTCCTCGACGTCATCGAATCCGTCAACCTCCTCGTCAGCTCGACCGGCACCGTCCTCCGCTCCGAGATCCTCGGCTCCGTCAAGTTAAAATGCTACCTCTCCGGCATGCCCGAGCTCAGACTCGGACTCAACGACCGCGTCATGTTTGAAAACAGCGGCCGCTCAACCCGCGGCAAGTCAATCGAGATGGAAGACGTCAAATTCCACCAATGCGTGCGCCTCTCGCGCTTCGAAAACGACCGCACAATCTCCTTCATCCCGCCCGACGGCGAATTCGAGCTCATGAGCTACCGCCTAAACACCCAGGTCAAGCCCCTGATCTGGGTCGAGTGCGCGGTCCAGATGCACGCCGGATCCCGCGTCGAGTACGCGATCAAGGCCCGCGCGCAGTTCAAGCGCCGGTCGACCGCCAACAACGTCGAAATCATAATCCCGGTCCCGGACGACGCCGACACGCCCAAATTCCGCACCACCGTTGGCACCGTGCACTACGCGCCCGAAAAGGCGGCAATCATATGGAAAATCAAGCATTTCGGCGGCGGCAAGGAGTTTGCTATGCGCGCCGAGCTCGGCCTGCCTAGCGTTAAGGAATCGGACCCGGACCGCAAGAAGAGACCGATCAGTGTCAAGTTTGAGATCCCGTACTTTACAACGTCGGGTATCCAGGTCCGGTATCTGAAAATCATCGAGTCTAAGCTACAGTACCCCAGTCTTCCCTGGGTCCGCTACATCACCCAAAGCGGAGACGATTACACGGTGCGGTTACCTTAAACACTAGAGATGACTATTTTTTCCTTTTTCACCAAAAAGATCTGAGAGGTTGTGTGATGAGCGCGTGTATGAATTTCTATATTATATTTTATTGATTTTGTTCAGAATTGGATCTTTCGAGACATGGAGTTAGCACACGTCATGTATCTTTTGTGCTTTGTCTAGTCTTTTGTCGTAATATACATAACCCAGAATCAAACCGATTTTGTTCATGTAATTCATTATACATGAGCATTTACGCTCTTCATAAATCCTACTGTCTGGCTGTTTTATTCAAAAGTCTGCCGTTCAAGGATCAGTTATAAGACAAAAGGAAGAGAACTCATTTTTTTTCTTTCTTGGTTTTACAATACGGTATCGCCGCGCGCTCTTGATACATCAAATACAAAAACAACTCTGCTCTCTTCTAAAAAAATAACAAAATGACACAAAAGAACAAAAAATGTAGAACAACAAACAAGTAAAACAGCAAAGCAACACAACAGCACAACAAAAGTACAATACAACAACAGTATGACAACATAACAATACAACAAGCCAGCGCAACAGCTTGTCAGCAAAACATCAGAACAGAGCAGCATCAGAGAAGCAGATACAGAAAAGACAGAAACAGTAAGAGCGCGCATAAAGCGACTGGTGCCAGGATCGGGAAGAATGCATTACGCATACTCCTTCACAAGAGACGATTAGGCTCTTGCTGAAGAGTTATGTGGGACTCTGCGACTCTCTCGAAATCGCCATACCCGCTAAAACCCGACTTCACCCAGAAGACAGTCACGGACTACCCCCGTATTGGTGGATTGTCAACGTTGCGCTTGAACCGCTTGGTCGTGCGGACTCTCTCCAACAACCGTCGCCTCGGGGCTCCCATGCGACGGCGCAACTTACCAGTGCATTTGTAGAAGAGACGCGACAGCAAAGACGTTTTAAATCCAATGAGCAACCTGGCTAAAGAAGAAGCTCATCAGATTGGCCGCCCTGACCAACCGCGTCCATCCTGATCAGGCAGGATCTTCGGCGCATACATGAGACGGCCACGCAGAGGGACCGGGCCGACAACGGCTCTGCAGTGCCTTCGAGCGCACTCACCCGGTATCTGCGCGGGCAGGTCATATACCAGACCGCTTGGTCGGGCAAGTTCTCTCTCCCCTTCTTCTCTCGCATGCATGGCACGACGCCTACTCTTGAGGGTGTGCAACCACGGAAACGGACCGGAATAAGCAACTCCCCAATTTCTCGAGGTCCTGCCACAGAAAGCGAGTCCTACCTGCAGTGGTATATACCACTCATAGAGAACGCTATCCGAATATTATGCTACCCTCAAAGGCGCGCCATCTGTTCCAGTCATAGCCGCCCCCAGAGAGTGCTACCTAGCGCGGAGTAATCTGCTCTCAGTACGAGAGCGCTACCCACGCGGTATAGGCAGTTTCTCTGGAGATGCTCATGGAACAGTGCAGTCTACTTCTTTGAGAATACTACCACTTCGGTATATGCCTTCCTCCAAGAGTGCTACCTGCGCAATAAGGGCTGCTTTCTGGCGATTTCACGAGGTACCATGCCTGTTAGAAAAGAAAGAAAGATCAAAACATACCCTCATCAACCTCCGCCTATTGTTCTTGCCGTCAAGAGAGAGAGCCGAGATACCGATTATCCCGATCTATTGCTGGGAAATAGATCAAACCGCTGTGGTGGGACAGGAGCCGAAAACCTGTGCCGGGGGGAGGGAGAAGAGAAGGGAGAAGAAGGGCGGGCACGCTTAAATGTGCGGGTCGCGGTTCGGCCGGGCGCGTGTCTTGATGTAATGGGGTTTCTAGTTTGAGCCGAAAGTAAACACACGCAGTTAACGCGCCGCCCGTTTCGTAATTTTTTCCTAGCTTTAAACCAACTATATGATCTACTCTGTCTAATCTTGATTCCATAGCGGTATATTAAAAGACCGAAAGATACATAAAGAATAAAAAAAAAAGCTAGAACTGTCGCCAGCGCGAATAAAAGACTAATTAACTAAAAATACAAAGCTTTGGCAAACGATAGGAAAAAAGTTCAGCATATTAGAACAAAGAACTAAACCAGTTTGAAGATCAAAGAAAAACAATACAGGAAAGACGGTTTGAAAGATGAAAGATGGTGAGAAGAAATAGTGAAGGTGAAAATAGAGGTAGAACAGTATACAAAAATATTGCAGAAGGTGTAGGGTGCGTCACCGACGGGATCGGATTCCAAGCTGAGCTTCTCGAATCAACCGTTGTAAAACGTCGTCCTCGGATTCCTTCACCTCGTCCTCCTCCGCCATCTTCGACGACCGCTTGCTACCGCTCGACGACGATCTCTCTGACGTACGATCCCGAGCAACAGTCTGTCGCTTCTGCTGATTCTCCTCCATCGCGTAGAGTTTACTGTTTGGTCCTCGAGGCCGTCCTCGGCCACGCTTGACTGCCTGCTTGCTGCTGCTTTCTTCGTTTTTGCGCGCGCTCTGGCGGGGCGACGTGCGCACTGCTCCGTTGCTGGAATCGCACAGCTGTCGCGCGCTTCGTTTCCCGCCCGGCGTAGATTTCCTCCGCGACCGTCGACTCGGCGTCGCCGCTGCCTCGGAATCATCATCCTCGTCGTCGTCGTACCCGTCGTGTTTCCGCTTCGCAGGCACTGAACTCCGACGGTCCTTATGGCTCTTCTTCGAACTTGTTCCGTTCACGGACTGGTCTTGTAAAGCCTGCATACTCCGTCGCGTTCGAGAACTGTAAAGCTGCATCAGCTCTTCATAGATTTTGTAGTTCTTCTTCTTTCCCTCTTCGCTCGTAATATTCTGAACCACTTCTTCGCCAATCACAGTAGACGTCTCGCTAACAGCGTCAGAGTCGTACGCAGGGTCTTCTTCTTCACCTTGCTCTTCAGAATATAAGCTCTGGCCTCCGTCTTCGTCAACGCTACTGGAGAGTGGCGGGTTTTCAGACTTGATTTCGGGCTCATTCAACCGTCTTGCTTCTTCCAGCTCCTCAGCTTCGAGATCATCGGTCGCAGGAGGTGGTGAGAGTCCGTCGCTTTCCAGGGGAGGATCTGAGCTGAGATTCATATCGAGCTGTTTGACTTCAGTTTTCGGTAATTGTGGCGCACCGGTTGACAGGTTTTCGTCTCTCTCTGCTTTCTCCTCCTTCAAAACCATGGCTTCAGAAGAATCTTTATCTGTTTGGTGATCTTCGGCAACAGCAGCTTGTGACTTCTCAGCCGCAGAAAACTCCGACTTCAACTCATCTGAATTTTCCATGTTCACATCGGCCTTCAGCCCGTCCTCAGTCTTAACCCGGACCTCATCCTCTTCGGCCGTCCGATTGACTGTGCTGTCCTCCACAGCATCTGGAACCGAAGGACTCGCAACCGCAGCATCTGCCGGCGAAGAACGCAAATTTGCCTGTTTCTTCTTCCCGCTATTTTTTAGATCTCTCAGGCCTCTCAACGTGGCTTCTGCCTCTTCCTCTTCACTCATAGACGCCCAATCGAAAGTATGTTTCCCATCGCTGACGGTCGACACCCAGTTCCCAAACACTTTGGAAAAAATCACCGCGTCCTTCAGAAGGCCGATTACCGAATTTTTCGCAGCCTTTACCTCCAGCGCTGTCGCAGAATCGTTCCGACCAGTCGCTATCAGGGCTTCTTGGTGTATGTACTCTGCAAGATCAGCTAGTCCACCGAGTTCGACTGCGTCCTGCTTGATCTCATTCAAAGCATCGGGAGACTCTGCACATCGTCTCATTACGTCGCTCGCGGTGTACCAGAGCAACTTTGAGAAAAACGGGAACCGGAATTTTCGAGGAACTTTTGTTTTCTTTTCGATCTTGGAGATTGTGATTTCCATTGAAAGATCCCGGGACGTGAGAAAATTTCCGCCAATCACTAATGAGTCTGTAGGTGTGAAAACAGCATGAATCCAGCCAGAAGGAATGATCCTGTAAAAAAGAAATTAGTACCAGGATGCTTGACCTCTTTACAGGGAAATTTGTGACTCACATTGTATCGCCTTTCTGCAGCGTAACTTTATAGCATTCTTTGACCATATCACCAAAGAAAATCTTGCTTTGATCACTTGAAAGACACCAGTGTTCGTACTTTGACAGATTGGCGGCAGTAGGAGGAGCAAACAAAAACACCTTTGTCCCTTCGATAACATGATAAAACACTGAGGATCCACCGAAATCAATATGGTAGTCTGTATAGGCGTTTTCCACTGACATGAGACAGTATAAAGAAACCTTAGGCCATCGGCCCTTGTTCTTCAGATCTTCGGGCCATGCTATCTGGCTCAGATCAGTCTCCCTGACGTATTGTGGCCGCTGAATAAGGTCGCCTAATTTCGTATAACTGACTTCCAGACTGATAACGTTCCGTACTCTGTCTCGTGCTTCGGCTGATGTCTCATAATAATCTGTCCATTTTCCAAGATCCCAATTTGGCGATTCGTGCTGAGTGGGCACATCAATCACCTCGACTTTCGTATCGTGACCAACAAGATCGGCCACTTTCCTAACCGTGAGACCAGCAGGCACCTCTAAACCCAACCCATCGATCTTATCACCAGGTATGATAACCGGTTGAGAAATGCCGCCCGAGCGTGCAAGGTCCTTGGTGAGCTCGTGGCCGCTTATTCGTGGGAATGATTCGGGAGTGAACGCTCGGTCTTTGATCAGCTGGCAGTATGGGTGTTGATCTGTTGTCAGACCTTCGCCTTCATGGAGAGCAGCGTAATCTATATGCGCGTGCTTTCGCTTGGATTTTCGCAGGACTAGATACTCTGATGATTAGAGACTGAAGATAGGGTCATAATAATAGTAACTCACGAGTTGAAGGGCCATGCGTCTTTACACATGGAGGACAGTGGAACTCATCGACATTTTTTGCGTTCTTAGCGGTAAGTCCAACGCAAAAGTAGTGATACCAAGTCTGGCAAACGCTGCACTCTATCCAATCGACCTGACCTTGCAGCGATGTTTCCGGAGTGCAGAGTTTACAGCTGTCCCAAACCTCTTGCTGGGATTGAGAGCTTGGTTGTTCTTCCGCAGGACTGCTGTGATCGCTTTTGACGTCGATTGTTTTTGAGTCTGAGGGAGGTTCCCGGGAGTATGCCGGTGATAGCTCCAAGGGTGTGTATGGTGATGGCTGTTGTTCGACGGGGTATGGGTGCTTGTATGACGCAGTGTAGACTGCGTACGCGACATCAGGAGAATTCATAGGAGAGTAAACTGCGGCCACCTTTTGATTTGAGTGAGAGAGTGGAAGCGGTAGCATCCGCGAAGTGTTTGGTTGCACATGCTGCCGGTTGTCGTAGGTGACCGCCGAGTGAGTGAGTGGTTGTTGTGGTTGTTGTTGTTGCTGGCCAGCTAGAGACGGACCGTAATTCTGTGGCTCCGAGTATGCGCTCTCAGGAGGACGATTGGGCGCCGGTGGTTGACCAAAAAACTCGGCCGCGTCTAAAGCAGCCGCTTCGAGAAGGGTCTCGATGCCGCTTCTCTCCATGCCGACGACAGATGGCGAAAGGCTGGAAGTACTCGAGTCTTGTTTCGACTAGTCTGAGCAGCAGACGAACGCCGAAAGAGACGCGGTGATCAATAGTGCCGGGGTGAACCGCCAGCTATACCGCAGCCCTGTTCAGTGCACGACGCAGCGTGAGAGCAGACACAGACGAAGAGCTCTGGCGGTGTTGGATCGGGTTTGTGGTGATGGGCAGCGGTGAGGAGACAGGTGATCGTGGAGCTGAGGTGGGAGTTCTCTTCACACGCTGTGTCTGGATCACAATGTGATTTGTTTGTGACTGACTTGCTGATTAGGGTTTTCCCGCACGCGTCCTCGGTCTGGGACACAGCCTAAATTGGTCGTCTGCGGTCGTCTTCCCCTTCGACAGCTTCCTCCTTCTCGCTGCTGCTGCTGCTGGTCGACATGGCTCTCAAGACCTACAATCCCTACGTGGTCGCTCTGGCGGCCACAATCGGCGGCATGCTCTTCGGGTTCGACGTCTCCTCGGTCTCGGCCTTCGTCAACAACGAGACCTATCGCGCCTATTTCAATTACCCGAACGATATCGTCCAGGGCGCGATTACTTCTGCAATGGCAGGAGGCTCGTTCTTTGGCTCGCTATCGTCTGGCCGTCTTTCTGACTCGCTCGGTCGGTACGTTACTGAAAACCGAACCGGTGCCGCTGTTAAAGCGCCGGATATAGCTTACGGTAACATCCGCTAACAGAACTACTCCATAATAGGAAATATGCCGTCCAGATTGGCGCCGTCATCTGGATCCTTGGATCCCTAATACAGAGTGCCGTTCGTACTTCATTCCAGCTCATTTTGGGAAGATTCATTTCAGGAGTTGCCATCGGTATCTGCTCATCCCAGGTCCCCGTTTACATTGCGGAGCTAAGTCCCAAGCGGATTCGGGGTCGTCTCGTGGGCACGTTCCAGTGGGCTATTACCTGGGGTGTTTTGTAAGTCTCCATCTGCTTCTGTCTGACAATTGCTGTTCAATGCCAATACATTTCTATTGTTTAGGATTATGTTTCTTGTGGGCTACGCGTGCTCTTTCCTTGAAGGACCCAAAAGCTTCCGGATCGCCTGGGGTTTCCAGGTCGTCCCAGGTGCCATTCTTCTCATTTCGCTTTTCTTCTTTCCCGAGTCGCCGCGCTGGCTTGCGACCCGTGACCGATGGGAAGAAGCAACCAATGTTATTGCCCATATTCAAGGTGGTGGGGACCCAGAGCACCCGGACGTTCTGGTCGAGATGCAGGAAATCCGAGAGGTTGTGCGGATCAACCGTCTGTCTGCAGATGTTACTGTCAAAGATCTGTTTGCTCCCGGATCACGATTGCGTACGTTTGTGGGGTTTTCTGCTCAGATGTGGCAGCAGTTGACTGGTATCAACGTCATGATGTACTATGTCGTCTACACGTTTGCTATGGCGGGCTATGAAGGCAATACCGATCTCATCGCGTCCTCTGTTCAGTATGCAATCAACGTCATGATGACCATCCCCGCCTTGCTTTTCATCGATAATTGGGGTCGTCGTCCTCTACTGCTGACTGGATCTACCTTCATGGCTCTCTGGCTCTTCTGCGTTGCATTCACTATGGGTCATTTTGGTCACTACGTCGACTCGCTGAACGGAAACGCAGAAATTAGATGGACCGTGCCGAATCGCGTTGCTGCAAAGGCTATCATTCTCTTCAACTATCTCTTCGTAGGCACGTTTGCTCCTACCTATGGCCCCGGCACATGGATCTACGTCTCTGAAATCTTCCCGCTCAAGCAGCGCGCTATCGCCAACGGTATGTGCTCTGCCGTCAACTGGACTTTCAACTTCCTGCTCGCATTCCTGGTTCCGCTAGGATTCAAGCACATCCAGTACCGCACCTATCTCATCTTTTGCGTGTTTTGCGTCTGCATGACGATCCACGTGTACCTCATGTTCCCCGAGACCAAGGGCAAGACGCTTGAGGAAATCGACCTGATCTGGGACGAGCACATTCCTCCCTGGAAGTCCGCAAAGATCGATATCAACGAGCTGGCGGCACACAACGATCGCGAGAGACTGATCGACAACGAGTCCCCCCTGGCTCCTACCGAGCTCGGCCAGATGTCTGACAGACTCTACCCCGCCGACTCGGCTGCTTATCCCGGCAGCAGTGCACTTAGCACAACAAGTTACGACACCGACGCCGTCAATTTCGGTGATGAAGAGGCTCACAACTTGCTTGGCCAATCTCATCCTCTCGCGACGGTTGACTCTAATAAATCTAAATTGGTTTGAGCAAAGTCTGGACTTTAGTATTTAGATATTATTGCGAGATTATTGCACATTCGAGGCGCATGGTTATAGATATGCACGACAGCAGTTCTTTTTTCTATTTCAATTTCAGCATTGCTGAAAAGTACTGCTTTGGAGCTTTGGGGTTTATTCTACATTTTGTTTACATTTTCAGTTATTTTGGGAGGGGCTGCATCGTCATAGACCTGTATGATTATTTTCGATAATATAGATCACTGTGGATTGAGTTTGCATACTACTCTACCATCCCTCAACCCGACTGACTTTCATAGGCAGCCCGTCCGTCGGACGCACCGTAACCACAAACTCTCGATGGATAGGCTGATTCTCGACGCTTTCCTCAAACTTGTATCGTGCCACGAACGCCGCCAGAATGCAACGGAACTCGATCTCCGCGAACCGCTTGCCGATACATGACCGAGGGCCCTGCAAGAAGGTAAGGTATGCGAACGCATTCGACGCCTGATTGCCGTTCCATCTGTCGGGATTGAATTCAGCGGCGTCCGGACCCCATAGCCTTGGGTCGTAATTCATAGCTTTCAAGCAGAGCTGCACCCCTGTACCTTTGTATATCGTCTGGTCGCCGATAGTGATGTCGCGTTGGGCTTCACGCAGACCGGTTAGGACTGGCGGGTTGACTCGGAACAGCTCGCGCGTGACGTTGTCGAGATATTTGAGGGATTCGATTTGCTCGGCAGTCTTGATATCTTGCAGGCCACCGGGGAAAGATGCGCGGACCTCGGCGCGCAGCTTTTCCTGGACATCAGGGTGTTTGGCCAGAGTAAGCATGGCCCATGCGAGCGCACCTGCTGTTGTTTCGTGGCCAGCAAATAGGACTAGGTTGATGAGAGGTCAGAACAACAACGGGAGCAGGAGTTGAAGGGGAGATTGAACATACAAACCATGATTTGGTTCTCGACATCGTGCCCAGACCAAGTACTTTCATCACTCTCGAGCATGATACTCAGAATATCCCGGTTCTTCTGGACATATTCAGCGTCCTCTTTTTCCTCAACCGTCTTATGATCCGCCGCCGTCACTTTCTGTCTCTGCTCAAAGACCTTTGCCACCGCGGACCTGAAGATTTTGCGTGAACGACTGAGGTTTCGGTTGTAGTCCGTCGGCACGAACTTCCAGCCAGGCACCAGCGCGTACATATTGAATGGGAAAAAATCCTTGCCTGCGCCAGCTACTCGCTCATACGCAGTCACGAGCTCGTTATCTTCATCGCCTACCGCGTTGAAGTCGACACCAAACGACGCCAGACCGATCGTATCCAAAGTGAGCCGCGAGAAATATTTAAAGACAGGGAAAATCGTCGGCCCGTCCCTGACGATGTCGTCGAAAAGGTTCATAACCTCCTGCGTCTTCTCCATGAAGATTGGCACGAACTTCCTCACGTGCGCGTTTGCAAAGGCGGGGGTTAGGAGCTTTCGCTGAGTCTTGTGCTCTTCTCCTTCGGCAAAGACGATTCCATTGCCGATGACGACTTTGAATGCTTGCGCCAGTGTCGGCTTGGGGCAGTCGTATGAATATGTTTGCAGGACCACCCTATGCGCTTCAGCAGTCAACTATGGGGAAGAGGCAGTGCAATTGCATTAGTACAAGACTAAATTCCAGAATTCAAAAAAGCAGAGAAGAAAAGATACCAATGAAACGACGTCCATGCCAAATGAGCCTTTGAAACGGGTAAAGTGAAGATCTGGATACTTCTCCGCCATCACTAACCCGTGCTCATAGTAGTGCTTCCCATAGTCTACAAAGTTTCCAAACAGCGGATGGGCGCCTGGTGGATATGGAAGACCGATGTATGGTGAGAAGTATTCGGGATAGATAAACGTGCAATAGCAGATATAGAGCAGCATAGACAGGAAGCTAAAAGGACCAAACCAGAGAGCCAGGCTGGAGGGGACGAAGCCACGAGCGGTCAGCAGATGGAAAGCGACATCGAATACGGCACCACCAGAGAAAACTCGGATCCAGAAAGCCATTGTTGTGGGTTGACTGTTCAGGAAGTCGAAATGGAGGGCATTGGCGTAAGGAAGAAATACGGGAGAACCGGCGATTATGGAGTAAAACGCTCAGAGCGCCAACAGGGCGATGCGATTTGCGAACGGCACGTGCTTTAATGCGGAGTTCCATTACATAATGCGAACTACACTGACAAAATATACCATTGACGCAGACTGTTTACCTTATAATAATCATCTACAAATACCATTAGCAAAGACAATGGCTTAATCTAACAGCAGAATCCGACAGTCGAGATTTTATCTATCTAAGCACGTGACCTGTCGCCGCGTTATCAGGGTGCGAAAGTTTATCGTTTTAATCTCTAACCGGATTATTAAGGAATTAGTTTGGATTTAATTGGCGGAGGCTGATTTAGTATGTTTGGTCAAAGATGCGCGTAGTTAACTAAATGACTAGTGCGCACAATTGTTATAATGAATTAGAGAACAACTTTATGAACGCAGAGCACTCCAAGCACTGAAAGCAGATCTCGGACAGACAGACGGTGTCAGATATGTGCCGTCGTCTCGTTTGTAGCCAGAATCTGATTGAGCATCGTGGCAACAACAACTGACGACAATAAGAGACAGACAACAGCCATTTCTCATATCTGAAGCACAACACATGCACATACTCAAGAAGTTATGTGACAATACCCTCTCGAGATCCGACATTCGGGCTCAACATGCTGCAGTCAAGATCGGAGCACGCGTCGCGCTAGTCCCAAACAAGAAACCCTACGCAACGTAAATACAAACAGCGGTTGGGAGGGCAACACCCGTTCGCTCGGACCCAGAATAGCCCCTCGTCGACCGCCAGATTCTTGATCTGCCAAACATTGATTTTGCCATAACAAATTCAGCCCCCAGCGCCCGTCCGATTCCCTCGTGAGCTTTTGTCATAAGCATGTCGTCTGCGGTCTCCAGGCACCGGCTCTCTTCATGCTTTGGTGACTCAATCCGCGCCGGACCCTCCGACGCGCGTGTCCACTCTCAACGCGTGCACTCGCATTCTTCTCTCAAGGATGCGGCCATCACTGCTACGGCCTCCGTCTCTCCCTCGTCCGGATCCCATGCCACTGACACGTCGCGTGCTCAAACAGCAGAGCCCGACGCTTTCTCTGCCGACGTAGCTGACCACGACGATAACTCCGACGTCTCGGCTGACGACGTCGACCAGTACTACGCGGTTCTAGACGACATGGACGACCGTCACCTACAACAACTCTCCTTCGACGCTGGCCACGTGCGTCGCCAGCATGCTCCTGGCTCGCCCTCTCGCCAGCGAGAAGGTCTCTACCTCAACTACCAAGACGCTTCTATGGCGCAGTCGCGTTCCATGTCTCGGGCCTCCTCATCATCACATACGCGATCGGCCGCCCATGCTAGCTCCTCGGCCACCGCGTCGATTACAGTCTACGGCTGCACCACCGGAACCGCCAGCTCCCGCCTGCGCGAGCGCGTGTCTGTGGCTTCTGAAGTTGCACGTATCCGCGAGCAGCAGGCCCAACAAGTCCAAACGCGCCAGGTGCTGCGCGAGCGTCAAGCGCAGGAGCGCGTGGTCTCTGAGCCTAAAAAGGTCGAAAAGGACCGTTATTCCACCGTCGCGCGCGTTCGCGCAATCCAGCAGCAGCAGCGTGCGCAGGCCATGACCGAGCGACTTGCTTTCCGTGAGCAGCAGGCGCGCGAGCAGCAGGCGCAGGAGCACGCTGCTGCAGAGGCCGAAACAGTGAGACAGTGGCAGCGCCAGTGGAAGCGAGTGCTGGCCAGCAGCACGTTCTATTTCGACGGAATCGAAGATCCCGGCAACGAGCGTGCAAAGCGTCAGCTTATGAGCTACGGATCTGTAAGTGTAACGTACGACGCGCTTCTTTACCAACCACTGTCTAACTTTTCTATAGACTATCGAAACATTCTTTCACGGCGACGTTTCCCACGTTATCACAAACAGACCTCACAATGCTTCCTATCCCGTCACAGATATTATATCCCAGGCGAAGCAGAGAGCAATGAAGTTATGGACCTTTGAGAGTATGTATTTGTTCGCCTTCAATGGCCAAAACGCTGCGATGCTGATGATTATTGTGCAGAACTATTGAGATTTCTGGCGCATCTGCAGGACACACCCAGTGCTTCTGTCCAGGGAACTAGCACTACCCGTCATACCGTCACCGCTAGCGACACCAGCAACAACCTGACGCGTATGCTGCAAGAAGAGAAAATCACTGGACCGGCAGATAGTGATCCTCGTGCGCGCCGGGAAGATTTCCACTACTTCAAAGGACCCTACTTGTTTATCCGAGACGGCACGGGTCAGTACCGACCGATCATGGTTCGCGAGTATCAAAAAGTGTCGGACGCGACGATGGGAGACTGGCCCCAGTTCCGGCTATCTGGTCCTGGTAAATGTCCATTTGTTATTGATGCGTCGGTATACAAGAACAACAAAGAAACTGTGCAGCCTCGACGAGTGCCGACTACCGGCTCGCGATTGAAGCGCACAGTCACGGCAGAGCTGGAGGAGAGCGTGACATCAAAAGGTAACTCCAAGGCACGCAAGATGTCGGAGGAAGAAGATGAAGAGGAGGAAGAAGGCGGCGAGCAGCAAAGCGGCGCCGAGGCGCGCAAGCTCAAAGTACCGCGCGATCTGGTTACAAGGTCTGAGCAAGCCGCCATATTCAAAGAGCCACATCTCCGAAAGAAGAGCGCGTTGACGCCGGTCCGGATGACCTCGGCCAGAGCAAACAGCGGCGGGCCAAAGAACTCTGAGTATCGGGTCGACAAGAGCGCGCTGGTGGCAACCGGTAAGACGTACTCTGCCCGTATGTCAGCTGCCTTGGGTTACGAGACGGTCGCGACAGGCATCAACATGTCGAACCAGACCTCTGGGATCCGATCGATGACGCAGTCAGGCGGCCTGAACAACGGTCTCGCGGCTGCGATGTCGCACACGCAGTCGAAGGAGGTGAACAGTCTGAAGAAAAAAGTTTTTGAAAAGAGGAAGAGACCGGTGGCCATTCCGCAGGCTAGTATCAAACGAGAGATGGTCTCTGTCAAGGAGGTCAAGCCCGGCTACTGCGAGAACTGCAAAGATCGATTCGACGATTACGATGAGGTATGCATAGTGCTCACTAACTGTCTCTTGTCATTCACTAACATGATACTGCAGCACACGAAATCGAAGCGACATAGAAAGTTTGCTTCTAATGATGATAACTTCAAAGAAGTTGATGAACTGTTGGCGAAGATTGTCCAAGCTCGCCGCCCGGAAGCTTGCGTCTAACCCAACACACGAACCTTACAGTTCTATCGAACTCTAGCTTTGTGTCATAATACCCTTTATCCCCACACACACACACATGCAGAAAAGAAATACGTCTAGTATTTTTATGGTTTACTAGACGGTCTCATTTAGTGCCTGTTTTGTTATTGCATTTAGCATTCATTGAAGCATCATTATCCCACTTCTTCCCAACAAAAGAATAGAAGTTAATCTCGTTTAAGAGTCTCCTTGTTTACGACATTTATAGCTTTGTTTTTTTTATACGTGTCCATCCTGTATTTTTATTGCGTCGACATTTGCTTGTTTGTCTGTTTGTTTGTTCTCTTTGTCATGTTTTATGTTTTACGGCGAGGAGCATTGCTAATTCTAACGTTTTCATGTTTATGACTTTTCTCTTGACGGGTTCTTTATATTGTGAGGTTTGCTTCTCGCGCGGGGGAGGGACGAGATTGAGATACCATAGAGATGAATGTGATGCGCGGGAAGGATCCGCTGGAAGACCTGTCAAGAGAAGAAATATTTGCTATAGTGTTCTCAATGAATATAGTATTTACGCGAGGTTTTATCGTAACAGTATCATTCATACAACAGGTGAATCTACCGGTTCATAAAAACCAATCATGTCAATCTCGTCACCTTCAGCGGTAACCCATCCGACGGCTTCAGCGTAATCACAAAGTCCATCGGCACGACCTGATTCTCCACCGCCTCTTCAAACTTATACCTCCCCACCAACGTCGCCAGCGTGCACTTCATCTCCAACTCCGCCAGCCGTCGCCCGAGGCACGCGCGCGCGCCGTGGATAAAGGTCGCGAGACCGTAGGCAGAGTTCTGGGCCGCGTCGGTGTCCCATCGGTCCGGGTTGAAGGCGTCGCTGTCGGCGCCCCAGATCTCGGGTAGTTTGTTGAGGGCATCGATGCAGATGTTTACGGTCGTGCCTTTGGGAATCAGTTGGCCTTCGATTTCGATGTCCTCTTCCGCTTCGCGGACCGTGACGGGAACTTTTTACACAACAGTCAGCGTACACGTACAAAGATCAGGAATTAGTAAAATCCTATTTGACGATTTACATACCTGGAGGATTGATGCGGAGAGTCTCGCGCAGGACATTGTTGAGAAACTTTAGAGATTCAAGCTGAGTCTCGTCGGAGATGTCGTCCATGCCGCCCGGGAACGCTGCTTGCACCTCTGCCCGTAAACGATCTTGCACGTCTTGGTTTCTGGCAAGGTTGAGGAGTGCCCATGAAAGGGCGCCGCCGGTGGTTTCGTGGCCTGCGAGTAGTACTGTTGAGAGAGTATTATTAGTCGCTGACTCAAAAACGTCTGTTCTGCTATGAAGTACTTACAGGTCATGAGCTGGTTCTCAATCTCATCAACCGTCCACCGATGCTCGGTATCCAGCAGCAAAAGCCTAAGACTATCCCGCTCCTTGCCCTCGATCTTGCGCTCGTACGCGTCCTCGATTCGCTGCGAGATCACCCCGCGGATAGCCTTCTTGAACACCTTCTTAGCCTCCGCCATCCGCTTGTTCTGCCGCGTGGGCAGATACTTGAATCCGGGGATCAGCGAGTTGAGAAAGAAAAACGCGGGATCGTCGATCGGCGTCGACAAAGTGGTGTACGCCTGCACGAGCTCGTTGGTCTCGTCGTCGAGCGCGTGCAGGTTGACGCCGAACGAGACCTGGCCGATGACGTCGAGCGTGAATCTGCTGAGCAAATGAAGCTGCGGGAAAATAGCCGGGCCGGCGGCCGTTTTCTCGTCGTAGTTTGCGGTGAGCTTGCGCATGTGCGTCATGAACGCCGGGACTAGCGTCTTGATGTACGTCGGCGCAAAGCCGGGGTTGAGCAGGCGGCGCTGCATTTTATGCTGGTCGCCTTCTGAGAAGAATAAGCCGTCGCCGATGAATTGTTTGAATCCACGGGAAACAGTGGTAGGCTTTTTGAACTTGTAGCATTTGGTTTGGAGGATTTGGCGGTGTGCTTCAATGGTTCCCTATTGACACATTACAGAATTAGCAAATCACCCATGCAGGAAACGCAATAGCCTAGAAGGCGAAGGCTTACCGGCAACAATTGATCGGTCCCAAATGGACCGTAAAATCTGGAGAACGGCAGGCCGGGATACTCTCTGGACATGCGAAGACCTTGATCGTACCGATGGTCCTGGTACTCGATGAATGTGCCCCAGAGCCAGTGCGGGTTCGGCACCGCAGGCAAATCTCTGAACGGCGAGCCATATCTGCGAAACAAAAAAATTTGATAAAACAGTTTCAGGATAAGAGCAACAGCGAAGAGCATGAGGTATCTGAGAATCAGGCCCTTGGGGGTTAGTGACAAGCCAAAGGCGACATGGTACGCAATGTCCACCGCCCCGGTGATGATGGCTAGTGAGGACACGGAAGGCATGTTGATGGTAGGCATTTTATAAACAACTCTATATACGCTCTACTCTCGAGGTATCTAGAGTGAAAACAGGGATGAAAGGCGTAGGAGGTGCGGGGCTGCAGCTATCTGCGGGTTGCATGTTTTTTGCCTCTGTCGCTCGGGAGCAGATAACTACGCGGCTCAAGCGGCTTGACCGCTTATCAATTACGACCTCTGTGGTAGACAATTGGATTATTAGATGCCTAAGCAGACTTGTCTTTTTATCATATAACTAAATACTTTGTTTTATTATTATACTCAATGTTCATTACAAGCTGCTCTTTCACGCGACCTGTCCTGCAGGACTCTTGTATTTAATTCCAATTATATCGCCTCTCTGATCATCAATACTCGTCGTCTGACACTAACTTCCCCTCATTCGTTCTTGCGAGCCTCCTCTTCCTCCTCTATTATCATCTTCCAATGACTCTCAACTCCACTCTGATGACTCTTATTCTTCGGATTGTGAATCAGGTGATGGTGCGTCTTGTCGTTCGGATCAGGGATGTACGCCGGCTCGCTCGAGTCGCCGATACTCACCGCTGCCGTGGCCACGATCAGTCCCAGTGCGAGGAATTGCGCGTACATTCTACAAAGAAATGTCAGTTACTTGCCGCGTCAAACAAATAGACAGGGTGGTAGGTGCTTACCTTGCCTGCACGATCTTCTGCGATCCGGTCAATAGCTTGTCCCGCGAAATCATATACCACGCCAGTCCCATTGATCCCGCCCAGGCACTCAACAGAAGCGACAGCTTATTCTCCTTGCTGAACGCAAGTATCCTACCCGTGGTCGACAGTTGATGATAATCAACGCCAGTAGTCAACGCCTTCTCCTTCTCCTGGATCTGATACACGCCGCGTTCTCTGAGCATCGCGTGGTGATACTCCTGCTCCATACCGACCTTCGCCAACCCCACGGTCGGAATGACAAGCAGCGCGACCCGGATCGTAGGCGACTTGAACGCCAGCGGGAACTTTTTCTTTGCAAACAGGTTCGCGCCGAGTCCGAGGGCCGCGCCGCCGACGAGGCCCTTGACCGCGCCGGCTATCTTCATTCGTCGCTCGTAGTCCAGGCGCTGCTCGGCGTTGAATTTCGTGGGATCGTCGTCTGCCATCGATGGTGTCTGTGATGAGTTGTGTAGTCGGTGTTTGTAGCGGTAGGTGTATTAATCCTGGTCTATATCCAAGCAGACAAGAACGCAGACGTCAAGGAAATATATATACCCTCAGCAATCCTGTCAGAGTGGCGTTCACAGACCGGCTCAAAAGACAACAATCAGCGGTCGGTTTCCAGTTCTGTAGCGCGTCCCCGGCGCAGACCCGGCCAACCGTCCTGAGCTGACCGACGAGTGTCTCAGTGCCGGATTTGGGATGACGTCACGGCGGATCGACGACGCCTCGAGCCTCACAGAGCGCGGTTGCCGGTTCGGGCGACTTCGCTGTGCCCCACCGCCCAGATGCTGGTTGTTGTTCAGTGATTACGAGTAGGTCTTGAGAGTAGAGGTGGTTGGTCGGGAATAGTAGCTGATGTTGGAAATACTGGCACTTGGATTGGCTGCAAGGACTATAATCACCATCACAACCAGATCCACAGACGTGAGATCTCGTCCTAAAGATACAGTTCACTAAAGAATACACTGCAGTTACCACTATAAAGTCTAAACCATGCCTCTAACAATAAAGCCCATTCTATAATAACATTAGTCCATCGGAAAACAAGTCCTCGAAACCTCTACACACAGATTACCCATTCCGGAAGTCAACACAGACTCAGAGCTCCCGCTCCCGAACGGCATCCAACCGCTTCCACCCCAATAGCTGCTCATACCGCGGCTGCCGTTGCCGTCTACTCGGTGCTCTATACGCGTCCAGGAGCTGCTTCACGCGACTGAGGTACGGGTCTACCTCTGTGTACTGAAACGAGCGCACGGTGTGAGCCGTCTTCCTGCTCTGAAGTACTGGAGTCTTGGGTCGCCAATGCCCGAACCGGTTCGATCTCTGCCGCGCGCGCGTAGCAGCGTCGGCTCGCGCTTTGTCTGGCTTTGCTCGGAACAGGGATAATGATATAAGGCTGGTTGACGAAGCCGCGCTTTTCTCCTTCGCCCTGCTAGATAGCGTCTGATTAAGTGACCGTAGCGCAATCGACGCGTCAAGATACGGCGACGACTTATCCCCTTCCTCGCAGTCCAAACTCTTCGCGAGCTGCGCCAACGACGGAGTTCGGGACCCGGGCGCGGAGCTAGATCGCGGCAGCTGCAATGACTTTGCTTTATCCACCCGCCCACGAACCGAAAAAGTCGAGGCGCGCCGTCGCATCTCAGGGTCATGTCCGTGCGTCGCCAGTTGCTGGTGCGTGAGCGGAACTTGCCGGTCCCCGCGCTGGCCATGTCGATCTGCAGCAGCAGCAAGTCGGTTCTCGGTCCAAAGCGTGGTTTTGGATCGCTTGGGGAGAGTGGTGGTTTCGCGAGTAAGTGGACGGTAGACTGAGCTTTTGGAGCGGCGGGGGCCAGGTGCGGTTGCTTGAGTGGGTTTGTGGTCTGCTTTGACGGTCGCGCTGTGTTCTGAAGCAGAGTGCGACCGACGGAGTGAGAACAGCGGAACTTTACGCTGCTGCTTGGCGGATGTAGATTTCACTGACAGATCGTTCTGGATGATCGTTCCAGTCACAGTAGCAGGCATGCAGAATTCAGACAGAGCAGAAGGCTTCGACGGCCGACGAGGACACGGCGAGTCGAACGATGAGAGCGGGACATTCTCTGGCGCGGGTCCATAGCTGTCTTTGATTGAAGTCGTGGAACTATATGCGTCAGCGTTGTCGGGGTCGAGAAAGACGGAAGGGTGGCGCGAGTGGATGATGATCTGGATGCGTGTTAGATAGGTGGAGTACACGTATAGTCAGTTTTGGGCTTTTGAAGAAGCTATACGAACAGGTCCAAGCAAGCCTTTGATGCGCGAGCGAAGTGAGTCCATATTCAAGTGTGTATATTCAAGTGTGTGCAGGATGCTGCTGTATCAGTTCAAAGAGCTGAAAAACTAGGTGTAGGATTAGTCTGGCTTCAAAGTTCGGCCATTTGTAAACACACTACTGCAGCTAACGCTCACACACTACAAGTACACTTCCTCAACATATTCCAGCTCCATATGTACAACACTCTAAACACTAGACCTCTTCTTCCTCCCAAACCAATCCTTAAACATCTCTTTGAACCCATACTCCCCGCCCCTCTTCTCCATAACCACAACCTGATCCCCAAACAACCCGGTGACCACCGACCCTGGCGCAGTTCTATCTCGCTTGAGCGAGTTCCTGCCCGACCGAATAGCTTCCTCGCGGTCGCGAAGCGCGTCGGCTAGAAGCGGGGCGACTTCTGCGTAGCACATTTGTCGCTCTCGGTCGATTGAGAGGTATGCTCGTCTAGCTGGAGCCGGCGCCTGCATAGCCATCGTTAACACATATAGAAAAACACTAGAAAAACAAAAGAGGCATACCATCAAGTTATAACTCCGAATACTATCATTCAGCGTCTTAATCGACAGCTCGTGATACGACTTTTCAATTTCCTCCCACTCCCTCTTCGACAGCCGCGGATGATCAGTCTCATGGATACTAAACTCATCCACCTCAACCTTATCCTCCACCAAGATCTCGCTCGCGAGCTCCACCGCCGCCAGCCGCTCGGCAGTGATAAACCCGTCCACCGCCTCCGTCGTATCCTTCGGCTTGGACTTGAGCAGTCCTTGCTTGCGCGCCGCAAGAAGCTCTGCGTCGGCGTATTTTTGCGCGAGTTCCATTTGTTGCTCGAGAGAGTTGGGGCGTTCGGTCGAGATCAGGCGCATCGCGTGCCGCTTCCATTGCTCGCGGAGCTCGATGCGGAACCGGCGAATGTCTTGCCGCACTGTAGCCTGCTTGTCGATCCAGGGCGGTTGAATATCTTGCCTCTGTAAACCACACTCGTCAGCATCCTATCCCTCACACACCGCTCTCAACAAAGAGATTAACAAACCTGTATAATCCTATTCAAAAAAAACTCCGTCGTATCCAAAAACGGCGACGAGATCCTGGCGTCCATATCAAGTTTCCCGCCCCGCGGAATATTCTTAAACTGCCCTCTCGCGCGCGCATCCTCGATTCTCTCGTCCGCAATCGCCCTCAGTCCATGCAACGTGCCCGGCATCGCCCGCGGAGGTCGAAATCTCTCGGCGTATATCTTTCGAAACTCGGAATCTTCTTCTAACTGGTTCGTGCTCGCTTTCTTCTTCGCCGTCGGCGTCTTGCCGCTGCCGCTGCCGTCGGTGGATACCTTTTGAAGCGAGTACTCGAGCGACTTCTCGCGCGCTTCCGAAAGTCGTACGGAATTAGGCACCGCCTTGGCCATCGTCGGCATCGGAATCACTGTTCCCCCGTTCGCTCCTCCTCCTCCCCCAGCATACCCACCACCCCCTCCAGATCTCGCGCCGTACGCACCTCCTCGGCCCCCGCCAGGTATCCGCAGCGGTTTATTAACATCAACCAGCATCCGCAGCACCGCGTCCTCCTGCGCCTCCGTCCCGGTCCACGGCTTACTGTACGCGATGTCGCGCGTATGCTTGCTCGCAGACGCCGGCAGGTTCGCCGCAGCAATGTACTGCGCGTTTTTCTCCTTATACACCCGCGCCGACAGCCGTTCTTGCAAGTCCCGAATCTCTTCTTCAGACATGAAATCCTCGTCTGGAACTTCTTTGCCGAACGTCGAGTCGTGGCGCACGGGGGGCGCTTCTTCCGCTAGCTGGCGCAGGCGGCGGGTCATGGGCCCGATTTCCTCCTCCGCGTTTGCAGAGTCATGCTCTGCTTTCACTTCCTTCTCCACTTCTTCTCGCCCATTCGCATCCGTGCTGTAAAACCTGCTGAATTCACTCCGCTGCAGAGCACTCCTCCGTCCACCCTGCACCACCCGTCCTCGCGCTCGCACACCCCTGCAAAGACATTCAATCTTTCCCAATCTCATCCTCCCTCATATCCTTTTCCAAAACTGTAATTCCGTCCCTCGTGCGCCAGGGCAATTAGACAGGACTCCGCTATATGATCAGCAACCGCGTGGGAGAATGTTGGATGATGATGATGAGTATCGCTTTAGAAAGATTGGAGTTTGGCGAGCTGGGAGTTTGGCGGGCGTTGATTGAGTTTAGCGATTGGAGGATCTCCTCGGAGCTTGATTTAATATCATCCCTGATCTTTCAGCGACAGCGTAATCAACACTACTAAAAACCCATCAATTGAAACCTGTAAATCACCTATCCTCACCCTTCCCAACAAACATCAAGATAACCCAACCAAATAGCACAAAATCACACAGCTCATATTGAGGAGTTAGAAGCTTATATTGAACCAGGAATATTTTTTCTTTCAAGATTGCGGGCTTAGCTCAGTTGGGAGAGCGTCAGACTGAAGTCACACTTCGGTTGTTAATCTGAAGGTCCTGTGTTCGATCCACAGAGATCGCAATTACTTTTTTGTTTTTATTTTTTTTGAACTATTCCATTCTTTTTGATGTTTTTTCGTGGGGTTTTTTTTTGCTAGTTTTGAATTTATTTTAGGGCGCGGGGTGATGCAGCATAATAAACAGCACCTTCACAAAAGCAACCAACGTTTGAGCTACCAATCATCCAAGCTAAGACGCAATTTATTTAACCAAAATCTTGTATCATCTAAAAGTGCCCAATATATACCGAGAAGAAATAGAATACAGAAATGAAAATGAAAATGACATGCCGAGCGTGTGAATCGTAAATAGATCGTTTGATATCATGATGCCGCTGATATAGAACAGAATTAAACCCCAGATGAAGACCACAAACCAACCGAAGAAATGTAGAAAATAGAGAGAATAGAGAAAAAGGAGAATGCAAATGCAAATATGAATGCTCAGGATATATAAAAAAAATCACTATAAACCCTGCTCTATCGACAAGCCCGCGACGCCCGCGCCGACTTCCTCAGCCGTACTCTTCAAATTCCCCTCCGCCAAACTCATCTCGGTGTCCTCCTCGCGCTGCTCCTCGTCCGCCTTCGCAACAGCCTGCTTCCTCGCCTCGATCCGCTGCGCAACCGTCGGCGGGCCCTCGACCATCCTCCGCCGCTCCTCGTCAAGGATCGCCCGGAGCGCTTTGCCCATCGCGGGAATGTCGCCGAGTAGTCCGACGTGGCCGCGGTCAGATTCGATTTTTGCTACGACGTCGAAGCCGCGCGGGGGCATGAGGTGGCGCGCGGGAACGACGCCGTCGCCGGGGGTGAAGATGTAGTCTGAAAAGTCGCCATCTTTGATCCCGCGCTCGCCCGCGACGCGCGCGCCTCGCACGGTCGGAACGGTGTCGCCGTAGACGACCGCGAGAGGGGGGTAGTTTGCGGTCGGGTCGTCGGCTTCGAGGGATTCCTTGAATTGCTTGGTGCGCGAGAGAATGCGTTCTAGGTACGCGACTGCGTCCGCAAAGACGATGTCGCTGGCTTCGCTGGTAGGCGAGGCTGTGTGCTCTAGTGAGTGTCTTGGATGATCTGGGTGCTGCTTCCGGTGAGTGGGTGATTCGGGGTCGTGACTAGAAGTCGAGATCCTGCGGTGCGGAGACCCTGCTGTTCGCACGCACGGCGAGAGACCGTACTCGATCCAGGTGTCGAGGTCAAAGAAATCAAGCCTGATTTCCTGGCCCGTATTTTTATCGACAAAACACCGTCCGTCGAGCGGGAGAAAGACAAAACTGCTGCGCATCGAGAAATTGACTTGCGCGTTGAGCACTTTTGTGCTGAGCATGACGCTGTCGCCGTGCCGGATCGGACCGAGGATGTTGACGCAGGAGAACGGGGAGCCGACGTAGACGAGGCCTCTGAACAGCGAGGGTTCGCGGAGCATGGCCGCGTGGGCGACGATGCCGCCCATGGAGTGGGCGATGACGATGGCGCCGTTCCAGTGGGGACCGCGACGGGATTTGATGTCTCTGAGGAAGGCGTCGAGTTTTTGGGATAGGAGGTCGTTGGACAGGCGCCAGTCGTATCCGAATTCGTGGACGGTGCAGCCTGGGTTTGCCTTGAGGATTGTGAGCTGGTGCATATGATAAAAGAGAGAGAGGATAGTAACGTACCTGCATTTTCCGGATCAAACGGCGAGAGATATCTACAGGTCCGATATGGGACAGCATTCCGTCCGGGATAATGTCGTCCTCGGCGTTGAGCTCAGCTTCATCAGAGAGCCCCAGCTCAAGATTGATCTTGCGAATATTCAGACCAACTTTAAGCGGGATCCACGTCCGGCGATGCGTTTTCGCGTCGCGCAAGATACTTCCGCGGTAACCGCCGAGGATGACGACGTCGCCGGTGAGGTCTTCTGGGATGCCGTCTTTCGGGGTGGAGAAGAAGAACTGGTCCATTGAGATCGAGGTCCGGATGGTTTCCTTGACGGCGCGCAGGCGGGAGTTGTCCATTTGGTGGATGTTTGCAAAATTGCGCGAGTCTTCGATGATTGAGTCTGCGACGGACTCTTCGGTCGAAGTGCGCGTGAGCGCAGGCCGCTCGTGGAGGGTATTGTCGTCATGGTGGTTGTGGTTCTCTTTGTCTTTCTCTCTGAAGATCGGGAGCGTACGCGCTTTCTTTCTGAGCGAGTGGGATGAGCGCGACAAGACGCCGGCCGAACTGCTCGAGTCGGACGCGGTGGAGGAGGTCGCGGCCGAGGAATTGGACAAGGACGAGAAGGTGAACTCCCTGATCTCCTTGAACTTTGGCAGCGACGGCGGACCGTACGAGACCGCGAACGGGAGCGAGAACGGGAAGACTTTTTTAGCGTGGGGCTCGTTGCCAGCCGTGCTAGTGACGCTCGCGGACTTTCGGTGCTTGGAGGAGGATCGGTGGCTGCTGTTGACTGACGAGGAAGTGGTCGCGGCCTCGGAGCGCGAGCGGGACATGTGCTCGGCGTCGGAGGCCTGGCTGGAGTCGACGGAGTGGGCAGAGAAGGGGGGACTGGCGCGGTCCGGGGAGTCCGGATGGGCGACTGCCGATCCGCCGATGAAGGACTCTGCCTCGTCGACCTCGATGCCGGTGCTCTCGCTCTCGCTGTCGGAGTCGTCGGCGGAGGAGTCGATGGATATTTGGTCTGATGTGGGGGAGGTTGGGAGGGTGAGCGGTTCGGTGGGAGGGACGGGAGGGAGGGTGGAGGGGGATGATTTTTCGTGGGTGTGGGAGAGCGAGCGTGGACGGGAGAAGGATCTGGTACGCGAGCGGGAGCGGGAGCGGGAGCGACGGACGGGCTCGACGACGTTGCGGGAGAGGGCGTCGCGGATGGACTTTGTGAGCGCCATGGGGAGGAGGAGGAGGAGGAGGAGGAGGGAGGAGGAGGAGGTGAAGAGGTGGTGAAGAGGAGAGGATCTAAAGCCGAGCAGTGGAGGAGCGACGGAGGGACGGTTGGAGCGGCGGAATGAATCTGAGCAGCAGCGAGCGGTTCGACAGATGAGTAAGCTGTATTTGCAGTGTATCTTTTATATTGTATATAAACACTCACAAACACATTGAATATACACAAAAACACACACCACAAACACACAGCATCCAACGCGTCTGCTCTGATCCGCAAAGGCTTCGTTCGCGGGTCGAAAGCGAAGCCAAGAAGCGGTTTGTTCCGGGCTCCGGTCGCAAATTAAAGCGCCGAGTTCGCTTGCAGTGGCGGTGCATTTGGTGAGGCGCAGGAACAGAGGCGGTGCAGACGCAGACTTTGTACGCGTCGAACCTTCTTTGCTTGTTTACCTTTGGCCGACATCTACTGCTGCCTGTTCTGCCCTGGACTGTTCTTGTTCACGGCTTGTTGTATTGTTGTATTAGTAGCAGACACCTGCAACTTACTGTTGTCTGCAGCAGACTAGGCTACTGCTTGGCTAACTCACCCAGTCTGATCTACTTCTACCCCTGCTGCACTCACATCTGCACAGCTAGCAAGAACCAAACATGCCCCCTCCCACCCCAGCCTGGGTCGCGACCCAGAACAAAGCCTTCCTGCGCTGGACAAACTCCCATCTCGAGTCGCACTCTCTCCCCCCCGTGCTCTCTCTCGAGCACGACCTCTGCGACGGTGTCAAGCTCATCCAGCTCCTCGAAATCATGGGCAACGAAAGTCTCGGCCGCTACGCCACGCGCCCCAAACTGCGCGTCCAGAAAGCCGAGAACGTGATCATCGCGCTCGAGTACATCAAACGGCGGGGGATTCAGCTTTATAATATCGGAGCTGAGGATATCGTCGACGGGAACATCAAGCTTATTCTTGGACTGCTCTGGACACTTATCCTCAACTTTTCCATCTCGGAAATCAAGTGCGTCTGCTCACTGCCGCTTGCTTGCTTCTTGTCACTGGAGATTGTCGCTAACTACTGCTTCCAGTGCCGAGGGACATACCGCAAAAGAAGGTCTTCTACTATGGTGCCAGCGTAAAACAGCAATGTACCAGGACGTCGAGATCAATGATTTCTCCTCAAGCTGGAACACCGGCCTCGCATTGTACGTCCCCATCCTCTTCCACTTTTTCTGATCACTACTGACGTATGTAGCTGCGCCCTACTCGACCGCTACCGACCAGACCTAATCGACTTCGGCAAACTCGACAAAAAAGACACAAAAGCTAACATCGAACTCGCCCTCCGCCTCGCGTCCGAACAAGTCGGCATCCCGCAACTCCTCGACGTCGAAGACGTACTGATCCCCAAACCCGACGAGCGCTCGGTCATGACCTACGTCGCGCACTGGTTCCACGCGTTTTCCGAGCTCGACAAGATCGAGACCGCCGGCCGCCGCGTCGAGAAGTTCGTCGAAGTCATGTCGTCGAGCATCGACCTGCAGCACTCGTACGAGCAGCGCATTCGCTCGCTTCTCGACACGATCGCGGCGCAGGTGCGCGCGTGGGAGAGCGCGAGGTTTGAGGGAACGTACGCCGACGCGAAGATGCAGAACGTGGAGTTTTTGACGTATAAAAAGTGCACGAAGCGGTCGTGGATCGCGGAAAAGACAGAAGTGACGTCGATGCTGGGAAACATCAAGACCAAGCTCGCGACGTACGGTCTCAGGGATTATAGTCCGCCGAAGGGCTTGAGACTTTCTGACCTCGACGCGGCGTGGAAGTTGCTGCTGAAAGCGGAAGCGGTGCGGTCGAAGAAGATCAACGAGGCCATCAGGGACATCAAGGAGAGCCTACGGAAGCAATTCGCGGAAACGGCAAACTCAATCTCAGAGAAACTCGAGGCGGTCTCGGTCGAGCTTATCGAGCTCGACGGCGAGCTCGAGGCGCAGCAGGCGCTGGCGCGGCAGATCGAGGCCAAGCTGAAGCCCGCGGAGGAAATGCTGCGGTCGCTCAAGACTCTGACCGACAGTCTCGAAGAAGCCAAGGTCGAGGAGAACGACTACACGGTGTACTCGTACGACGAGCTCGAGTACGAGCTGCAGCTTGCGCGGGAGGCGATCAACAAGAAGCTCGCGTTTATCGACAACCAGATCGTAGCGCGGAGCATGACGAACCTGACGCCGATCCAGCTCGAGGAGTTTGAGTCTGTGTTTCGGTACTTTGACAAGCGTCAGCAAAACATGCTCGAGCAAGTTGAATTCGCGGCCGCGCTCGCGAGCCTGGGGCTCGTGTACTCTGAAGACGAGATGCACGATCTCTATGACCAGGTGTGCGACTCGGACCCCGCGGTTTCGTTTGAGAAGTTTATCAGGTTCATGGTCGACGTTACCGAGGACCAGAACACAGCCGAGCAGGTGCTGCAGTCGTTCATGGACGTGGCCGAGGGCAAGCCGTATATCACCGAGTTTGACCTGCGGAATTCGTTGATTCCGGACCCGATGATTGAGCAGTTGGAGGAGATCATGCCCAAGGCCGAGGGGGGCGAGGGCTTGGATTATGTTTTGTTTATGGAAAAATTGTGTCTCTAGCGCTGTAGACTGAGCTTAGAGTAGAGCTTAGCTTTTGATTTCATTTGGTCATTTTTGTCATTCATTGGATATTGGGAACTGTATATACAATACTACAATAAATATAGCATCAACTTTGGAATATACAATATTATAGCATCAACTTTTGGAATAGAGATAGATCAATCAGAATCCCACACCTGGATAAGACCGGCGGTGCTACAACTAACCATCTGCGCCTTCTTCGGATGAAACGTCACACAACTAACCACATTCCCCATCTTCTTCCGCTCTCCACCCGCCTCTTTCGGCACCGGCGCAAGAAGCTCATGCACGACCCGTCCCGACACCAGATCCCAGGCAAAAACCCTGCCGTCCTCGCTCCCGCTGACGACGTAGACGTCGTTGTCGCCGAAGCACGAGCGCGCGCGGTATTCTGAGTTTTTGTGGCCGGTGAAGGATTGCAGGAGCGAGCCGTTGGATTTGTCAAAGAGGCGGATCGTGTTGTCGAGGGTGGACACGAGGAGGGTTGCGGAGTCGGTTGAGTCTTGGAGGGAGGTTACGGGGTCTGTGGGTGTTAATGGGAGAGAAGTAGAGATGTAGAGAAATAGGGAAGGAGAGCTTACGGCCGATTAGGTCTTCTTGCAGTTGGCCTTTGCGAAGATCGTATACGCGCACGAAGCCATCGACGGATCTGGCGGGAGTTAGTGAATACCTTCTTATAAGATATTAGAAGATAAGAGAACAGAAAGGACCAACCCGGTGATAATCTGCGTCCCGCGTATAAGCACGCACGAGACACTGTCCTTCGCCTCCTCAAGCACCTGCACAGGTTTCGCACTCGAAGCCTTCAAATCCCACAGCCTGACAGTAGTATCATAAGACGCGGATGCGACGACGGACGCGTCGGCGTTGAAAGCGACCGAGTTTACGCGCGCAGAGTGGCCTGAGAAGCGGCGCGTGATGGAGCCGGAGGTGACGTCCCAGAGGAAGACGGTGCGGTCGCCGCCGCAGCTTGTGAACTGGGGAGTGTCAGATGGGAGGAATAGGGGAGGGAGAGGGAGGGAGAGGGAGACATGCCTTTGCGTTGTCGTGCGAGACGGAGATATCGAGGACTTCGTAGCCGTGCTGAATAGCAATAGCAGATGTGAGAAGATAGTTACGATTGCAGAAAGAAGAAAAAAGACTCACGCCGTGGTATGCTTTGATCAGCTTGGAGGAATTGGGATTCCAGAGCAGGATCTGCTTGTCCTGGCCGCCGCTGAGGATATACTGACCGGTGGTGTTGTACTTTACTACGTGCACGGGACCGACATGGCTCTGCGTAGAATATGATTAGCATTGAAGAAGAAGAGCAGATAAGAATTAAACAAGAGAGAAGTACTTTCAAAGGGAGGGATCTCGCATAGATTGGAAACGGCATGGGATTCACTCAGGATGAGGTTCCTGGATGCGGCCGGCGAGGCGCGGCTGCAGGTCCCAAAGCGACAGAGTGCAGCGATGAGATGAAGTGAAGACAATACACCACAGCACAGCAGGGCCTGAGCAGATGTTATCACTTAGAGAATACCTCAGAATCAGCTGGACGGCGAACAGCGGCCGAATGCGTCGCGATGGACGAACAAGGAAAGTGAGATGGCGGAGTTTAGTTGGGAAGAGGAAGGGATGCGGGAGGAAGGCTTGTGACGAGCCGCACAGGAGGAGCTATAAACGGCATCACACCGCGTTTAGGATGGCAAAAGAGAGAAGTGAGAGAATTAGAAATGAGAGAATAAGAAGATGAGTAGAATAACAACAGATATAATAGAAGAACATACAACAAATACAAACAACAAATACAGAAGAATAGAACAAAGGACAAGCATTATAATCCACCGCCGGCGAAGGGGCCAAGAAGTGAAAAGTGGTTGAGCCGCGCGCTAAGAAACCGAAACCAAAATAGTTCACTTCTTTGTCTTAAATACTTCACCTCCTCTTCTTCTCTTCTTCTTCTTCTCTTCCTCAGTTATATATCCCTTTGTCTGTCTTTGTCTAGACCATCCACTTCTCTCCTTGCTGTCTGCGACGCCTCGCCTGCTTGTGGCAATCACGATCATGCGCTCGAGACGCGCCGTCATCCGCCTTTTTGCCGCGTTCATCATCTCCATCATCCTCCTCTCCCCTTTCTTCGGCTCATCTTCCAAGCTCGACAAAAAACTCGCTCCCTCCTCCTCCTCCTCCTCCTCCTCTTCCTCAACACACAAAACATCAAACAAACCGACAGAAACAGTCCTCAAACCAGTCGAGGTCACGATCGAAAAGATTGACAACAACGCGGTCGTCGACACCGTCGCCAGCCTCAGCGATCACGCCGACCAAGTCATCAACGACATCCACGAGTCCGAGTCCGATCGCGAAGATGGAAGGATAGACCCCGCGCTCATCTCGGCCGGCCATGTCGTGCCCGATCTGCCTCAGCTCTCGCAGGCCGCCGCTGTTTCTGCCTCTGCCTCTGCCTCTGCCGTCGCGCCCGGGGCCGCAAAACCGACCGAGAAGCCGCTGTTCGCGGACGGCAAGATCGAGACCGCGACACCTCACGAGGCGCTCTTGCTCGCAGCGCAGGCATACACCGGCGAGACTCCGCGCAAAGTCTTTCTCATCAACTCGGTGCGGTATCATTTCGAGATTGTGCTCCCCGTGCTCAACGTGCTCTCCGTCCTGCCCAACTCGAACGTGACCCTGTTTGCGGCTCGGTCGGGATACAACAGATTCGGCGTGAAGCCGTGGCTGAGGCACTACTCGCTCAATACGCTCCGGATGGTCGACGTCGAGAAGATGGCCGATCACCGCAACGACGTGCCGGATCTGGTGTTTCTGACGTCGTGCGCGGAGGACACGCTCTATCTCGGCTCGACGCTTACAAAGTACCTGGAGCGCGGCAGCAAGGTGATGTGTATTGTGCACGAGGCGCAGCGCTGGAACCTGAACGACGAGGACAACACCCGGTCTGCGTACAAGAACCAGATCCGGTCGATGATCCCGTGGATCAAGAAGAAGCGGTGGGATCTCGTGACGCTGTCGACGCACGTGCAGAGCTATGTGCACGACAACTTCCCGACGTTTTTCCAGACAGGGACCGCGGTCGAGTACAATTCGACGCTGTTTTACCCGGTGTTTCAGCTACCAGAGTCGCGGATCCTGATGGAGCGCGAGTGGCCGTTTGTGGCGATAGTGGGCAAGCTGGAGCCGTGGCGGCGGGACTACAGCAAGATCTTCCGGCAGTACGAAGAGTTTAATCCGCCGTTCAACCTGTCGCTTGTGGGCAGCGGCGTGCCGCTTAAAGTGCCGGCGGCGGTGAAGGACAAGGTGCGGCACGAGCTGGATCTCGACTTTCCCGAGTACTTTCGGACGATTTCAAAGGCGGCCGCGGTGGTGCCGTCGTTTGCGCAGAAGGAGTATTTATTCTCGCAGGCGTCGAGCTCGATAGCGACGTCGATAATCACGACGACGCCGGCGCTGATGACACGGCAGATGCTGAAGTCGTACGCGTACGTGACCGAGGACGCGGCATGGCTGCAGAACGAGGGCGAGACGGAGATCGAGGCGATCAGTCGGGTGAGTGCGATGGGGCCGGATGTGTGGTGGCAGCGCAAGGAGAGGATTTCGCGGCTGCGGGACGAGCTGACGACGAAGAACTTGGTTATGTTTGGGGATACGCTGATAAAGTTGAGGTAGAGGTGGATAGATGAGAATAATAAAGCTGGGTGCGGTTGTATTACTGCTGCCCGAGGCAAGATAGATTGCATACATACGCACACAATCTAAGCAAAAGATCTGCTGTAATGAGCGAGTATATTGCATCTAAACCGCGATATACGGCGATATACGACGATACGTCGACCGCATCTATCGATATTGCGCCCAAAGCAGCGAGCACGAACGAACTCCGAGCTGGCGATCATCACGTGAAGGTCGAGCCAGCTTCCTCGGGCTATTTTTACCTGTTCTGCTCGGGCTGGTGCTCAGCGGACTTGAAGCAGTGGCGCCGCGTATGAGTCCTAGATGTGTGTTTTGATGCTCAGCAACGTCTCTTCTTCTCTCTCTCTTCTTCACAGTAGTACTCTCTCTTCTTCACTACTTCTACTCCCCTCCAAGAGCCAAGTCGGGGCTGTTAGGGTTGGCTACCCCGCAAAGGCACAGATTTTAAGGTTTAATTTAATCCGAAACTTTAATCACTGGCGAGACCAGCAGGTCGGACACGTGCAACAGAGCAGAGACATGGGATCTGGTAGAATGAAGATGTACTAGTAAGAGAAAGAAGGAGAGAGAAAGAGAAGAAGAGAGAAGTAGATATATGCAACAGATAATAGAGAAGAAGAAGACAAACATCCTGCCGCGTAATCAGCTATGCACAGACTCATCTCTACTCACTTCAATCTACTACTTCGAGGTGCCCTGTGGCGATGATCGCTTGCGACTTCCCCGGCAGACTTTTGATTGCCCAACTTTGTTTCTCAAACCGAATCCCCACAAACCGGTACGCTTATAATTGGAAGGGTCTTCCCTGTTTCTGGTTTTTCTCTGTTCTTCTCTGTTGTCTTCTCATTGTTCATCATGTACTCCTCCCTCTACCAGCCCATCCGCAGGCGGCAGTACTCCCGCTCCGCCCGCATAGCATCCGCCATCCTCGCCCTCTGCGTCTTCTTCCTCCTCGTCTTCCCCCGTCCCCCCGACTCCGTCTCCTTCGCCCCCTCCGCCATCGACCGCATCTCCGCCTCCGTCTCCGCCTCCGTCTCCGCCTCCCACCCCGCCCTGCAGGCCCTCGCCCGCGCCCGCTCGAACCGGAAAGAAAACGAAGCAAAGCTCGCTGACGTCCACGCAAAAGCAAAAGCCGCCGCCGACGCTTCCCTGCAAGCCGCCGCCCTCGCCGCCCACGAAAAATTCTCAAACACAAAATCAGACGAGCTCTTCAGCCACCCCGAAAAGACCCAGGACTCATACAAGCTCCGCCTCTCCTCCGACGGCGACATCATCAAAACCCCGGATGGAATAGTCAAGCCCCCCGTCGTCGCACCCGTGCCTGCTTCCATAATCTCGACCGACACTTCCGCAAAGCAGCAGCCCGGCAACCCAGGCGTCCCCTCGCTCGTCATGCGCGACGAGGAAATGGCCGCCATCGAACAACTAGTCGAGGCCGATATCCCGCCGCACATCCGCGACGACGACTACGACCAGGACCGTACCGTCCACGAACTCTTCCTCCGGCTCACGTCCGGCCAGGATAAGTCCACTGCTGCTGCCACCCCCCTCCGCGAACGATACCAGTCCACCGTCTCCGCGCAGAAGCGGCCGCAGAACGTCAAGCGCGCGCTCGTCGACGAGCTCAAAGTCAGCTTGGAAGACGACTCCGTCGAGCTCGAGTATCTCGTCTATCTCGAGGACATGATGGTCGGCACCGACCTCGCCGACGACATAGAGCCCGTTGGCGTCGGTCAGTAGCTGTTGTTCATAGAAGGCGTTTCATCAAGTTCAAGCTTGTCTGTAGTTTATCATTGTTACCCTAATATTAGTGATTTCTTTGTAATCATTGCTGTGTCAGTAGTTATGTAATCGGCTTTATCGCCCTGATACGGCCGGAAATCTCATCCTCTGCGTCATCGTCATCTGATATACCATCGCTGTCTCCAACTCTGCCTGGAGTCCTTGTAAGTTGACATTCTTACTATCAACCGCATACAATCAACAGCCTGTAGTTGATGCGCATTGCTGTTTGCCCAGCGACAACGAGCACAGGCACAGACTGCAGCAGATCCAACTGATAGCAGCAACCAGGACTAAACTGCAGTCATGGGCCAACTCAACAGCAACGAGGCGAACCTGACGAGGATATCTCCTCAGGAAGTGTCCTCGCGGTTCGCGACGAAATGTGGTCAGCAGTTCACGGGTATCGAGCTGTGGGCGTTCAAGGTATCTACTGCTGTGAAAGACGTCGACGGCCTTAGGAGATTGAACTGACGTGTCTAGGATGTGTTTCGACGGAATGCAAAGGTCAATGATAGTAAATACTACTGGACCCTCGAGAGCTTGTGTGTACCTCTCCTCTGCTAATCTCAACGTATAATGCTAATTTACCTCCCAGCGTCAACTTCCTCGAACTCCCCGACTCAGTCTCCGAATCCTCCAAGATCCTCTACTCGGTAGTCCACTACCTCTGCCTCTTCCCCTTCATCCGCCCTCGCGACCCGCCTCTCTCCTTCTCGCAAACAATGCCGACAACGCTCACCTTTGAAAACATGGTCAAGGTCGTCGTCTTGCTCACCGGGCGCTACAAAAAGCTGCTCACGAGCGACTACGATTTCTTAAAATTGCTGTTTTGCGCGGTCGCGCAATATGAGGTCGCTATGCGCGCTGACTCGGAGTATCGCGAGAAAGTAGCCGAGAGCGAGACCGAGACCGCGGAGGCGGCTGATGAGCAGCAGAGCAGTAGCGAGGAGAAAGCAAAGGAGGAAGCGGGGCCGGAGAAACCGTCGGCGGCTTCGTCTGGAGCAGAGGAGAAGGTCGGGTTCTGGGACAAGAAGATCTCGCAATTCGAAAAGTTCACCGACAACCTCCTCAAATCCGATAAAGAAAAGGAGAAAGAAGCTACATCATCAGCAGCAGCCGGCTCGTCGGCCTCGACCACCTCGACCGACGACGAAATGCTGATGGTCGACCTCGACAAGATCGAGAGCTGGTTCGATCTCGACCTGATCAAAGCCTACGACGGCATCGACGTCGACGACCTCAGACTTTCCCCCACCTCGCTCTACCACATCTTCACCCTGCTTCTTGCCATCGCACCCTTGCAACCGCAAGAATCAGTCACCACGTACGCCTCGCATTTCGAAGAACCTGCTTTGTCGAATTATAAGAAACTCGCGGCGGCGATGACGCGGTCGTTTGCGCCGAAATGGACGCTGAAGGATGCGAATGATGCAGAGTACGTGCGCGCAAACGGAATCAGCTACGCGAGATTCTTCAACGTCGTCAAGTCGGCTATGCCGTTTGCGTTTGACGGCTTGGGTATCTTGTTTGAGCATTTCCTGTTCAACCGCCGCATCGCACCCGACACGCCTAAACCGCCTTCGATACATGAAGATGACGAAGAGACGATCCACTCTAGCTCGCCCTCGCGCCATCCCTACCTCTCGTCCTTCGACCGCGACAGCCTTGACGAGCTCGACGAGGACGAAGAAGAAGAACGTCGCAAGGCGACTCCGATCCACAAACGTCCTCGGCTGCCGGAACCCACCAAGCTAATGACCGCGGCCACGATCGGTCAGCTCGCGACCTTTATGAACGTAAACAACTTCCAGCTCTACGGCGGCCTCAAGAAACTCTACGTCGGCTCCGAAGCCGGGTTCTCGATGGGCTCGTTTGAGCAGAAAGTGTTTAAGTGGAACGCGCCCACAATCTTGCTGATCCAGGGATACATGATGGATCCGAACGGGCGGAGTGCGCGCGAACGAGCGTTCTTGGACCAGATCCCGCCCGCGAGGTATGCGAGCAGTTGCTCGATGGTCAAGCAGCATAACGGCGAGCTTGTCTTTGGCGCCGTCGTCAACACGCCTTGGAAGAATTCTAACAAGAGTATGTCGTCCTTCTTTTTTTCTGATTGCTTGTGATTAAGCAGTCTGACTTTTTATCTTATGTAGCATGCTTTGGTGACGGCTCGACAGCTCTGTTCCAACTCGAACCCCTCCAGGATGTCTTCAAAGCCCGTCCCTACAACGAAAACTACGTCTACTTTTCCAAAACCCTCGGCATCGGCTTCGGCAACCTTCCCCCAAAGCAAAACACCCACCAAAACAACGGTCTCCCGCAATACGACTTTGGCGACGTCTCGCTCACGCTCGAGCCCTCGTTCGAGTACGCCGTCTTCCGCAACGTCGGCTCCGAAACTTTCCGCCGCTCGCAGATCCGCGAGAATGTCGACTTTGAAGACCGCCTCGCCATCACCGAGATGGAGGTCTGGGGCGTCGGCGCAGACGACGTGTTGCGCGAGCAGGCGAAGCTGTGGGAGTGGGAGGAGAACGAGGCGTTGCGGAGGAAGAACGTGAATCTGTCGAAGGATATTGAAGAGAGCAGGGCGTTGCTTGAGATGGCGGGTTTGGTCGGCGGAGGAAACCGCTCGGGCGGTAGTGCCGCTTAGTCTTTTTGTTCTTTTACCACCCTTTTTTGTCTTGCAGTTCGTGATAAAGCGTGTTAACTGCGGTCTGTAAATTTTCCGATATCGAAGTTGTCGTTATTTGTGCCTAATAGAAGTTGGCGGGGTGCGGCTCTGTTTAATTTGGTCTTGTAAACACCCGTCGTAAATATTGATTTAAGCTGTATCAACATCCCCACAATAAAGCTCCAACCCACCACTCCTGGATTTCTCTCTCCTGAATTCCTCGGAACTCTCTGCATCTCTCGAATAAGAAGCAAAGACAGGAAACGCCCGGGCGTTAGAAAATGACAACAAGGGCCTCAATTGTCGGATACGGTGGCCTGGCTGTGTCTACCGGCGTGCGCAGGATATGCAGTCGACCGCGGCGGTGGTTCACTGTGTCTGCGCGCGTGCGCCAGCAGCAGCAGCAGCAGAATCCCGAGGCGGAGATGTCGGTTGATGTCATAGAGCACATCACCGAGCGAGGACTTTTGAAGGAAGTTACAGAGTACGTTTACTATTTATAATTACTTGAATCGAGCGCGGGAACTAATAAGGTACATGTCTGCAGCGGACAAAACCTCGCGACCGAGCTTCGCAACGGATTAAAGACCTCAGTCTACTGCGGCGCCGACCCGACCGCGAAATCCCTGCACGTGGGAAACCTGGTTCCGTTGCTCGCGATGCTGCATTTCGGCATCCGCGGGCACGACATGATCGGTCTCGTGGGCGGCGCGACGGTCGAGGTCGGCGACCCGTCCGGGCGCGCGACCGAGCGGACAAAGATGGAGGACGGCGTCCGGCTGAGTAACGAGGAGAAGATCTCGCTGCAGATGAAGAAGATTCTCGAGAACGCGATCGCGTACGCGAAGCGCAGGGGGTTCACGAATATCGGGAAGCTGACGATGGCGAATAACGCCGACTGGTGGAAGCAGATCTCGTTCCTGGGGTTCATGGACACAGTCGGTCGGCACCTTCGCGTGCAGGAGATGCTGAAGCGGCAGTCGGTGCAGAGCAGGATCGAGTCCGAGGCGGGGATAGGATATAACGAGTTTACGTACCAGGCAATGCAGGCCTACGACTTCTTCCACCTCCACCACACCCTCGGCTGCCGCGTGCAAGTCGGCGGGAGCGACCAGTACGGCAACATCATCTCGGGCGTGGACCTGACCGCCCGGCTCCAGCACGCAAAGGGTCTCCCGAAACTAGCGACGTACGGCGTGACCACGCCGCTGCTGACGACCACCACGGGCGAGAAACTGGGCAAGTCGGCCGGGAACGCGGTGTGGCTTGATCCCGAGCTGACGAGCCCGTTCGCGCTGTACCAGTACTTTGTCCGGATCCCAGACGCAGACGTGGAGAAGTACTTGAAAATCCTGACGTTGATGCCGTTAGCTGAGATCGCGGCCGTCGTCGAAGCCCACGCCAAGGACGAGTCGCTGCGAGTAGGACAGCACGCGCTCGCAAAGGAAGTCACCGACATGATCCACGGCGACGGAGCGGGCGACCGCGCGCGTGTGCAGTCTAGCATTTTGTTTGCTGCGCCGAATCAGGGAGTTGAGTACGACGCTGACACCATCATCGACGCGTTCGAAGGAGACTCGCAGCTGAAGCACTTTACGGCCAGCGAGATTCTCGGACAGCGTCTGATGCAGGTGATCAAGCTTGTCGACAGTAGATCCGGAAGTGCGTTTTTCTCATCATGAAGCTATTTTTTTTAATGTTTTGGTTTACTAACACTGTCTATGTAGAAGCGATCAAAGAGCTAATCGCCGGAGGCGGCGTGTACGCGGGTCCAAAGCTGGAGAGAATCACTGATGTGAAGACGGTCGTGAGCGAGGACTTGCTTATCGACGGCAGACTTTTGCTTCTTCGTCTTGGTAAGGCGAACATGCGGTTGATTGCCTTGCAGTAGATGCTGTGGGCGTTGAGTAGTTTGCGCGGTTGTAAATAATTCTGGTCTCATGATAGCAACGTCGTGAGATATGTACATAGGAAATACTAGATTGATAATGAAAAGCTCTTGATTAGAATACAGGCTCTGTTTTAGTTATAATTGTATTGTAATTGAATTGTATTGTATCTTGTTGTAATTGCAGACAAGCGCGTGTGCACGCGTTAAGCTTTTGCCTGCGCGCCGCCCGGTCGCGTTGAATTAACTCGTCCGCTCCTAATCCGATTCTTCCCAACTCCACACGCGTCCTTCCTCTCGATCTCCCTTCCTTCCTCTCCTTCCCAGTTCAACAGACTGCCTGTTCATCTGACTATCATCAACAATGGCGCCGGCAGCAGCAGCCAAATCGCAGACTCCGGCCTCGTCAAACAAGAAGCAGCGCACGCTCGCAAGTTTCTTTGGCAAGCCCAAGTCCGAGCAGACCACCACCACCAGCACCCCTCTCAACTCGTCCCCCCTTGCCGCCAAATCGTCCGCGAACGCAAAGGCAAAGCGGGCTATTCTGGCCGCTAAACTTGACAGCGACCCGGTTGATGCCGGCGAGGACGACTCGCGCAGGCGGCAGCAGAACGAGGATAGCAAGCGGCGTGCCAAGGACGCGTTTCCGTCGCCGGACACGCCGTCGATTAAGAGCAGCAGTCCCGAGGCAGAGAAGGATAATGAGCAGAGTAGTAGTCAGCTGTCTTCTGCTACGCCGTCGAGAAGGGTGAGTGTTTTCCAGTTTTGTCGCGAGAGCTTGGGAATTTGGGTGATTACGGACGCGTCTTGCTAACGCGAAGGTATAGGCAAAGGCACGCGTTCATTACTCGGAAGTTTCAGACGACGACGATGAAGCAGACACCACAACGAGTGAGTACTTCAATCTGTGCATGAACTGCGAGCTATATATAAAGCTAACGCATTCTCATAGAATCTAAACGCCAGAAGATCGAGAACGACGACTCTGAGGATGAGTTCATCCCTGCTGCGAACCGCACCGCCAACGACTCGTTTGAACGTCAGTACCCCCCCTTCTCTTCCACATCTTTTTTTTGTTCGTTGACTAACAAATCTTCCTATAGACATGTCGGAAATCGAAATCGACGAAGACTACGACTCCATGGACGACTTCGTGGTCGCCGACGACTTTGACGAAGACGAGCCCAAACCAAAGCGCAAGCGACCAGCCCCCAAGAAAGCCAAAAAGGCCTCACCTTCTGCGAGCACGACGACACCTGCTCCAGTCAAAAGCGAAAACTTTATCAGCCCTGTCAGCACCCCCAGTAGCGCTTTAGAGCTAAAGTCGAAATTCGGCGCGTTATCGCGCGACACGGCAAAGTCCGGTACGTCATCATCATCATCTGCAGCAAAGGCGAAACCCCGCGCGTCGCCGGCTAGCAGCGCGCCGGAGAAGAAGTCGTTTGAGAAGCAGAACGAGGAACGGTACGCGTGGTTGGTTGACGTCAGGGATGCGGATGGGCATCCGGTCGATCATCCGGATTATGATCCTCGTACGCTGTATATCCCGAAATCCGCGTGGGCAAAGTTCACCGCGTTTGAGACTCAGTATTGGGTAAGATCTGACATTTATTATAATGCTATTGAGAGAGGGGCTAACAAGGGATCTGCTCTAGGAGGTGAAATCCAAGATGTACGACACCGTCGTGTTCTTCAAAAAGGGTAAATTCTACGAGCTGTACGAGCGCGACGCCGACATTGCCCACGGCGAGTTCGATCTCAAGATTGCGGGCGGCGGGCGCGCAAACATGCGCCTTGCCGGCGTTCCCGAGATGTCGTTTGACTACTGGGCGTCTGCGTTCATCGCGAAAGGGCACAAGGTCGCCAAGGTTGTGCAGACTGAGACGATGCTTGGGAAGGAGATGCGCGAGAAGGGAGGGAAGAAAGAGGAGAAGATTATCAGACGGGAGTTGAGCTGTGTGCTTACGGGCGGTACGCTTGTGGATGAGACTATGCTTACGGATGAGATGTCGACGTTCTGTGTTGCTATCAAGGAAGGAGTCTCGGAGACGGGCACGCCGATGTTTGGGGTCTGCTACGTTGACACTGCGACGGGAGCGTTCAGTCTCACGCAGCTGGAAGACGACGTCGACTACAACATGTTCCAAACCGTCATTGCTCAGCTCCGGCCTAAAGAACTGATTCTAGAGAAAGGCGTGATCTCGCCGCTTGCTGTGCGCATCATCAAAAACAACACCTCACCCGGCACGATCTGGAACTACATCAAGCCGCGCACCGAGTTCTGGCCCGACGACATCGCGATCGAAGAGCTTTCCCACGGCGCGTATTTCCCCGGCGCCAACATCGACGACCGCTCGCAGTGGCCCGAGATCCTGCAGTCGATCGAAGAGCACCCGTTCGCGCTCTCCGCGCTCGGCGGACTGCTCTGGTACCTCAAGCAGCTGCGGATCGACAAGGAACTCGTGTCGCTTGGGAACTTTACAAAGTACGACCCCGTGCGGACGTCGAGCTCGCTGGTGCTGGACGGCCAGTCGTTGCAGAACCTCGAGATCTTCGCAAACTCATACGATGGCGGCGATCAAGGCACGCTCTTCCGGCTGCTGAACAGATGCATTACGCCGTTTGGAAAACGGCAGCTGCGGAACTGGCTCTGCCATCCGCTCCAGGACGTTGATCTCATCAACGCGCGGCTGGACGCGGTCGATTTGCTGAACAGTAACTACGAGCTGCAGAGCGTGATGGAGAAAGGTCTATCCTCGCTCCCGGACCTGGAGCGTCTTGTTTCGCGCATCCATGCAGATAAATGCAAAGTTTCCGATTTCCTGCGCGTCATCGAGGCATTCGAGCGGATCTACGAGCTGCTGGTCACTTTGCGAACCGAGTTCAAGCTCGGCGGGTTGATTGGCAAGCTGATTGAGACAATTCCGGATATGGAGGAGTGCCTGTCAATGTGGCGCGACGCATTCGACCGGCAAAAGGCTAAGAACGAGGGTCTTTTAGTTCCCGAGCGCGGCGTCGAGGAGGACTTTGACAATTCGCAGGACAACATGCAGAGAATTGAGGAGGAGCTGATGACCCTGCTGCGCGGCTACCGCCGCCAGTTCAAGTCCCAGGAGATCTCGTTCAAAGACAGCGGTAAGGAGATCTACCTGATTGAAGTCCCCGCCCGCATCGTCAACGCGATCCCAAAGGACTGGCAACAACTCGGCGGCACGCAAAAGATGAAGCGGTTCTGGTCGCCCGAGGTGCGCACGCTCGTGCGCGAGATGCTCGAAGCGCGCGAGACGCACAAGTCGATTGTGAGTGAGATGCAGAGTCGGCTGTACGCGAGGTTTGACAAGTACTACAAGATCTGGCTCAAGGCGACAAAATTGGTCTCGAACCTGGACTGCCTGGTGTCGCTGGCGAAGACGACGGCGTCGCTGGGAACGCCGTCGTGTCGGCCGCAGTTTGTGCAGAGCGAGAGAAGTGTTTTGGATTTTAAGGAGTTGAGACATCCTTGTTACTCCAGCGAGTAAGTGCTACTGTCTCAATCTACTATGATATATCGCTTTGCTAACATCAAGTATAGTCACGAATTTATACCCAACGATGTCGCTCTCGGAGGTGAAACTCCCAATATCACGCTCCTAACCGGTGCTAATGCGGCAGGAAAGTCCACAATCTTGAGAATGGTAAGCAATAGTATTGTTCTTTAGCGCTCCTCATACGCTGTACTAACACTCCTCTCTCCAGACCTGCGTTGCCGCCATCATGGCCCAGATAGGCTGCTACGTCCCTGCCGAGTCCGCACGCATGACCCCGGTCGACCGAATCATGACGCGTCTGGGCGCGAACGACAACATTTTCGCGGGCCAGAGTACGTTCTATGTTGAGCTCTCGGAGACGAAGAAGATGCTCTCGCAGGCTACTAATCGGTCTTTGCTCGTTCTCGACGAGCTCGGACGCGGAGGAAGTAGCTCTGATGGATTCGCGATTGCGGAATCTGTCTTGTATCATATTGCGACTCATATCGGCAGCTTGGGATTCTTTGCAACGTACGTTGATTCCAATCTTTTTTCAATTCGAAAACGAGTTCTAACACAAGCCAAATACAGGCATTACGGCACTCTGGCTGCCAGTTTCACAGGACATCCAGAAGTCGAGCCCAAGCGCATGGCAATCCTCGTCGACGAAGACGAGCGCCGGGTCACCTTCCTCTACAGACTCGAGCACGGTGTGTCTCCGGGCTCGTTCGGCATGCACGTGGCCTCGATGTGCGGAGTCGACCGCAAGATCGTCGACGAAGCAGAGGTCGCGGCAAAACAGTACGAGCACACGACGCAGGCAAAGAAGTTGCTCGAGACCACGAGCTCGGGAGCGTTTGTCCCGCTTGGCTTACAGAGCGACTTTAGCTGGCTTATGAAGCTCGCCGAAGGAAAAGAGGAGGGCGAGTCGCAGCTGAACTTTGCGTCGGTGTTGAAAGAGATCGATAACCTGTAGGTTGTTACTGACTACTACACGTGACTGAATTTGGAGGTATACGAGAGTGAACTATTGTTATTTGATAGCTAGAAATGCATTCTGGAACTCATAGACGGCCGCTGATCTATTACTGATAGAACAGAAAGATAGAAAAGAGTAAACTGCAGAGTAGTTGGTGATCAACGATGAATCCCCGCAATTAGGGGGTTTCGTGTCGTTCCGAATGGAGATAGTCAAACGAGAAAAAAAACTGAAAGTGAGCCGAACAAGGACCATCAACGACGACGAACTCGTCAATTCTTGGATTAATCCATCATCAAGTTCAACTCGGGATTGGAGTCGCTTTGGTATTTGTTTACTTTGCATCCGTCGTCTGTCGTCTTTCTTTCCTTGTCCTGAATCCGATTGCGGGGTGATCTCTTTTCTGCTTATTCTTGCTTCGTCTTGGAATCAACGAGAACGAAGAAGATCAACTTTTGATTTATCTTACTTGGATCAGCAAATCAACCTCAATTAAAAACAGCATCAGCGATAATGTCGGCAAGACAGGTCCCCAAGCAGCGCTACCTGGCGCCCAAAGAGGCCGCCAGTTTCAGGCAAGTGCTCAAGCTGTACGAGACGCATCAGTACAAGAAGGCGCTCAAAGTCGCCGACACGATCTTGAAGAAATATCCCGAGCACGGCGAGACGCTGGCGATGAAGGGCTTGATTATGACGTTTACCGATCAGCGCGCCGAGGGTCACGAGCTCATCAAGCTCGGTCTGCGGAACGACATTTCGAGTTTTATATGTTGGCACGTTTACGGATTGTTCAATCGGACGGAGAAGAACTACGAGGAAGCGGCAAAGTGCTATCAGCATGCGCTGAAGTATGATCCTGAGAATGGAAACATCCTGAGAGATCTTGCCTTGTTGCAGGTCCAGATGCGCAATTTGGATGGATTCATTGTATGTCAGTTCTTCATCGCCCTCTCTGATCTGAAATATCAAATCAACTAACCGCTTTCTACTATAGTCCTCGCGCAAGCAGATCCTTTCTCAGCGTCCAGAGATCCGGCAAAACTGGACCGCTCTCGCCATCGGCTACGCTTTGGTGAAGGACTACGCGCTTGCGGAGAGCATTCTGCAAAAATACGAAGACGCAATGATCGAAGCCGCCAAGCCAGACGACATCGAGCACTCCGAGCTTCTCCTGTTCAAAAACTGGATCATCCACCAGAGCGGAGACGTCAAGCGTGCGCTCGAGGATCTGGAGAAAATCGCAGACGTGGTGCTGGACAAGCTCTGCGTGCTCGAGTACCGAGCTTTGTACCTTCTCGAACTCGGACGGAGCGAGGAGGCTGCTAGGGCCTACCGAAAGCTGATCAACCGCAACCCAGACTGCAAGGCGTATTTCGAGGGTCTGGAAAAAGCGCTCAAGGTCACCGACGACGTCCCTAAGCGCAAGGCGTTGTACGCGGCCCTTGCGAAGCAGTACAAGCGGAGCAATGTCGCAAAGTGGAACCCGCTCGTTTTCCTCACCGGCCAAGAGTTCAAGGAGGCGGTCAGCGAATACTTGTCTGGATTCCTAGCGCGCGGGGTTCCCTCGGCGTTTGTGAATTTGAAGCCCCTGTATACGGATGATAGTAAGGTGCAGGCGATTGAAGAGTTTGCTCTCAAGTATTTGAGCACCTTAACCGGCGTTGCCTCTAACGGGTCATCATCGACCAGCAATGGCGCGAAGGATACGGCTGAGGCTACTCCTACAACCTACCTGTGGACTGTCTTCTACCTCGCTCAGCACTACTCGAAGATCGGTAAGCAAGACGTGGCAATGGAATACGTTGAGAAGGCGATTGCGCACACGCCGACTCTTGTGGAGGCGTATATGGTCAAGGCCAAGATCCTGAAGCGAAGCGGTGATCTGCAGGCGGCCGCCGACACCATGAACCAGGCGCGCGAGATTGACTTGCAGGATCGGTTTGTGAACTCAAAGGCTGGAAAGTACTACATGCGCGCCAACAAGAATGACGAGGCCGTCAGCACAATCAGCTTGTTCACAAAGAACGACGGAGCAGGCAAGGGTGTCGGCGATCTACATGAGATGCAGTGCATATGGTTCGTGACTGAGCAGGGCGAGATGTTTGCTCGCCAAGATAAGATCGGAATGGCGCTCAAGCGCTTCCACTCGGTGAAGAAGATTGTGGACGACTGGTGGACCGACCAGTTTGATTTCCATCAGTACGCTACTCGACAGGGAACAGCTCGTACCTATATCGATCTGATCAGGTGGGAAGACTCGCTCTACAGCCAGCCGTTCTACACCCGCGCCGCCGAGGACGCGATCAAGACCTACCTCTCGCTACACGACACGCCCAAGTCTGCGCGCGTGGCCGCCGAACTTGCGGGCCTGAGTGAAGAGGAGCGGAAGCGCGTGATGAAGAAGCTCAAGCGCGACCGGGCAAAAGAAAACAAAAAGCTCGAGGCCGAGAAGTTGTCTGAGAAGGACGACGATCCGCTGGGCAAGAACCTCGAGAACACGACGAAGCCGTTGGAGGACGCGATGGTCTTTTACAAGCCTATAAAAGATTTGGAGGCGTGGAAGTGGCTTGGAGAAGAGATTGAAAAGAGGAAGAATGCTCCTGTCGAGGCGAAGACTGAAGCTACGGCTTGAGAGGGTGTAAAATGTATGTAGAGCCTCTTTTTTGTGTCGAAAGCTGTTTGTTACTTGATATGACTAGCTTCCCGGCTGTATATTTCCCATAATACTATCACAACAAACAAAATACTATTCCGTAGATATATTGAACAAAAAACCCAAATATGCACTCAAAACTCCATGTAAAAAGCCCAGAAGTTGTCATAAGCCGGCACTAAATCAAAGCAGGCTCTCCAACTACAAACTATGCAAACAGCTCAACGCAAAACAACGTTCGCACTTCTCAGCTGCAGATACTGCTGATCAACACCGGGCGGCAGGTGCTTAATAACCTCATAAATCTCCTTATTATGATACCGCATCCCGTTATTCGGCATCCGATAACTCGCCTTGAGCCCCGTGATATCGCACCACCATTTCCGCGGCATCACCGACGGCGGCGCTTCGACGTTCAAATACGTCGGCGTATCCATCAACGCGGCTGACCGCGACTCATCCGGCAGCGACTGAATCCGCTTCATCTCGTCCGCGGCGATTTGCTTCGCGTTCTTGATCCGCCGCGAGGGCGTCTTGTGGCCTGGTTTCCGGAACGGCTTGGGCGCGGACGTGATGTCTGCATCAAAAAGAGAGAACGCCGGCGCGGCTGTGTTTGAAGGCGGTGTTGCAGGTGCCATTGCTGAATAGAGAGAATTGAGAGATGCGGAGCAGACAAGTTCAGCAAGTATCCTCTACTTACATCGAGGAGGTCTTCGTCGAGGAGACATCCACGTGACTAGTCACGTGCACTCTTCGATGACAGGGTGGCGAGCTGGCCCACTGCGGCAGCCAAAATCAGTCCACAATGACGCAATCATCTTGCTCTTCCTTCTTCTTTGTGCCGGCCGGTGACAAAGGCAAAGACGTTGAACAATAAGACCCAAAAATGGATGATAAAGGAGCATTATAATTGGCAAGACAAATAAAACTATACAGACTATAAACATATAGAGAGTCGAAAGTGCTACAGCAAGGAGCAATAGAATAAGGATCATAGCAGTACTGATTATCAGGAATAATATAAGGAAAAACAAGGCAAAGACGAGGTAAAATAAAAAGAGAAAGAACAAGCAAGAACATATCCGCAATGAAAAAAGAACACCCTTGATTTTAAAAAAAAAGAATCCCATGATTTTACAACAACCAAAAACGAAAACATGAGCGCGCGCAAGTCGAAGAGGCGGGTAGAGGGCACACCTATGCTGAATTTCCTACTACCGGGATCTCCCTGGCTTTCCATAATTCGCACGAGAAAGCCTGGGGGTCCTATCGCATATCCCGACACTTGAATACTTGAGATATCTTCGCCGTTATGAAAGCTACTCGCCCGGAAGCGGACCGCTGACAAAGTATCGTCGAGGATCCAGTGAAGAGACATCTGCGCTCTTAGCCTCGCCTTCGAGCAAAATCTCGGCCATGACCTTGCCTGTTCCCGGTGCGTTGTTTATTCCCCAGCAGCTATGCCCCGAAGCAACGTATAGATTCTGTGTGTTGGTGGGACCAATCAGTGGTCCAGATGTAGAGGGAACATCAACAACCGGGAGATAGCAGGCCTGCCTTCGCGTTATCTTTCCGCCAAGCAGTTCCTTTGATATGATTCCTGCGTACTTCACTAACTCTTCGCATCTCTCCTTCAAGACCTCGACATCGTCTGTCGTCTCCGGTACTTCCACGTAGTTATCACCCTCTCCGCAGATGTATACTTCGTCCTTGCGAGCATAGATTTCTGGCGAGATGTATTTGCCCTTTGAAAGCTTGAGTTCCGTGAATAGGGCGTAGGCCGACACAGGGCGCGAGGGAGTGATAGTGATCGAATGGGCACGGAGACCGGAGACCGGGCATGTGGGTAGTAAACGAGAGGTCCATGGGCCGACAGTGACAACGATTTTGTCACCCCGCAGAATCTTAGACTGTGTATCCGACGACGCCGTCGAGGTAGACGAAATAGAGTCACCCGACGACGCTATCCCGGTCGCGCCCGCAGGAGTGTATATCACTGCTTCGGCGGTATTGCTCTTCGAAGCATAGGAAATCTGAGTGGCTTTGCCCATCACCAACTGAACCGCACCACATTCTTGGGCACGTCGGAGCATGAACATTGTGAATTTGTAAGGGTGAACTTGGGCCGTCGAGTCCTTCCCTGAGAGTGATGACCATGACTCGAGAACGTCTTCTCGCACCCAGTCAAGGTCTTCTGGGAGATCTAAATCGACTGGCTTCTTCTTTGACACCCGCGAGGATTTCGAGAGATTTCCCTCGAGCGAGACGGTCTGTAGGCGGCGATAGGCCCACTCATCCTCTCCGTTGTATTCTTCTGCAAGATCTTCGTGAAGTTTGAACGAAAGCGGTACCAGTTGCGATGGAAACGCCCAAAGCGCTAATAATCCTCCTGCTTTTCCTGAAGCACCAGAGGCGGGACGAGTAGATTCCAAGATGGTAATACGGTGGGTTTTAGGCGAAAAGGCGGGGTGGCGGGTGAGGTAGTAGGCGGTACAGACGCCAACAATGCCGGCGCCTGGCAGTCGTTAGTATTCGGAAGGAAAACAAAAGCCAGAGAGAGGATGAAGAAGCCGGTCGGCCGACGCGGAAGGGCGAAAAGCACGACAATAGCCCAACGGCAAGCTCTCCTCGGACAAACAATCCGAGATGTACATACCCACAATAACGATATGCTGCCGCCGGTCCGGAACCTGCGAAGACGGCATGGTGGAGCGGACGGAGGCAGACGGAGGGGCCAGCGTAATGTATTCAGTTCGCAGACGGGATGGGTTGTCGTCCGTTGTGAAGCTGATGTAGTGAGAGTAGCAAAAGCGAGGAGGCCGCCTTCGCAGTGCTGAGTGTGGCCTGACGCTTCTGCCCCGTGGCGGTGCAGCGTGGTGTGATGCCACCACGGCCACATCTGATTATGTAATCACCTTCTACTTTCGTAGCCGGTAGGCTCCCGCAGCAAGCTCCAGACGCTCCTCCGCAATCATTACTGCTAGAAAGTCCCGGAGCTCGTCGATGCTGCGCGAGTAGCCCAGCTCTTTCGGGATCAGCATCTTCAGGAACGACTGGATGCGGTCGATCGGCAGCGAGTTCAGGTTCGTGAGCATCCCCACGATGTAGGACCAGTACACCCGCATCTCTTCTGTGGCCTTCTCCTCCGCCGTCTGGACCGACGACTGCGCGGTTTCATCCATCAGCACTAGAAATCTAATCGTCAGCTCTGCCGTCGTGGGTATAAAACCTCCACTCGCAAAAATAAATTAACAATGAGGCGTCGATGCCCACCTTTCTGCGTGCTCTCCTGCGCTTTTTCAAGCAGCACATACGAGTCGCCTTCCTCTTTCAGCACACCATTCTTAACCCAGAATAATGCAGCTCGTCGGGTGGTGGCCTCGTCCAGGCGGAGTCTTTGCATCATTTCCGATATCGTAAGAGTGCCTATAATAAATAAGACGCGTTGTCGCGTTAGATAATCAGTCCACCCTCCACCGCAAACAGGGATCTTCAACGACTTACTGCTACTCTGGAACAAGTAGATCATACTCGCTCGATCAGGAGACACCGAAAACCGCAACGTCCGATCCTCCAGCTCCAGCGTAACATCCACGCTTCCCAACTTGGTCAGCCACGAAAGTTTACGTCCAGACTTTAAGGTCGAAAACTTGGCCGCGTATCGCTCCATTTGCTCTGTGATCTCTGGAGGTAGTACCAATTCCTCGTTCTTGAATGCAGGCCAAAACAATCGAGAAAGCATGGTCGCGTGAAACACTCGATTAACAGGCTCGATTCCCGGAGCTAGAATTGCCTGATCGTGAATGTTGGCATCCACTCTTTTACTTTCCGAAATGTCTTTGATCATCACGTCGCAGTTGTGCAGATCTGCTTCTCCGAATCGCAGTTTAATAAGCTCAAGATGCATGATTTCGCGGTCAATCTCGTAGTTCTTGAGCTCCAAAAGTCGATTGGCAATCACCGTCACAATCTCTTTCACAAACACTTCCTTGTTTTCATACAGAGACAAAAACTCCCCAACGAAATCGGTCGATCGTTGATTCCGGAAATCGGGAGCGGCGTCGACAGGATCTGGAACCCAGTTCATGTCCGCATAGTTGTCATCGTCGGCATCTCCCTTATGCCCAGAAACATTCGCCAGCTCTTTGCCAAGTTCAGATAGGTCTCCGGTATTGGGATCATCGACTTCCAACAAGCCATTGACGATGCACTTGACAGTGTCGTCTCGCTCACGAAGGTACCTGCGGATAGGGCGAGACACTTTGTCGAGAAGAACTCCGCGCGGGTCTAGCAGACGAAACACTTTGATAGTCGAGATGTAGAACAGAATGATATCGGTGGTATTCACGCCGCAGTGAAGTAGTCTCTGCTGACATGAAGCCTGAAAGGAAGACACAAGCTGTGTTCTGTGTTCTTGAGTCTTGATACACGACTTTAGATCCTCCAATCCCGGGATCGAGTCTGGGAACCCAATCACAATGTTGAACATCTCCCCGATGCGAAGTCTCGCCAAGCACTCAGTAGCAAGCTCAAACATGCGCTCACAAACAGCTTCGTCTTCTCGTACAAGTGCTTGGACAGTACGCGCTATGGGGCCGTATATCAATTCTCGAAGCTCTGTAAGCGCTGGTGGTTCGTCTTCCTCGCGTTCAACGCGATTGGCGTAATTCTCGTGGATATAGCGCTGAATAAAAAAGTGATAGACTTTTGCAACAGTCCGTTCAATCAGGTCTTGAACTCCAAGGGTTTCAACTCTTGTTCTAAAAGCGACCAGAAACTCATGTCGTTGAGTTTCCTTATCCTCCATCATTGCATCGTCGTCTTCCTCCTCCGCAGAATCCTCGTCTGTCGAGCGCTTCTTCCCTGATTCGGAAAGCACGTTGTCGACCAACATCAGAGAGCAGATCTGAAATTCATACTCTGATAAAGCGATATCTATCATTGCGTTGAACGAATGTCTGAAGCGCGCCTGGGCAACTAGGTTGTCGTGAAATAGATGCATCAGCGGGTGCATGTAGTGGTTCAGCGCGTCACAGAGTAAAGTCAGAATCCCCTGGACTGCTCCTGTAGACTTCTGCAAGTTGAATGGCAGAGTAGGGTCGCTGAAGTGGCCCTTGACCGCCGGTAGAGCGTGCATTACAAAGTGCGACCGTACAGCATCTGCTTGTAGTTAGCGTTGTGTATATTTGTAGATCCTGGGAAGGACATAGCAGCAAAATAAAAGGTAGTCATACCAATATACCAGTCCAGTAGCTTGCTAGTCAGTCCCAAGTTTTCCAACCTTTGAACCGAGACATTCAGGTAGTCTGGAGGCGGATGAAGCAGAGCTTTGGGGGTCATCCAGGCCGTAACTAGCTCCCAGTCTGCTGAAGCATAGGCAGAAGTATCGGCATTTCCGCGCATTACGCGTGCATCTGCACGCACTTCCGGCGCAAGAAACACCGCATTATACAGCGAGCCCACTTTTGTAGGCATACGATCCATTGCTGTTCTGTTGTTTAATTACTGCAATTTACAAGTTGACGAGCGCGACCTCTTTGTTGACGAACACGCGATGCTGTGCGTGACACTTGTGCTATTATTGCCATTTAGTGTCACTCAAATATTTTAATATGCATTCACGTGATGACCCCTTATTTTGATTCTGGCTACGCAGCTAAGCGGGAAGTGCAATCAGAATAGATCAAGAACAGCCAATATTGAAATTATACCCGCTCTTCTTATCTCAAACCTCACGCCCTCAGTTGTCGTCTGTCTTTTGCTCTATAGGCAATAGCAGAGGGTAGTGTTCTCATCCTATACCAACAACTGAGCTCCAAAGCTATCCAACGGCAGCGGTGAGAAGTCACGGCACTGCTACCAGCGATGCCATCGCACTCGCCGTCGCCGTCACCGGCCCCGGGCCTACCGCGCACGAATTCGTCTTCGAGCTCGATCTTCTCAGTCAAACGAAAACCCGCAAAGTCTGGGCCTGCCAGTGTCAACACCACAAGCAGCAGCTCAAACGCCAGAAGGCCGTCAACCACGAGTGATCACAAGACATCGCTGGCAGATGGCATATATTCGCCCGTTAATCCGCACTTCAATGATCTCACGCGGGTATCAACCGGACGGTCTAGCATAGCCTCTGTGGACACCAGCGATGAACATCGACCATCCAGCATTCCCCGCTCGGGAAACCTGATGCACACCGCCAGCATCACGTCGAATCGATCGGTCTCTACACAATCGCAACTTCAAAGAAGTAGTCACGATCAGAGCAACCGCGCGAGCCTATATCTCGATGACGACTCCCAAAGTGTTTACCATGCTCAGCCGCGGACTACAAAGGGATCAGGATCAAGCTCAAGATACTCGACCGCGTCGATGATGTCGAGCGTATCTGATTTCCAATTCGAAAAGCCGAAAAACGACGCCGCTATCGATCGCATGTTCCAAGAACTGATGGTGAGCTTAGCTGTGCTGTACACCTCACAGCAGTGATATTAACTGACGGCTATATAGAACAAACGCGACTTCAAATCTCTGCCTCAACAGGCCCGACAGCAGATGCTCAATTACCCAACCTCGAAAAAATGGATGCTGATCCATCAAGACGCGTTGACCGAACACCAAAACCAGCGACGCAGGCACTCCACCAAAGACGACGAGAGCACGCCTCAGTGGTACGTGCGCAAGATCATGGACATGACAATCACTTCCAAGCAGCTCGGCAATCTGTGGGTATGTCTTCGCACGGAGCCTATCGCTTGGGTCAAGGCATTCTGCGCAGCGCAAGGACAACTTGCTCTCTGCACCGTCATTTCACATATCAACCAAAGATACAACAGACAGACAGAAGAAACCATAGAGCGCGAATACGACCTAGTCAAATGTTTGAAAGCGCTTCTTAATCTCGAATATGCTGCCGATGAAGCGCTGCAGTCCACGAAATGTATACCAGCACTGATCGGCTCTATCGTCTCCCCCCGACTTGCGACCAGAAGACTCGTCACCGACATCCTTACATTCTTAGCTCATTGGGCCCGTCCGTATGGTCACACTCAAGTGATCAACGCGTTCGACCAGCTCAAAGCACATTTGAACGAGCAGGGCCGCTTCGATGTTTGGTTACAAACTGTTGAAGCGACCCTCGGTGGTCGAGGAAAATGGGGTTCTTTGGTGGGCGCTAGTGACGAGCTGCGGTCGGCAGGAGTTGGGTCCGAGAATCTGTTGATGGAATATAGTCTAGCAACTATTCTGCTGGTCAATATCCTTGCCCAGGGATCCGAAGACATCAAAATTCGGGTGCATGTCCGTGCCCAACTCAAGGCAGCTGGTCTATCCCGCATCATGAAGCATATGCTCGGATTCAACTATGACTTGGTCAATGAGCAAATCCAACAGTACGAAGATGCGGCGGCTCTGGATTACGAAGATCTGATGGAACAGCAGCAAGAGGAGGAAATCCGCGATCTTGATGATCCTGTTGAGATTGCCGAAGATATCTGGGCACGCGTGCGGGGTACAGCATCTGAGGATTTTTTCGTGTCCTCGATGCAGCACTTACTACTGGTACGCGATACAAAGCCAGAAGATACCGCCCGGCTGTTTAAACTCATTGATGGTGTCCTGTCCTACGTCGCTATGGACCGGATCCTTCCCGATCGCGATTTACGATCGACCCTACAGTATTCAGTTCATGAAATCATGAACAAAATGTACTCTGACGAGCAAGCCCGACGCGCGTTTCTTGACGCTATCGAAGCGAAGAAGCGCGCCGATCAGGCGATCGCAGAGCGAGACGAGATGCGGAAGCAAGTTGATATGGGCGCCGATGGCATGGTCGCTAAGCTCAAGAAGGAGGTTGCTGAACAGGCTGAGATCATCAGACTTCAACGCCGTACTAATAATGCGCTCCGCCATGAGTTGGAAGAACTGTCAAAGTCACATATGAATCATTTGCAGAGCTCTGAGATTGAGATCCGAGAACTTTATTTCCAGCTCAAAGAGGCCGGATTTGTTCTCAATCAACCGGTCAACGGGCCAAACTATGATCCCATCAGTTCCGAAGCGAAAAAGAATGTCATGCGCAAACTGGAGCAGCAGATGGCTGTCAAGGAAGCCGAGGTCAAGAATCAAATTAAACAGCTCGACACCCCGGTGGAGATCCAGCCTAAGCTGCGAGAACTGCGCGAGACAAATGTTAAGATGCAGGAAGCTGAGCGGGGCGCGGCTACAAGCGGAAGTGTCAGGGGTCCGCGAGCTTTGCCTACAACCGCTCCTAATAGCCTATTGCAGCAGGTGGTGATGAACGACATGTCGAAGAACTTCTCGTCCGATGATGATTCATCTCTTGACGGCGGTGACCGGCTGCTGCCGGGAGCTTCGACCGTGCAACGCGGTGCCGTTCGACGTCGTAGCGTGACGTCTTCAGTGGGCTCTGTCCAGTCTGGCGCAACTAGCACTGAAACTCCGTTCACCTCGATCTCGTCCACTGCTGATATGCAAATGTCTTCATCTGGCATTAATGGAATGGCAATCTCGGCTGCTCTTCAGGAGCGACTAACGTTCATGAATGGCTCGCCCGACAAGTCGAACAGAGCTACAACCGTTATCGAGACAGGGTCGTATCCGTCATCTCCAGTCTGGCCAGGGCGAGTTGAAAACACCTCGGCTGCGTCTTCGACAACTTCTCTGCAGTCTCAGACTCCGACGCGCGCTCACACTCCGACACGCAAGTCCAGGGGCGTTCTTCAGACGCAGCAAATGCTTTCCAGCTCACCGGAGCCAAGTTCAACTACTCCAAGGTCTGCTAGCAAGAACTCTTCGAGCGATGTGATCTCTGCGAGCCAGAAGATTGCGGCAATCGTTGGTGGAGAGACCGGTGGTTCGGTGCCATCGTCTCAGAATGTTGGACAGAACTTTGGAACAGGTGTGGCAGCTTCTTCTGGAGGTTCGATGAGTGTGGGCGCGTCCATGCCTGCTTCATCGATTCCTTCTGCGCCGCCACTCCCTTCTTCGTTGGTATTAACTGCTGCCCCATCCGGCTCTATTCCCCCCGCTCCTCCTCTTCCCGGCACATCAGACCCTGCTAAACCCACAGACGGGCCCGCAGGCGCGGCTGCTCCTCCTCCCCCACCGCCACCGCCTCCTCCTCCTCTCCCTGCGAACATCACGTTCAACAATGCAGCCGCGCCTCCTCCCCCTCCACCCCCGCCCCCTCCACCTGCTCCTCCGCTTTCAGGAATGTCTACGACTGGAGGCCCTCCTCCCCCTCCTCCTCCACCACCACCTCCGCTTCCAGGAATGCTTACGGCTGGAGGCCCCCCGCCACCCCCTCCACCCCCGCCATTACCTGGAATGGGAGTTCCCAACGCCCCGCCTCTTCCCCCACCCTCACTTGCTTCCTCGGCTTTGAAACTACCCAAATCAGCCAAAGCGGTCGCAGTGCCGCATGCCAGGAAGAAAATCAAGCCCATGCACTGGGAGAAATTGGAAACTGTCGAGTGTACTGTATGGTCAATTGACGACGAGAGCGAAGAGAGTGAAGGTGAGGAGAGCGAAGAAGACAAAGAGGACACAAACATGGACGACGCCGGATCCGAGAGCGCGTCACTTTCCGAGAGCGCGTCTGGCCGCAGACGAAAGTCAGCAAAGCCGAACCGCAAGAGCACGCGCGCTGGGATATATGGCGTTCTGCGGAATAAGGGAATCTTTGACGAAGTCGAGCGGATCTTCGCGGCCAAGGAAGCCAAGAAGATCGGTGCGGGTGGGCGCTCAAAGGCTGCGGAAGAGAAGAAGAGTTTTATCTCGAGAGATCTCGCGCAGCAGTTTGAGATTAATCTGCATGCTTTTGCTAATCTTTCGGTGGAGGAGATGGTGTTGAAGATTCTGAAATGCGATAAAGACGTGCTCAAGAATCACAATGTTTTGGAGTTTTTGAATAAGGATGATCTGGTTCGAGTTCCTGATTCAGTGGTAAGTCACTCTTTTGTTTTATATCAGCCTGTTCGTGTTGCTGACATCACGCAATTATAGTCTCGCAACTTGCTTCCATACTCAACGACCTGGACGAACGGAATGATCAGCCGATCTCCCGAAAAGGACCTCACGGAGCTGTCACGCGCCGATCAGGTTTATCTCGAGCTATGCTTTAATCTGCAATCGTACTGGAAATCACGAATGCGCGCGCTCATCCTGACACAGACGTTTGAGCATGACTACGACGAGCTCGTGCAGAAGCTAAAGCTCGTTGACAGCGCAAGCGAGTCAGTCCGGAAATCGACCAAGCTTCGTGATTTGTTTGACATCATCCTCGCCGTCGGAAACTACATGAACGATCCGACGAAACAGGTGACGGGATTCAAGCTGAGCTCGTTGCAGCGGTTGGCGTTCACCAAGGACGAGAATAACACAATGACCTTCCTGCATTATGTGGAGAAGATTGTTCGAACCTCGTTTGAGGACTTGGATGGATTCTTGGATGATTTGAAGGATGTGTTGTTGGTGTCCAAACGTGAGTTTTCAGATTTTTCTATAGATGTTTTAAAGCGCAGTACTGACCTTGTGCGTGTGATAGTCTCTATTGAGCAAGTACAGTCCGACTGCAGGCAGTTCATTCAAGCAGTCAAGAACGTTCAGGACTCAATTGACTTTGGAAACCTATCAGACCGCTCGATCTTCCATCCCGAAGACCGCGTGCTTAAAGTCGTCCTGCCCTTCCTTCCAGAAGCGCGAACGAAGAAGGAGTATCTCCAAGAGCACTTGCAAAACACGGCGCGCACATTCGACGACGTTTTGAAGTTCTTTGGTGAGGATCCCAAAGACGCTTCCGCGCGACAGAGCTTCTTCAACAAATTCACAAACTTCGTGCATGATTTCCAGAAAGCGCGCAAGGAGAACTTGCAGCGCGAAGAGGAGACCAGGGCGTACGAGTTGCGCCGCAAGCAGATGCTCGAGCAGCAAAAGAAGTCTGAGGAGTTATCCGCCGCCGCCGCGGCTTCTTCCGGATCACCGAGAAAAGAGGGCGATACGGCGGTGATGGATAATCTGCTGGCCAAATTGCGAGCCGCGGGACCTCAGTCTGGCGACGCGCGCGCAGCTCGTCGACGAGCGGCGGCGAGGAAAGCGCAGGAGCAGAGACGGGCGCGCGATGCCGGCGAGAACAAGGACGGTACATCTGAATCCGCCTCTGAGGTTTCAGAAACTGTCTCGCGCGCAGAGTCCGAGACGCGGGCAGAAAGTCCAAAGAAATCGAACGAGGCAGATGACAAGCCCTCAGGAGAGCAGCCGGCAGGGGAGCAGGAATCGGTCAAAGAAGAATCTCGCGATTCTGCTAAAGTCATAGAGGACGAAGTGAAGGATGAGGGGACGAGTAATGGCAGATCGGAAAGAGAGGAATCGGTATGAGGTTTATGAATTTTGTTTTTTTTGTATTCTTTTGTTTTGTTACGATCGCTGCATCTAGCATACTACACATGGTCCTTGTGGAAGGTATTCCTCTACCTTATAATTATTTTCCTTTTTTGAATACTTTGGGAATGGAGCATTATATTCCTCCATTAATTCTACGGCTCTTCTAAAATAAAGAAATTTTCAGATTATGGCCCATCACTAGCTTACAAACAATCAGATCATAAAGACAAACGAGATAACTCCTATATTCAAAAAAAAAGAGAAACTTGACTCGATTTATCGGATAAAATAGATAAATGAGAAATTGTAAAAAAAATATAACCCCAGAGCAATCAATCGCTAAACACCGACCAAGGGAAATGTCATCATCAATAGTTCGTTTATGTGACGTAGTTGTTTACTCCCAAATTAATTTTTGCTTTTTCGATGCGCGAAAAGAAATAGAAATAGAAAGACACACACGCGCTTAGACATATCGACGACTGGCAAGTGGTTGCGCCTGGATCGGTTGCTGCTGCGGCTGCTGCTGCGGTGGAAGACCCTGAATGTTGCCGACGAAATCCTGGCCGAGGGCGATTGCTATTGGATCTTGACCGGGCGGCAACGAGCGGGAGACGGAGCAGTCCTTGTGCGCGTTCAAAATGCCTTTGAGATTCGCAACCTGTTCTCTGAGAGCCAAGACCTGCTGGGTCAGGTTGTCGTTTTCGTTTGCGTAAAAGTCGCATTTGGCCTGCAGGCTTTGAAGCCACTGCTTCTTGCGCTGGCGACACTTGAGCGCGGCGACGCGGTTGCGCTCGAGAAAGTTCTTGCGCTTTTCTTCGTCGGTCATTTTGCGGGAGTCTTGGCTCCCGTCGTCGTGGGAATCGGTCGGACTTCCCTTGCTGTCATCGATGTCGTCCGCGTTGCTGCGCTCGTCGTCATTCTTGGAGTCGTGGTGGTCGTGGTTTGTAGAGGGCGAGACGGCTCCGTCGGCACCCTTGAATCTTTTGTTGCTGGTCTGCGGCTGGTCGTCAGCCTTGCGCGTGTTCTTCCGGTTGTTACCGCGTCTTTTGTCCGGTTTGTCGTCCTTGAGGTTCGCGGTGTTGGACGTGGTCGAGGCATCGACGGATGATTTGTTGGCGTCGGCCTGGCCCTGGCTGAGGAGGAAGAGTCCGTTCGCGGCCACGCTGGCCGAATCAGCAGCAATATTTTCGGGCTTCTGCGGACGCGGCTCGGGCTTAGCCTCTTTCTGCAGAGAATCCGAGGTCACCGAGACCTCGATAGGAAGCGGAGTTTGCGGGAAGGAGGTAGCCGCGATGCCGGCGGGGGTGGTGAGCCCGAAGATCGCAGCGGATGTGGGAGAGGGAGCAGGGAAAATGGAGCCGGAGCCACCAGGCGTGAGGCCGGAGCGGATGCCGGATTCGTTGGGCGTGAGGCCGGAGCGCAGATGGGAGTCGACGAAAGCTGCGGCCTGCGGGCCCTGCAGCATTGCCGGGGAGAGCGGGCCCGAACGAAGGGAGTTGAGGGACCAGTAGCCGGCGGCGCCCTGGGAGGCTGGGGTGCCCAAAAGGGAGGAAGGCGAGGCTAGGGAAGCCACGGGCGGGAGCAGGGCCTTTTGGGCCGAGGTCGGAGTGCCCTCTTTCGAGGCAAACGACTGCTCGAAGGGGTTTGGTTCGAGATCCAGTTTGGCGAAGGTGGGGTGGGGAGGGAGCGTAGAGCTGGGGAGGTCGAGGGTCAAGGTGGGCGCAGTGGCGACTGCAGGGAAAAACAACAAGGCGGAAGCGGTCAGCGGGCAGAGCAAGAGAGAGAAAGAAGAGGGCGCCCGGGCAGAGCACCGGCGACGTAGACACACCTCAAAGAACAGGCAGAAGGCCTTGGAGATGGTGATGATGCGGCGCGGAGGACGCGTGTGAAGCGAGGAAGCGCAATGATCGAACGATGACGACGGCGATGACGAAGTTGCCGGGGCGGTGACGTACTTTATACGCTTCCTGTGCGCTCGCGATCTGCACACTTGTGCCGCCGGTGTTGGTGCACTTGTGCATTATTAATGTATTATGTCATGTTTCTATTACTGCTGACTAACAACAGCCCAAACTCATCCGCCCGCGTGTCTATCCGCGCCAGATCAACAGCATTGTCGTCCGGCAGCTCTATGCTCCGCAGCAGCAACGTAAACGTCCTCATCAGACCCCGGAACTCGTCCTCCGTCGCCTGCTCGCCAGAGTACCGCACGGCCTCGTAGCCCGCGATGAACTTCCGCGCAAGCTCCATGTCGACGTCTATATATGCCACCAAAAACTCAATGTACTCCGTCAACGTCGTCGACGGCCGCCGTCCCAGCTGCGGGTGCAGCCCGCGCGCCTTCTCCTCCAGCAGCTTCACGCTCTCCATCAGCACCTCCAAATACGGCACCTGGGGAAAGTCAACGCCGGCCTGCGACGGCGGCGGCAGGCCGGGATGATACACGTTCTCGGTCGGCGCGAGCTTCTTCTTGATCATCTGGCATCGCGCCAGCTCGCTCTCGATCGCGAGCGCGCAGTTCTTTGGCAGCTCGTGCCGGCCCGGGACGTAATACTTTGGAATATCCGCGAGCATCAACCGCACCGCGTACAGTCTGAGCAGGCAAATCACCAGCGACACGATCCCGACCGCAACATACGTCGCCGCCACAATCGACTCATTGTATATCTGTTTGTTGCGATATGACTGCGAGATCAGATCTGCGGGGGTGACAATCACAAAGCCGCCGGTGAAGAATATCAGCACCGTCAAACTGAACCGGTACAGGAGATGTGAGGTCTTTGCCGAAAGCATTTCGTAAATCTGTGTCGAAGATTTCCTGAGCTGCTCAGCGTCTGATAGTCGATAGGGTCACCCTATATATTCTGCTAGCTCTGTTTGCCACGCATTGATGTCGAGTGCTGTTCGTAGAAATGTTTGTCAAACTCTTTCGACCAGCAAATATTTTAATTCAATAATCCAGAATCCAAAGCCCGGAACAGTCTTCTGGATGACGATGTTCGCAAGCAGCCCGGCCGGTGCAAAATCGACAAAATCGAGCTGGGATAAAACCAGCGGATCCATCGCAGCCGCACGGAAGTTACCCGGACTTTGGCTCATCTCATAATAACAGGTTCACTCGAGATCCTGATCTGACTGTATACAAAGCAGAAAGAGCACAGCAGAAAGAGCACAGCAGAAAGAGAATATGGCGGACAAGGAAAACAGTAAACTTGCTATCACTCCTACCAAAGCATCTTGCTTTCAGCTGCCGAGCCTGCCGCCGTCCGCGGCACCGCGTGCGCCTATCCAATATGTTGATCTGGCCTCTCTACCTGAAGACTTGCTCGCTCGCCATCCCCACGCCAGAGAGCAGGACGATATCTTTTCTGAGCACACTCCAGATATCGATACTGGGCGAGTCTCTGGCCTTCAGATGGCACTAGCTGAAGGCCGAACGACTTATCTTAGTCGGAAATTCGAGTCGCTCTTGGTATTCAGATACTCTCAGAAAACAGAGCGCAACGTCTTCTCCTAACACATCAATCTACTTATTTAGGACGACAGAGAAGTCTCCCCATCTAAAAGACCTCAGCTGAGAAACTTGAACAAGCGCTTAAGAGCAAGTCTTGTGGTCAACGGCGCTGTCGCGCATCGCGTGAGCGCCGTCTCTCCCTCTCCAGTACGGCCACAGACCCGGCGCCGTCAATCGAGCCCGTCGGGTCTTCCCCGTCTACTAAAAGGCTTTCGCAGGAGGAAATCGTCTACCACGACGGAGAATATGAAACTTGTGACGCCAAAAGACTTTGTTGACTACTTGAATTCTAGAACCTCGTCGTCAGACTCCACGTTTGCTTTGAGCGCAATACGCGAACTCCGAATCAACCTGCGCGGAGAAAGTATCAACTGGCTCAACCGGTTCTTAGACATTGGCGGCATCGACGAAATTTCAAGAGCTCTATCTACTATCACATCTATGGAGTGGAGGTCAGAACTGTGCTCACTCTAAGTTCTTGCTTCTTTTCGATACTAACTACTCCTATAGAGAGTGCACGGATGACTACTTGTTTCACGAGTTCATGCTCTGCCTTCGGACAATATGTTCTTCGAAGGTGGTTTTTCTGTTTTCCAATCATTTTCAAACTGTTTACTAACCTAGCGGATATCTATCCACGCTGTTCTGTTTAGCTCGGCCAGATCCACATGACTGCTATATCCCCCTTCTGTTCCCCTCGCTGATCAAATTTCTGTTTTCGGACTGGCAACCATTCGATTTCGCAGATCGAGAGTGTATCCTAAGCCTACTAATAGCCTACCTCCGAACCTCTCCATCCAACCAGCGCGCTTTCCGTACCCGTGCGATTCTCTCGTATTTAGAAGACACGCATGCCGCTACAAACGAGCTGCAGCCAGAGTTCATCGAGCTCTCTCACAGCCCGCGGCCGTACCAGAAATGGTCTTGCGAGTGCCTTGATGTCGTTCGCGACGTGTTCTGGATCTTTAAGCATCCGTCTGGAGTCCATATCCGTCTGTCGCCAAACAGATATAGATTACTAGACGACATCTTCAGCGATCAGACGTCAGATCAACAGCTCAGACCCAAAAATCTGTGTCGGTCGAAGGTACTAGATATCGAAATCGCAGCAACGGACTACTTGGCCAGCCACATCGAGCTCATGAACCTCCTCCTTTGTTCCTTACCTGGCACATTCGAGCGTCTCGAGCTGCGGAACCAATTAAAACTAGCCGGCTTCGAAACCCTGATTGGCAAGCACCTGCGCAACGTCGCAAACTCATCAAAGTACTCAAGACGGCTAGGCGCGAACCTTGAGATCCTCGTCACTTACGCGTTTTATGATAACTGGGACACCACGTTCATGAGATGTGGTATGCAACGCAGCGGCGGCGGCGGGATTGGTAGGATGCGCGGGTCGCGCGTCGAGAGAGTCGAGCCTTTGAAGAGCGAGAGCGAGTTTATTGCTGAAGTTCCGGCGGCTATGAGTGTTTGTAGTGACGAAATCTTTAGTGAAGCAGATATGCAGTATGCGTAGCGCGTTTTCTCGTTTAGTGATTATACTAGAATATATATATTTACAACCTCTATGAATATTTACATGATCCCGCGTACTCTTAGTATCCGAGCTTCTTCGTGTCGATACAGAGTTTCTCTCTCAATCGACATATCCGATCGAGTTCGGCTGTCGATAGCGATGTGGGGGATATCAAAAACAGAGCGTCGTGACGGAGATCAAGCAGTGCTGTTATCAGCATATACAGCTGTGCTCTTTTCTGCTCGAGCGTCAGACCGGAGGTAATGCTGAGAAGAAAACATTAGCAACACAGTCTGATTCGAGAAAAGCAAAGGAGATGCAAAAAACTCACCATCCACGCTGGAGCAAAGCCCAATTTACCTCCCTCTCGTCCATCTTCCACACCCCACCCCACCGTCCGATCAACACATTATCCGCTCTCAAAAACGCCATATGCGCCAACAACGCCTCCATCAGCGGCGCGCGCACGACCAGCGCCGCCGGCATCCAGCTCGGAAGCATGCCGACCGCTTTCGCAATCTTAACTAGCTCGTCCTGCGTGCACGTCGGGATTGCTTTTTTGAACGTGTCGATCGTCGAGGCTGAGAGATCGGGTGTGCCGTGGGCGCTGAGATATGTCTTGCGCGCAGAGAGGATGCTGGCCTCCCATGCTTTTATAATCCCGTCCTCTGCACTTTTTGATAACTCGACCGACGGCGCAAGACTCGGCATGCAGAACCGCGCAAAAACCGCATTCATCCCAACCAACGACAAAACCCATGCCGTAAACGACCCCGTCCTCCGCAGGGCATGAAACTCCGCCCTCGTAAGCTCGCTTGGATCAGGCACGTAGACTTCAATTTGCTCGGTCTTGGTTTTCGTTGGAGTCGACCCCGTGGTCGCGTTATATTCCTTGCGCATGTCGTCGAGCGTCGCGGCGACTGTCGTCGACGGCCAGGTGTCGAGTTCGCTCGCAATCACGGAGGATACGAGCTCTTTGAAGCCGCCGGGTGGGATGCTGATCCGTTGGTCGACAGAGTCTCGTAGACGGCGCGAGGCGATAAAGTACCAAAACACGTCAAGTAAATGTTTTGGAAACATCACCAATTTCAAAACAACCGGGTATTTCGTCAACGACGGACTCCGACGCTGCACATTCAGCACATCGCCCTCGCCGCTCTTACTCCTCGCGCTAGTATTCTCGACCCAGTGCTGCCAATTGATCACCGGATACGGCCCGGTAAGCTTCAACGCCTTCACCGCGCTGTCCAGCGCAAGACTAGCGCCCCGGCTCGACTTTGGCTCGGTGAAAAGACCGTAGGGGGATGCATCTGGATGCCGCAGGTTCGGGTTCGTGGTCGGATAGCGCACGGAGGGGAAGGTCTTTGGATCCGGGAAGCTGGTGCCGGAGTCGGGTAAGTCGGACGGACTGAGGGTGGAGTATGGGAGACGACGGGGTGGTATTCTGTCATGGCGGAATGTGGTCAGGACAGAGGATGGTGAGTGAGGACGGGAGATGATGATGCGACGGGCAGAGATGCGCATTATGGTCGTATCTCTCGGTCCTGCCTTTTCTTCTTATCCCTCTATTTGTGCAGATCTGGGTCTCAATTATCTAATTGCAAATTAGCAGACCATGTAGCAAAAATCGCAGTGCTGTTGCTGTGTTGCTGTTAATTGTCCGTTTCAATATGGATAAATTCAGGATCAAATTGGTTCTTTAGCGTGAGGCTTTTCAGAAACCTGTGATTTTTATTTTATTCCAACCCGCAGTCCTAAGGCCTCTGCTCAGCACATCGAAGCAGATTCATTCCTTTTAACCATACAAACATCTACAACAATTCCTCATCGATAAAGCACAATTGCAGAAACAAGACATCATGTCAACAACCTCATCCTCAGAGCCCAAACCAGGCGAAGCGTAAGTCCACCTGTCCACCTTCGTCCACCCGTTCTGCCTCCCCGATGATATCAGCGGCAGCGAGCGAGCGACAACAGCTAACGATCGAGAAATTTGACAGGGGATACGTGAATCCGCGCGGAATTCCGCAGGCGCCGTTTATCGAGGCGGTAGAGGAATATGTCCGGAGTAGGGATCAGGTCGAGTCGATCTTGCAGTCGTTCCAGGAGATGCTGAGGTACGTGTCGCCCTCAATGCTCTCTGCCTTTACTAGTTTTTAATGCAATGCTGACGTTTGATTTCTGCGGTATAGTAAATACAAATACATGGTACGAGTCGAATTGAGCAGCAGCTGATGAGACGAGGACCAGCAAAACTAACACGATATCGAATGAACAGGAAATGAGCACTCTCCGTCGCGCGGCGGGATTGCGGGAAAAGATACCAGATATTCAAAAGACTCTCGACACAGTGTTATTCCTGGATTCAAAACGGGTAGGCGAAATTGTTTCCAAGAAGAACCGCAGAGGGGTGATCAGGGTGCTAACGATTGAGGAATTTAGGACGCCGAGGAGCCTACGATGCTCACCACATTCGAACTTAACGATACCCTCTACGCAAAGGCGAACGTGACCGCCTCAGACTCTGTCTACCTCTGGCTAGGCGTACGTCCCCCCCTTACATTTCCTCCCATTCTACTCTCCTTCCATTATTCTAATCTAACGCCCCCGCAGGCAAACGTGATGCTCGAGTACCCCATCGCCGAAGCCACCGATCTTCTGACTGCGAAACTAAAGGCCGCGCAGGAGTCGCTCAAGCTGTGCGAGGAAGACCTGGAGTTTTTGCGCGAAAACATCACGACCGTCGAGGTTAACACCGCCCGGGTTTATAACTGGGACGTGCAGAAGCGCAGGGAGGAGAAGGAGGCCGGCGAGAGAATAAAGTGAATAGATTGTGTTTGAAGGGTGTATTAGTATATATAACTGAAAGATCTCTGTAACATAATGCAGCAACGCTACTACGACTCTAATCCACATCACACTCCAACAACCTAAACAACTCGCCCAGCACCCGCGCCGGATTCATAGTCAACCCGTTATGCAAAAACTCGCTCGTGACCCACTGCCGACAGCCCCTGATCTCCGCCGCGGCCTTGACCGAGAGCTCGAGGTCGACGTACGGGTCGTTGAAGTACGACACTGCGCTCACCCGCGCCGTCGTCTTGTTCAGCGTCGAGAGATCGTAGAGGGCCGGCCAGTCTGCTTTCGTCGCTAGTTTGTCGGCTACGGCTTTCATCGGGCGCAGCTCGGCGTAATCGTCAAACATTGATTTGTAAATCTGACAAGAGTTAGCATACTCTCGCTTCGAAAGGTCTCAAACTGGGTCTTACCATTTCGCCGGTGAAATAAATAGGGATACTCTCATCTCCCTGCGCGATTATATGCTCAAAGTTGAAATACTGCGCATACCCCCCACGAAGCCTCTCAGCAGACCAATCACTCGCTTGTCTAGAAACAAAACCCAATCAACATTCATCTCCTCCCACTCGCAGTCATGATAAGGTAATACTCACCCTTGACAGTAGATAGCCTCATGCACACATGCGTACAAGATATTCGAATCAAAGCCCTGCGCGTTCTGGATCCGGCTAAGAGTGTTATACGTGATCTCTCCAAAATGGCTCAGATCAAACGCAGCTTTCGACACAAGTTCTAAACGCATCAAATAGGTCAGCACATCACTCACATCTCTCTTCAAAGGCAATATGAACCTACGATGTACACCATCCAGGCCCTGATGTCTTCCGAAATCCAATCCGAGCTGCTGAAACCGCTCGACAGAGAGAGTGCCGCCGTTCGGAAGCACGACGGGCTTGGATGCCAGAAATGTGTAGATTTTTCTTAGCTTGGCGACGTCTTGGGGGAATTTCGTAAAGTACGCCTCGTTCCGTTTGATTACGCGCTCTTACCAAATACAATCAGCTCTGCATCTTCTCCCCATCAAGAAATTCTTCATCAAAAAAAAAAAAAGAAAACTCACTGTAAAGAGCGTCGTAAACCGGATCCGGGGAATCAACCAAAGGCGGCACACCGCCCGTGATCAGCACGTCTTTCAAGCTCGCAGGGAAGAACGAGAGATAAGTCACGCAGCAGAACCCGCCGAACGACTGTCCGAGCAGCGACCATTTCTTCTCTGTCGCGTCCTGGAGTAGCGTCTTGCGGATTTGTTCGCAGTCCTTGACTGTGTGTTTTGAGTATTTGTTAGAAAAGAGCGGTGGGGAGAGAGGGGGGGGGAGGGAGGCGTACCGATGTTGTCTGCTCTGAATAGAGATAGGTAGTGAGCTTTCGCGTCGTCGGACTCTGGAATGTCAAAATCTTGTTAGCACACTTTTCGTATACTGTTTAAGTATTTCTTGAGAAGGTGAGTGAGCGGTACCAAGATCCTTCAAAGTTCCGTATGAAATCGGAGAGCTATATCCAGTTCCTCGCTGGTCGAGATAGAGCATCTGATGCAATACACAAAATCAGCCTTCTGCACTCGTAAATTCCAACACGCACAAACAGTTCTCATACCTGATACCCTCTATCCAAAACCTCCTTTGTCCGACCACTTTTCGACAACGGCGCCTCGCCTAGATCCGAGACGTAAAGCATTAGCCGTGCTTCCTTCCAATCACCAACCCGACCACCAACGCAGCGTACATTCAAACCCCGGTCCGCCCTGCAGATAAACCACTACCACCCAAAACCTCAGTCAGCATAACATAATCCAAAAACTAAACAGCGCGGGCGTGGCGACTGACTGTAAGGCCGCTTGCATGCGTTCGGATCATTCTCGCCTGCCTCGTCACTGGGCACCACGCGTCGGGCGTAGATCTTGATGGTGGTGGTCGAGCGCGTGTCGTTGTAGTCTAGCGGGACGTCGAAGAGGTATTCGAATACTTTGATGCCTGTCCGTGTTATGTCTCGCGTTAGTCAAAACCGTGCGGATGAGGGATTGGTTGCTCGGGGGAACTATTGATGATTGATACCTTGCACGGCGTACGTGTCTATAATTTCAAACGCAGTCATGGCGGCGCGCACTCACTGCTCTGGTAACAGCAGAGGAGGTAATTGACAAACAAGTGCTACTAATTATCAGAAGATGTCGGGTGCGGTCTCGACAGGGACTATTTAGCAGTGCTCAAAGTAGCAAGCCGAGTGAGGCTCAAATGTGTGTCCTCTCTCTGATATCATCTACCCGCATTACATCATCGTGAAAACTCTACATCTCTAAACTATCATACATTTCCTAGCTACAATCAATACTGCTGCTGATGCTGCTGCTGTCCTTGCTGCGCAAGCGCCCCGAGCAAGTACTGCGTCAGCGCGTTCTGCGGCAGCCCGCCGACTTGCCCGCCAAGCTGTGCAGGCTGCGGTGCCATCTTTTGCTTTGTGCGGAAGACAATCTCGGCTCCTACCGCTGGATCCTCAGAGATATATTCTAGATGATTGTTAGTTCTTTTTCTCGACTCGCACGACAAAAGATGAAGTGGACTCACCATCGAATTTAACCGACGTAGATCCAGGAACCCGCTCAAACACCTGAAGCGAGATCTTTGACTGCGCTTGCAGATCGAGGTTCAAAAACACGACACCGTAAACTCCCTCCAGTATCATATGCAGAATCACTGATGTCATCGATAGCCGGGATGACACGTCCATCACGTCCACCTTGATTGCTCTGTCTTCAAACGCCTTGCGAACGAACCAAACGAAATTCCTAGATATGATTATTCCATCCGTTAGCCACGATCTCAAAAGCACAAGGAATCTTTCGACAAAACTCACCGATCAACACTCTCAGTCACCAAGATCTGGCATTCCGGAACATCCTCAGGCCTCCGCCGCGGCGCCCGCCACTCCTCAGACGCAACAGGCGACGGCGACCTACCCCCCCTTCTCGGCGGCGACCGCTCGCGATACCGGTCTCCACGCCGACGAGGCGGCGAGATCTCCCGACGATCGCGAGATCTCCCACCGCTGTACTCGCTGCCTCGGTCATTAGATCCTCCGACGTAGGAACCGTAGCCGCCGTGGAAGTCGTTACCGCCGCCGCCGCCGCCTCTACGGGGAGGAGAGACCGAACGGCGTGAATCATACCGGTCGCGCTCGCGATCTCTGCCGCCTTTTTCTCTGCGACCTGACTGTGCTTTTGACTCCTCGAGATCTAGATATACCCTTGTTAGACTCAAAATAGCAACTGACGGTAGAGAACACAGCTACTCACGAATCCTGCGCCCGTTGATCAACGTCCCCTGCTCAGCAGCGATAGCATTCCTACAATCCTCCGCCCGTTCAAACTGCACAAACCCATACGACTGCTTCAACGAGATCTGCGCGAGCTTGCCAAACTTTGCAAACATCTTATACACGTTCCGTTTCTCGACCGAGTCGGTCGGCAGGTTCCCGATAAACAGCCTCGCGCCCTGCGGAAACCGCTCCCAGTCGTTTTTAGACATGCACTCGGATTCGTAGTCGAGGAAGGCGCTGTAGGACGCCTCTTCTTCGGACGTGAACGGATCAGAGAGGTCGGCGGTGGTGTACTCGTTGAACGCGTCGCCTTCGCTTCGGCGCTTGCGCCGGCGCAGGTTTCCCTCCTGGTCGAGAGAAGACTCGTTCTCCTGCTTGCGAGCAGCGGAGCCGTCGTCGACGAAGAACGACGCCTGGCTGTTGCCGTCGTTGGAAGGCGCGGGCGGCATTGCCGCAGGCGGGACAGTGATCCCGGCCGACATCGCGAGGCCGAGCACCGACTCGATCGAGAGATTTGAGAAGGAAGGCGCGGGGGTAGTTGATGCCGGCTGAGGCTCAGAGATTGCGGTTGGTGGGAGTGGAGAGGTAGATTCTTGAGGGGGAGCAGGTGGATCTTGCTCGGTGTTTGCAGACGCGTCGGTCTCGTTCAAGGCAGGCTCATTCGAGGCAGCGGCAGAGGACTCGGGTGCTTCTTCATGGGTGGAGATCGAAGCGGTCTGCTCGCTACCTGCATTTTGAATAGCTTCTGATTGCTCCGTGGGTCGAGTGTCGGAAGTTGCTTGCTGCTGTTGCTGTTGCTCTACTTCTTGTTGCTGGGGGAGCAGATCTTCTTGCTGCTGCTGCTGCTGCTGCTGCTGCGGAGGGTCTGGAATTTGTTCAGACATTTGTTGTATAGTTTAGATGTGAGCAATAACAACAACAGAGAAGGAGAAACCGGTAGAGGAATGATCTTTTCTTGCGATATGGAGAGGAAGATACGAATTTTTGTGTTTACTACCAGGGAAGAAAGATGATGAGATGGCGATGGGATCGGGTCGAACAGAGGTAGGACTGGTAGGATAATCGACAGTTATCAAAACTTTTGAGACGAAGAAGTAGGCAGATGGAGATGGAGTTCAATTGGTATTTCACTGATGGTGTTTTGTAGTGGGTGGGTGGGTGGTCGAGTTGTTGAGATGGAGAAGTGAGGAGAGAAACAAGAACTCGAATAACTTCAAGCAGGGTAACGTATTACATAAGCAATTACCAATAAACTGTATCTGAATAGTAAAAAACTAGTTACTGTATTTCGTACACTACACTGAACTTCCAAACAACAAAACAATTACAAAGTAGAAGCAAACTCACGCTCACATCCCCGCCGGCGTAAACCGAGACAAAGCTGTCGCCCTACCGAAAACACAAACAAACCTCTCGGACTTTGCCTCCACGCCGGACGCCCTAAAGTTCACACGCGTGTGCCCATTTCCTGTTGTCATTGGCCGCAGCTCCCAGCAAAACTCCGAGAGAGAACCAAGTATTCCAACGCGTTTACGGTGCACGACTCGATTTGGCTCGGCATGCGCGCGATCAGCTGCGCGGGTTGGTGACGAGTGGAATTAGGAAACTGAGTTGGTATGCCGGGGTATAAAACTGGCGGGGCTCGCGGTGGCGATGATGGGCAGAGGAAGGCCAAGGTCAAGGACGAAGAAGAAGAGAAGCAGCAAGCCAGAGTGAATACAATGCGACTGCTCATCCTGCTCTCTGTGTTTATCACCGCAGCCCTCGCGCTCGCTCTGCGCCCTCACCAACAACTCGCATTCACGAAACCGCTCGATGATCTGTTCGCGACCGACTGGCACCTCTTCCGCCATCTGGGCGGCTACTCACCCTGGATCCCGCACATCCACCACAAAGGCAGCCAGGACAACACAATCAAAGACGGGGAACTGCCAGAGACGTGCACAGTCGAGCAGGTGCACATGCTGTCCCGCCACGCCGAGCGGTTTCCTACTGTCTCTGTCGGATTGAAGATGAAGCAGCTCGTGCGGCGGATGCGCGACGAGGCCGGGCCTGAGATCTTCCCGTTTCTTGATCGGTGGGAGCTGTTCTTCGACGTCGACGAGGCGACGGGGAAGAGCAGACAGCTAGAGCAGTTGACTGTGAGCGGGAAATACGCCGGCGTCGACCGCGCACGCCTGGCAGGCGAGAAACTGCGCGGGATCTACGGCCATCTGATCGAGCAGCAGGACTCAAACACCAGCGCGACGTCGATATTCTCGTGCTCGTGTGATCGCGTTGTCGATACGGCGGATCAGTTTGCGACTGGGTTCTTTGGTAACGATACTTCTTTCAACCACGTCATCGTTCCCGACCGCGACGCTTCGCGCGGAGGGGACACGCTCACGCCGGTGAAGGCCTGCACGCGGTACCGCGAAGACGCGCTCGCGGGACGCCCGAACAGCAACACGATGGCGGACCTCTACAAGCTCTCGTACTTGACTCCCACGGCCGAGCGCCTGCGGCAGATCTACAAGAGCTTCGAGTTCAGCGTCAGCGAGCTGTGGACGATGCAGGAGCTGTGCGGGTTTGACATTCTCGCGACGGGCAACGAGGATAGTCCCTGGTGCGCGCTGTTTACGAAGCGCGAGTGGGAGCAGTTTGAGTATGCGCGCGATCTGCTGCATTATTACCGGACGGGGCCGGGGACGCCGTATAGCGAGGTGATGGGGTATATTTACTTGAATGCGACGAGCCAGTTGCTGAGAGAAGGACCGGAAAAGGTCGGCAAGATATTCTTGTCTTTGTATGTTCTTATTCTGTTTTAGATGCGTTTAGAGTGAGATATACTGACTAGAGTATAGTGCACACGATGGCGATTTAGTGCCGCTGATTACGACGCTCGGCTTGTTCGAGCAGCACACGCCGCTGCCGACAACACACGCCGTGGACGACCGTGCTTGGAGGCTATCGTCAGTAGTGCCAATGGGCGGCCGCATCGTCTTTGAGCGTGTATCCTGCACCTCCTCCTCCTCCTCCTCCTCCTCCTCAGAGCAGACCGGCGTGCGTTTACTCGTCAACGACGCGGTGACAACAATCCCCGGCTGCCACTCATCCACGTCCGGCATCTGCCCACTCTCCGACTTCCTCGCGCTCGTAGAAGCCAAGGGCGCCGCCGTCGGCAAGTTCGAGGACGTCTGTGGGCTCGGGACAGGTCTCGGCCGGCGCCCGTCGTTCCTGCACCACGGCGGAGTTCTAGAGCGCGAGTAAGGTTTGCGATAAGGTTTGACGTAAGGTTTGGAAGGTGAAATTGAGTTTGGGCTATTGACTCGCATTGTTTACATGACATCATCCTTCCACTTTGTTCTTTGGCTGTTCTTTTGTTCTCGTGTTCTCCATTGTGTATGACTCTTTATGGACGGCTGTGTCCTTTATGTACGGCGTCGGTATCTTCTCTACTTATATAGAATGAATATAGAATGATGTTGGTCTTATTGAGATCAATAACAAAAATATAGCGACACGGTCCAACAAACATAAATCCCAATAACACGCAATTAAGATAACTAACACAGAGAGAAACAAAAATACACGATAGTTGGTACACTTTGCCGAACTCGCACTTTGAACAAAAGGAGAGCTCATGCAAATAGGGGAAGATCACGCTTGGACATGATAAGCATTGATCCGTAAAGTGGTGCATTGAAATGCATCATAAGAAAAGAAAGAATCGAGAGATCTCGTTCGCTCGCTTTTGTTTTTCTCCACAAATGGTTCGCAGCCGTACAGTAAAATACGACAATGAGAAAGGGAAGATGGAGGAAGGTAAATAAAAAAGAAAAAAGAAGATCAGAGCAGAGAAGGGAGTGGAATTGCTTAAGCAACCACAGTCTTGGGCTCCTCCTCAACAGGAGCCTCCTCCTTGTCAGCCCACTCCTCCTCGGCAGCCTCAGCAGCACCTTCCTCGAGGATACTGGTGTTGGTGATAGACAGAGTAGGCTTGACGGCGGCGGTGTCGAAGGTCCAGTTGGCAAGAGCGTTCTCGCAGTCGATGATGATCTGCTTGGAGCTCTCGTAGCCGTCGTACGCGGGGCGGGTCTCGCCAGGGGTGACCGGGTGGTCGTCGATGAGATCGAGGAGCGAGAGACCGTAGTTGGCAATCATGGCCAGCTTCTCGGCGTGCTCACGAAGGGCATCGAACTGGTAGGCAAAGGCAGCCTTGAGCTTCTCGCGGGTGATGTTTGAGAGCTGGGCCTCGGCGACGAGGGACTCGGCCTCGGCGCGGACGAGCTCCTGCTCGAGGACGACGATCTTGGGGGAGTTGGGGTCCTTGTACTTGAGCTGGGCGATGCTGTCGGTGATCTTCTGCTTGCGCTCGCGCGAGGGCTGGACGGAGGCCTCGATGTTGCGGATAGACTTCATGGTGACACGGTACTGGTCGTAGCGGTCGATGAACTGGTCCTCGAGCTCGCCGATCTCGTAGATGAGGACGCCGAGCTTGTCGGTGACGTCGGAGACGTCGTCGTCGCAGTCCTCGCCCCAGAGGGAGAGCTGCTTGGCGACCTCGCGGCGCTCGGAGGAGACCATCTCGATGGAGCGCATGACGTTCTTCTCCATCTTGACGAGCTGGGCGAGCTTGCGGGACATCTCGGGGCCGAAGGAGCCAGCGGCGGTGCGGCGGAAGGAGTGGGCTGCAGGGGGGGGAGTTAGTGTGATGAGGAGTGCATGAGGAGGGGGGGCGGGTACGTACAGATGGAGCCCTTGCCGAAGAAGCGGCCGGTCTTGGTGGAGGAGGGGGGAGGGGGGGAGTGGCGACCTGCTGGGCGGTCGGGGCGCGGTTGTTGCGCATGGAGTATGTTCTGTGCATGTTGATTGAGTAGAGAGAGTAGAGAGTAGAGAGGAGAGAGGGTCTAGGGAGAAGTGGTGAAGAGAAGAGAGGATGCGAGGTGTGATGGGCAGAATATAAATGTTTATTTTCAGGCCGGGTGGGTGGTGACGGTGAGGTAATCAGGGCGGCGTAGATTACGTGATTAACCGGAAGCGGACTAGCGCGCGTCATCGTGCATACGGCGAACGGCAGCGGAGGTACTGCGCTTCCAGGGCCTTTCTCGACGGTGCAGCCCCCTGGTCAGATAGAAGAGGTGACGATGGCGTATGTGTTTGTTGTGCTGTATTGTATCGTTGCAGAGCAGACATATCCACAGTATCCGCATCTCTTTGCTCCTCTTCACATCTCCGTCGTCGCAGCAGATACTGGCCCGGGCAGGGAAATTAGGCCTTCTATTTACACCTTCCTATCTCGGACGGCGCTGTACCACCCGGTACACGGCTCTGTCGCAGTCCCCGTGGCAACTTATCGAGATCTGCGCCGTCTCCACGGCAACAGATCTTACGTCACGGCGATCCTGAAACACAGTCTGTGCCTGTGCGTCATATTTGTCATCACCCTCTACTCTATTACTAACCCTCTTTAACAACACTATCAGTACTAGTACTCATCACTAATAATCTACGGGCAGCCCCCCGCTAATCTGAACAACCTCCGTGATGTCGGCTGCCACCCCGTTCGTGTACATAAACATCGTCATGTCCAGATAGTCCCGCAGCGAGCACGTCGATCCATGCCACACCGCCGCGTTGTATGTCACCGACTGGTTCCCGCGTGCGACAAACGCCTTCAGCTTGCTCAGGTCCGGCATGCCCTCTGCGAATTGTTAGTATGTAGATCGCAGCCAAATACGGGACTATAGCAGCATTTACTCACCAGCATCGTTCTCTGTCGCAAGCACCAAGTACGCCGCCTCCTCCTTATCCACCCCCATCGGGAAAAACGTCTGCGACGACATCGGGTGTCGCTCAATCATCATCGCATCATAGTGCTTAGCCGTGCGGTCAATCGTCGCCGGCGGCATGAACCGCTGCAAATTGAAGCTGCAGTACGACTCCGGGTTGAACTTGGACTGCTCATACTTCCCCTCTGGCTTCACCACATCTCCCTGGGTAAAGATGTTGCCCGCTCCCTTCGCCGGCAACTCGGCCGCAATCTGGTCCCGCGGCGAGATGACCGACCCGAACTTTGCAAATGCCTCTGGTGTGAGCTCTTCTGCCACCACCGTCTTGCCCGAGTAGCTGATAGTTGCGATAGTCATTGTGTGTTTATTCAATTGATATGTGCAGTACAAGTAGTAATAAGACCGATAACTCACTACAACAGCCAGAGCAGACCAGACCAGAACAGAACAGAGGAAGAGAAGAGGCGGCACGGCTATATATGCTCTCCACGCCTTCCCCCCATCTTTTCAGATGCGCATAATCCGGACCTAATTCCGCTTCTATATTTCCTGCCTTCTATAAGCCAGATGTGTCTACAAATTCTCTTATTTTAACTAGATGTTTCTTGATCAGTAGCATTGCTCTGTCTTGTCTCTCATCTCTCTTTCATATGTCTTGTCTTTTGTCTTCTCTACTCTCTCCTCTTTCTCAGCACCAGCACAGCTCTCCTCCGCTATCTCCATCTCCACCCATCACCATCCAGTGGGGGCCAGCTGGTGGGGGGCACAGTGGCTGAGCCGTGGCTAGTGCTATGGCAGTGCATCTTGCACGTGCTCTAAACTAGGGCTCAACCCTACCCACTTACCCGGCCCCAAAAGCAGTCACACGCAGCCCTCCTCCCAGACGCTCGCCTGCACGCTCGCCTGCACGCTCGCTCTGCGTTCACGCCTGCTCAGCTCGCTCAGCTATCATCTCCAACTCTCTCGAGCAACACCCTAAACACTCACCCAAACAACCCCAACTATCATCATAATGGCTGACGCTGCTCCCAGAGGAGGATTCGGACGTGGACGAGGTGGCGACAGAGGCCGCGGCCGTGGCCGTGGTCGCCGTGGTGCCCGCGGTGCCAAAGAGGAGGAGGCCTGGAAGCCCGTCACCAAGCTCGGCCGTCTCGTTCGCGCCGGCAAGATCAAGAGCATGGAGGAGATCTACCTGCACTCGCTCCCCATCAAGGAGTACCAGATCGTTGACGAGTTCTTGCCCAAGCTCAAGGACGAGGTCATGAAGATCAAGCCCGTCCAGAAGCAGACCCGTGCCGGTCAGCGCACCCGATTCAAGGCCATCGTCGTCATCGGTGACTGGGACGGCCACGTCGGTCTCGGAATCAAGACCGCGAAGGAAGTCGCTACCGCCATCCGCGCCGCCATCATCATCGCCAAGCTCTCCGTCATCCCCGTCCGTCGTGGATACTGGGGTGCTGCTCTCGGACAGCCCCACTCCCTTGCCAACAAGACCACCGGCAAGTGTGGTTCTGTCTCTGTCAGAGTATGTTCTTCTCCTCAATTTGTGCAATTTGTGCAATTTGTGCAATTTGTGCATTTAAATTTGTATGAATTGTATAAAAGAAACAACTCACTAACACCAACACAGCTCATCCCCGCCCCCCGTGGTACCTCCATCGTCGCCTCGCCTGCCGTCAAGAGACTTTTGCAGCTCGCTGGTATCGAGGATGCCTACACCTCGTCCTCGGGCTCGACCAGAACACTCGAGAACACCCTCAAGGCCACCTTCGTCGCCATCGGCAACACCTACGGTTTCCTTACCCCCAACCTCTGGAAGGAGACTGCTCTCGAGCAGTCCCCGCTCGACGTCTACAGCGACCTACTGGCGTCGGAGAAGCGGTCCTACTAGATACATTAATGTTGGTTTTCTCGTTTAGTTTTCATTTTTTATTTTTGCCTCGTTTGGGTCTTGTATAATTTCAAAGTTTAGTGTCTAAAATTGGGGTATGACGGCGACCAAAAGAACTTAGCTGTGTGTATAAAGTTATATTGAATAGCTACCTTTTTCATTATAAGAGCTATCATCTAGTTCTCTAGTTGTAGTTCTCTCCTACCTCTCTCTGTATGTAGATAGTCGTAGTGAAGATGAGTCGACACTCAAACTTTAATATCACCGATTTGAAATAGCGCTCTCGAGCTCGAGTCCTCATATCAGGACACCACTCCACCACCACCTCACCACCCCACGTTCAACTCGCCCATATTCACCATGGCCCAGTCTGCTCCCGAGCGGGCGATCAAGTCGCTGCTCGACACCGATCTGTACAAGCTGACGATGCAGGCCGCGGTTCTTGACCATCATCCGGATATCGGTATCGCGAGATCATTGACTTGTCCATTATCTGTTGCCGCAATCCCGAGACTAACCCGCTTGTCTGCTCTCTAGTGGTCTCGTACACCTTCAGAAACAGAACGCCCGAGAAGAAACTAAACAAAGAAGCCTTCGACTGGGTATCCGAGCAAGTCAAACGTCAGTCCACTGCTTTGTTGTTCCCTCACCACCCGCTAACTCTTCTACCAGTCCTTGGATCGCTCGCGTTCACAAAAGACGAACTGACCTACCTGCGCTCAAACGTAAAACAGCTACCGGGCCGCTACCTCGCCTTCCTCGAGACCTTCCGGCTGAACCCCGACAAGCAAGTCTTTCTGTCCTACAACCCGGCCACGCAGGAGACGAGCGCGCGGATCGAGGGTCTATGGGTCGAGACCATCCTGTACGAGATCCCGCTGCTCGCGCTCATCTCGGAAGCCTACTTCAAGTTCGTCGACACCGACTGGGACTACTCCGGCCAGGAGGCGCGCGCGGAGGAGAAAGCGCTCGAGCTGCTCTCGTTCGGTTGCGCGTTCTCGGAATTCGGCACCCGCAGACGACGCTCGTTCAAGGCCCAGGAGATTGTCATGCGGGGCCTCGTCGCCGGCGATGTAAAGTACCAATCGAGCTCAGACGCGAACGTCTCGGCCGGACTTAAAGGAACCTCGAACGTCTACTTTGCGTGGAAGTTTGGAATCCTGCCCATCGGCACCGTCGCGCACGAGTGGATCATGGGCATCGCTGCCATCACGCAGGATTACTCAAACGCGAACCTGCTCGCGATGGAGCAGTGGCGCAGCACGATGGGCGACCGCAACGTCGGCGTCGCGCTCACAGACACCTTCGGCACCGACGCGTTCTTAAAGGTCTTCACGCCAAAGCTCGCGAGTATATACAGCGGCGTGCGGCAGGACTCGGGCGACCCGCTTGTGTTTTTGGAGAAAGTGGCGAGGTTTTATGATGAGAAGGGGATCGACAAGTCGAAAAAAGTGATTGTGTTTAGTGATTCGTTGGATGTGGAGTCGTGTAAGAAGTACAAGGCCGCCACAGATAAGGCAGGCATGCTCTGTTCATTCGGAGTCGGCACCTTCTTCACCAGTGAGTTCTCTCCTATTATCTTTATTAAACAACACAGACTAATTAGTTCATAGACGACTTCCGCACCCTCTCGCCCCCCACAAAAAATCCACGCCGCTCAACATCGTCGTCAAGCTCGCGTCCGCAAACGGCAACCCGGCCGTCAAAATCAGCGACAATTTGGGCAAGAACATGGGCGACAAAGCGACCGTGCAGCGGGTTAAAGAGGAGCTTGGGTATGTTGAGCGTAATTGGGCCGGCGGCGATGAGGATAAGCGGTGGCAGGATCCGTCGGCGGCGGCGGCGGCGGCGGCGGAGAGCGGAGCTGTGGCGAGGTGAGGTGGATTATGTATTGTAGAATAAAGTAAAAGAAAAGATGAGATGAGATTGCATGATTACAAGATTTATTGTACACTACAGACCCGAGAAATACCGAAAGATGGATCCAACAGTCAACTGATCGGCCGGATCAACTTTTGCTTGCTGCAGCGCGAGCGCCTCGTCCAGCTCTTTCAGCAGATCCCGATGGTTCTCAATGTACTTTTTTATCCGCGGGAATTTCTCATCTATAACCGCATTCACAAACGACACGCTGTACGAAGGCACGGTTTGCACCAGCAAATGCGCAATCAGAAACACATCAGCCGTGCCAGGCCTGTCGCCAAACAAAAACAGGTCGCCGCCGCTGAGAGCGTCCTCGATCGGGGCATACCCTTCTGTCGCGACACTCAGCATGCGCATCACGGCGCCAAACTCCTCAGACCCGCCGCGCACGACGCCGACGGAGGAAGTCGCGCCGCCGATGGCCTGCTTGACGCGGTCGACGACGGACTGCGGCACGTCCTTGCTCACGGCGGCGTACTTTATCGTCTGTTTTTTGAAAAACGAAAACCCCGGGACGGCGTTCTCCGCTCCGCTGCCGCCGAGTTGCTGCTGGCGTAGGTTGTCGGGCGAGTTCTCGGCAAGGTCGAGGTTGTAGACGTGCGCGATGCGGTGCTTCGCGTTGTTCATCATCCACAGCGAGGCGGCGTATCGGGCGAGCGAGGGAGGCAGCAGCGCGAAGAGGCCCGGGCGGAAGATGTATTGGAAGTGGAGGACGTGCAGGCGCTGGATGTAGAGCGAGATCGGTTGCAGGGTTTCGGAGACGTAGGTCGAGAGGACGGTGTCGCGCGCGGGATCGGGAGTCGGGAGGACGACGTCCTGGGATTTGAGGAAGCGGAGGACTTCGAGGATGCCGGAGGCTACTATCTTGCCGTCTTTCCGGAGCGCGGGTAGACGCACTGCAAAGTATCAGTATTATAATCAGAAATCAGCAGAGGTGGTAGGAACAGCAACACTCACTATCAGGAGACACGAGTGGATTCGAAGACGGCACGACGAGGTATTCGTCAGTCGGCCCGTCCGCGAGCTCGAGATAGAGCATTGCTGCGAGACAGTCTGCGTCGAAGGACGGCAGCTCTGCTATCCTTCCCCAGACGTGTAGTTCGTACATGCTGCTGTTGCTGTTGTTGTTGACTGTATATATCTCGATTGAGTAGAAAGAAGACGAGCAGAGCATCTAATTTTCTCAGGGGGTGGGGACTACGTCATGTTCTTCCTCCTCTCCTCTCCCCTCCACCACTTCTACACCACCACAATGCCTCACATCACCATCCTCGGCTCGCTCAACTACGACATGGTCGTCTACACCCCGCGCATGCCCGCGCCAGGCGAGACCATGCACAGCGACGCCTTCGAGACCCACAACGGCGGCAAAGGCGCAAACCAGGCCCTCGCCGCCCGCCGCCTCAGTCCGCCGGAGACGGTCGAGGTCGCTATGGTCGGACGCGTCGGGCAGGATGGGTTCGGGAGCGAGCTTAGGGAGGGGCTTGAGAAGGCTGGTGTCGATGTTTCGCGCGTGGAGATGGTGCAGGGCGAGTCTGGCGTCGCTGTGATTTTGGTCAGTGGTCGAATTGTCAAGAGACAAGTGTTCAGACTACTAACAATAGCTTCCTCCAGGTCGAACGATCAGGCGAAAACAGAATCCTCGTCCACGGCGGCGCAAACGACACCTTCACTCCCGAGGACATCACCACCTCCCTCTTCACCGCCCACGACAACACTCCAACAGACTACCTCATCCTCCAAAACGAGCTCCCGCTCGCCGTCGTCCGCCGCGCCATCTCCCTCGCTTCCGAACTCAACATCAAAATCGTCTACAACCCGTCCCCGATGTCCCCCGAGATCCTCGAATGGCACGATTTGCTGCCTTCAATTGCCTACCTTGTCGTCAACGAGTCCGAGCTGAGCGCGTTGATCGGCGTCGACCTCGAAGTCTCCTCCGCGGCCGACATCACAAGCGAGACAATCACCGCCGGCGTCGCGCTGCTATACACAACCCGCGGCTTCACCGGCACCGTCGTCGTCACCTTCGGCGGCCACGGCTCCCTCTTCTGCGTCTCAGGCTCCAAGCCCGTCTTCCAGCCCCCATACAAGCCGGCCTCGGTCGTCGACACCACCGGCGCCGGCGACAGTTTTCTCGGCGCGTTCGTGGGCGCGATCGCGTCTGGTAGGTCCGAGGCCGAGGCGATCAGGTGGGGTGCAGCAGCTGGGTGTTTGGCGGTGCAGAAGAAGGGCGCGGCGGATAGTATTCCTTTGTTGCAGGACGCGCAGAGGTTGGTTGAGGCATCTACATAGCATAGATTTGTATTATAGAGCGTATTATAGAGCGGATGATGTAGCTATTTCAAGATCTGCGCTTTTTCACCGAGCAGCATAAATCAAACCGTCCCCTCACAAACAAACAATTCCTCTAATCTCTTTCATATCTCTTCCAAAAGCACAATATCAGACTCGATGAGGGTGATCTGAAATCATCACGTGACCATCTCAAAACTCAAGCCTCTATCGTCTCTTACTGCCTTTAGCCCTGTTTGATATTCCCTTCCCCACAAATCACCACGTCCACGAACTCCAGACAATCGGGCTCTGCTGATCTACATCAGCCTGTGCGTATAACAATCACGGAGAGGAGAGGAGGCACAGTGCGACGAGATTTCTTGGAAATAATATAATCAGAAATAATCTGGAAGCAAGGACTTACACCAAATGACCTCGAAGGCATCGAAAACGCGACCCCCGGGGTTCACCGCCGCGCGCCCGTCGTCGTCGTCGTCGTCGGCAAAGACAAAAGCCGGGGCGACGACGAACGGTATCGCGACGAACAGGAGCAGCATTGGCAGCAGCAACAACAGCAGCAGTAGCTACTACGGCAATTCGCCGGCGACGCCGAGTACGCCGGCAAGCAGTAGCGGCGCGACGAGCAATATCAAAAAGGTGAAACTGATTCAAAAGAGCGCCGGGGGTGGAGTTTCCGGCGCGAGCGGGATAGCTGCCGTGTCGGCGTCCGGGAGTCCGACGACGCCGACGGGGGTGTCGCGGAAAGCGAGCTGGACGAGTGCTGCGAACGCAAAGAGTCATCTGGTTAATAGCATGACGCCGGCGTCGCTGTCGGCGGACGGCAAGGCCGGCATGCTGGATGATGATTCGATGATGCGGGTCTCTGGACGTCGGCCGAAGTTGGATGAGTATAAGTTTGGTATGTTTTGTCTTGCTCTTGTTGGTATATCTATGGGATATTGACGCGTTATTGTAGCTGAAACAAGCGAGGAGATATTGGAAAAGTACAAGGGATTTCCGTCAAGTATAGACCTACATATATACCCGACACATTACAGATTCGGAAATCAAGTACGGCCTTTATTCTTGTTGTGACCGTGTTAGGACCATATTAATGCTTTCTTCTTCAACACAGGACGCGGTGATTCCCGCGAGCAGTCCATCTATCAAGGTAAGATCTCTCTGCAGTATCCTTCTGCAGCTTCGTTTACTAATCTCTTGTGCATACAGAGCTTCATGGATCAAGTCAAATTAGGCCAAATCCCACCTCCCGCCGTCGAGATCTTCCACGAGGCAGGCGTGAAATTCTACGAAGGATGTATCATCCTCGAAGTCTACGACCACCGCGCAAACTCCAGCGGTTTCACAGGCGAACACACAAGTCAAGAGTTCAACAATCCCTCCTCATCCCTGCCTCTCGTCTCCTCCACTTCCTCGAAACCTTCACCACAGCAAAAACAGCAGCCGACGAATACCGCTGTAGTAGACCAAAAGCCGGGCGACCAGCAGTCCTCTGCAACTTCCTCCTCCGCAAACCAACAGTCTAGCGGAGAACCACACCGCGAACGAATCCTGCTCCACCCCACCCCTCTATCTCTCTGGTACGATCTCACCTGGCTTGCGGAGCGAACAGGCGCATGCTACAGCGACGCCCTGACGCTCACGCTCGAATCGCAAATCCTCGCAACCACCGTCCCGCGCCTCGACCTCGCTGTCCCGACCGAGCCCCCGTTCTCACAACCCGACCTCCCTCCCTCTCTGCAACCAACTCCACCCCCTTCCCTCGCCGTCAAAGACGACCTCGGCCTTCTCCACGCACCCAACCCGCCCACGATGGCGAAGCGGAAACGCCCACTACACGAAGACCTGCCGCAGCAGAGCACAGAGTACGAAGAAATGATGCTAATCATGGACGAGCGCCCGCCCACCGGCACAGGCCAGTTCGTCCGACTCGGCTTCGTCGAGCAGTGGCGGCGCAAGCGCGAGCGCGAGCGGCAGCAAAAGCTCGCGGCGTCGGTTATCGCGAGTAATAACGCGCAGATGGGCGGCAACGGCGCCAGCGTCGTCAGCGCGAACGGGATCGCGCATAATGGTATGGGCGCTGGAATGCAGCATCGGCGGTAGTCTGGGACTTCAATCACTTCTTCAACCAGAAGACTTTTTTTCACTTTACTACTTTCTATTTTTTTGTTTGGGATTGTATAACTAATTGCCATGTATATTAATACCACAACTACTACCGGTGCGCGTTCGGAACGTTCTTTATCTTTATCTTTATCTTTTTTCTTACTTTTCTTCTTTGGTCCGCGTTGGTTTATCTGATTTATAGATTCGTTTTTCTTTTCATGTGGGTTTTCTCTGGTTTCTGGGAACATTCCACAAGAAAGCACAAATCACAAAAAAAGCAAGATCGGCTGCTGTATGATATGTTGATTGTGATACAGGTGAAATGTCAATCTGTTTTCTACTAGTAGGTGATAGTTGAGGAGAAAGAAGGTAGATTTGTAGACTGTATTGTACAGAAGCGGAACCCCACTCCAGAAATTATTTTTATCGCAAAAGGCAGAGCGTCTCTACCCACGATCAAAGAAATCGTCGTCATCGTACTCGATGCCCTCACCCTCGCTCTGCTCGAGCTCGCTCTCGTTAATCTCGCCATCGTCGTCGGATTCGTCTTCGTCTTCGTCCGAGTCCTCGTCCGAATCGTAGCTCTCGATCGCGTCCGAGTCGCTGTCGAGTAAGCCCTCAGCGCTGTAGCCGCGCAGGACTTCGTTTTTGGATTGCGCTGGTGGAGAAGATGTTGGTTAGTATGTATATCTGATGGGAAGAAGGATGGGGAAGGATACTTACTGCCCATGGAGACGATGTATCGTCCCTCGACGGTACACCCGCTCAACCTCACTTTATCCTCAACACTCACGCCATTCGCGATAATGCAATTATCCAAATGCACGCCATTCCCGACCGTAACGCCGTCCATGATCACACAACCGGTAATTCGGCACTCGCGTCCAAACTTGCAGTCCGCGCCAACAATACTCCGCTTCACATTCGTCTTCTCGTCCATCTCGGTGCCGATCCCAATCAACGAGTCGCGACCAATCACCGCGCCTTTCGCGGTCGCCGTCGAGGGCGGGGGTGTGTACGCCGTTTGCTTGAGCACAAGTCTGTTGGCTTCAAAGTACGCGGACACAGACTTGCAGCGCAGAAAGCTGTAGTCGGCGGGGACGACGTAGAACCCGACCGTGCCGCGCGAGGACGAGTCGCGGTGGCGCCACGAGTCGCGCGCGATGTCGCGCACGAGCGCGGTCCATGACTTTTTCCATTTCGGTAGGTCGGCGGGGTTCGTCGGCGCGGAGGAGGACTGGTCGGTCGATGCAGATGTGGATGTAGATGTGGCGGTTGGGGATGCGGACGCGGCGGCTGTGGTGGTAGTGGTGGTTGCGGCAGCGGCGGCGAGGGTGGCAGAGCTAGAGAGGTCTCCGTCGTCGTCCAGCACGCGGCGAGAGAAGAGGTAAATGAAGGCCTCGAGGACGGTAGTCGAGATCGTGGCCTGCGGGTGTTCCCACAACATCGACATCCGCACCGTTAAAGGGTCGCTTCCCTTTGGTCGCGGGTATACGTCCAGCAGTCGCGGATGAGGTTTTCCCAGCGGAGTATGGATCGTAAGATTAGGCTCTGTAGATTTGTCGAGAGAGGTTAGCAGGCGCACGCATACTATGCTGCTACAAGACAGGAACTTACTCAGCGTCTTCTTGTCTATTGAGTCCAGCGTGTTCTTGTACCATATCCCCGACCCTATTGTCTTCACCGGCTGATTCCGATGCATATCCACCACCGTCTGCGGCGGCAGATCCGTCACGAAGTCGCAAGGAAGTAGAATGAAATCATGCTGTCCGTCAAATTAGCATCCCTCTCTCTCTCTCTTTTGTCTGCAGTCTACGCACCTTGATCTTGTCTTTTAGACTGCGGATAATAAACGCGGTCTCGCCGTCGACTGGAACAACCTCGATCTTCATTCCCGCCTTTTGCGTAGAGTTGTACTCCAGTTTGATGTACTGTGAAATCGCTTGCTCAGCAGCCGAGCTCGACACCACGATCGCAGCTACAGTTCACGTCGATAATTAGCCCTGTTCACAGATCAATCCAAGGCAATAAAACACGCAGGATTAAGAAAACAGCACCACGTACAAGAAATCCCAGCGCGATGACACCACTCCAGCGAGTAATACAGCATCGGTCTATTCGCGATCGGTAGCAGCGCCTTCGTCATGTACGGCGACACAAGCGGCGCCAGCTCTGTCCCCGGACCACAGAGGATGATGGCCTGGAACTCCATTCTTGTTTTGCTGTAGGAGGTTTGTTGAGGGACGTGGAGTTGTAGAGAACAGAGGTGTGCGCGGGTGAGGATCTGTTGGAAATTATTTTTTGGTTGTGGATTTTACTTTCTTGCTCTGCTTTGATGTCCAAGCCGCACTTTCGGTGCTTTTGCTTTTATCCCCATTTAATATGACAATAGTTCTGGTATTTGGATTCCATGTAGAATGAGTATGTTATGATAGATATTCTTATATTTCAGTCAACGTGTTCGACAACTGTAGAGAAACATCGGTTTTGTTATAACGCCGCTATTTACACCCATCCATTCATCTAATATACACTAGTCCACCTCCATCTTGACCTCCCCGCCGTCGCTCTCCCCGCTTTCCGAATCTTCAGACGCACCGCTGTCCGTCAATGGCAGAATAGTCCCAACCGCATGGTCCACCACATGCCGGATCCGACTCCTCAGCGGCTCGTATGAACACACGACCTCCATATTTCGGAAATTTACCGTCCCCACGTTCTGATCAATCTTGATGTACACCCCGTCGTCCGGGTTCTCCATCGGCTCGACCGCAGATCCGAACTGCGAGTCCAGAAAGACCAGCAGTCGCTCGATTTTCTCCGGCCGATTAAAGTGGCCCGCGCAATGCGACGGTTTCGACGAGATCTTCACTGACACCGGCGACGAGTCGACCGACAGCAGGATCGCAAGCACGGTATCTGAGATCGCGTCGTTGATCATGTTTCCTTCCCACTCAATCGTGAGCGAGCCCTTATTGCACCAGACCGTGACAGAGTCCATCACCATAAACCCAGTAATTTCCTCCGTAGACACATCCTTAACCGCACCAAACATCTGCTGCAAATGAAACTTCACCAGCTCGGACGTCGCGTCCACCGTCACAGTCTGCCGCTGCACAACCGCCGTCGTGCTCAACCCCGAAAACTCCTGCAAATCCTCCAGCGCAAGAATGCTCATCTCAAAATTCTTCTGCACCAGGATCCCTGACAGAATCTGGCCGTCCATTGGCGGCTTCGACGCGAGCGAGCCCATCACTTTTGCTACCTTGACCCCGCGGAAGGGAAGGCGCACTTCTTCCGAGTTCCGGGGATCAAATATCTTGATTTCATCCGCAGTGTCGCGTAAGTCCTTGTATTTGCCCAGCAACGCAGCTTTCAGACGGCCCATATTTTTCTGCTCACCGTGCACCAGAATCTAATCATATCGTCGTTAGTGACCGTGTCCACCTCAAAATACCAACATATACTCACAATGTTCGAGGCGTTAACCAAATCTATAAACTCAGAGTTTTGCTTAAAATCCACATGCGCAGCAAACGAGATTTCCTCAACATAAATCCGTCGAGGAACCTTGATCCCTCCGCCTGTGATTGACGGGAACTCAGAAGGCTCGTTCAAGATCTGCTTCGCCAACGTTCCCTCGACCGAATAACCCGTGATAATCAACGTATTCTTCGCATCCGGCGCCCACCGCTCTAAAAGCTCTCGGGAGACTCCGTTCTGCAGCATTCCCGGACTAGCAACCATCACGCAGGGCCCCAGATCGTCGAACCGCTCTAGGTTCTTTAGACTTCGAATATGCTTGAATTGGAAAGGGTTTGATCTGTCGTCGCGGAATTTCTTCCGAATGCTGTCGTTCATCATGTTGATGTATGTCTGATACACAGCCAGACACTTCCGCGCGAGCGAGGAGGCGTAAAAGACTGGTATTCCGTCCAGGTTCGAGTTGTTTTGCCAATACTCGTCCAGCACCAACAGTAGCTCTTGCGCGTTTCCTAGTGAGAACACGGGTAGCAAGCACCTTCCGCCGTTCAAGATAGTCTTTGTGATCAGATTCAGCAGTCTAGCCTCCTTTTCCTGTCGAGGCTGATGCGTGCTGGTTCCGTACGTCGATTCGGTGATCAGGATATCAGGCCGCTGAGGCGGCACTTCAGCAACGTTCAAATGCCGATCTTCTTCTCTGGAATAATCACCCGTGAACAAAACTTTGATACCGCCAATCTCGACAAAGTACATGGCGGCGCCCAACACATGGCCGGCGTGGTAGGCAGTGAATTTGATTCCGTCGACCTCGGTGGTGGAATGATAATCGATTGCCTCGATCCGTTCAAACGAAGAGCTGAGATCAGCGTCTGTGTACAGTGACGAGGCGTCGTTGGCGGAGATTGCACTGACGCGGACGTAATCACTCAGGAGCCATCGATAGATCGCTTTCGTGGGATGCGTCATAAACACGCGACCTTTGAAATCGGTGCGAGTCATTACGTACGGCAACGAAGCTGCGTGATCCAGGTGGAAACTAGAGCGGGCGGTTAGAAAGTGTCGTCAGTTAGAGATAGACGGTGGAAACGTACTGGCTGATCAAGAGAATATCTATACTCGAAAGATCATAGTCGTCGTAAAAGGGCAAAGCCGCCATGCCGTTCATCGCAGGATGAACTCCGGCATCCAACTATCCAAAAAGCAATTAGCATAAACACTCTGTAGGCCAGACACAATGGAAAGCATAGAAGATGACAAGAGCATTACCATCACTGTTTTGCCTTTATAACTTATAACATGACAACTTCGTCCGACTTCACTACCACCACCGAGAGCAATGAACTCCAGATAATCCGACTCATCAAACTACAGCAGCTGTCAGAATTCAACCACATCAAATACCAAAGATAATCACGACAGACAACATACCGACTCAGAGTCCACAGCTATTTTTTTGACACTCATTGCGCAGGCTGAGAAGTGCTCACACAGCGCAAGAAGATCGCTTGATCTGCCTAGTCCTGCCGCGGTATCCTCCCTCTCTGTACAGTAGCAGTACAGATACTAAGAAGCAATGCTATTCTCAATACCTCAGCTGTATCCTCAACTATATCCTCAGCAATATCCTCGTCTCTGAACCAGCATCGAGGCATCTCGTTCAGGAAACCAAGCAAAGTCAATCTTCAGACCCTAATCCACGCTCACCGCCATCTCCCACAAAGACGAAGAAAACCTTGCCTGGCCCCGAATTTTGATCTCTTTGGTGATCATCTCTGCGTTCTCTAAAGCCAAAGACCATCGCCTCTTATTTTCATTTTCTTAGTTGTTTACATGTGAGTCTTGCGGATCTGTCTCGTGTTTTTGTGGGTGTTTGGGTGGCGGAGCGGACGAGTGAGGATGGCGAGACGCAACTGTACCTGAGCAAAATACTGACCCTGCTTCTCTCACAGATCCCCTGTTTCCGTTCCCGTTTTTAATAAGCAATAGTAATTCATAATGGCCGATACTGCACCCGCGACTGAACCCACCGAGGTCGTCAACGAGAAGCCTACGCTCGAGACCCCGGTTGACGAGGTCAAGCCTGTGGCGGCGGATGAGGCCGCGGCAGAGACTGCTGAGACGGCGGAGGAGGAGAAGGAAGAGGTTGACGAGAACAGGATCGCGACAGTGTTTGATGATGCTGCTCATTTCACCGTCAAGCACCCCCTACGACACAAGTGGACGTAAGTTTGCTGCTGTGAAGTTACATGCTAGGTTCGAATACTGACGTGCATATCCTTAGTCTCTGGTACACCAAGCCCTCGCAAGGAGGAAAGGTAGGTTCTTATTTCTAGAGTGTATGATAAGCCAGAATCAAGAGTGCTAACAGAATCTATAATGAAGACTGACTGGGGTGATTTGCTGAAAGAAGTCGTGACCTTTGATTCCGTCGAAGAGTTCTGGGGAGTCTACAACAATATCCCCAAGGCCTCGGAGTTGCCTCTCAAGTCCGACTACCATCTCTTCAAATCCGGAGTCCGACCCGAGTGGGAAGATCCCCAGAACTCAAAGGGCGGAAAGTGGGCGTACCAGTACAGAGACAAGAAGAACGTCAATATTGATGACCTGTGGCTCAACAGCGTAAGTGTTTTGCGCCCGACTATCTTGCAAAGTAAGTGGTAGGCTAACAGGAGGCATAGTTGCTGGGAGCTATCGGAGAGACTCTCGAGGAGGACGGAGACGATGAGGTTATGGGCTGCGTCGCCACAATCAGAAAAGCGCATTACAGAATTTCCGTCTGGACCAGATCGGCCGACAACCAGAAGGTGCTCGTTGGCATTGGGTAAGTTCATCAATCATTTTTTTCTAAATCTTTACCGCTTGCTAAACAAAAAATTCGACAGTCGCCGATTCAAGGAGATCTTGAAGCTTCCCCACTCTGAGCAAGTCGAATTTGCCAGCCACGCCGACGCCGCTTCTAACGGTAGTTCCCGCGTCAAGAGCCGTTACACTGCCTAAGCGGTGCGGTAGACAGACAAGGGTAGCGCTGTTGAAGGAGACGGGAATGGGAAAGGGAGGGCAGATTTGGGTGTCAAAGTGTCTTAAATATGAAATACGTCGGGTTTGAATACTTCTACATTTCTCTCTTTATTTTTCTATCCGATTGAGATTTATACATTGCTCTTTCTCTGTTCTCAGACCCTTGGTTTAGCTTGAAATCTGTGGCTCGTGGATGTGGTCAAACAGGTTATTACGTGCGGTATTGAATATTGCGAAAATGCCACTCTTGTATTATAGTTAATACGTGTTTCAATGTGATTTGCTTTCTTTTCCTTATCCGTATTCTTCTTTTATAACTGTCTGGGTGTCTGGAATGGCATCTGGTTTGCTCGAAATGTATTCAATAAAATATATATACAAATTTGACCAAGTTTACATCGGTGAGGTTGCTTTTATATATTCGCACATGATACACTATATCGGAGAAAAACAACAGCAGCGCTTAGATCTTGGGGAGATGCGCGTTATCGTAGACGACGGCGCGCATGAGGTTATGCGCGATAGCCTTGCTAGGAGGCACCTTGATCGGGCAATCAGCATACATATCATCCGAGATATCCAAGACGTTACTCTTGAGCTCCGCGTTATCCAACGCCTTCTGGACGACCGAGAACGGGAACCACTGCGCATCGCCGAGCTCGGGGTCGTGCTCGAGATGGATCTTCTCGCCGTCCGGCAACGCCTCGCCGATCGCGCCAATCATCAGACTGGACGGATACGGCCACGGCTGGCTGGCGTAGATGGCGACCTTGCCGAGCTTGACGCCGCTCTCTTCCCACACCTCGCGACGGACGGCTTCCTCGATACTCTCGCCGGGCTCGAGGAAACCTGCGAGGCAGGAGTAGAAGCCGTTCGGGAAGCGCTTGTTGCGGCCGAGGAGGAGCTTGTCGCTTGTCGAGTTGACGACCGCGACGATGATTGTGGGGTCGGTTCGCGGGAAGGAGATGTTGGTCACGACGCCGCGCGATGGACAGCTTCCGAGCGTGACGCCTTTGTCGGTAGGAGGACAGACGCGCTTGCCGCCTGCGTTGACAGACATGGTCTTGTTTCCGCAGCCAGCGCAGAAAGGGTTACGCAAGTTCCAGTCCATGTACGAGCGGGCCATGGCGTAGATAGCGGCCTCGGAGTAGTTGAGCACGTAGTTGTTTCGGATGGGCGTGAAGGTGCCGCCGAGGGTCGCGACTTTGCCGACAATGTCGGCCAGGGCGGAGCCGAGCGGGCTCGCGGGGTCCTTGGCGGAGGAGAGGTCGATTGCAAAGTACGGCAGACCGGAGTATTTGTCGTGTTTCACGCCCGTGGCGGACTCGTCGAGTCCAAGAAATATGATGAGAGGGTACTCCTAGATAAACGTAAATCAGTATCATGCTCTGAGGACACGGGAGTGAAAGGGGATAAGGGTGACGATGAGAAAGATAGAGCTGGACGCACCTTTGACGAGTCCCAAGCGGCAACGGTATCCTCTTCGGATTTCTCAAAAGGATTGCCAATGGCAGCCTTGACGTCGTCGTAGGACAGATAGAGAATACTGCCGTCTTCTTTTATGGCCGGGTCGAGGCTGTTGACGACCATGAAGCGGGCGGCAGAGCAAGTGACGGCTTCGGAAAGGAACGCATAGTCACCGCGGAGGAAAGAGACGCGGTTGAGGGGATTGCCTGGCCATCAATTAGATAAAAAGATATAAGAGAGCAGCAAAAAGCTGGAGATTACCCGAGAAGTAGGCGCGCAGGGACTCGCCGTAGCGCTTGGTGAGGGGAGTAGCCATATCTGTGTATATTTGTGGGGAAGCAGAGGAATAGTAGCCTGCTCGAGATTGGACGGCGCAAAGACAGCGCAGACAATTCAGGCGGGATAAAGCAGGACGATAAGCAAGAAGACGATGAGAAATGTCGCGCCAGGCACGAGCTCTGAGTGGAATCGTGGATATCTTTGGGGAGGAGGATGGGAGCCGGTGGAGTTGAGGGAAGAGAAGGAGTCGGAGGCCAAACAGCCGCTCGGTCTGAGCGCCGACGCGAACGCAGATTATTTATCCGCCGCTCCATTCGTTGGTGTTCGGAGCAGGTGTTTTTACCCCGGTTTTCGTCTTTTTGTTTGTTTCTTTGAGAGATATATAAGAAGAGGTATGTAGATACTTGCTATTTAATTGATCTTACGTTAGTCGACAGCAGGTGTGATATATCACTGCCTTCAAGCTGCAAGCAGGGCACATCGACATCAGCCATTTACTTCGACTCTGCAGCCTTTGTTTTGCCATTCTGTTCTGATTCTTACAACGGATTTGATTATGCAACTATATCCTGCTTAGTATGCAACTTCCTGAGCCACTACGACCTCCTCGCTGTTTAATGTGCTCTATCTAAGCTACATTTACCCCCACGCTGCCAACAACCTCTTTCCCCTTCTGAATCTCAACAGCGCAGAATTGACATCTCTGACAACTGCGTACTTCTCTGAAAAACGAATTACTACCGCTACTTACTGCTTTTGTTTATCACACCCTTTAAATTGCAACAATCGATTGCGATCTCTTCTTCTCATCAGGTAGAATATCACAGTGCCGGAGATCCGAGCCCTCGACGACGGATAGCACCATTCATTTACCCCCCTCGATCCCTACCAAAGTCTTCCAAAGCACAGTCTACTGTCATTCTTTTATAGTCCACCAATCTGGCCTACCAACCAAAGACTACCGCGCTATTGCCGGCTTCAGCTGTATTTCTGCCTCAGATCCTTATCGGAAGCTGGTCCATTACGAATGCCGCATCATCTGCGGCTCAATACACTGTGTCTATGAAGATCAGAGCATACAGAGATTGACAGAGAAGAGGACTGCTTTAGATATGAAGGTTGGTGATGGTGGTTGATATTGTGCTAATTGATGGTATTTAAAGGGAAGATAATATTGATGGTTTGTGGAATATGAGGCGGGAGAAAGAGAAGGGAGAATGAGGTGAAGGCGCAGGTCGCTGGTGAAGACGAGCCATAGATCTCGGAATCAGGGCAGACTTACGACTAGCAAGAGTGATATACTAATTGCTTGTGATTCTAAATGATATCTACTCAATTGGGTATATAGACGGACTTTCTTGGTATTGAATGGATCAGTGTCTCGACTTGGATCAAATGCTCTGTAATGTCGCAGCGTAGATCTCTTCGCACTGCACTCCAGCAGCCACACTCGAGACCTACAAACACAACACGATTCATAAGAAGCAATTAGTTCAGCTATCAATAACTTATAACAACAGAGAAATCCCCGGTCCAAAGCTGCCTGGCGAAGCAGTGCTCGTCCAGGTGTCTGCCAATAGCCAATCACCCCACCCACAACCCTGCGGCTGCTTCGCGGTAGACACTTTCCGCCATCGTCCACCATCGCAGACCACCGCTCTTCGCCGCTTCTTCCCCATCGCCAGCCGGTCTCTTCTTGCTCCTCCTCTTCTCCCGCTCTGCTCTAGCGACGAGTCTTCACGCTCCGTCTGCTTGTCTGCTCAGCCACCGCTCACCCTGTCGTCCCCCTCCGCAGCCGCCTCGTTCGCTGCCGCGAAAGCTGCTGCGCTCCAGGCCCAGCTCAGCCAGCTCTCGGCTACCCTCTCGCTCCACAAAGACTCCGGCATCGCGGCCCTGCTCTGCGCTCGCGAACGTCTGCTTTCGTCGCACTTTGCCCAGTCGCTCTCGAAAGAGTACAAGCAAGCCCTCGTCGCGCTCTCCGAGGCTTCTCCTCTCGGCCTCACCTTCACCGTCGTCGCCGTCCTCTCCGGCCTCGCCCTCGGCACTTTCGCAATGCGTCGCTTCTTCGGTCTCGACGAACCCCAATCCGGCCGCACATCCTCCCCGTCCTCCTCCTCTCTCTTCGCCGACGCAAGCAAACCCGACCATGTCCTCGTCAAACACGGCAAGCAATTCCTCCGCGTCGACTTCTCAAAACCGGGCGACATCTCAAAGGGCATCGCGACCGTAGGCGACGTCCGCGCCACCACCGCCCGCTTCCTCGGCGTACCAAAGAACGACGTGATCCTCGTCTACTCTGGCAAGAAGCTCCGCGACGACAAAGACACGCTCGCGAGCCATAAAATGATGTCCGGCTCGCGCATGATGTGCCTCGTCTCGTCCGTGCAGAACGCACCTCCCGCGGCGCCTGCCCGCCCAATGCCGCAGAAGCCAAAGAAGCCGACTGATCCTATCGAACAAATAAACCTTGTCATGGACTCCGCTGCCAAGGAGCTCGTGCCTATGATTGACGCCTTTGTAGCTGCTCCGCCGAACGACCATGGCGACAAACACCGCATGCTCTCAGAGTACGATTTCTTCATCTTCTGTGCTTTTTCTTTTCAGAAGTGCGAATTTAACATTTACTTATCCAGACTCATTCTGCAACGCCTATTCGCTCTAGACGAGGTCGACACTCACGAGAACCCAGAGGCCCGGAAGCGGCGGAAAGAAGCCGTCAACAAGTTCCACGAATACCAAGCACGGGTTGACGAAGCCAATGTCGGCGAGTAAAATAGACGTTCTCAGAGTGATTTATATACACATTTTTCTCTCCATGCAGTTCGGGATGAAGGATATTGTCAACAATGTAAATATGCTAGATAGCAACTGAAAGACGTTACCAAAGCTTGGTCTTGATACGCAATCTTCTATAGCTACTGCATACATACACCCATGTACATAAATAACGCGGAGTCTTTTTGTTTTGATCTAATCCACCACCTCACTCAAACCTTCTACGTAACAAAGGAGCAAGCACCTTAATCCCCGTCGAGAGCCCATACAGCCTCGTCTTTGTACCAAAACTGATCGCCCGCTCAGCTTCCCCCAGCGCATCCCTACTCTCGCCCGCTTTCGCGAGTGCGTCTACCCGGCACTGCTCGAACTTGACCGGCTCGTCAGTCAACACCGCGTCGACGCCGAGCGCGATACATAGGGTCATGAGTTCTGGGGGGTTGACGGTCCAGACGTAGATGAACTTTCCGAGGTCGTGGAGCTGGGTTATGAGGTCGTAGCCTCTTTGCGTGTAGATCGAAACCATTACCATGCTGATGCCTATCACTGAGGGCTCGTGGATGAAGTTGGCGGCGTAGGAGAGGTCGACTCCGATGTGGATCAAGGGGATTTCGGGAACATGTTTATGACATAGTGGGAGGAATTTGACCTACCGGTGATGTTAGTCTCATCTCAGTCAGGACAACTATCGATCCCAATCAAATGGAATAGCTCACCAGCCATATGCCGAGCACAACGCGCTCCTTCCAAAACAGCGGATCAGCCATAACCTCCATCATGACCTTTGCGATCCCCTCGATCACCGCGACGTCATTATCAGCCTTGACATCGATACACAGCCATTTCCCTTCGAATTTCGGATTCGTCACAAACTGATCCAAGACTTCTTTCAGCAGCACCATTTTGGAGTGCGGCTCTTGCACCGTCCGCAGGTGCTCTAGATCACCGATGTAGTTTCGATTGCGGATCGGTTCGGTGGTGGAGCCGAAGACGCGCTTGGTGTGGAGATCGTGGGAGACCACGACGTAGCCGTCTGCTGAGAGATGGACATCTGGTGGGATGTGAGATTCATGCTGAGAGTAGAGTGAATGACACGAGCACTATCTTACCGGTCTCTATGCCGTCAGCGCCAACGTCGATAGCAGCGAGTAGACTCTCCAGCGAGTTTTCTGGGTACTTGACCGGGTAGCTTCAGTATCGTTAGCGTCTCGTAATTCGGAAAGGAAGTCGCGAAGTGGCATACCCTCGATGGCCAATTGACCGAGGCAGTTTCATGGATTTGACTTCATCTGAATTCAACTCTGCGACTTCCTTTGCCGCAAAGACACTTGGACTGCTCATTCTTTATAGCACTGCTGAAAGACGATTTTGATATATATGTACGCGGAAGCAGCGGTCTCACAACTTGATGTCAGCACAAGAGGAGAATGCACACCACTGAACTAAACGAAAGTCGACACTGTCCAGAAACAGTTCTAAAGAGCGGGTTATACACGAAGCAAGGAAGAAGAGAAGGCTTGCTGACAAGAGTGATTTAAAGGCTGTGACTTGTGCCTGTGGAGACAAAACTGTGGATCAGTGTGAATCCACGTGCTGGGAGATCGGAGATAAGTTGCAGGTCTGGCTATTACTGCTTTTGGTAGTTGAGTAGTGAAGTGATTGACGTTGCAAATAGACAGAGAGATATGGTAGAGTGCTTGTTGCTTTTTTGTTTTGGATATAATTGCTGCAGTTACTCTTCATTCAGCAGTTTAGTAGCAAATTGCAAGAAACCGGCTCAAATTACACCATTTCACATACCAAAAGCCACTCCCGCCCCTCCTCCGCTTCTCACAAAACAAGCAATAAATCCCAAGTAAATTAAACACTCAATCTCTGCCTGTTCTTCTCTATTTCATTGTTTCAGCCATCCAGCCCAGCGCTGTCCGGACAGAGAAGAATAAAGCGAGCTCCAGGGCCTTGTCGGTGACGTCACCGCCAAACCTACAAACGCGTCGAGGTTCAGGTCACCGTGCGGGCTCGATTAGCTGCCGTTTAATCAATTGACCTGTTCTGCCTGCGCTCCATCTGGTCTGCGATTATCGACAGATTTTGGCCTACTGCAGTGTATAGGATATTCTCGGGGAATTGATTGCTTACTGCCGGGACAAAGAATACTACTGCTGTATACCGACTTCTTCTCATGGGTTCCAGCAACTCGAAACTGATCTTCAAGCAGTCGGTATTCCGACTCTTCGAGGAGCCTGAACTCTCTCCTTCTGATCCATTATGGGAACAGGTATCCTCTATCTCAACTCTCTTCAAGGATTCTGTCCTCTGATGGTATCACAACACCTTACTAACTCCACCCTCTAGTTCTGGCAAGTTCCGGAGAGCGCGGAAGACATCTTCACCATATTCTCCGCCTCAGACGTGCGAAGGACACGCGACAACGCACTCGGCAACCTCGAGCTGCTAATCGTAAACGTCGTTCACCATCTCGCTCACCTGCTTCGCAATTCCCAGCTATACTACTCCGAAAACGCCCAGGCGCAGGCGCAGGCCTCGAATGCTGCGTCGGGCGGACAGGCTTCTGCTGCTGCGGAGGCTGCTGTTGATGGAAATGAGAAAGATGCTGCGCGGGCAACGCGCGAGACACTCAACTGCATGCGTGTGCTAACGCGGGTGCTACCATTTATCTACGAGAAACCTGATTTGGAAGAATGGAGGGATGAGCTTTTCTGGGGTATGGGACAACCCTTGCCAGAGATAGCGCGCCATCCAGACGCTGCTGACGGAGCGACAGAACAGTCTGGCGACGACGCCGACGAGGAGGAGGAAGAAGACCGGCCGCTTGGGTCTTTGCTGATGGACACGCTCACAGACTTTTTATTTCTACCCGGATTCGCGCTGCCGATTGTGTTGGGAAAAGACTCGACTGTGGCGTACACCATCTGGGAGACTGGAATCGGAAGCACGACGCCGGTCGGGACGACTAGTCAATTGGAGGCCAACAAGATCGAGACCTTGCGTACTATTATCACAGTTCTTTCAGAGGCGATGTATCACTACCCCGGAGTGCTGCCGACGAAGGGCGTGCGGTTCATCTCGTACATGGTGTGCAACCCGGACAAGAGGGTGGTTCTGAGCGTGCTATGCTCGCTTCTCAACACGGTGATGAAGTACAACCCAGGCTGGCGAGTCTCATACATCAGCGCTGGATCGCTCGATCCCCGACAACTGCTAGTGACTTATTGCTTCCAGCTCCTTCTGATCCTCGTCACATACTCGATCCCTGACGGCGAGGACATAGTCTCGCTTGGGATCCACATCGAAGAGAGCGCGGAGACACCGACAGTGCAGACGGTGCCGGATATGGCTCGAAAGTATTTAAAGAACTGGTACAAGTACTACCTCGGCCGGCTCCACCGAATCCAGGATTTACAGTTTTTGGCAGATGGAATATCGAGACTGCTGAACCAGCCTATGCAGTCTGCGACGTCGTTTTTGCCGGGAAGCCAGACGCAGATCGAGTGGGCGCCGGAGTTGATTATGTTGTTTTGGGATTTGGTTCGACACAATAGTGTAAGTGCTCTTTTATATTCGATCGTGTGACTAAATGCTGATTGGGATATTTAGCGATTCCGGAACTACATTATCTCATCAGACAGAATCCACGACTTTGTGGTCCTGCTCCTCTACTACTCGTACACATACCGCCAAGATGCATCAAAGGTAGGCCTAGTGCGACTGTGCATCTACGTCCTGCTCACGATCTCGGCCGACTCGGTCTTCAGCGTTCGCCTGAACAAGACGTTTGACTCGCACAATGCGCTCCCGTCGTCGATGCGAATCCCGGGATGGGACGAGTCGTCGTCGTACGCGGATTACTTGCTCCTGGCGATTTACTGCATGATCAACACGAACAACGACAAGCTTGCGGCGCTGTACCCGTCGCTGCTGGATGTGCAGGTGAACCTTGCGCCGCACATATCAAACATCAACAGACTGACGTGCAGTCGCATGATGCAGCTCTTTTCTGCTCTTTCGGCGCCGTCGTTTTTGGTTGCTAATTCTACAAACTATATACTGGCGGACAAGTTGCTAGAGGCGATGGAAAGCATGATTGTGAACAGTAACCACCAATCGAACGCGAACTTGCTGTACACGATATTCCGATCGCGGAAGAAGTTCGAGGCGCTGAAAGAGTTGACGTTTGAGCGGTGTTTGGAAGAATCGCGACGGCATCGGCCGATGGCGGCGGGGGATATCAGCGACCGCAAGGGAGAGGTCGCGGTGTTGATGGAGGATGGCGCAGAGGCAGGCCGTGGGAAGTCGAAGGGTAAGACGGCCGTGCGCGATGTTGCGTCTCCTTTAACTGCGACTTCTTCGTCGTCATCTTTATCGGCTGGGGATAACTCTGCAAGCAGCACGTACAGGAGCGGGAAAGCAGAGTATGACGCAAACGGGTACTTTACGCCCACGCAGGAGTGGTTTGACGGATGGCACTCGAAGCTACATTTGCAGGTTATATGCCATCTGCTGGAAGTTTTACCGGGCTACATTCCGCGGCTGAACACGATACGCGGAGCGCCGTCGGTGTCGAGCGCGGCGACGTCTCCTACGCGGGTGTCGAGAGACGCGCATCCGGATACGGATGTGATTAGCGCGCTGCGTCATCTGGACGATGAGACGATGCTGCCGTCGTCGTTCAACCGAACGTTCCAGGAGCCGATTGGGTTTGAGTGGACGGTTGCGGCGAAGGGGTGGTACTACTCAGTTTTGTGGGGATCGATCTACGTGATGCACGAGATTGTCGCGTCGGCGGACGGCGCGGGCGCGAACGGGATTGTGGCGGCGGTGGCGGGGGCGGGAGGGGTAGGTGCTAGCACGGTGTGGTGCGGGATCTGGAGAGGGACGAATGTGCAGCTGTTTAAGGTGCAGGAGACGAAGGTGGACGGGCCTAGTCTGCTGAGACCGCGGGGGGCGGTGGACGCGGTCGCAAAGTCGATGCTGGAACGGTTGAATGTGGGAGGGGGTAAAGCGCGGCAGCAGGGTAGTGGAAGTGGCGGTTCATGATGGATGATGGTAAAGTGTATGTATGTATTAAGGTAATGAATGCTATAGAGGATAGTATAACAGGCAGGCAGTATGAGGATCTCCAAGTCTTCAGAATTTAACTCTCCTTGATGTTCTCAGATGCAACTCTCGACCGCGTGTAAGACGGCCGATGTTGCATGCCGTCAAATTTGTCTTTTGTTTGATTCATCGCTAGACTATAGAAAATACCAAACTGGCGCCCGTCGCGCGAGATGCATCGCTCCGATTTCTGTTCTCTTGCGGTAGAAGATCAGTCTTGGGTCATGTTTTTTGCGGGCACGAGGCGCGCTCCAGACGTGAGGTTGTCGTCATAGATGATCTGGCGGTACTGTTGGGTGCAGAAGAGGTTAGAAGGAGCTGTTGGGTGAGTAGTAGGTCAGATCAGGATACGTACCGACAGGCGTAGTTGAATATCAGATGGATAAGAACCAGCGCGATGAGATGGAGGTAGTCGATCACAATGAATCACAACGTGACCCAATCACAGATAACCCTACATTCCTGCGACCCCAAACCCTAAGCAAGAGAGTATAAGAAGGCAGGGCAGCCTCGGGCCCGGTTTGTTTTCTTCTTCTTCTCCCCAAGACAGAAAGTCAGCATCGATTCTTATATGGCTCTTGCCTTTTACCAGAGCCATCAGGGTACTGCTTTCAGATGTCTTTAATTCTAGTTTTTGGAAACCTTTCTCAAGAATCTCCATGAGTTCTTGGTGTGCGCTGGGGCGGATGCTGTTGTGGGTGTGATGGGGTGGACGTGGTAGTTCTGGTTAATACATCTGTCAAGATCCTCTATGCTTCTATGCTTGTTCATTGTAAACAATTGCTCTTCATCGCAACACGTAGCCATTGCCCAAACATCTCGAAATCTTTCTTCTGTAAACAGCAGCGAACTGCAAATCCTCAGAGCACGCGCTGCCGGGATTGGCTCAGACACCGAAACCTACATCGGCGGCCGTCGTTATCCCACCAGCTCCCATCCAGGCCTCCTCTGATATCCCGCCCTCCTCCCTCCTTTCCTCTCCTCCTCCTCCTCTTCTCTTTCCTATTCATGGCCCTGCGCCTCTGCTACAGACACAATCGACTGATCCCCGTCTGCTCCCGCAGCTATGAAGTTCGGCAAGAAGTACGTCTCTTCTCTCTCTCTCTTCCCATCTCTCACCGTCTCCCACCGCTGACTTCGCCCTCTCTTTCTTCTCCCTCCCAGTCTTCCTCGCAACGAAGTTCCTGAATGGAGGTATGTTGACTCCTACTCTGCTCTCCCCGATCTGCCTCTACCTCACTCCATCCGCTCACACCCGATCTGCACAGCGCCTTCTACCTCAACTATAAATCACTCAAGAAACACATCCGAAACGCCAAAGAACGCGCAATAGCCCAGGGCGACACCGAGGGCCCCGTCAGCGAAGTCTACCTCACTCGTATGTCCTCCCTCCGCCTCCTGCTGCATCCCCTCTGCGTGCTGTCACCTCCCGCACTCTCGCTTGCCCTCCTCTCGACTTGGCTTTCCTGGGTTTTTCAGGGGTCCTGGTTGCTGACTCATATCTCATCGCCTCTCTCCAGCTTTCTTCTACTCCCTCGACCGCAACCTCGAAACTGTCGACTCCTTCTACAACAAGCGTCTCGCGGACTGCGGCCGACGACTCAAGATCCTCACCGACAGGTTCACGCCCTTCACCCTCAAGCGCTCAGACTATGACCGCGACGACCTCGAGGACCTCGTCGGTGCTCTTCTCGAGCTTCGGAGTCAACTCCGAATGCTGCAGGTTAGCATCCTTGTATACCCTCTCAATTGATCCACAACTGCTAACACCCGTCTAGTGGTATGCGGAGGTCAACAAGCGAGGATTTGTCAAGATCCTGAAAAAGCTCGACAAGCGCGCCGGCGTCAACGAACAGGACCGCTACCTCGAATCAAAGGTGCTCATCCTACCCTTCGCCTCCGGCATCAGTGCCAACGAGTACATGGAGACCATCAACCACTGGCTTTCGGATCTTGCGCCTAACGAGATCGACGAGTCTTCGTCCTGGTCCTCGTCTCCCACCTCGGCCGCTTACAAACGCCAGTCCAGAGACGGCCAAACTAACGGCGTTTCGCCCGTGCTTGAAGAGATCAAGAATGCCGTGGCCGCTGATAACTTGGGCGAGCTGAAAACTCTGCTTGCGGGCGTTGAAAACGACGCCGAACAAAGCCAGAAATTGTCTCTTGCCGGGTTACAGAAAGCAGTATCGTCGCGGTCGACCGCATGCGTGGAGTACCTGCTGCAGTGCGTCCACAGTCTCTCTGACCCATCAGACTTCCGCGGACGAAATATCATTCACCGCCATGTGATTGCTCTCGGCCGTCAGCGTGCCTCTGCCACAAACGGCACAAGCCTCGAGCAGCCGCGCGATTTCTACATCACGCCGGCCGAGAACCCTGTGTCGACCGCGAAGTTGACTCAGGTGTACGGCAGCGATGGCATCAATTCGAATGACGAGACTTCGATGCTCAGGTTCATACTTGATCATCTTACGGCCGAGCAGCGGCCTGCACTGGCCGCTCGCGATGGCTATAAACGGAGTCCGCTGCACTACGCCTCCCAGTATGGTACACGTCTCGTTGCTGAGGTTATCGTCGAGTATCTGAAAAACTGGAATCTCTGGGATGCGCCTACAGGATTAGACGCGTCCGAATGGATAGACGCCGAGAACCTTTCTCCTTACCACCTCGCTGTCATCGGGAAGCATCCCAAGACGCTCAAAGTGCTTCTCAACGCCGCGCACCCGATTGCGCCTCGCGACTCGTCGCACTTGCTCACCATTGCCGCCAACAACGACTACGACGAGATCATTGACATCTTACTAGACGCCGGTCTCGACGTAGACTACGCGGACGAGAGACTGGGCGAGACTCCGCTCTATAACGCGGTGAGGAATGGCTACATCAAGAGTGCCTCGACGCTGCTGAAGCACAAGGCAAACACTGAGATCTCTGAAAACACCTACGGCTGGACTCCGCTATTTGTCGCGACTGTCTATGGATACGCTGATCTGGTTGACCTGCTGATTTCTTACGGTAGCGACCTCTCGAAAACCGACGGCTCGGGCTGGACAGCTCTCGAGCACGCTTGTCTTCGCGGTCACCTGGAGATTGCCGAAAAACTACCCGCAGTCGATCCTCAGCCCTCGCCATTTTCTACAAACGGAGAGGTTGCAAGCGCAGCGTCCGCATCCGTCGACAGCTTGCTCTCGCTCAGCTCGTCGGTTTCGTCCAAAATGTCGACTTCCCCGTCCCTGAACTCACATATGCCGCCGCCCCCGCGAGAACCAATCAAGAGTTTCGGCCACAAGTATCTGAAGAACAACACGTCCATGATCCTCGTCACTCTTGGGTCGACCGACCTGAGGACGAAAGCGGTGCCTGTGCAGCTTGATCAGGTGCCTCTCTCGCGTGTGCACTCCACGCAGCTTGATACCGCGCTCTCGCTCGTCATTTCCGCGCAGAACGCGATCGGCGAGCCGACGGTGATTGATCTTCCGATCCAGGACAGTCCGTCGACAGAGCCGATCCTGTTTCAGACCTCCGATCCGAGCAATACTCGATTGTTTTTCGATATTGTGCCTACCTATGCTGGCAATAGGAATCAGATTGTAGGTCGCGCGGTCGCGATGCTGTCGAATATCAAGACCTCTGTCGGACAGTCTGTGCGCAGCTTGCACGAGACTATTACCGTTCCCATAGTGCAGAACACCACGCTGGATATTCTGGGAACCGTCAGCTTTGAGTTTCTGATCATCAAGCCGTTCGAGCATCCAAATATGAGCATCGCAAAGTCTTCTACATACTGGAAGTCGCTGACCAATACCCGAGTCATTGGTCATCGTGGTCTCGGCAAGAACTCGACTGCCCGCAAGAGTTTGCAGCTCGGCGAAAATACTTTGCAGTCTTTTATCGCGGCCGCGAACCTGGGTGCGAGCTACGTCGAGTTCGATGTCCAGCTGACGCGCGATCATGTCCCGGTTATCTACCACGACTTCCTGGTCGCCGAGACCGGCATCGATGTTCCAATGCACGCACTCACGCTCGAGCAGTTCTTGGCCGTCTCCGAGCGCCGGACGCCCAAACCGCGCAGCCGGAACCAGTCTCCGCGACGAGCCGAAAGCCGCAACTCGAATACCTCCTCGTCAGTCTCCTTCACCAAGACAGTCGACGATCGGCTTTCTGCGCTCGGCGCGAGCCAGGACTCTGCTAGTTCGTCGTCGTCCATGCTGCCTACTCCCGGCAGACGTCCGCGCTCGCTTTCGTTGGAGATGGATGATACCGACTCTGAGTATTTCGAGCGGCTAAAGTTCACGCGGGACTTTAAGAAGAAGGGGTTCAAAGGCAACTCGCGCGGTCTCAGTATCCAGGCGCCGTTCACCACGCTTGAAGAAGTTTTCAAAACGCTTCCAAAGAACGTCGGTTTCAATATCGAATGTAAATACCCCATGCTTGACGAGAGCCAGGCCGAGAACATGGACGATCTCGCAATCGAGCTGAACGAGTGGGTCGACACCGTTCTCAAGACCGTCTACGACCACTCCAGCGGGCGTGACATCATCTTCTCCAGTTTCCACCCGGACGTCTGCATCATGCTCTCGCTCAAGCAGCCCTCGATCCCCGTCCTCTTCCTGACCGAGGCCGGGACCGAGAAAATGGCAGACATCCGCGCGTCAAGTCTGCAAGAAGCAATCCGCTTCGCCTCGCGCTGGAACTTGCTCGGCATCGTCTCGGCTTGCAAACCGTTGATCATGAGTCCGCGCCTGATCCGCGTGGTGAAGGAGAGCGGGCTGGTTTGCTTCAGTTATGGCGCGATGAATAATTCGCCTGAGGTGTGCAAGTTGCAGATGAATTATGGCGTTGATGCGGTGATTGTGGATTCGGTGTTGGCGGTTCGTAAGGGCCTTACTGATGGAAAGGCTGCAGAGTCGGTTTAAGCTGTTGGTTTGAGGTGTTGGGTATTACTTTTCTTTTCTTTATATATATTGTTTCTCTGTTCAGTCCTCTCGGTGCGGAGAGGTCTCAAGTTTTATCTTTCGCTTGGGGTGTTAGATGGCAAGGTCATACATATGCTCATGCGTCCAGATTCTTTTTAATTGATATAAACACACCGTGCTACGGTATAAGCAGCGCATCTGGATCCGAACACGTAAATATAAACTGTAAATCCGACGCCAGTTTATCGCCCACTCTCCTCTTCGTAGCCGTCATCGACCCCCGATCGATATGCAAAAACGCTCTAGCGCCGTTAACCTCGACGTCGGCCATCATCTTATCGAGCGATCCATGCTTGTCGACAATCATCCTCGCCAGCGGCTCAGTCACGTTCTTGCACTGCGTCATCGTCCGCATGAAGATGTCGTCCACGTTCCGGCCGATGGTTACCTGCCCGCCGGCCATGCACACTGTCTCGTGGATGTTTGTCTGCGCGCGCCAATACGGAATCATGCCGATGGACTGCGTCAAGGCCGTGGTGTTCTCGGCTGAGACTGCGGGCGTGGCGCTGTGGAGGACTAAAGCGTAATGCCGCACTTGCAGAGCAATCAGAGCTTCTTCTATCCGCTCGTCGTGGATCCCGGGCTTGTACTCATTCTCGATCCGAACTTCCAGGTCCGATTTCTTTTGTTTTCTGCTGCGCGCGGCACCAGCAGCAGCAGCAGTCACGGTTTCTCCCTCGGCTTCTCTGAGAGCGTTTTGCACCGTCGCGTTGAACTCGCGCCGACTTTTCGCGGCGATCTTGTTTTGTAACGAATACAGGCCCTCGATCATGTAGATCAGTTTGGAATCCGGGAACCGCGTCCGAACCGACTGAACGTGCTCGTCGATAGTCTCGTCAAGCACCATACCGACAAACTCGACATCAGGCAAGATAATGAGCAGAAACTGCTCCTTTCGAATCTCCTCAGGGATAGGCACGAAATGTCCAAGAGCAAAATTATACTCCGCCCGCACCTTGCGCCGCCATTTAATCATATTCCCCGCCGAACTCCGCCAGTCTGTAAAAACACCGACCCCCAGCTCTCTGTGACTCTGAGCGATTTGTCCGCCGGCTTCGGTCAGCGCAAACTCGCTGTCGATATCGATAATCAGCTCTGCACATGCCGCGCGCTTGTCTTTTTTCAGCACGTTGACGGTCGCTAGTTCTTTTGCCACGGCTTTCTCGCGAGCTGCGCGCTCTTTCTCTAGTCGTTTTTGCTCTTTACGAGCTTCTGCTTCTTTTGCCTTAGCCTAGTGAGATGTCACCGTGTTAGCATATCTGGGTTTCTTAGCATACATTGATAAGTAGACTTACTGAGGTCGCGCTGGGTTGCCGTGTGGCTCGTGGCTTTTTGGCAGGTTCAGGAAGTCCAGGCTCGCTTGCGCCGTTCCCTCTTTTCTGTGCAGTAGTTATCCCGACCGGCCCGAGATCCTGAAAGAGACCCCGAGGGAGATTGCTACTCTCACTCTGAGTCGCGCGTGCTGGTCTGGGAACAACATTCTCGGTCTGTAAACTAGATCTCGATCGGGCGAGAGATGCAGATCTAGGAGCTGGCGAGGATGACGATGTATCAATATGCTCTACAGTTGCTGCTCGCCGGCTTTGTATAGAAATGTCCCCTCTGACGCCTAACGCCTCTAGTATCAAAGAAGCCGACTGAAAACTCGCCGCTGCACTGGTATTCGGAACTCGGGCTTGGTGAGCCGGCGATTGATTTCTCGGCTTATTCGTCAGATCAGTCATTATTGACGGTGACGAGCTGAGGGGTTGAACATAGGGACGTGGACGGATCGGAAGAGATGGCTGCTGTGTTTGTGGAGCTGGCGGAGGCTGTGAGGGAAGGGGAGAGGACGTGAAGAGGTGCTGTGGGTTGGCATGTGCTCGTGGCGCTGGTGGTGAGGCTTTCTTTGCTGTTGACTGTGGGTTTGTATTCAAAGTGCCTTCTTTTGCCATTGATTTTCGAGCTGTACCCTTTCTAGATAAACCACGTTCATCACCCGAGGTCAAGTCCGCGTATGAGTTAAGGTCTATTGACGCCGGTGGTACACTTGCAGCTTTCCGGGTACTCTTGGTGGGTGGACTGTCGACGAGTAGTGCAGGCGGCGGAGAAGAAAATTCATCAAATTCGTCGAGATCAAACACGATATCTGAGGCGGGTCCGTCATTGATGAGTACTGGTGCCGGCGATTTAGACAACTCCTTGTTCTGTTGCGAAGCTCTGGCAATGTGCGGGAAGGAGGTGGTTGGAAGACTCGCGGCAACCTCACTGTGATCAAAATGTGTTCTAAACATCTCGTATGTTAATATATACAAACACGTAGGACAAGCAGAGAAACAACAAACACACGTTTCATCTCTAAATGGCTGGGAGATCTGCGACAATCCCGGGGACGGCGCAGGCCTTGACGAAGACGAGTTGATCTCGATTGGCGAGGAGTCGATCACTACCACACTTATATCTTGAGCTGACGGCGGAGTACTTTGCCTCCTCGTTTGATCTGGTTGCATGGTGGTTCTTTGTCCCCGGCGACTATGAGTGGGTATAGGATAAGTAAAGGGCCATTAAATTGAATGCAGCTTCGAAACCTTGTAGCCTTCAGAGAGTACTGAGTCGTCCAGTGCGCAGTCTATACCTCAGCGGCAATACCTTTCACTAGTCCGACAGCAGACAACTGCGGTAGACAACCAGCACAGTTCCAAGCTTAACGCGCTTTATCGCGTTGGGAAGAGAGCGCGACGGAGACGTGATCTGTGGACGCGGCGGTGTGGCTGGTGCCGCCACATATAAACTCTAATTTACGTAAACATGTGGCAGAGCGCTGTGCGGCTCGTGTGTAGGGTTATGTTAGGGTTATCAAACAGCAGTCACGCATTCAGAACCAGCTCAGGCAGAGCGGCGCTGGCGGGGCCACCTCGAAGCACCACTCGGCCTCGACGACTGCTCTTCCCAGACTTTAGCAGCAAACCCGAGTTTCTCAGCAACTTCGCTTTTCCCAGCAAAGCAGCATCACCGACTCAGCAAACAACATGTCTCACAGAAAGTACGAAGAGCCCAGACACGGTTCGCTTGGCTTCTTGCCCAGAAAGCGGGCTGCCCGTCACCGCGGAAAGTGCAAGTCGTTCCCTACCGACGACAAGACTAAGCCCGTCCACCTCACCGCCTTCCTTGGCTACAAGGTATGCAGTATCTGTTTGAAGAGAGTAGATCTGCTGCAGAGATCTGTGTTGCGAAAGAGCGAGAGAAACGCAGACAGGAAACATAATGATCGGGAGACTAACGAAATTTTGCTAGGCTGGTATGACCACCGTCGTTCGTGACCTTGACCGTCCCGGTTCCAAGATGCACAAGCGTGAGATCGTCGAGGCTGTCACCGTTGTTGACACTCCCCCCATGGTTGTCGTTGGTGTCGTTGGATACGTCGAGACCCCCCGTGGTCTGCGAACACTCACCACCGTCTGGGCCGAGCACTTGTCTGAGGAGCTCAAGAGACGATTCTACAAGAACTGGTACCACAGCAAGAAGAAGGCTTTCACCAAGTACGCTAAGAAGTACTCTGACAACGGAGTCTCTGTTGACCGCGAGCTTGAGCGCATCAAGAAGTACGCGACCGTCGTCCGTGTTCTTGCCCACACCCAGATCCGCAAGACCCCTCTTTCCCAGAAGAAGGCCCACCTCCTCGAGGTCCAGGTCAACGGTGGCTCGATCTCCGACAAGGTCGACTGGGCCAAGGAGCACTTCGAGAAGGAGATCGAGGTCTCCTCTGTCTTTGAGCAGGACGAGGTCATTGACGCCATTGCCGTCACCAAGGGTCACGGATACGAGGGTGTCACCGCCAGATGGGGTACCAAGAAGCTTCCCCGTAAGACTCACCGTGGTCTGCGTAAGGTCGCCTGTATCGGTGCCTGGCATCCGGCCCACGTCCAGTGGACTGTCGCTCGTGCCGGTCAGGACGGATACCACCACCGTACCTCGGTCAACCACAAGATCTACCGTGTCGGTAAGGCCGAGGACAAGGGTAACGGATCGACCGAGTTCGACCGCACCGAGAAGACCATCACTCCCATGGGTGGCTTCGTCCGCTACGGTGAGATCAAGAACGACTTCCTCATCATCAAGGGCTCGATCCCTGGTGTCAAGAAGCGCGTCATCACCCTGCGAAAGTCGCTCCGTGTGCACACCTCGCGCAAGGCTCTTGAGAAGGTTCAGCTCAAGTGGATCGACACCGCGTCCAAGTTCGGTAAGGGTCGCTTCCAGACTCCTGCTGAGAAGAGTGCTTTCATGGGCACTCTCAAGAAGGATCTTGAGTAAACCACAAACGCAAGAAAAAAATCGAAAAAGTGTTTTTGTTTGTAGACGTCTTGTTGGAGGATTATACAGAACTTGAAAAAGTAATGTGTTCTTGTATTTTTTGTTCAAATAGGTTGCCGGCTTTGTTTATGAATCATTTTAATTGTATAAATCAGTCATAACATCATCTGTAGTTCTTATCTACTGCCAAACAGTCTCTGTTATTTACATTACACTGCCAAAACTAGTAATAAAAATCCTACACCCCGCTCTCAAACCTCTCCCTCGCAACCTTCCTCGCCCTCTCCGCAACCGACTCCTCCACACTCGCCCCCGCGCTCTTTGGATCGATCTTCGCATGCTCGGCGCCGAGTCCTGCGCCCTGCGCATACATCTCGGGCGTGATCGGTTGGGCAATGCCGGATCCCGTCGCGCCGAGACCGGAGCCGGTGGTCCAGCCCATTTTGGAGAGCATTTTGCTGCCTTTGCTGATTGCGAACATGTCGTCGTCGTCATCTTCATCTTCATCAGAGGCGGCGGCGGCGGCGGCGGTGGTGGGAGTGGGGGTGGGGGTGAGTGTGGGATCAGTGGTGGTGGGTGCTGCTGGATCTTGATTCTCTTTCGTTGCCTTCAAAGAAGAAGAAGAAGGAGCACCAGCAGAAGGCACCTTCGCAGGCTGATCCAGCGCCACCCGTCTCTCCCTCGCGCGATCCCTATACCCCCCGTCCTTCCCGCCGCCGCCCCCGCCGCCTGCCTCCTCGCCATCTCCATCTTCCTCCGCGCGCGCTCACACTCCGCTGCCTGTCCGAGCATATGCTTGTGTAGCGCCGACAGCCGCTCGTGTCTGTTGACTTGGTCTGATGCGGGGAATTTGCGCCGGCAGAGAAGGCATGCGGGACGGGTTGGGTCGGCGAAGGATTCTTGGTGGTAGGTGCTGCTTTGATCTGAGGTGGTGGTGGTGGAGGAGGAGGAGGAGCCGTGGAGTTCTTTTTGCTTGAGCTGCCATTTTTGGAGTTGGGGGGTCATTTTCTTGGTCGTGGTCGCTAGTTCCGACTTTACCTTCTTCCGCTTCGCGGTCTTCCCCGCTCCTTCCCCTCCTCCTTCGCCGGGAGTCTCCTCCGTATTCTCCGCGCCGCCCAGACTGGCGAAAAAGGCAGACACGTCGTCTTGCTGCGCCTCGGGCGCGACGTAGATGCCCACGTATAACTGCTCGTCCCAGTATGACATCCTCGTCTGTCCATTCGCCGCCAAAAACGAAAACTGCTCGCGTTCGTCAACATCGCGCTCGTCTTCCTCGTTGTCATTATCGTCATCGTCTGCGGTGTTCGCGCGCCGGCCTCGCTTAGGTGCGTTATACACCGGGACAAACACCCCCGGATGAATAAAATCAACCTCCACCTCCCCGCCACACAACCCCAACTTCCCTCCCTCCCCCCCCTCCCGAGCGACCGCTTTCGCGATATGCTGCTTGACAAGCTTACACTCCGCCGCGGCCGCAAACTCCACGAACGCGAACCCTACTGACGCGCGCGAGACGCGGTCGCGCGCGAGCAGGATGCGGCGGTAGGAGGGTTTGGAAGGGACAGAGGGGCTTGAGGCGAGGGCGGATGCGAGTGCGGTTTCGGTGACGTGCGGGGGGAGGTTGCGGAGGAGGAGGAATTGCGAGGGGATTTCGGAGATGTCGTTTGAGCCGTTATTGGGTTTTGATTTCTTGGGTTTGCTGTTCGTGTCTGTGAAAGAAGGGGTTGTTAGCGACAAGAAGTTGTTAGAGACAAGAAGGATAGGAAGGAGGAGGGGATTTGGATACCTCGTCTGGAACCACATTTGAAGCACTCCACCCGTCTCGCAAAGTTCATCTCATTACACTACCACCCCAATCAGCACACTCTCTCTCACTCTCACTCTAACTCTACATATACTCACAGACAGACAAACCCACTCACTATCCTCCTCCGCTTTCGAATAATTCACGCGCAACCGCGTGCGCGAGCCGGGAACGTTGATCTCGGGGTACGCGCGCTCGACGAACGATTTTGCGTCCTTTAAATTTGCAAATTTGAGGAAGCCGAAGCCTCTGCTTCGCTCTGCATTATCAGAGGTGTTAGTGGGTGTGGAATCAGGGGGGGAGAAGCTGGATACGTACTGGTCTTGCGATCGTAGATGATTGTCGCTTTGATGGGATTCCCTCCACAAGCTCGAACATCCTCCAACAACTTCAAGAAAAAACCGTCAGCCCTCTCCATTCCACAAATAAGATCAACAGCGCACTCACATCATCCTGGTTATAATCCCCCGGAAACCCCCTCACAACCGCATCCACCGCCGGCGCCGCAATCCCCCCACCGTCTGCCCCGCCGCGCCTTCGCCCGCGCTGCCGCCGGTCGCTGTCATACTCATACTCGTCCGAGTTGTCGCTGTAGGAATATGTTCTGCGTCGACCGTGCCTGCGACGAGGTGATATCGACCGCGACCGTGATCGTGAGCGCGAGCGGGAGCGGGTGGATGACCGGCGCCGACGGGGTCGGTCGTCGTAGTCTAGACGTTGGCGTCGTGAACGTGCTACATCCTCATCATAGGGGATGCGTTTATCCCGCGGAGGCGGTGGGGCTGTTCGTTGGTAACCGTCGTCGTCGTCTGACATTGGTGTGGACGTAGACGTGGGTTGGTTGCATGGGATCGAGTGCGATTTGAATATGTGGTGCGCTGGGAGGTTGGGTTAACAAGAGGAAGTACAAAGTTTGTTGAAATCAATTCAATTATATTATTAGAGATCCTCCACAACACCGACAAAGCATTAGATATTACGAGATACTAGCTAAAAAACAGATAACTAAAAAAAAAAAAAAAGAGAAGAACTAATCGCTCTTCGAATCAGTCGTCTCGAACGCAGCGATCTGCTTCTCATCAGCCTCATACGTCCCGCCCACCACCTCCTCAGTCGACTCCCCCTCGTCACCAATATACCCAGTCCACCCATTCTCGCGCAAGAACCGTTCAAACCTAAGATCCTCAAACCTGAGATCCTCGCCCGTGATATGCGGCACGAAGAAGTACGTGACTGCGATCCCGACGACGCCGCAGATGGCAGCGATGATGAATGTCCATTTCTTGCCCAGGTTGTTTTCGATCGGCTTGAAGCACTGCGTGCCGATCGCGGCACCGGCCTTGCCCACCGCGGCAGAGAGACCGTAGCATGTGCCGCGGACGGCGGTGGCGTAGGATTCAGAGGACAGCAAGCCGAGCATATTTCCCGGGCCGAGGTTGCCAAAGGACTGCATGAGGCCGTAGAAGATGACAAAAAGCGGGATGATTTTCGTGATTTTGTCAAACGAGCAGCCGATGATCAGACCAAAGATGAGGTATCCCGAGAAGCCAATCATCATCGTATTGCGCCGGCCGATCTTGTTGCACAGCAGCGCGCCGACAAAGACGCCCGGGAGCGCGATCGCGCCGAGGAGTAGCTGCCATTCGCCGGTCTTTTTCAGGTTCGTGCTTGAATCCGGGACGATCGAGGAGATGATTGTGGCGGAAAAGACGCCGTTCGGGAAGGTCACAAAGTCATATAGGAACCAGGCGCCGCAGGTGCCGATGAGCGAGCGCCAGTAGAATTTTGCGACGAGCAGGTATGGCACGCGTTTCTTAATCGCACCTTTTTGGTAGAGAAAAGAGGTTGCCATTTTCCAACGAAAGTAGAATACGGTGAGAGGCAGGAGACAGCCGATACCGAAGCAGACGCGCCAGACGGTGGAGAGATGGTTCGTGCCCGCGGCGGAGAGGACGATGAGGAAGACGCAGATCGCGAGCGGGCCGCCGAACGAGAGAGGCAGGTTCGTGACCATGATGAAGATCGGTCCGCGCTGCTTGAGCGTGGCTTCGTTTGCGGCCTCGGAGGCGGAGGTCGAGGAGGCAGGGTACTCGCCTCCCGTGCCGAACCCCACGATGCCGCGACAGACGACGAGCATCCAAAACATGCCGGTGATGGTGACGCCGTGGGCGGCGGTGGCGAGGATGCCGCCAAAGACGATGAGCAGGGTTGTGGTGACGATTGCGGTTTTGCGACCGAGGTAGTCGCAGGTGAGGCCGATGACGATTTGGCCGACGATTTCGCCGACGAGGAGGGCGTTGGAGACGCGGGTGGACATGGTGGAGGTGTATTCGGTGGGGTACTCGATGCCGAAGAGCACGTTCGTCATGGTCCTGGTGGAGTTAAGAGAGAGTTGTGGAGAGAGAGAGAGAGAGGGCATACATGAGGTTGTTCTGGTATCCATCGCTGATGAGGGCGGCGCCAGCACAGACGATGGAGAGATATGAAGCGATACGCTGGGCCTTTGAAGGTTTGGGAGTGAGAACAATGGCTTCATCGTCAGGTTCTGCGCCGGTCTTTGGCTGGAGATCAGCCATGGTGAGGAGGAGTAGAGAGGAGCAGAGTATAAGCAGAGCAAGGGGATGAGAGGGATATAAGAGGGATATAAGACAGAGCAGAAGGCGGAGAGCAGACAGAGAATCAGAGGAGAGAGCGGAGGCACGTGGACGGGTTTGAGATCATGACAGTTGTGACAGCACAAGGAGCGAGATCAGTGTGTGTCTGAGATGAGATCAGATGGATATTAGAGAGTGTTGTTGCTTCTAGGAGCATTGTATTAGCAACAACACATCTCCCTGATAATGTAACAACAAGCAACAACAGGCAACTGTCGGTCCATTGTGCTGCTTCTGGTGAACAATCGGAGTTCAGGTAGCCTTTATATCCCGCACGAAGGCCGATCATGGTCATGTGACTATATATCACGTGACGCTTACTACCCACGTGACAGAAACAAGCATTTGATAAATATTGAAGCACCGACGCATGACAGGCGACTTGAGCGCACGGCTGAGGAGGAGCCGACAGCGGACGGAGGAAGGACGAGCCGGACGCGCGCTTCATTTATCCCTTCCGGAGCAGAGCAGAGCCGGCGACGTGGAATCGAGGCACGAACCGGGCCGCTGGTGCAGGCGACGACGGGCTTCTCGGCAAAGAGCTGGCGGACCGGGACTGATCAGGGGGAAGGTTTGAGTTTGGAGGCGTAGGCAAAGCATTCTGTCACCGGTCGGAGTCTGAGTGTGCTCTTGTGCGGGTTATTTTGGGACGCAGGTGTGGTAAATAAATGCCTCTATTGAGGAAGAAAAGAAAAGAAAGAAGAGATAGCAAGGTGCTGATGCACTGTTGCTATATCACAAATGAGGAGAGAAGTGTAGCCTCTGCCGTGCGAATGTGCAGCTCTGACTTTTCTGACTTCTCTCCTCTCTCATCCATATTCACTCGCCTTTCTCAAAGCAATGCCCGTGTTGTAGCTACACAACGCCCAAACAATATATCACAGATAAAACATAAACATAAACATAAAACAAAACATAAAACAAAAACAACCTGAAACCCAAGGATACCAAATACTTAAATGACTGCCTCGCCGCATGCGGGGCTGAGCTCGCAAATGTGCTCAGTTCCTGTTCTGACCAGCCGTGCCGTGTCACCTTCTCATTATCGTCACTCCTGCTCTTGACCAAAAATAGCAACTCACATTCAGTAGAGACCAGCTCAGGACTATGCCTGCCGCTCCCAGATAATCACCAGCCAGACAAAGATGACCATATACAGCGCCGTCAGCGCAAGCCCGAGCTTAACCACCGCAACATGCCCCAGCACCGGCGGCGCGACAATCTCAAACGTATGGCTCTGGTCGTGCACGTTATCCAGCCGCGCGCAGTTCGCGCACAGGTTGAAGTCCGCACAGGTCCTGCACTTGCGACGCCGGCCGGTGATGCATAGCCGCATGCTCTCGCACAGCGGGCCGTCGCAGTGCACGCCGCAGTGGTGCTCGTCGGGCGAGTCGACGATCTCGTCGAAGCGCACGAATTGGTGGCCGCGGATGTGCGTCTCGGTCTCGTAGCAGGACGAGCAGTAGTCAAAGTCCGCGCAGCCGCCGATGCAGCGGAAGCGTTCGGTCGCGCCGAGCTGCGCGTGGCAGCCGTTGCAGAACACGCGCTTGCAGTCCGTAGCCCCGAGGATCAAGAACACGCGTCTCCAGAAAGCGAGGTAGACCGCCGAGATCGCGAGCAGGCGCGCGGCCCAGGGCGACTCTCTCGCGTGCACGCGCAGCAAGTTGTGGGTGTCGTCGAGACAGCCGAAGCCGCGGGCAAGACAGGCCTCGCAGACGTTATACCCCTTGTCGTCGCCGCACTTGCGGCAGTGCATGTGCTCTCTCTCGCCCGCAAGCAGGCGGCGGCAGACGTTGCAGTGCACGAGCTCGTGGGTGGACGAGGGCAGGACGGTGTCGGGGATGTTGTCGAGGACGGCGTTTGCGGGGATAGCGTAGGCGCGCTTCTCGGCGAGCAGGCCTGATTCGAGGGCGGAAGTGGTGTCCATGGTTGTAAGCGAGTCAGCGGGTGTGTTGTAAGCAGAGGAAGCAGAAGAAGCAGGAGAAGAAGAAGAAGAAGAAGAAGAGAAGAAGAGGGCTGATGATATGAAGACTGCGACCCACCGGCGGGCGACGGGCAGAAGCAGATTCGCTTGGATGATTTGAGTTTGGGGCAGAGTTCGCCGCGAGGCTCGAGATGCAGAAATGCGTACGCGGGCCATGTGCCATGTGCCTGTGTGCCTGTGTGCCTGTGATTCCAGCACCGGGGGTGAAGACTGTGCACTGAGTGAAGAGTGGATAGTAATAGTAATAGTAATAGAATAGAATAGCAATAGCAATAGCAAAGATAATGAGAATAGAGACAGCATACTCAACTACACTGCAAAATACAACTCCAACTCCGTCGCGTACGCACTAAATTCTCTCCTTATCCTCGCTTGGACCATTTCACTAAGATCCAAATACCGTTTCTGGCCTCACCCGCCTCGGTCTCTGCTCTCTCTTCTCCTTCTCCTTCTCCTTCTTCTCCTTCTTCCCCTTCTCTCCCTACCATCATGCAATCTACTCACATTCCTCTCGCCAATGCAAGCTCTCACTCTGCATCTACTCCTCACACCTCTACTCTTCCTCATGTTTAAGCAATCACGTTCGCCATTCACTAGCTATCCAGCTATATATACCATGTCCATAAACACACGAAACGCAGAAATCAAACCTTCGCGAAAATCAATTCAGCCTCAACACTACTAGTAGAACACTAGACTAGAACGCAGACCCCTCGCTATCCTCAACCAACTCAAAGTCCTCATCACTAAACTCATCAAACTCCTCCTCTCCTACCGCAGACTCCTCCTCCTCCTCCTCCTCCTCCTCCTCCTCCTCATTCTCTCCAACCGACCCAGTCGACCCCGTAACCTCGCTCTCCGTCACAGTCGTCTCCTCGTCCGCATGCGCAATCACCGAACTTCCCGCACTCGACCGCACATTCAGCACCGGAAACAAAATATCGGACGCATCAGAGTACTTGCTCTTACTCATCTCATCCTCCTCTCCTCCTCCTACCTGCTCTCCCTCATCTCCCCCCGCACTCTCAACCTTCACCTCGCACCACAAATTATCTCCAAACCGCTCTCCCTCCGCCGTCACCATCCGCCAGTACGAGATATACGTCCCGTTCTCATTCGGCGTCCGCAACATCGCCGTGAACCGCGCCGTCTCTCCCACCTCAACCTCAAACGGAATAATCGACACACTGCTGTTCTCCTTCTCATTCGTCATCGCCTGTCCGCCAACAAACGTCAGCGTCACTCCCGCTGGCCACTCCGCCCGTCCATTGTTCTTCATCGACCACGACTGATAAAACACTTGACCTGGTCGGAAAACTGTCTTGTCCTCCACAACCTGATACACAAACTGCGCATCCAACTCCTCCCCCTTCCCTGCCTCCCTCGTCTCAGCACTCTCAACAACATTCTCGCTGCTCAGGCTAATCAAATCCACACTCTCCCGCACCGCCTCCACTGCCTTCTCCTCGACAACAGTAGTAGTAGTAGTAGTAGTAGTAGTAGCAGCAGAAGCAGCAGCAGCAGCAGCAGCAGCAGCACCATCCGCAACTGCAACCGTAATATGACGACGCGGAGTCTTCAGCATAATCATCGGGTGCGACTCATCATGCCCATTATTCGGCAAACTCTCGCAGTTCTCGCACAAATCATAGTCCTCGCAAATCGCACACTTGTACCGAGTCCCGTAAATGCACTTCTGTCCATCGACGCATCCCGGCCCATCGCACAAAATACCATAATGCGCAGGCTTCACCCGGCCCTGCTCCGCAATCTTGTACGCAGACGGATCATCAAGTGCGACAAACGTATGGCTCGGATGCGTCTGATTCACATTCTCAAAGCATTTGCCGCAGTAGTCAAAGTCAGGACAACGCACGCACTTGTACCGAGTGCCTGTAATATCCTTGTCGCATCCATCGCAATAAGCATTGTGCGCCTTCTTGCCACCCGCAAGCGACCTCACATACGGGCACTTGCTCTCGCTGCTCTTGACTTCAGCTTTAGCCTCAGCCTTCACCTCAGCCTTGACCTCGGTCTCGGCAGCAGAAACAGTAGCAGAGACAGCAGCAAGATAATGCGTATCGTCAAGACAATGGAATCCGCTCTTCACGCATCTAGAGCACACATCATAATCCCCATCCTTGCAAATCTTGCAATGATAATACGTCTCCTTCTCAATCTGCGCACTGCAGATATCGCAGCGCACGCTATACACAGACGCCACTTCCGACACCACCACACTGCGCATCGGCTGGATCTCGGTCGCCGCCGCAACCTCCGGCTTCTCTCTCAGCACCTGCGACGCCGACAGTTCAACCTTCAGCTCAGACTTGATACGCTCGCTCACCGCCGCAATCTCGCTCTTCACAAGCTTGCGGATATCCGCCACCGAAAGCGACATGTCCTTCACATCCTCCGCGGGCGCAGAACCTTCCGCATCTGGAGTTGGGACTGGTGCGTGATACGCTTCGTCAGCTTCTTCCTCTGTAAATCTCTACAACTTGCAGACTTACCGGCTTCAACAAACAGCTTAGCCTTCGACTTTGCGTAAATCGAGTGGCGGCAGCGATGGTATGCGTGCGCAGAGTCCAGCGCGATAATACCGTGGCTGGCGGTGGAGTAGCGCGAGATTGCAATCTCCTGCTCAGCAGGGATATCAAGCAGCGATTTCAACTATAGCCCTCCATGTTAGCTCTTTTCTAGAACATCATTCTCATAGTATACAGAAACAGCACTCACAAGCGCCGGGAGCTGGTCTTTCTTGAAGTTCGAAATGTGGAGCTTGAATCTTCGGGTTGCACCACCGTAGGTAACCTTCACCTGCACCGCACCAGACGGGTCCTGCATCTGAGGCAACTTAGCAACGGGCGCAGCAGCAGTAGAATCCATCTCTTTCAATCAAATAAACACGCGGGCGATAATGTGCTCTGGTTGTCAGCTTATGCACCTCTGCGATTGAGTTGAAGTGGGAGGAAAGCCGGAAGGTGACAAGCGGCGTAGTGACGATCCCGGGAGGTTTGGGCTGCTGACTTATCTCGCAAGTTTATTGTGGGGCTATTTGCACCTTAATCAGACGCACTATACACCCGCTCTTTGCACTCCAAAATATCACCGTTATCTACGAATACCCAACCATGTGACGCGTCGTAAAGCCCAACACTCATTCTACAACTGATATCTGGACTAACTGTATGCTATTAATTGACGCTGTGTTAAGATACATCAAGTCATTGAATGTGAATTAGCAGAAATGAAATTACAAATAAAACAGGAATAAATGCAAAGATCATGAAGAATGTATGTATAATATGCAGAATGACCGCGCAACCAGCACGGCTAAGTATTTTATAAAAGGAAAAAATGAAGTTATCGCGGAGATTGATAATAGTAAACATTGCCATAATCAGGCGACGGAGCCATCACGAGCGGCACAGAAGGCGCGCCGCTCGCGTCTCCGTGGTAGTACTGCATTGAGTCGTAAAAGTAGACCATCCCGTTTGTTTCTTGTGCCACGGTCGCGGGGACGGGGGATGGGATTGCGATTGGAATCTGAGGAACAATCATAGGAAGGGAGGCGTATGCTGGGGATGCCATCGCTGAAGGGTACTGTGCATATCCCCGTGGGACCTGCATCATGTTCTTCTCCGGAGGTGTAGCAGTGTAGTAGTACTGCTGCTGCTGATGTTGTGGGACTAAATAGCATATTAGCACTACATTCTGCCTGTTTCCAAATCATTGAACTTACTATAGGCGTTCTCCTGGTAGTCATAGCGCGTTCCGCGGTACCCATTAGAGTATCCCCTCATACGCTGATTAAACCTGCGCTGTCCCTCAGACGAGTTGCGATACAGCGGATCCTCGATCTCGGCCATATTCATCAGCTTAGTAGGCCGCGGCTGGTGCATCACATCTGGCGTACGTCTGTATTCGTTTGTGATTGGCATCAGCTGCGGAGGCTCCGGACTAGGAGATGGGCCGGTCGTGGTATCCGATGTAGTGCGTTGGATCTCAGTCTCAGCAGGTGGTGGAGCAGGCAGGTTCACAATCGGCGGTGGCTGTGTATTTTTCTCCACAAGACCATCGTATACTGACGCGGGAGGCAACTTGACCTTGGGAAGCTCCGAAGGACTGTCCTCTTTAAACAGTTGATCGTAAGACGATGTCGGTGTCAAATCGAAATCAGCTTCTTCCTCTGAGTTGCTGCCGTCGGACTTGCCTCCAGCCGGCTGCGGAAACTTTACCTTGATCGGCAAATGATTCACTAATTCGGGCCTGTTTAGTGTCTGCAAGTGGGACTGGGTTTGCACAGCAGCATCCTCGGCACTGAACTGGCTGGCACCGACATCTTGAGTACCAGAGCTTTTGTGCTCATCAACTATCCGACTCGGTCCATAAAACGCCACAATTTCCGCCTTTGGCTGCCCATTCGAAGCCTCGCGCCTAAGTCTTATTGTCCTTTGCTTTGCATACGGAAGACGCACATAAATCAAATCGTGCAACGGAGGAACGGTAGGTACTATGATCGAGTGTCTTTTGCGATACGGGCCTCTGATGATTTTCGACTGCCTCGATCCCGGAAGCTTGACATAAAACGGTCCTTGCAGCAGACGACTCACGATCTGAACCATGGGCTCGCTGGTTCGGCTACTGCATGAAGCTGTCAGTAATCATAGAACTAAAATAGAGATTTTTGGGGCTCACGTACCTATCAAGCTTGATTGCGGTTTGCCGAGGATCCATTGCTGGCCGGTAGGTCTGTCTGTGATTTGGCCGAAAGGTTGTGATTGTGTGTACTTCGGCGGAGGATTCGGATTGAGCGGGCTTCGACTCGTGTTGGACCTGCTTGCTTGCGTTGCCGTTCTGTTGTTGCTGTACTGTCGTCTTGCGGTTCTCTGCCACGGCGCGATCTGCTTCTGCGAGCTTGCCAGGCGATTTGGTCGACAAACGATTCTGTGGGTTCTGAGATTGTTCATCGGCAGAAGGCGCGACGATGCTGACAGTTGAAGGCGTCGACTGGTGAGTTGTCTCTGGCGGATTCGATCTCTTCTCCGATGATTCGACTGTGTTTTTCTCCTTTGACTCCGCTCCCGATTCAACGGCAACAGCAACCACAGAAGTACTACCAGAAACCTCAACCTGTACAGACGCTTCATTGCCGGTCCCCTGCGCGGTCTCGCTGCCGTTCTTTGTGTTATTGCGCCTCCTCTTCCTCCTCGCCCATTTATTGATCGGTCTTGATTTCTCGCTCGTGGCCGCCACGGCTGCTGGAGTTGCAGCGTCCGCCATAACTGACACGTCCTATCCAAATCTCCTACCACGGGGTGGCCTTGGACTTGTTAAAAGGACAAAGGTCGAGCAAGTGTAGAGAGAGAAGGGAGGATGCGGGCGAAGGAAATCGAGAGAAAGAGAGTGGGCGGAGTTTAGGTGCGCGTCAGAATTTTAAAATGTTCAGAAAGGTTTTCTATCAGCGCCCCTGACAAAATAAAAAAATAAAGAAAAATAAAAAAATAAAAAAAATAAAAAAATCAGCTTTAACTCTGCTAAAGCCGCACCTGCGACAAGTCATCAACCAGCTGCTGCGATGAAAAACCACTGATTCAAGCAGATATGAAGAGATGTCAATATCAACAATGAAATAGAAGCATTTGCCATATTCTGTACAGTATCTTCAACCGCAATAGCTCTCAATTCAAACACATACACTCATATATACAAACCTCTCTCAAACCTCCAACCCTACACCATCCCTGGGCTAGGGCTCCCTCCCACACCTATAAAACCAACCACCGCCCGCCCATCAACTCTTTTTCCCTTTTTTTTTCTTCTTTGTGCGGCGCCTGATTCATTCCGTGTTGTTCATCTCTTTTGTATATCTAAAGCACTACCGATTTGATGAATGTCAGTTTCAGGCCAGAGGAATCTTCTTTTGTGGAAAACGACCGTCTAAATGCCCATTTCGTCTTTCGTTCTTGTTCGCTACTGGGTTCTGCGTCTTTATCCTTTATGGATTTAGTGGGGCCAGGAGTGTTGGATTGATGGAGGGCTGGGGGTGTCATACATTTTTCGTAATTTCTGTCGTAGTCACTGTTGCTGCTTTATCTTTTTTCAAAGATGTCTGGTGCAGAATCACTACACATACCTCTGCGGCTTGATCTGTCGTAAGGATAGCTCAGAGAGATGATCTAGGACTGTTTTATTTGCTCGAATAATTAGGGAATCAACTGTATCCTCCAAAACAAAACACTTTATATATGTTTAAAAAGAGCTCATAACTCCATTATGGAAAGAAAAAGAAGATACAAAGTAGAACGAAAAAAAAAACAAAAGATTGTAGCAATCAAAACATGCAAATTAAAAAAAAAAACTGACCGACCGACACCCTTCCTTCCATCCGAATATGTTTTGTTTTTTTATAAGAGACTAGTCAAAGTGTACGTTGATTGACCGGCCCGACTCGTCCGCGATCCAAGGATCTTCCAACGGACTCACGAGGTTCGGGTTGATATACACCGAATCCCGCTCGCGCTCCTCGTCCAGCGTCCGAGTAGGCGCCCGGCCTGCGCTCTCGTCGGTAGTGCCTGACTTGATCGCTCGGAGGGCGATGAAATACGACAGAGGAAGATAGTGGTCGTAGAAGTTGTACATCATGATCAGCGTCGCGATCGGCAGGGGAATCAGCATGACTGCGAGATAGAACGCTTTCTGGAGCGCGAGCGTTCCGGCCACTGTCAGGTGGAAGATAAGCAGACCGACGCAGACGCGGAAGAAAATCATGGGCCATGACTTTCCTGTCGAATGCTGAGGGTGCGTCATAGCTACACATCTCTATGTTAGCAAACTGCATCGAATACATAGGCAGTGGATCTTCACTTACAGTACATAAGCTGGTACTTGAACGTAAAGTAGCCAAACACGAAATAAACCAATCCAAAGGTTAGAATCTTGGTTGACATCGCACTGTAAGATAGGCATATAATCAAGATGAACAGCGGCTGCGGCAAGAAGAACCCATAATTAAAATTTGGCGGCTTGTGAAGATTATGAAAGTCTGCAGAGCGCGTTAGTAAACTCCAAACTCACTGCAGATGTAAAAAAACAATACACACCTCTAGGGGTCTTTGAGAAAAACTTGATGAACGGATACTTGAACACGACACCAAACTCCAATAATCGGAACGGAATCATTCCGATTCCCTGGAGAATAATCAAATCCACATAAAACAGCGCCATCTTCTGCAGCGATCTTGCGAGCACATAAGCAATCTTCGTGGTATCCTTCAAAATAGACCACAGCATACTAGCCGTACCCGCGATCGTGAAAAGAAGGAACAAGTTGACAAAGATGTAGAAGAAGTTCTTGCCAACGACCGAGAGCTCGACATCGCCGTGCGAGAGGTAGCCCTGCAGATTCGAGAGGCCATTGTAAAGGAAAGGAACAATGACGTTGAGCAACGTGAACAACAGGGTAGGCAAGAAACCGGTAACCAACGCATTCAGAATCCGAGACTCATTCAAAACATTAGCCAACCCGGGCCAGAACTTTTCAATCGACTTGACATCCAAAAAGGCCGACAACGACGCAACAGGGAACACCAAGGCCACGGTCGAGATCGAGATAATCACAGTGATGATCCACTGTCGGAACAGCCGCTCGGCTCGTGACTTGTACAAATTCCTCCAGATAACATCGTGCGGAGCGGGAGCGTTGTGGGCAATCAATCGATAAGCTCTCGGGTCCAAGACCGCCTGGGCAGCCATCTGCGCGCTCGCGACGGTGTCCATGGTCACAAACGCGACCGGCGTCGCCTTGTACTCCTTGTGACGCGCCATCTTGACTTGCTGATCCAGCTTCTCGAGTTTCGCAGTGTAGAAATCGATCTTGTCGACGTGCTTGCCAAAAAGGCCTAGAAATCCAGTGCGAAGAAGAGGTCGGCGCCGACCGAATGCAGGTGGGCCGTTGATCACATTCGGCATCGCGTCACCGGTCGACGGGCCTCCGCTGGTGAGCAAAGGAGTCAGACTGTTATCATCCGAGCCGAGCGGAATAGCGGGGGACTGCGGGAGAGAATTGACGTCCGGGATCGAGCGCGCGCTTCGCTTGACTCCCTCGCTGCCAAAATACTCTGTCCAGGCGCGTTCGACCTTGCACAGCATCTTGCGCCGACGATCCATAAGCTTATCGAGTTCCTTCCATTGGCGACAGATCGTGACAGACCGAACCTGACCAATTCCAAGAGACTCAATATGGTCCTTCAGCGCTTCCTCGCTGCGGAGCTCGGTGGGCACGCCTGAGAGTCGAATGGTGCGATCGGTGATGGAGCTTTGACTGCCCAGGTACGACTGACGAACGCGAACGATGTGGTGGGTTTGTCTCAGGAGGAAGAAACTGGTCAAGAAGGTGAAGATGTAGGCGAAAATGACATAAAACCAAAGATAGGACTCGTAGTCGTCCGGCCAGGCGTCGTCAGCCGGCGTTGTCTCTTCGGTCGCATTGACCGCGTCCAAAGACCTTGGGTCTATTATCTTGAGCATCTTTCGCTGCGGAGCATAAAACACGTTCGAGATATGGTCCTCGTCGTACACCCCTGTAAAATGCATTCGCAAGGGAGAGATTACGGCGATAGCAAAGAACGTGCAAACCGAAAGGAGCTTGATGGTCATGCTGAAGAACCCAAGAAATACAAACGCATCGAGACCGGCGTGCTCCAGTATCTGCTCTTCCGTGATATTATACAGCACCGGAATCCAGCCAAAGAACGACTTTGGCAGCGGCGGGAGACCTGGGTGGTGTGAGATGCGAGCGGCGTATAAATCTGGCCACTGAGTACGCAGGATGCAGAATGCGATGAAGGCCGAGAATCCTAGGGATCCAGCGATAACGATCTGGGTCGTCATGACTGCCGGATTCCGCAGACGGGGATCGTCGACCGGCTGCAGAGGATCGTCCATATTTGTTTGAACAAGGGACAGACGCCGAAAGTATGGGGAACAACAGAGGACTAAAGCGACAGACGAAAGAAGTGCACGAGAGGGCGAACGGGAAGTTATGTTTTGCCCGAGTTGTTTGCCATCGGATAACCAAGTCACAACGAGTCACGGAATATGTCAACAACTCACATTAGTACGTAAGCCAACATTACGGTGATGACAAACAGAGGCCTCGGGGCAGACCGGGGTCCTCCGTCTACTGCGAACTGGTATATCGGAAATGGTAGATTATAAACAAATCCGAAATGGACTTAGCAGACCATGTCGCTATAACCCTTCGAGTTCCGGACTACGCCGACTCGTCGCGATATCCAGGAATGGCTGCTGTCTTGCCCATCCCGCATTTCTCAGGCAAAGGCGCGGGCAGTGCTTTGAGCGAGAAATGGCGTTTTTTGCTGTGACCGAAGGCCTCCTGCCTGGTCTGCGGAATTTAGCGCTGGCGCTGGCTCGGTCTCGACTAACCACGGACCTGACGGCTTTTGACCGCTGTAAGATCAACTGTGATCTCGGCGGAGTATTCATAATAAATGAGCAGATATATTCAACGACCATGCGATGCCAACACAGCTACTCATCTATCGGACTACGGAACAGAGTATCTCCGGCGCATTCCCCGCGATAAGATAACAAGAATCCAGCTAGTGTGCATGTGAAGGGATAACCAAACGTGCGCGCGGCGCAGTCTGCATTCTCTCGCTGCCATAGGCCAGCAGCTAGTTGACTGGATCGTAGCTGAGAGTCTAGGCGCTATAGCCCTTGAGCCTGCTGTTAGTCTGCTGTTTTAGTTATCAACCGAGACATATACTCGATAGTAATGCACCCCGCAGCTCTCTCACGACCGCAGCCCTACACAGAATTAAAGCACGCTAAACGCACCCGGTAAACTCTTCTCTAAATTCAACCAGGCTATAATCTGACAGGCCTGATATACCGCAGGTGGAAAATGTCTTGATGCATTTTAAGTGATGCTGTTCAGGCGTTGAATTGGCATATTGTAGGATAGGACAGGCCCGACCCACGTGACTGAAACCAACTCGCTTGGGACAAAGCACCAGTCTTCCCCGCGAACTGATCTAGAGATCCTCTTGTGTCGGTGAGTTAAGCTCGCACTTCTGGCCGTAAACCGAGAGGTAGAGTGATGAGCACCGCGACGCTTTGTCGGAAGTTTTCGGATCTGGACGAGCTCTCGAGCTGGTACGAATCGCTACTCTGCAGTCGAGCCAGCAAATCTCGAGAGCCTGATGATCTCCAGATCAGTCGCAGTCGTCTCCGCCCACGTCACCGACATCCAGACTCAATTCTCTCACCCAGACTACTTGTGTGCCATGACTTTAAAGGCGGATATAGCGCTAACGAAGACGCTGACTTCCAAGGCTATTTTCCTCACGAGTCCGGCACCGCGTACTGGATCCGGGCATTTGAATTAATCGACACGTTCATATATTTCTCCCACACTCGAGTCGCAGTCCCCCCCGCTACATGGACCACTGCCAGCCACCGGAACGGTGTGTGCTGTCTTGGGACGCTGATTTTCGAGTTTACAAAGGAAGCCACGGCCGATGCTCGGAAACTACTGACTCCAAACGCAGGTGGGATAGGATACCACTACGCAGACGTCCTCGCCCAGGTTGCAAACTATTTCGGATTCGATGGCTATCTTCTAAACGTCGAAACGGTGCTCGGATCTTCTGCCGAGGCCAGAGAGATGCTCAACTTTATCGAATACTTCAAATTCGCGCTGCACAAACTTGTCGGCCCGCACGCACGCGTGATTTGGTACGACTCGCTCACTACAGAGAACAAGATCAGCTACCAAGACTGTCTCAACCTGACCACGCTGCCGTTTTTCAGAGTCGCCGACGGTCTGTTCACAAACTACTTTTGGAAGGAGAAGCAGGTGTTTGACGGGGCAAAACTGGCGGGGATGGTCTACCGGCTCGATCTGTGGACCGGGATAGATGTCTGGGGGCGCGGCGTGCATTATCCTGCTAAATTTGGTGTTGGAAAGGCAATGAAGCAGATCGAGCAGGCTGGTACCAGTATAGCTCTGTTTGCACCCGCGTGGGTGTACGAGGACTTGGGATCCGCAGAGTTTGAGATGAATGATTACAGGTTTTGGTATACTCAAACTGATGAAGAAACAGGTATGCGCTATCTACTTTGATTGAGACCGAGCAAGAGCGGTAGATCTGACTGAGTGCAAAAGGTGACCCAACTAGTATTTCTCGATCAATCAGTCCACATCCTGCACCAGTGCTGCACTCAGACGCTCACCAGCTGTTCTACACCTCATTCACCACAGGACACGGGACATCGTTCTTTGTGAATGGGAAAAAGGAGTTTGCGCAGAGCTGGGTGAACCATGCTCTGCAGACAGCTTTACCAACATACCCTCACGAGTCGCAGACTATCAGCGGTCAAGCATACGCAAAGGCTCTGTACGACAAAGGTATCTCAACAGCCCCTCCAGGGAGCTTCAAGATAACCTGCTCGATCGACTACTCAAGCGCCTTTTACGGTGGCTCGAGTCTAAAACTCGTGTCTGATCCCCACAACGTCTCGCCATATCAGGAAGCCATATTTCCCTCGTCCGACGACTCAGAGTCCTCAGATTGGTCTTCCTACTCTGGCCGCTCGCCGCCTTCGCCGTCTGCACCGTTTCCTCCTAGTCCAGAATACAAATCTAGAAGAAGGAGTAGCGACCGCTCGCTGGGTAGGAAGGTTTCGGCAACACAGATGTACAAACCGCGGGTACGGGTAGTGCCTTTGTTCTTGCTCGATTTTGAGTTGCGCCCTTTGCAGGTGTTTACTTTTTTTGTGTCGTTTTTCAAGTGCGTAAAAGGAGACGTAAAGATCCGGTTGGCAGGGTACTGGACGACAGCAGATGGAGCAGGAAATGCCTCTGCGGGTGATCTCTCGAATAGCGAGGACTATAGCGAGCGACCGTTCGAGGCAGATTTATCTGGGTCGGTGCTAAATACGTGGGTTAGAAAGTCTTTTAGCTTTCAGGTGCCAGCTATTCCTGATCGACTGCAGGGGGAGCGATCAGAGACAGGAGCGGGATTGTCTGAGAGGCGGAGGTTTAGATTTGTGATCAACCACCTCGACGTCGTCTGTAGCGATAACTTTGCGGGGGCGATTAGATTAGGTAGTCTATTGTTGTTCAGCAGCAGCAGCAGTGCAAGCGAGCGGGTGGGGGGCGACGGCGATGACAGCTGCGAGAGCGTGGGGAAAAGCGAGGTGGAAGCCCCGCCGAGCTTACGAGCACCCGCACGCGTAACGGGGGTGGTGGTGGAGAGGTATGGCGGGGAAGGAGCGAGAGCGCTGCGGTGGGCTGACGACGGTGAAGGCACTGCGGAGTGGATCGTGTACGTAAACCGACGGATGGCAGGTGTCACGGCGGCGCCGGGGTGGTTGGACCAGCAAAGATCGGCGGGGGCAGAGAGCAAGATGGAGGTGCGCGTAGACTCTGTGGGGTGGGGAGGGGCGATAGTGAGAGGCACGGAGGAGACGGTGGTCTCCCCACGCGATGACGTCGATCCGGTGGAAACAATGATCTGATCGAGGAGAGGCAGCGTGGGGTGGGGCACGGACCGCCACTGTATCCTCACCGCCCCGCACTGCGCTGTCCGAACACAAAGAAGAGGAGACAATAAGGTGCACTCTACGCTCCACCCCGTCTTGGCTCCCCGAAAGAGAGCGTCTTTAGGCTCAAGTTTCCTCAATTTAGGAGTCCTCGGACCGGTCGCCGCTCCGATGCGCGCGCCCAGAGCTGAAACTGCATCGTCAAACAAAGTGCGGCAGACGGAGGCGATGGACATCACATGAACACTGGGCCCGGATAATTACATTGTGCCTATTTCCTCCTCTCCTCCTTGGCAATCCCGAGACATTCGTCGCCTTCTTTCTGTGTTTGCCTCCCACCCATTGGACCGCGTGAACAATGGTCGGAGTTCTTTTTTATAGTATCTAGCTTTTCTTGCTCTTGTCTGTCTATATAGGACGGGGACGGCCCCCGCGTCTCCCCGCTTCTGCTTCCTGCACATCTGTTCTCCTTCTCTCACACTGTATACCCTCTTTTTAAAAAAATAATGGAGACACCCAAGGTCCTGGACGAAAAGGCCTCTGTCCACGGCGTCGAGCACCAGGCAGGTCTCGACCTGTCGACGTTCAGAAACGGCGAGTTCGACGGCATCGTCATCCCGCCCAGGGGCTCTGCCGAGCGCAAGCGTCTCGAGAACCGCTTGAAATGGAAGATTGATCTCACGATCCTGCCGATCGTGTTTTGCATGTACATCCTCAACTACCTCGACCGCAACAACATCGCTGCCGCAAAGCTGGGCACGTTCATGGAGGACCTCGGGCTGACTGCGACGCAGTACTCCACTTGCGTGTCCATCCTGTTTGTCGGTTACATCTCCATGCAGATCCCTTCTAATCTCATTCTCGAGAAAGTCGGTCATCCGTCGATCTACCTCCCGACCGCGATGGCGTTCTGGGGCGTCGTCTCGGCGTGTACGGGTGCCGTGCAGGGATTTGGCGGGATGGTGGTCGTGCGCTTGCTTATCGGCTTCTTGGAGGCGGCTTTTTACCCTGGTGTTTTGTTTTATCTTTCATGCTGGTACACCCGTCAGGAGATTGCCGCGCGAACGTAAGTTATTCATCTTCCTCTTTTATCAAGAGTCTGTGCTAATCTGTGTGCTGCAGTGCCATCTTTGTCGGTGGTTCGTGGATCTCTGGTGCGTTTTCTGGATTCATCGCATACGGAGTCATGAAGAACCTAGAAGGCGCTCATGGGATTGCTGCCTGGCGCTGGCTGTTCATCATCGAGGGTGCGGCCACTATCGGCTTTGCTCTGCTGGCTATCCCGATTCTGCCCGACTTGCCTGGCACCACGCGCTGGCTGAGCAAGGAAGAGCGTTTGCTCGGCATCATCCGCATGATTGAGGACGTCGGAGCGCGCGACGAGGACTTGCACGCGGTTGAGGCCGAGGCCGAGGAAGCGATCGTTGTGCCCGAGGGCAAGTTCGGCGCCGCGTTCGTGGGCGTCAAGTTGGCGGCCAAGGATCCGAAAGTAGTCAACCTGTTCATCATGATGTTCTGCTTCAGCGCCACGGCCGGCATCAACACCGTCTTTCCCACGATCGTCAACTCGCTCGGCTACGACCGCGAAAAGACGCTGCTGCTGACGGCACCGCCCTGGGTGCTCTGCACAATCACCTCGGTCCTCAACTCGCTGCACTCTGACTACACCGGCGAGCGATACAAGCACATGCTCTGGGGTCCCACGCTCGCGCTCATCGGCTTCGTCATCGGCATCTCGTCGACCGCAAAGGCGCCCAGGTACGTGGCCATGATGCTCCTCCTGCAGGTCTACAACTCCTGGGCTCTCGGCTTTGCCTGGCTCACAAACACGATCCCGCGCCCGCCCGTCAAACGCGCGGCCGCGTCCGCGTGCGTGAACGTGGGCGGCAACATCCCAAACATCTTTGTGCCGTATTTCTTTTCTTACACGGGCGCGACGCCGCACTTTTACGTCGGCTTTGCGATCTGCATCTGTTTTGCGCTGTTTGGCCTGTTGGCGGCGACGACGCTTAAGATCCAGTTGAGTAGGTTGAATAAGAAGCTCGAGAATGGCGAGAAGGTCGATGGTTTGAGCGGAGAGAGTTTTAAGTTCTTGACTTGAGCTGTTGTTGTATGTTTGTTTTGCTTGCTTATGCTCTGTGGGGTTGTGGGTTCTTGATTGCGTTCAGGGGAGTGTATGTCTGTGTATGCTAAAGTGCGTGTACGATTTATTAGGTTTACTCAAATCCGTCTACTCATAGACTCTACTACTCCTTGCAAATCACCATAAACAAGGACCTATAGACAATATAATGCCATAGTCCTCTGCTTTGCCTGATTATCTGTCCCACAAGTAAAGTGGTCCAAATAGGAAACTCGCCGTTGCCCTAGCAACGAAAATGTAAATAAACCCACACCGCCGCACACCCCATCGTCAACCTCACCCTAAGCTCATCTTCCCACCTCTTCCCACACCCTCCGCCCCGAAGGAAAACAGAAAGAAACGAGAATGGCACCACTCCGCCGCCGCCTACGGGCAACTAAGAAGAAAGAGGAAGAAGCGGACTCGCCGGATGCGAGCGAGAAGCGCGCACCGCCTGCTGCGTCTAGCACTCGCGCCCAGCAGCAGCATAATAAATCACAGACAAATACCTCCCGCGGCCTCAACAGCAACGTCAGCGTTGCCGTCTCGCCTGTCCCCCCGCCGCCGCCTTTGAAATCACCTAAACGGGCGTCGTCGTCGCCGCACACGTCGCCTACACAGCCGTCGTCTGCGTCGGCGGTGATGATTGCAAAGATCGCGCCGGCGGCGTCGCCGTTTGCGGAAAGACCTGGGGTGAGGCGGTCGCCAAGGTTGAATAATGCGGGTGGTGCGCAGACGGGGGCGGGGAGGAGGAGGCTACAGCAGGAACAGCAGGAGATGGAGGTGGAGATGGAGATGGGGTCGCCTAGGGAAGTGCGGTTGCGATCGGAGCAGCAGCAGCAGCAACAACAACAGAGAAGACAGCAGCAGCAGCAGGTACAAATGTCGCCCGTACAATTGACATCTCCATCATCATACCGCCAGCCTCGGATATCTCCTCAACATCAGCAACAGCAGCGGCCACAGCACGCACTACCTGTCGTCTTGCCATTGCGATCAAGTACTCAACCGCGGGTTCAGACCGCGCCCAGATCAAAGCCAGCAAATCAACCAACCAGTCGCGAAGAGCAAATTGAGAGGCTTGAGCTCGAACGTAAGTTCTCCCATCTCTTTCACTCTTCTGTGAGAATTGTACTAACAAAAGCGGGTGCAGTACAAGAACGCCGCGAGAGACTACGAAAGAAGTACACGAGCGCGGCCAAGTTCCTCCGCGAGCGACTCGAGATGCGGATCCATCGTGTACCCCGGCACATGCGCACTCGCACGCTCGCAGAGGTGTACAAGCAAGCGCAGCGGGCTGGCGTTGAGGCGACTGTTTCGCCTTTGAGGGAGCACAGGCAGGCTGTTGCGGCGCATTAGGAATTGATACTTGAAGATACCAGTGTTGTTGTGGGATTTACGATATAATAATGAAACTCTCTGTTGTGATCTATTGGACATGGAATGAAACCGGCATAAAGTAGTATTTGGTCTATGAACTAACAACCCAAAAAATTAAACATACGAAAATGCAAGGGAACCAACATAAGAACAAAAAGACATAGTCATACAAACAGAAGAGAATACTAGTGCTCAAGCTTCCAAAGTAGCCGCCTTGCGCTCGGAAGAAGCCATGAGATGCTTAAACAAGGGCTCGTAAATCGAAAAGAAGGTCATGTTGACCAAGCCCGTGCGCACGACGGAGACGCCCAGGCCGCGGTACATGCGCGGGTTGAGCAGCTGGAACTTGCGGGGCTTGAAGACCTCGCCCGGGCGGCGGGTGAGCACGTCGCGCTGCGCGATCGACTTCATGGTGTCGATGGGGAAGAGCACGGCCCAGGAGAAGATGCCGCAGAGGCCGCCGGAGATGGCGATCACGAGCGGGCCTGGGTCGGCCTGCGTGGGGCTGTACATGCGGGAGAGCTGTTTGGAGGATTCGTAGACGGAGAAGTAGAGCGAGGTGCCGAGCGCGTCGCGGACGAAGTGGTACCTGAAGCCCGAGTAGAGGCCCGTGATGCCGCGGCGGCGGACGATGTCCTTTGCGGACTCGAGCGTGCCTTTGGGCACGTATGTTTTCGTAAACTCCGAGTCAGGCAGGTTCGCGTAGGAAGCTCTGGCCATGAGCATCTCGATCTGCGTCGACAGCTTAGTGAACTCGAACGGGCACGAAAACATGGCGATGAAGCCGCCGGCGGTGAAGCCAGACATAAAGTAGGTGGGAATCGCGCGGAGCAGGTTCTTGCCCGGATGCGCGAGCTGGTCTTCGGTCAGCGGGATCGGGCCCGCGGGATCGACGACGTAGCCGGCGCCCATGACTGAGTTCGCGATCGTGGTGTAGGTAGCTTTGCATTGCGCGTAGATGGAGAACGAGAGCGTGCGCACGATCGAGACCGAAATCATGGGCGCGCCCACGCCGCGGAAGAAACCGCTGATACCCTCGGTCTTCTTCGTGACCATCACGCAGTCGAGCACGGACTTGAACTTGTAGGCCTGCATGCGGGTCTTGACGCTGTCAAACGGGAAGCCGACAAAGGTCGAGACGAGCGAGGAAAGCGCTGCTGATAAGGCGGTGTTGTATTCCCGGTTGAACTCAATCCTGCTCTGGCTCTCTGTGAAGGGCGCGCCGTCGAGCGCTGCGACTGCCAGATTGTTTGGCGGCGGTGTGCTTGTGCTTGTGCTTATTGTGCTCTGTGTAGGTGGTGTGGTTGTGGTCGGGGTGGTGGTGGTGGAGGTTGTCGCCATGCTTGCGGGGCTCGGAGTTACGCCGGGGCTGGTTTGCTGCTGGTCTTTTATCCTCTGCTGGCTGCGAAGCGGTGGGTTTGTCAATTCATCGACAGTTGCGCCCGCACCCATATTTCAAGAGAAGAGATGTGGAAGCAGTCTGCAGGGCGCGGCAGGGCGTGGGTGGGGGAGTCGGGGTGGGTGATAGTGAAAGCCGAGCCGTTGCTGCTGCTGTGGTGGTGGTAGCGAACGAGAAGAGAAGAGAAGTCCAGAGGAGGAGGATAGAGCAGAAGCGAGCTCGGTGGATGAGCTTCGACAGGCCGCTCTGGAGCAGAGAGCAGGTGGCGATGTGTCCGTCTGAGCGTTGGAGGTTGAGGTCAGAAGGAAGTGCGCATGGAGAAGTTGCGTGGAGGCGGTTGAGCGGATGGCTGCAGGTAAACCTTCGGCTAAGGTCTGGCGGAGTATTTGGCTGAGGGAGGGTCGCGGATATCTGCCACCCACTTACAGCTGTATTGAAGAGTATTTACAGCAATTGCAATGATATTTATAATCTACTGTCATATATCATGATATTATACTGAATATATCATGGAGATGGGTTTTCTGGCGGTTTCTCTGCTGCTGCTGCTCCCCTGAACGGTTCCCGCCGCACTCAAAACGACATGCTTTTGCACCTGATTCCCTCTCTTTTCATATTCTTCAATCAACATCTACAATCCTCACTTATCCATGGCCTTTTCGAGGTTATCGTACGTAGTGCACACTCCATACAGCAGATTCGTCAAGAACTTAACCGCCTTGACCACGTAATCCGGCGACGGCGTCCCGCAGGCGTCGTCGACCATGATACAGTCATACCCAATAAAGCTCGCGTCCTGCAACGTCGAAAACACGCAGCGGTCTGTATTCACGCCCGCAAGCAACACGGTCGTCACACCGAGCTTGCGCAGCACAGAGTCCAGCTCGTTGTCCCAGAACCCGCTCATGCGGTGCTTGTGCACGGTCAGATCCTCGGGCGCGACGGTCAGCTCGTCGACGGTGTTTGAGCCGAAATGGTCGCGCACGAGGATGTTGCCTTTTCCTGTCGTCGACGGCTCCGCGTATCCCGGCGACTTTGCGCCGTAGGCGGTACCGCGCTGCACGACGCCTTCGGGGAGGTTCGCGACGTCGGCGCGCACGCCCCAGTTTACCCACACGACTTTGACGGCGTTCTTGCGGCAGAGCGCGGTCAGTTTCTCGACAACCGGGATTGTGTGCAGGATCGGGTCGGCTGAGCTGCCGCGGGCGGGGAACCAGCCTTCGGGGTGGAGGAAGTCGTTTTGCATGTCGACGACGAGCAGAGCCGTGCGCGAGAGGTCGAGCTGGACCGGTTTGGGCTCGGCGTCGATGCGGATGACGCGCGGAGGCGGGATCGGACGGACAAAATCGATGAAGTCGTCGGATTCACTCATTGATGGGTGTGGGTGTGGATAGGTCGATTGTTTGAGATTTGAGATACTGGGCCTACGATATCTGATATCTGAACATCTACGAGGGCTTAGGGTTATCGCTATCAGCATCAGCAGAGGCCTTGAACAGCAGCAGTTTTTAAAGAAAGGAGAGCTCGTCTGGGGACTCAATTGCATTATACAGAGAGTATTATCAATCGTGTTTATTAGCTGAATCAATTGAACGACAGAACAGACGAATCACGGCTTATCGGGGGTTATCGATTGCGAAAGGACGAAGTCAGCACGGACCCGATCCCGCAAGTTATATACAAAACTGGAAGTGGTCGCATACTCCCGTTCTCTCGATTTCTATTCTCTCTGCTACTTCACCAAGGCTTCATTGAAGAAGAACAACGATTCGCAATGGGAAAACTCGACGCTTTCGATATTACCTCGTACGCTTACAAGACGGTGAAGAAGACGCCGATCTACACTGATGTCTTGATTCCGAAGGACGTGCCCGAGGGTCCTCGTCCGATCCTCATCCGTCTGCACGGAGGTTTCTTGGTAGGCTATTTACTTACAGTCCGTTGCAATTAGAGGAACCTGCTGACAGTCTTTAGATCACTGGATCGCGCAAACAAGAAGACTGGTTCGGACTATGGGTCTCGCAGCTGGCCTCTACGAACGGCGCGATCTTTATCCAGCCCGACTACCGGTTGATGCCGGAAGCCACCGGCGTCGAGATTCTGTCCGACATCGACGACTTTTACACGTGGTTCACGACCGAGCTTCCCGGGGTGCTGGCGAAGGTTGCGCCAAAGGTGACGGCGGACTACGACCGGGTTGTGGTGGTGGGCGAGAGCGCGGGCGGGTACCTGAGTCTGCAGTTTGCGCTCGACCATAAGGACAAGCTGCGGGCCGCGATCTCGATCTACCCGATGACGGACATGCGCGACCCGTGGTACACGCAGGACTTTCCGAAGAAGATGGCGGGCGCGCCGCTGCACCCGGAGAGTCTGATTGACGAGTACCTGGCGGCGAAGACGGAGGACACGGTTGTGGTGGACGACATCTCGGAGAAGCGGGTCGGGCTGATGTTTTCGATTGTGCAGCACGGCAAGTTTTTGGATTTGATTGGGCCGCAGGACGAGCGACTGTTTCTGGACGACCGGGTGAAGAAGGGCGAGACGTTCCCGCCGCTGTTTGTGATCCACGGCGAGACGGACTCGTCGGTGCCGTTCCAGGGGACGGACGATCTGCTGAAGCTGGCGAAGGAGAAGGATGCGGGGCTGGAGGTGTGCTTCACGCACCCGGACGTTGAGCACGGGTTTGACTCGAACTACAGCCTTGACAACCCGTTGCTTGCGGAGGGCGTGAAGTTTGTGGTGGAGAAGTGGTTGAGGTAGAGAAGAGCAGAAGAGAAGAAGAGAAGAAGAGGACAATGGCAGCTTAATGCAGTGCGGGCGAAAGTGAATGAGATAAGCGATTACATAACCAGAAAGAGGGGAAGCAGGCTCGGTCCGTTAACTTTAAGTTCAGACGCAAAGCTCGGCCCGCGGGGATCATCGCAGCCCCGCCTCCGCTGCGGATCTGCCTGGTTTCGGGCTTTTACTTTGCGGACTGTTGGAGGATTTGTCAGGTTTGTGTGAAGTTGAGAGTAGTTGAAGTACGAAGAACTAAAACACTCAGAAAGTGGGGTGGGTTTGCGCCGGCCCGAGACTTGCGTATTAATCAGCTCTGCTTCTATATATTCACCCCACATCCACTCTTCCTCACCACCCTTCTCTCTTCTCTACTCCCTCCTCTCTTTCATCCTCATCACAATGTCCGCCGCCGTATTCGATAAGATCAAAATCCCCAACGGCATCGTCTACGATCAGCCCACCGGCCTCTTCATCGACAACCAGTTCGTCCCCTCCATCGACGGCTCCAAGTTCGATGTCTTCAGTCCTTCGTATGTATCTGTAGCTCTTCTATAAACCACCCTACTTCATACTCATCTCTCTACTACATCAGCGACGAAGAAAAAATCACAGCCGTCTACGAAGCCAAAGAGGCCGACATCGACGTCGCCGTCGCCGCCGCCAAGCGCGCCTTCTACAAAGGTCCCTGGGCCCGGACAACCCCCGCCGAGCGCGCCCGTCTGCTCCACAAACTCGCGGACCTGATCGAAAAGCACGCCGAGGTGATGGCCGCCATCGAGACCTACGACTGCGGCAAGGCCCTCTCGCTCGCGCGCGGCGACATCTTCGCCGTCGTCGGCGCCTTCCGCTACTACGCCGGCTGGGCTGACAAGATCCACGGCAAGGTCGTCGACGTCGACTCCACCTCGTTCAACTACACAAAGATGGAGCCCATCGGCGTCGTCGGCCAGATCGTGCCCTGGAACTTCCCCAGCGTCATGCTCGCAAACAAGATCGCGCCCGCCATCGCGGCCGGCAACACCGTCCTGCTCAAGTCCGCCGAGCAGACCCCTCTCAACGCGCTCTACATCGGCACGCTCGTCAAGGAAGCTGGCTTCCCGCCCGGCGTCATCAACATCGTCTCTGGCATCGGCAAGATCGCCGGCGCCGCCATCGCAAGCCACAACGACATCATGAAGGTCGCCTTCACCGGCTCCACCCTCGTCGGCCGCGCAATCATGCACGCCGCCGCCGACAGCAACATCAAGGCCGTCACCCTCGAGCTCGGCGGAAAGTCTCCCAACATCATCTTTGACGACGCAAACATCGACAAGGCCGTCGAGTGGATCAACTTTGGCATCTTCTTCAACTGCGGCCAGGTCTGCGCCGCGGGCTCGCGCGTGTACGTGCAGGAAGGTGTCTACGACAAGGTCGTCGCCGCATTCAAGAAGCGCGCCGAGCAAAACATCATCGGAAACCCGTTTGACGAGCAGACCTTCCAGGGCGCGCAGGTCTCGGAGGCGCAGTTCCACCGCGTGATGTCGTACGTCGAGAGCGGCAAGGAGGAAGGCGCCACCGTCGTCACCGGCGGCGAGCGACACGGCTCGAAGGGCTACTTCATCAAGCCGACCATCTTCTCCGACGTCTCGACCGACATGAAGATCATGCGCGAGGAGATCTTTGGACCCGTGTGCGCAATTTCGAAATTCACAGACATGGAGGACATCATCGAGAAAGCAAACGACACGGTGTACGGTCTCGCAGCGGCGGTGCACACGACAAATCTAAACACAGCGATCGAGGCCGCGAACCGCATCCGCGCGGGCTCGGTCTGGGTCAACACCTACCACGGCATGCACTGGGCGCTGCCGTTCGGCGGATTCGGACAGTCTGGAATCGGACGGGAGAACGGCAAGGAGGCGATGAAGGCGTACACGGAGGTTAAAACAGTGCGAATCAGTCTGGAGAATTGAGTTATTGAGTTTTTGATTAGTTAGGGATGAATAGTAACGACTTTATTTCATGTAACAATACAGTATAAGACAGTAGCTACAGACGAGCGCGAGCAGTCGCGTTGGGAGTGGAGACGATTAGGTTAGTGGTATCTGCAAACAGGTCGTTATCGCTGGCGAGTTCATCAACTGCGTTTTGGAAAGCAGAGAGTCTTTGCGGGAGATCGGATACCAGCGGGAAGGACAGTCTGTGTTTAGCGCGACGGCGGACGCAGACGCAGATGAGCTGCCTTGTTAGCTTTATATACAAATTTTATCAGTAAAGAGGAGAAATACCAGGGCACTCTTGAATCTCTCCAGCATCTCTCTGAAGGCAAGAGTAAGATGTCCGTGCTTCTGCTGCTTCTGCTGCTGCTGCTGCTCTTGCTGGGTTTGAATAGACCGCATGAGGGATGGAGGAAGGGTATCGCAGTTCAGCACGGGGTATATGAAATTGAAATCAGGAAGAGGAAGAGAGGCAGGGGGATGGGGAATAGGTGAGGTTTTGTCTGTGTCGGTGTCTTTATCGTGTTCTGTCTGAACGGAGAAGTTGCAGGATAGAGGGTCGTCGTCGTCGTTGTTGTCATTGTCGGATGCAGAGACGGGTTCAGAATAATCAAATGGTATCCTCTTCTTCAAAAAAAATTAGCACCTCTACAACAAACACAAAAGCAAAAACCGACCTGAATCGAATCCGACGCCCGCATCCTACACCTCCTCCACACCATCCTCGGCACCTCCCCCCTCGGCAACCGCAGCACCTCATCCGCACTCAGACTGACTTCGCGCTCGAGGTCGACGACGAACGCGGTGAACAGCAAGGCTGGGTACTCGATATCTGTGAGCGGGCCGTGGAATACAGGCGCGTAGTGGAAGGCCGAGGAGGTGCGGTTGTTGAAGCGGATGATGTGTCGGGAAGTAGGGGTGAGAAAGTGGGATGTGTGAGAGGGAGGGCGCCATAGTGCAGCCAGTTCTTTGGAGAGGTGGAGTTCGGAGGGTAAATGTTGAGAGGAGGAGGAGGAGGAGGGGGGAGAACGAGAGTGGCGGGAACAGCAGCAGAGCGTAGGGATCCACATAAACTGGCTGCTGTGGCTGTCAGCCGGACAGAGGACAGGTAACGAGTCTGTCCAGTGCTCGGACGAGCAGGTTGCGGTAACGACGACGGAGGAAGCGTCGGCCAATGAGGCGGAAAGAGGGGAGGTGAAGTACACCGAGGCAGAGGCAGAGGCAGACATTGGATCGCAGGATGAAGTCTGTGCTCGCGGGTGTGGATCATTGTCCGGCATTGGGAGTGAAAGCAGCCCGGCACGCCAGCGGAGTGGATTCTTTGATATCGTGCGGACGGCAATGCGATGCAGAGACAGAGACAGAAACAGCAGGCAGACAACAAGAACAACACAGGGTATTTCACACAGGAGGTAAACAAAGTCGGGTTTACCCAGGCGCTGGGTGGGGGACAGAGAGAAAGGCTGGCTGGCTGGCGGCGGGCTGGCTGCAGGTGGACTGGAAGCAAAAGCAAAGCTCGGACGCCTGTGAGCTGACTGGACCGCACAGTCACGATTGTTCTTTCTTTGTTTTTTGTTGCCTGTACACTGTTATATTTGTTCTTTATTCTATTATTTACTATTCAAATGTCTAATAATACAGTTATATCGACCCTCACGACTCCAAACACCCAGCAGGAGAAAGCAGGCCAGGTACGGCTACCACGAGATTGACAGATGGGCGCCGTTGATGGAAGAGATTCGGAGCCAGGCGCGGCTAAGTTCAGAGCAGCGGCCGATGCTCTGGTTTTGTCCAGTTGCTTTCAGTCGAGAGCCTGGTTGTGTGTGGGCAGTGTGAGCAGTGAGTCGGGGGTGTTGCTGAGGTCGCTGGTTTCTGTTGAATGCTTTTATAAATACACAATTAAGATATTAAGATCAGAATATTACTCTATATAACTACTCTATCATCAAATCCACAACTAACAGAGCTGATAGCAACAGTCCAGAAGGAAGAGCAGCAGCCGGAAAGCGAGGAGAAGATTAGGTTTCGAGCACCCCCTTGATTGCCGTGAGCCTTAAGTGAATTAAATTCGGAATTACCTGATTTTTTCGAATTGTGCAACCACTCCTTCTCATTTATCTTTGTCTTCCTCCTCTTCTTCTTCTTCCTCAGTGTCCTCCTCCTCTTCCTCTTCTTCCTCTTCTTCATATTCCTACTCCTCATCTTCCTCCTCATCCTCATCTCCTCTGTTCAACCCATGGACCCCTACACCCCTCCCTTCCTCCACCCCTCCCACCCCTCCCCTGCCTCCTCCTTTACCTACTCCTTCCCCGACTCCCTCCACTCCCTCCCCTCCCTCCCCTCTCTCCCCGACAAACCAAAGAAGACAAAGACCCCCCGCAAATCCCGCGCAAAGCCCAAATCGCTCGCGATCCCTCCCCAGACCCCTCCCCCTCCCCGCCATGATCTCACCCCTCCCGCCTCCTCCCCTCTGCGCGAGTCCTATCTCTCCCACTCCGACGCCCACCACCCGTCCGTCGCCGGCAAGACCGTGCCTTCCCACCCCTTCCTCACTCCCCAGTCCATCCGCCGCCAGCGCCAGCGCCAGCAGTCCTCTTCCCCTGTCGCCCACGACGCCGCCAGCAACGCCCTCGGCATCTTCGTCTCCGGCCCTGACTCCAGCGAGGCCGTCGATCCCCACCTCATCTACTCCGGCGGCCAATCCCAGCTTACTCATCTGACTCCCTCCTCGTCGTCGTCAGACGACAAATCCCACCCGGCAGAGTACGACTCCTACACAAAGTTCTTCAGATCGCCTATCCAGTACCCGCCCTACCTCGGCAAGCGCTCTCTCAGCGACTTTGGCTCGCTCTCCTCCAGCTGGTTGAAATCATCTACAAAATCCTCCTCAGAGAAGACCAAGGATCATAAGCGCCACAAGCGCTCGCGCACAATCAGCTCGCTCTCGGTCTCGAGCGACGCTGCTGTCGCTCCTCCTGCCGATGATCTGAGAACCCCGCCTGCGTCGGCGACAACGCTCTGCTTCTCCATCTCCGACGACGGTCAGGCGGTTATTGAGTGTCGCTCTGATGCTGCTCTAAGCCAGACCGCGCCGCCCTTGTCTGCGATCTCTCAGGACTGCCCTCCCACAACGACGCTTTCACGCTCACGCAACCCTTCCTCGTCGCTTTCGATCGCAACCATCTCGTCGTCCGACTACACCAGTTTCTCGTCCGACGACGATGAGCAATCCGGTGTTTCCGAAGCTGAGACAGAGATCTTTGATCCCAAGCTCGAGCACATCTCGCGCTCGGACGCGCGTGTCGCGATGGCGAAGGCAATCAGACGACAGCAGGCTTTGCTACAGGTCTACAGAGAGCGGGTTGCTTCCCGGGACACGGCGCGGTCGGAGAAGAAGAAGAGCCGGAAGATGAAGCGGAGTGCGAGCACGAACGATGTTCATGAGATGCAGCAAATGCGCGGCGAGCAGGGTAGCGTGATGCAGGAGTCCGCGCCGTTGAGTTATCCTATGATGGCTGCGACTTCGATGCCTGCCAGAGCCGCTACTTTTGAACAGCATGAGTACTCACAGCAGCAGCAGCAGCAGCAGGAGGGATGGATGATGCAGGAGATGGCGTATCAGCATCAGCATCAGCAGGCCGAAACTCAGGCAGCGCAGGCTAGAGAGACCACCCCGAAGCGCAAGCGAGGCAGACCCAGAAAGACCACTACCGCGCCAGCTCCCCAGCTTGCTGCTGTCGAGGAGCCAGCACCTACCGCCCCAGCTTTAGCGGCGTCGAGCGAGGGCGTTGCGAGGTGCATATGCCATGCAAAGGACTGGTACGGCGAGCCGATGATTCAGTGGTAAGTTTTGTTTACATCTGTGATGGAAGTCGAGTGAAGTCTAACGAGAGCTACAGTGATTCGTGCCAGTGCTGGCTTCATATGTCGTGCGTGGGTCTTGATCCGAATGTACAGTTTTCGGGATCATGGTATTGCCCGTACTGCACAGAGGCGCAACGTCATCATCACCAGGCGCAGATGCAGCAGAACCAGCAGATTCAGAGAGCGCATCAGGGTTATTAACGGAGAGATTAGAATGAGAGATTAAGAGAAAAAGGGATGATTGTTGTATTTGTTTTACAATGATGGCGTTTTATGATAGGAATGTCTTTTATGATTATTTGTGATTAATGATTACAGAAGTACTGTGACTGTGAGTGAAGGATTGTAGTATAGTTAGTTCAGCAATCTATATTAGTGTTTCAACCTGGCCCAAGTCATGTCATCACACGGCAACAAACAGACGAAAGCAGCTGATGTCGGGAGGAAGGGGGATTAACAGGAAGGGAATTGTGATTGTATCACAAGTATGAAGGAAGGGGGTGGCTAGAACAGACAGCAGACAAACCGAAAAGAGAAGGGTGATTTGAATCTACACCGCCGATTTCCACAGACCCGAGCCGATACCAAATGTCGTTGAGCCGATATCCTAAACAATATACTACAATACTTTGACAACAATTGCATGTTTTAAGAAACACCAGACCTCTGTTCATTGATCGCAATGACAAAGTTCGAAGCCTCGGAGTTCAGTTCAGGGGCTGGATCCCTAATTCGATTTAAAAAACAAGAAAATACAAATAAAAGCCCTGCCGCAAGTTGATAAGTCTCCCTCCACTTGTGGCAGCCAACAACCTCATTATTCACCTTCTTCTCTCACCATAGATCATTGTCCCTATCTATTAAGCACCAGCCTGCTCTATACCCTAAGTGGCCTCCCAGGGACGCAAGGGATGAACCGCACCCACGTGGGATGCGGCAGGGTCGCTTTTTACCTGATTGCCCCCGGGTACCTGCATCGGGTTAGGGTGCGTCTATGCAGGACTCGGAAACTCTTTTGTCTCTTCCTGATAGCCTTTCAGTGTCTTCATTATGATGATGGTATCTGTAACTAGTATCTGTACAAACAAGGAGGATGATTGATGCAGGATAAATGCAGGAAATACAACTACAATCTTATATATAAATAAACTTGGAAGACAAAGAGCTCGCGTTCACTCAGCACCCGCCAAGAGTGCGACTCCGATACCACACCGCCCGCCGCTCAGGAAAAAAACCCGACCTTGGACTCGCCTTCTTCGTCGGCTATCGTATACGACAGATTATAGTCTGCCTTCATGCTATCACCGTCCTCCTCGTCACCGTCCTCGCGTGCTCTACTTAGCACGATCTTCCGCACTAGCTTTGGGTTGCTTTTCTGTGGTACTATGCTGAATCCCCGCCCGCGCTGCTCTCCCTTCTCCGCCTCCGCGAGCATAAGCTGGACGGCCATCAACCCCTCCTCGTCGTCATCCATCCCGACAAACTTATTAACCACGATCCTCAGCGGCTTGATGATCCAGCAATACTCCATCTCAAACCGCCTGATGCTCGAACTAAGCGGCAACGTAGGCAGCGGCCTGCGTCCCAAGAACCTGATCCCCCGAATCGCCACATACTCAATCTTTGCCCGTCCCGCCAAGTTCGCGACAAAATCAAGCGTGGTGAACGGCAACCCGCGCACGGGGTGATCAAACTCGTCCACAAACCGATCTAGCCGCTCGACGTCCTCGCACCCAAACTCGAGCCTGACGACAGCGGGAAACGCGCGATTAATCAGCCCCGCGTATTTCTTGAGGATAAACACGCCGCTGTTGCCGTCGCTCAAAAGCGTGTTGCGCATGTGTCTGATACTCCCGGTGCCGTAGAGCACATGCAGCTCCGTCAGCCTCGCAAAACACACCTGGGTTTTCTGCCGCGAGACGAGTTCGCGGAGGGAATCAATCACCAGCTCTGCAAATTGCACAATCTGTAAATGCAGCGTCACGATATTCGACAGCCTCAGCGCTTCTTCGCTCGGAACCTTGTAAAGCCCCGCGCATGCGCTATCTGCCAACCGCTCTATAAACCGACAATACTTTTCCATAACCTCCAGAACCGTCCGCGACTTAAACGGCTTTGCGGTACCCGCCATCCACAATCCAGAAACATCCAAAAGCATACTCCGCTTAAACGCCTGGTGCGTCATAACCACGTACCCAACCACCGCTTTCTCCCACGCTTTACTCACAAGACGTAGCTCGAGAACGGGAGGGAACACGAGGTACGACAGAATCTCGCCAAAGAGCTCGGCTGGGAGGAGGCTCCAGTCAACCCCGGCCGTTCTGTGGAATTGTCAGCGAGAATGCGCAATGCGAAAGCAGAGAGAGACAAGACGTACCTCTGCATCGTTGCGATTTATCAGATCTGTAGTATCTGTAGTAGACGTAGGGCGTAGATGTATCCGGGTATTACTGTTTTTTATCTTATCTTCTCTGCTTCCATCGCATCTCATTTCATAATATCATCACGCACAGATATCAAACCATTCTCTCAGCCAGCACATCTTCCTTCTTCCTTCTTTCAATATCCATCCCGCTATCACGACCCGCCTCCTCGAGCTTACTTCTCCGCTTTGAGCCGCACGCTCAGATTTCTTAATCTATTCAACTACGAATCTTGATAACGATATTATGAGACGTCGATCTGGATCTACTATTCGATATATACACGTAGACAAGTAGATGCAAATCATGACCCCACAAAAAACAAAAAAAGAAAAAGAAAAAAAGAAAAAGAAAAAAAAAGGTACCAAATAAACACAATGACGCCTTCCCAGTTATAAAATTCAAAGAGAGAATCTCTCTCACTTGCGATTCCTCTTATTATTCTGTGTCTTCTCCTGACACTCCTGCGAACAATACCACACCCCGCTCGGCGGACTCTTGAGCCCCACGCACCCGTAATGGAACCACTCATACCGGCAGTCCTCGTTATCGCACGCGACCATGTCGCCGTACGACACCTGCTGGCAGAAACAGTACAGCGCGCTGTCGTTGTTTTCCTCGTCGTCTTCTTCCTCGGGCTCTTGTGAGTGCTTGTTCTTCATCTGCTGCCGCATGCCATTCTTGTTCTTCATGTCCTTGTCACCACCGTTGCTCACCCCGTTCGGCATACCGCGCGGCAGCATCCCGGAATTACGGATCTGGTTCGCGATGATGTCGGCAACAGACTGCTTGTCGCCGCTTGCGACTACTATCGTCGAATAATCCGTACTATCGACAGCACGGCCTGGCATCCCGCCGACGTGTCCTGCACCCATCGGCATTGGACTTCCAGGACCGGGCGTGCTTCGGACGGATGCAATCTTATGCCGTTTAGTCGGCCTCATCATCCCATTATCTCCCATCATGCTTCCTTTCCCAGGCCCATAGACCCCACGCACACCATCCGGTCCAACCGCGCCATTCACCCCCACCGCATCTCCCATCGCCGCGCTCCGCGCCGCCGCCATCTGCTGAATCGCATGCGGCGACGCCCTCTTCTGCGCGTTCAAAAAGCCTGCGTGCGTGGCCGCAGCGTGCGCAGCAGCAGCCTGGTTCGCAGCAGCCTGTTGCGCTGCCATATGCTGTGCTTGAGCGTGGGCGTGCGCCTGCGCCTGCGCATGATGCGCCGCCGACGAGCTCGAGACCGCTTGCTGCTGCTGCAGGCTCTGGATGTTTGGCAGCACGATCGGCTCCGTGCTCGGAGCTAGTGCGCCGTCGTTCTGCAGCTTCTTGATTTCGCTATCAAGACGCTTTAGATGTCGGGTAACCTGCAAGACAAGATATATTAGTCATCCGCCCTACAAGATCGCTATATCACGACCCTCATCACCATCCAACGACGGCCGGCAAGACAAAGAAGGAGATGCATACAAGACCATTGAGCTTATGCGCCAGCTCGCACTTTTCTTCCTGCAGTTTGATGGCCTGCTCGTAGTCGGTCACGATCTTCGGGTTGTTGATCGCCTCCTTAGGGTTTTCGCTCAGTGATCCATGCTGACGAATATGCTTCTGGATCGAGTTATCGTAGTGCTGTATCCGTCGCCGTAGCGTGTTGAGCTTCACGTCTTTGAACTTCATCTCCTCGAGGTAGTGCGCGACTTCCTCCGGCACGTTCACCACTAGACCGCATCATCTCTATTAGCAATCCGTGACCATGGCGACAAAAAAGGTGTGTCTCCAGCGGTGCAGCGCGCCCGGTTCCCACCGTCAACCCGCGAATCACATGCCCTAAACACACCAAGCAAAGGGTGCACACTCACAATCTTGCTGGAACGTTTCCAGCGCATACGCCGCGTCAACAGACATATTTCCGGGTATCTTTCGAAAGCTAGTGAGAAGACGGAGATGGATGGCACAGCCTCGTGGCCATATATCGGCGTGCTGGCGCGGGAGAGGAGGGCAAAGATGCTGCTGTGGCGGGGTAGACGTATGGAATCTGAATGCAAATTTTCACAGAGGCGGCCCGCATTCATATACCCGAACCCTCTAATATTGCATTAGTAAGATAGCTGAATATGATAAGTAATCACTTCACTGCTCGATGAAATGCACTCTTATCTTATTATTGCAATGATTAATTATTATGACTATTATGATGACCCAATCTGCCATTCTCCACCCAAAACACACACCTATAAACACTCCATTGCCACGCTGTGCTAACTAAGCACGAACAGGCTCGATAGTCGACGTCCGCTCAGGACGCGCCTGTCTTGCAGCCCACATCTCGACCGTCCGGCGCCCCTGTTCTGAAGCAACCTGTCTGAGCTTCTCGAGCTCTGCCAATGGCGACTCTGACAGCTGGCCTGAGATGCTCGCGTTCTGAAGATATGCGACGATGTTTGTCATCTCTGCTTGATGAGTTGAGCTGCTTGCGGATGCTTCTGGGGTATCATTGCTGACCACTGAAGCCGCTTTGACGTCTGCGGTCTCTGTGGACTCCGCCGTACCAGATCGAGAAGTGAGAGATGCGGGCGCATGAACGGTGGCGACCGTGGAAGCTGGCCTCGAACGAGATCCGCGACTCGAGTGTTCTGAACCGGCTGGAGAACTAGACGGAACAACAGACAGCCTCCTAGTAGTTCTGTTCGGGGTTGATCTTCCAGTTGATCGCTCCGCGCTCATCACTGGTAACCCATACACACTTGCGGGTCGTCTTGCTGGCGTCTGCTGCTGCTGGCCTTTGACTGTCTGATTTGATCTCTGCAGTCTACTATCTGAAGCCAGATCAAGCGTTGACGCGTTCTTCTTCAGTAAATTAGCTTTTGATCGGTTGTGGAACGACAGCGATGAAAGAAGCGATCGACGCGATCCCTTCGTATTCAACTCCTGCTGTGGCTCAGGCTTTGTCTGCGCAGGCTTATTCTGCTGCCTGAACACAGTCGAAACAAAGCTGCCCCGCTTGGACGCTTCCTGTGGCTGCTGCGCCGGCTGCTCGTTCTTATCGAGCTTTGCAGAGTACTGACTTCTCATGCTTAGATTGCTGATCGACTTCTTGACAACTTGCTGCCGTTCGAATAACGCGCTGCGCTTCTTCACAAGCGGAGGGCCTCCAGCTGTACCAGTCGTTCCGTGTGTAGCAACCGATTTTGCCGGTGACTCCGGTCTTGTAGATTCTTTCGCAGGCGAGCTGTCTTTCCGTTCTGCCTTTGCCTGCGCTCTCCTGTCTGTTGCGAAGGAGAACGGAACAGCTTGAGTAGGTTTCTTTTTAGGCACAGACTTGATACCACTCCGATTATGTGAAGTTGCCTCAGATGCTGTAGATGGTTTCGTCGACCGTGGGGTTGCAGGTGCGGTGGTTTGATTGCTTTGCCTGACCTTGTCAACCTGTCTATGTGCAAGATGTGCACTAGACTTTGTATATGCATTTTTCTGATCAATCTTCGTTGTCGCTTTACTCTCTACCGCAATTGAGGTTGCAGAGTGATTTTCCTGAGTAGCCACCTGTTAGTCTCAAATAATAGTCTTAACACGCCCAATGTATCTTGCTCATACCTTGTCTTCGGCGCCATTACCCGAGGCGCTATAATCTGATAGACCCTGCGCCATAATCGCTGCCAACACGGGTGGATATGTGACTTTAGAGCTCTTGCGAGCCGTGGCTTCCTTTAGACTCCTGTTTGAGCGCTGCGGGTTAAGAACCCGAGCAGTCGTGGTGATCTCAGCCTGCTGGAGCTGGCGCTGTTGCCTCTCTTTCTTTTCGCTCCATACGATTGCTTTTTCGAACGAGTCGCTGCTCTCGTAGCCGTCCGCTCTAGCTAGCTGAGGGGTAATGATAGGGCTTGACTTGACGGGTGTAGAGAGAGAGGTGTCGTGGTTTTCCATGCTGCTGTTTGTGCGTTTGCCACCTTCATCAGATTTCGCGGGTGTTTCGACCAAAGAAGACCTGCCGCCCCGCTTTCGGGACCGTCTTGAACGAGCTGTCGGGTGTGCAGTTAGTAAACTTGAAGCAACGAAAGCGAAGAGTAAGAGAACGTACTTGACTTCTTTGAAGGCTCGACAGCAGTGCATTTGTTCATCTCAGGCATCAGCTCTGGAGTTGCTGCGGCCCTAGACGCCGCTGCGCGAGTGACTGGCATTGCTGTTGAAGATTGAGAAACACTACAACACCCGGACGACTAAACATAAAACAACAACCACCGGCAACAGGGAAAGACGAGCAATATATCGTCGATAGAGGTTGTTTTGTTGACGGAGCGCCACTACCAGAGTGATGGACAACCGAGATTTGACTGCTTAAACCTAATCTTTTGCTGGTGAAGACGAAGAGCGGAGGAGCTGCGGGCGAGGCTCATTTTGCGTTGGCAATGTTTATTTGCGGGTTGCCAAATCTGGCTAGGCGTCAATGTACTACCGCCGCACGGCCTCGACGCGTTCTGATTGCAGCTCTGATTCCGGGCTGAGCGATAGCAAATAGACGCTGGCACGATTTAAGAATGTTTTATTGATAAGATAGCGGGTATTTCTATGAGTTGTTGCTGTTTTGAGTGATCAACACATCTCAAAAAGGGCTGAGCATTCCGGAAAGCCAAAGACGATGCCTCTAATCATGGAAAAAAGCCGCCCTGTGATGAGCAGCTCCGTAGTTATTAACCAGTTCCGCCTACTTTTTCCAATTTATATTGCTTTGCCGATTGCTGCACATTTGCTGACCAAAGCCCAGTGACGTAGCCTGCATCTGAGAACTGTTCTAGACTGAGACGAAGTGGTTCCTGATCTGATCTTGCCAATTGCGTAAGTTTTCACGATTATAGAATGCGGCAGCTCATAGTTTACTGTAGATATCTGTTGAACACAACAGGCATATTCAGGCTATAAATATACACGAACAACGAATATGTAAACAGACTGCTCATCTAATCTGTTTACGTTTACAATCTGCACAGGAGCTAAAGTTTATCGCTTTCTGCTCATCCTCTCCGCTCTCGCCCGTCCCTGCTTCAAAAGCACATGCTTTCCGATGCCGATGATCTTCAACGGAAGTACGCGTCATCTGCATTTGTTAAACTGTTCACAGACTTTCGCGGCGCTGACAGACCAGTGTGATGTTCCACCGTACCCTACCAGAAGGAACATTGACGCTGACTGGGCGTCTTCACGGCGGCGGCTATGGCAGCTCCCAAATGATGTCGGCCACAACTCGATGACTTGATAAGAGTTGATAATCAGACAGCAGAGACAGCAGAGACAGATCAGAAGGTGAGGCTGCTCGTCGCTGTTTACGCTCCTCAACCTCGGCTTCTGATCTTCGCGTAGAAAGTGAGTGTGAGCGCAACTCCATCGCCTGCCCTTTCCACGCCCTACACAGTAGCCACAACAACAGCCACCCCGCTTCCCTGCACCCACATCCCTCTCCATATCTCTCTTCCAACCCTTCAGCTGACCCAAAAACACAATGCACCGGACTCGGCTCAGGCGCTGTTCCGGCCCATAATTGGGATTTCTGCGTGCGGCTGCTGGCCAAGTAAACAATGTTACCCTGCCTCTCGATATCCCCCTCGATATCCACTTCCTCATGACAATCAACCTGCCGTCAGCAGTCTTGGTCTCGTGCTCTTCCTCATCCTTGCTTCGCTACTAGTACATCTGCGAGACAGGTAGTCAGTTTGTCTGGTAATCAGTTTGATTCTAGCCTTTCTCTGTTTATCTTGGACCCTGTGCGCGCGACGTATGAGTACATAGACCGCGTCGATCGTGACAGGCACCTCTTAGATATGTGTTCAACTGACTTCCGACATACACAAATATAATCTCAAAGTGAAGTCACTTCGTCAGAGATATGGCCGTACATTCTCGGTTTAACGACCCAGAATCAAGAGCTGCACGGGAACAGCATATCCACGAGCTCTTCCAGCAGCTCGATACACAAAACAAGGGTTATCTCGATAAAGAATCGCTAAGTGAAGGCTTTCGTCAATTGAATCATCGTAAGTTTCGCTCTTGCTGGCTGATGCTTTTTTATTTTTTGTTGATTGTGGTTTTCTTGCAGCTCTGCAGAATGCGATTGGAATCACAAACGAAGTCATAACGCTCGTCGACCAGAGCGGGGACGGTACTATACAGGTGAGCATTCTACGTTATTTCTCGCGCTGGCGCGTTCAGCTTCAGTGCAACTTATTTTCCTGAAAGAGTTTATGTGTTGACATACGTGACAGTATCCCGAGTTCTTGCAGTTTGTGGAAAGAACAGAAGATCATCTATGGGCCCTCTTCCAAAGCGTCGACAAAGATCACAACGGCCGTCTAGACAGAGCAGATGTAGCCGCCGCTCTTCAAAGCTCAGGCCTTTCAGTCTCCGCCGACCGGTTAGATCAGTTCTTCAAGTCAATGGATCAAAATAATGACAACGCAATTACGTACAATGAATGGCGCGACTTTCTCCTGTTCATCCCGGTCGACAATATCAGTATCCGCGCGGCCTACCGGTATTTTATCGATAGTTATCCGATTACTTCAGATGGCGACGTATTTCTGAGCGACGAAACGCTGAGTGGCATAGGATATTTCCTTGCAGGCGGTGTAGCGGGCGCCATCTCGCGAACGGCGACGGCACCTTTTGACAGGTACAAACAAGCAACCTAATTTCCAACGTGTCTTCAGTGCGCTCACACTTGCTGTATCTAGATTGAAAGTGTATCTTATAGCTCAAACGGGCCAAGCTCCCCTAGCTACAAAAGTAGCAGCTCAGGGCGTCGCAGCCGAGATAGCATCGAAAGCGGTTCCGAAAAATGCTCTGGCAGAAGCTGTTCGCACTCTATGGCGACACGGTGGCATTCCAAACTTTTTTGTCGGAAACGGGTGAGTCTTCTAGCGTGCAATAGAGCCTCAAGAACGGCTTGCTAATGGTATTTTGATTGATCAGGCTGAATATTGTGAAGGTTTTCCCAGAATCGGCGATAAAGTTTGGATCATTTGAAGCGTCAAAAAGATTGTTTGCCGAGCTTGAAGGTACGACAGTTAATAATATGTCTGGAATATCTTCATTCATAGCTGGCGGTATTGGTGGCGCGGTTTCGCAGTTTGCAGTCTACCCTCTAGACACTCTTAAGTTGTTAGTATCCCTTCGATTTTCCCATTCATGGTGTATGCTGACTGAAATTACAGCCGTGTGCAATGCGAAGCGGAATCGAGTGACTTGCGAGGCAACAAACTGATGGTAAAGACAGCCAAAGATATGTGGCGATCCGGCGGCTTGCTGGGATACTATAGAGGCATCATTCTCGGAATCGGTGGCATTTTCCCATACGCGGCGCTCGACCTCGGCACATTCGAAGCTATGAAGAGGGCCTATATAAAAACTACGGCGAAGAAGGAAGGAATTGATGAGGAGAATGTGAAGATAAGTAATCTGGCGGTTCTTACGATGGGTGCGCTTAGTGGAAGTGTGGGTGCTTCTGTCGTGTACCCTATCAATCTGCTACGGACACGACTGCAGGCGCAGGGAACAGCTGCGCACCCTCAAACATATACAGGAATGAGAGACGTAAGTTATTTTTTGTATTTCATATGACTTCATCAACATCGACTGACTAAATCGCTCTAGGTCCTTCAAAAAACGATTCGAAATGAGGGTTACCACGCTTTGTTCCGGGGTCTAGTGCCAAACTTGCTGAAAGTTGCTCCGGCGGTCAGCATCAGCTACCTGGTATATGAGAACTGTAAAGCATTGTTTGGATTGAAATGATAGGTTGGCTTGGGTTTCATTGTGCGTGCCGTTTGTCGTTGGTTTTCTGTAATCGATAGACGGAAGGAAGATATGATCAGCAATAGAAAGTAGAACACCTCCATATAATGTCTCCAGTATTTAACTCGGCCGCTGCATCAGCGGGCTGGCAACTTCTCCTTCGCTTTTGACTCTTCTACCCAAACATCAAAGCTTAATGGGCCCATATATATATGCCTCAACGGGTTAAACTTCGGCAACATCCCATTTCTCGGCGGCGTCTTAACGTTCCCATTTACTGCAATATTCCCGTCGTCGGACGCCGCGGTAACCTCTGGCAGCGGATCTCGCTCCTGCGGCTGACTTTCGGCGGGGACCCATTTCGAAGTAGGTCCCGTAGGCGCTTCGGCGTCGTCGTTGAGCTCGATGGTGATTGTGAAGGTGCAGTCTGTAGGGAGGGTGCCGAGCATGGGGGACATTGTTGATAGTTTCATTATGCAGACTCGGAATTGCTCGTCCATGTCTGGTCTTTTTAGCTCGATGTTTTTCAAACTAGCAGTGGAAATAAATTAGACACAATCTCCTTTAGGCAACTGAAGCGGGAAAAAAAGAGGGAATATACATACTCTCGATCTTGATCTCTAAGAGGGATCTTGGGAAATCCAGAGACGTCAAAGACCACTCTCTCAAGCGGAACATTTGAGACTGAAATCAACACCACCGAGATTCTCGAAACCTCTCCCTTGATTCGTAAACGAGGTAAGAAGTCGGCAAAAACAATAAAGCCTCGATTGAAAAAACTTACGGTCCTCATCTGCTCAACGCACGCGCTGACTGCATTGCGCACCCATTCGCAAACTTCAGGATGTCGTGACTGCCGCACCGGATAATTATACTTCCTAGCCAAAAAGAAGGACTCGGCGGGGTATATCCTCCGCTCGAAGAGTATAGTGTGTACACTGACGACCAGGAACTCGGCGTAGATCGACAGCAGCTCGGAGTACGTCCATCGCGGCAGGACTGGCGTTGTCGCCCGCGTTGACGAGGAGGAAGATGCCCGAAGATGCTCAGCGTCGTTCATCTAAAAGACGACATACGCACACTTTCAGCTTAGCACCAGCACCATCGAAAACAGAGATGCGGTGACCGAACTGACCTCCACGCGTTGCCATCAATGATGTGGACGCGCGCTGTCATGTGACCACATAAACTGTGGTGCATCACGTGGTTTTCAAAGATTTCCATGACCCAACGCGTCCTTCCCGATCAAAGCGCGTCTTAGAGAAACTGAACTACTTTGCGCTTCTAAGGTGTAGGGTGAAGTAATACTGCTAGTACAATCTGCAAAGCGGAATTGAGCATTGGTATTCACGACAGGTTTCAAGAAGGTACAAGACAAAGATGGATCTGGTAGCGGATCTGCTTAATGCAACCCAGTCCTCCGAGCAATCGATCAGAACCTCTGCCGAGCAACAGATCAACGAGCTGCAAACCTCCCACGCGCCCGATCTCACGCGTGCGCTGATTGGAATTGGCTCTTCTCCCGCCTATGCCGTGCCGCTGCGCCAATCCGCACTCCTAGTGCTCAAGCACACGATCGCGCGCAAATGGTCTCTGCAATTCGAGGAATTCACGGGCGAGCCGCTGACGCAGGAAGTCAAGGCGCAAGTCCGGGCCGAGCTGTTCCAGATCATGCGGTCGTCCGAGCGGAGGCTGCAGGCATTGGCGGCGAATCTGGTGTCGAAGATTAGCAGCGCGGATTTTCCGGACGATTGGCCTGAGCTGTTTGATGATCTGATGGGGTTGATGAGGAGTAGTGAGAATGAGTGTATTCGAGGTGCTTTGGTGATTCTTAAAGGTGAGCTGTCGCGTTGTGCTGGTGTGAGTGATTATGGCTGACGCGGATGCTGGTATACAGAACTATTGGACGATGGCTTCACATTCGAGCAGTTTGCAACAATCGCCGGTCCAGTATTCGAAGCACTATACAGTCTATCTATATCCGACACGGTAAGTCCTAAACCGCCTCCTCTCATTCCCTCATCTAACAATTTTTCACTTTGCAATCAGATCGAAATCGCTACAAAAGCAGAGGTAATCGACGCCGTGAGCGCGGCACTGGACTTCTTCAACCAGGTCGACAATGCGACGCAGGAGATGGAGAGTTTCGTCGCAAACTCGATCGATAAGTGGTCTGAAGTTTTCGCGCGGAATATGACGATTCAGGTGGCGTCAGCGGCAGAGGGGGATCTCGCGAGTAGTCTGGCGGGAGGTTATGGCGTTCTTGCGTTGAAGTATAACACTGTTAAGGTGTGTTCAAACTCGAGATCCAGTTATTATAAGCTTTCGTGATGATTTAACAGCTGTTGTGCAGGCAATTCAACGACTGGAATCTACCTTCCCATCTCAATCTCAGGCAGCGGTTACTTCAAGACTTTTTCCAGCAGTATGGGACGATCTCCCGACCTCGGTGGCACTCTACACCTCTGTGTTCATCAACTCCGAGTCCGACGATCTGGACCTAGAAGACCCCGAAGGTGTCGCCAGATTCATCCGACTGATCCCGCTAGAAGAAATAGAATCCATCCGCAGCTGCGCGCAAGAACGCAAGGAAATCAGACAAAGCGTCAAGAGCTCGCCTGCGATGGTCGAAAGGCTGATGGACCTTGCTACGCTGATGAGCCAGATCTCGGCTGATACGGAAGAAGATTATAAAGACGATCCGAATTCGTTTGTTACCGAGGAGCTATCGCTGTCGACGAAATATACCTGCCGCACGGCGGCCTCGGATTTGGTGTCTGAGTTTAGCGATTTTGCGGTGAACCCCATAATCGATGCCTTAGCCAGCAAACTCATTGCATTAGCTTCGTCCGCAGACGGGGAGAAGAGACAGCAGCAAAGATTACTAAAGGCGTGTCTGTTTCTGCTGGAGGTCACGCTCGTGCAAGACCGGTCGTTTGGCAAACAACTGTTTGCGACACCGGCGATCGAGCAGATGGTGCAGATCATCTACAGCGGGATCTCATCCGACGACGTTTTCCTTCGCGCGCGCTCGTTCATCTTTGCCGGGACGTTCAGTCGTAATCTGAAAAGTCTGGCTGCGACATCACCTGCCTCCGCTGAGATCGCAGAGAAGCTGTACGATGCCGCATTGCAGAGCGCGTCTCAAGACAGCAGTTTCATCGTGCGTGCATGCTGTCTCCTCTCCATCCAACGCTTCTCATCCACCATCCCCCGCTCGCGACACAAGCCCACGCAAACCGCAATCGTGCAAGGCGTGAACTCCCTGATCGCCGACTCAGCAGACGACACGCCGTCGCTGCTCGTCGACGCGCTCGAGATCGCAATCAAGATCAGTCCGGACCTGGCGATCTTGCCTGAGACGCAGATCGTGCAGCTGCTGTTTCTGTCGGCGGCCAAGGACGCGGCGAATATCCAGCTCACGAGCGATACTTTTGAGGCCTTTGAGTTGCTCGCTGAACTCACCGAGCCGGCGCATTATCAAAAGTTCTCGGAGACGGCGATTCCGCCTCTTGTGCAGGGGCTCGGGAATGCGACCGGTAATGATGAGATTGCAAACTCGACTGTATGTGTTTTATGCCCTCCCTTTTGGAAATTTTGTGTGTGCACTTCTAATTGGATATCTAGTTGATTATGAGTTTATTGGCCATTTTGGTTCAACATGCGCCATCGCCTCTGCCCGCGGGTCTAGTAGACTACATCTTCCCCAAAACAGCAATTATCCTCATGACTTCGGACGACAATCAGCTTCTACAGGTACCCGTCTTCTTTTACTTTTCGGCGACTACACCGCTGAGCTTACTGCTAATAATATATATCGATAGTATGGCTCCGAGCTCCTAGCCCACATAATCGAGCACGACCCAGACCAACTGCGCGACTGGAAGGACACCCACGGCGTTCTCCAAAGCACGATCGCGAACCCGACCCCGAACGGGATCGAGGTCGTCCTGAGCATTGTCGCGCGCCTTCTCAACCCGTCGCTGATCGACGAATCGAGCGCGATGTGCATCGGCGAGGTCGTCAGCGCGGTCGTGGATAAATACGGCCGCGAGCTCGGAAGCGATTTGCTGGGTCAGTTGTTGTCGGCTACCGCGCAGCGGCTCGAGGCAGCGTCGAATCCGCTGTTTATCCAGAACCTGGTGTTGGTGTTTGCGCATATGGTGACGATTGATGCCGAGGGAGTCATTGGATTCCTTGCCGATCTTGAGTTTTCGAATAGCTCGGGTCTCGAGACGGTCGTGCGGGCGTGGTTGGATAACTTTGACGTCTTCCGCGGATACAAGGAAATCCAACTGAACGTACTCGCGCTCACGAAACTCTACCAGCTCCACGACCTACGGGTGGAAGAAATAGTCGTGAAAGGCGACATCCTCGTCGACGAGGCGTCCAAAAAGGGCGTCATCCTCACGCGCTCGCGGGCCAAAAACACACCGGTGCAGTACTCGATGATCCCGGCGCACGCCAAGATCGTAAAGTTGCTGGTCAGAGAACTCGGTGCGATTCCGAGCGATTCGGGGATCCCGAGTCGCGCGGGGATCATGGCAGCGGCGGAGTCGAATGAGAGCGCGGTGGATGAGGGCGATGGAGATGAGTGGGAGGATGTGTTTAATCCTGCTGATATCGGGCTTACTATGAACGGTTTGTCTACGCCAGTCATTTATCTGATTTTCTATAGAGCTAACTCTAGATGTCTAGAACTGAAAAAACTCGCTAGATCCGAAAGTTTCGGCGACGACGCCTCTGCCTCTGATCCCGACGACGACGACAATACAACCAGGACCGGCGGAGGGTTGTTCAACGACAAAGGCGGCGACGAGAGCACTAACGAGCTGCTGATCAAGTGTCTACGCGATATCTGCGCGACCGACGGACGCGAGCAGTTTAAAGCGCTGGTGACTAGCTATTGTTCGCGTAGCGAGCTTGAGATTCTAGAGCGGTGGCAGACGGTTCTGTTATAGTAGGCTTATCAGAAGATGACGTCATTTAGATGATTAATTAAGGTTTAACCTCTGCTCAGTATAAGGAAGCCGGAAAAGCCAGTAGACAACTTCCCGAGAACCCAACGTAAACAAATAAACCAATTACGCATCCCACCACCAACATTTCGGACATTAAACGTTATCTTCCTCGGGGATTTGAGGAAGAGGACGAGCTACACAGTCTGCTCGGTCGGGTTTTAAATGCCTTTCAGGCGAAGGGCGAACCCCCATACGCGTGGCTCACTCGTTTGGAAAACTTGGCCGATGAGATTCCGCAAGGACTCGAAGGACTCGAAGTCTGGCTCTGTCAGCTTGCGCGTAACCACTGCACCAATGTGAGACTGTACCGTCGACTCGAGGTAACGGCGAATCAGTGGGATTTCGAAGCAATGAAAGCCGTTTGTGCGGAATTGTCGGAAGAAACCTACTTCGGCACCGGAGCGTTAACTCACTTCAATGAGCCGTGCGACCTCGAAGAAGTCGGCGAAGAATCGACGGAGACCGAGTCGTCTCCGTCAAAGAAGCCCAAAGAATCAAAGACCGGCGAGAGTTCAGGTGAGGACGACAGGGATTCGAAGATGAACAAGCCGCCGTGCCAGTACTGTATCGATCATCATCGCCCGAACTATGAGAAACACGCCGAATCTAAATGCTGGATTAAGGATAAATCCAAATTTCCTGAAAAATGGGTCAAGAAAGCCTTCGAAATTGCAAAGAATTGAAGAAATAGATGCTAACATACCTCACTTTTTAGTTAAAGAATCTCAAAAAGTCCAAGTCCAAGTAGAGGGATCAGCTGCCCTCTCAGGACTTGGCGTCGCATGCAGCGCGCGGACCTTCGAGTCCAAGGTCGCTGGGTTATGGAGTGTGAGGATGTGAAGAATACAGGAGTGTGTAATTATTTACAATAGAATTCTTGATTACCATACAATTTCTCAAAATCATGAATCAGTGTCAACTTCTGAAATTCAGGAACATATAATCATTCGTGATCTCCACTTCCCTAATCTACGCAATGCTGGCACATACATGAACCATAGCTACCCGTCTCCGCGTCTAGCCGAGTTATTATATTGAATCGGAGGAGCAAGAATCTTCTCGAAAACGGATCTTGACAGCGGCGGCTGGCAGATACCAGTACACTCTGACGATCAACATAGGGCGGTGATAACTACTCGTTATGGCTGTTACTGTTGAGAACCTCCAAGCATTTCTGGGTTTGGTTGACTATTACCGACGACTCGTGCGAGATTAGGGGCATCTCAACGAAGCTACTTCGTCACAAGACTGTATATATATATATAGAATAGTATTTTCATAGCAAAGAGCAGAATATAAAGTAAATAACATTTTCAGCAATGAACGTGTAACAGCAAAGAGACAGAGGCTATTAGAGAATGTAGCAGCAGACACGGACTGGTGTTTATATATTTGTACTTTCAGCAAACTGCTCTCGCCGCTCCATTTTGGCAGCCCAGAGCGCGGCTCCGGTCACGTTTGTGAAACTAAAAAACATGCCGACGATGGGTAGCGTTTCCAGAATGCCAGCCACAGCACCGAATCTAGATAAAACAAAAGTCAGCTGATTCAAGAAAAGGGTGGTTATGAGTAAAAAATAAACAAACTGACGTGATGTAGCCGCCATATCGTCTTCTAATGAATAGACGAGTTTCCCGCGGCGTGAAAGCTTTGAGTTGGAAATAACGCATCTGCGCCGCCTTTGCAAACTCCAGACTTTTCAAAAGCGCAGCAATAAATGGTCCTACAAACGGGATAAATTGGATCGGTATCAAAAGCAGGTTTTTCAATAGAAGAAACGGGGAAGTAAGCCGGAGGATAAACAGGCGCCATTGCGCGCGCAGCTTGTGCACCGCGCTGCGGCTCGCGCGCTCGAGCACGACGGAGGACATTTCGGGCTCTGTAGCGTTAGCGGGGGAGTCTGCGACAAAGTCTTCGAGGCCGCGGAGTCGGAGGACCTATAGAGTGAAGGTCAGTGAGTGAGTGGTGAGGGTAAGTGAGTGTGAGGGTGCGTGATTGGTATAGGGTGAAGTCCGTACGGTGTCAAAGACTTTTTTGTGGGCGCCTTTGATGATGAATGTTTTGGCAATGATGCTGTAGATTGAGTATGCTTGGTTGAAAACCATGAAGAATGAGGTAAAGACGCCAGCTGGGCCGTTGAGGATGATCATGATGACTACCATGGGCGGGTAGGCCATTGCAAACCATCCAGAGTAGATGATGAGCATGATGATGATGAGAGGGAGGACGACATAGACAAAAGACGGCCAAAGCACTGGATGCCATAGAAAGTAGCCAATGCCCTTCAGAGGAGCTGTTAGTATATGAGAGATGATCAGATGGAGGGATGTAGAGGGGCAGTAACATAGAACGGATATCTGACAGCACAAGTAGTGACAGCAGTATAAGGGATGATGAAGATGAGCAAGATCCGGTAGGTGATTCCGGTGTATAAGAAAAAGAAAAGCCGATCAAGGGCAGATGCAACTTTCATCTTGGAGTGGCTAATGGCCGAGCTAGAGAGGTCGGGGATCGTCTTTGACCGCAGACTTGCGGCGATGCGATCAAATCTAGACTTGACATTGGAGACGCTGATGGCGTAGGAAAGTGGCAGAAACCACATGATCGGCGGTGGATGTCGAAGGCAAACCAGAAAAGAGCAATAAACTTGTCCCGGAGGATGGTTTTAGGCGGTAGGAAGAGAAGAAGAGGCCGTGCGCGAGGTGTTCAGCTGACTGTCGATTAAGGTTTTGGTAGGTGAGTGAGTGGTGCAACACAATAAACTAATATACGAAATAGAGTTTAGGCAATTTCAGGGGCGAGCGGATGCTACCCCGCATGATTACCTCAGCAAGACAGAATCGATCGCAGCCGGCGGGATATAGCCAGCGATGTAGAAGTAGCCAGAGGTATGGCTGGGGATATAGCCTGGGTGTGATTATAGCAGCTGGTAGCTATAGGAGGTGCTGTTGGCTGTACTGGGAATTAGCAGTAGGTAGGTGATAGATGATATCACTTGTTGTTGATGCTAAATACTGTGGGGTATACCTCCTAGTTCAGGACGAGAAGACGTTAGAGTGCCGGGTAGTCTTCAAACAAGCAGAGCCGGAAGAGATGCCACCGGCTACTCAAATCAAGAGTTTGCTGGAAGCAGAGGCATTGTTAAAAGGTGAGGTTTCCGGGGAGCAGGAAGAGTATGCATCCAGTCACTTCTCACTTCCCCCCGCATTTCATGTTCTCCACTTTCGACTGCTTCGCGGCGGAGATCAGAGTCGACCACCACCAGCTACTAACTATCACTAACAACTAACCTCGAGCAGACCCGGCTCGCATCCACCGGCTTTGGAAGCGCACAAGCTCAAGACATATTTATCTGAAGAGTGGATCGGACCGGCTTTGTCTGTCTTTGTCTTTGTTCCTGTTAGCCCTCGACTGCTGCATATCAGAGTTCCTTCCGCATCTCTGTTCTCTATCTAATATCTTCCTGCTTTTTTGACTTCAAATAATTCTATACAGCATCTACTTCAGAAAATACAAAGGAAGAAATCAAGAGCTCCGTGCGGATCGACAAAGCCGGTGGGCAGAGGAAAGAAAATAAGAAACTAAGAGAATGAAAATAAATAAATAAAAATAAAAACCCCACAACCAGAAAATTATTCTCGGCTGTCGAAGGAAAGCAGGAGAATCTCCTCCGGATACCTCTTTCTCTACTACATTCACCGTCCTTTACTTCATTTTCTATCGCGACGTTCCAGACAAAAGGACTCAAACTCAAGCACAAGACAAAGCCCCGCCGAACAATGGCGAAGAGTGCACTGGGCGCAATGCGGGGGTTATCAGCCCACAAACTCAAATGCCTCCCCCACAAAATCAAACCTCAAGCGAACTCCGGCGTCCGCTGCTGCCTGCGCCCTGATGCCGTTGACTCTCCTCCTCTTCCTCGTCCTCCATCGATATCCGTCCTCGACCCGGTGCTCGTCGCTACCCCTCCTCTTCCTCCCTCGACTATATCCTCCCCCTCTTCCCCTCCTCCCCTCCTCCTGCTCTTCCCACCCCACCCACCTTTCCTTCTCTCTTGTTGACCTCTACCCATGTCCTCCACAGCTGTCCACCCCTACGAGGAGAAAATCCACGACGACTTTGTCGAGAACGCCGTCGATGACGACGAGCACACCCTCGACCCCATCGAGGACAAGTACGGCGGCACCTACATGTGGCTCATCGCCACCTCCGCCGCCGTCGGTGGTCTTCTCTTTGGCTACGATCTTGCCATCATTTCCGGCGTCCTCGTCATGCTCGGCACCAGTCTAGACCACCACGTCCTGTCCTCCAACCAGCAGGAACTCCTCACCTCCATCACCTCCGGCGGCGCCTTCCTCGGTGCCCTCATGGCCGGTTTCATGCTCGACCGCTTCGGCCGCCGCACCGTCATCGGCATCGGTGCCATTATCTTCACCCTCGGCTCCCTCATCCAGGCTCTGTCCTGGTCGCTCGCGCAGATGACCGTCGGCCGTCTCGTCGTCGGCCTCGGCATCGGCGAGGCCGCCATGGTCGCCCCGATCTACATCGCCGAGGTCGCGCCCGCAAAGCTGCGCGGCCGTCTCGTCAGTCTTGACGCGAGCGCAATTACCTTTGGCCAGTGCGTCGCAAACATCTTCAACATCATCTTCGAGCACGTCGACCACGGCTGGCGCTACTCCGTCGCCCTCGGCTGCATCCCGTCCATCCTCCTCCTGATCCTCTGCTTCATCGTCCCCGAAACCCCGCGCCATCTGATCCGCAAAAACAAGATCGACGAGGCCATCCGCGTCACAGCCAAGATCTACATCCACGCCACGCCCGAGGAAGTCGAAAGCAAAGTCCGCAAAATCAGACACAAGTTCGAGATGGAGGAGCGCTACCGCGAGCTCACCTTCCGCCAGCAACTCTCACTGCTCTACAAAGATCCCGCAAACTTCAAAGCGCTCATCATTGCCTGTGGTATCATGGGTATCCAGCAGTTTGCCGGCTCAAACACGCTCATCTACTACTCGCCCACGCTTTTTGGTCTCGTCGGATTCAAGAACGCGATCGCCGTCTCGATCGTCATCACCGCAACAAACTTCGCCTCCGGCCTCCTGTGCTTGCCCTACCTCGACATCTTTGGCCGTCGCCGCTTCATCAACGTCACATACTGGGGCTGTCCTATCGTGCTCATTGTCGCGGCAGTCGCAATCAGTTACATCCCCATCAGCAAGGACCTCACTGTCGCCGACCAAAAAATGACCTGGGCCGGCGTCGTCGTGCTCGTCTGCACCATCCTCTTCATCCTCTTCTTTGCCTCCGCGCTCGGCAACATCCCCTGGCAAGGCAACGAGCTCTTTCCCATGGAAGTTCGCTCGCTTGGAACCATGATGCTCACGCTCACCTGCTGGGGCTCAAACATCGTCGTCTCCTCCACCTACCTCTCGATGATGAAGAACATCACTCCCAGCGGCACCTTCGGCTTCTACGCAGGCATCAACCTCATCGGCTACCTCTGCATCTTCTTCATGTACCCCGAGGTCTCCGGTATGACTCTCGAGCAGGTCAAGAACATCTTTGAGCAGAAGTTTGGCTGGCCGATGGTCAAGTACAGCGTGCGACTCTTCAAAGAACGTAAACAGGCCATGAAGTTGAAAGCGGCAGAGGCGAATGATTCCGCCGACAGCAGCGGCGTCGCGGGCTCTTTGCAATCGCAGCCTGAGCAGGTCCCTGTGGCTGAAGAGAAGGGTCAGTAATCTTGCCTTTCTTTTTCTTTCCGTTTTCGATTGTTTGTTGTGGGGAGAGTTACTGTAGCTACTGTTGAATTAAAAAATCTATTATATCGCCTCTTGATCATTCACAGCTTGTAAATCGTAGCAGCTAAATCAGCAATTTTTATATTGGTGCTTGTAGGGCTACTTCTATCGGCAGAGAAGGTTTCGTGAAGGCTTGGTATTGTACTACATGTGCTACACAAGACACTAAGCGAAGACGATAGCCGAGTGCACTCTTCAGGCTCAGACAGAGCTTAATTATTCCAGCATCATCTAGAATAAATTAAACTGCAGAGGATGTTGATGCATTATAGACACCAGAAACTAAGAATAGTACGCGAACGCGGCTGGATCAACCGCGGCTGGGGCGCGGTGAGCTAGTGCAGACTTAGCCGCACTCTACGGGCGCAGCAGACTGATTATTGCCATTCAGGGTTAGTTGTAAACAATCCCACGCCTCGAAAGACACCTCGTGCTCTCGATGAAGCTCAGAATTTACACAGAACCTCTGACTATAAAAATGCTGTCTCCTGCCGTTGTTTTCCTTTCTCTATCCTTATAGATATCTCAATCTCAAACAACAACATGAAATACTCACTTGCTCTCCCTCTCTCCCTTCTCGGACTCGCGGCCTCTGCTGCTGCTCAAGTCGCAAACGTCACCCTCGAGGTTATCTCCTCAGACTCCACAATCGACGGCAAATTCCTGACTTCCATCCACGAGAGCGCCGGCGTCAACTACGTCTTCCTCGCTGACTCTGGCGATTCCTACATTTACGACTACGGCGTCAATACCTTTTTCGGAACCAGCTTTGCCGGCGTTTCCGCGTTGCTCCAGGTCGATGATGAGCTCCTCACCGTCTCTGTCTTGGATGGGTACACCAAATTCGACATTGTCAAAGGCAACACCCTCGCCGTCAACGGCTCGTCCTCTGGCTTCTACGCCTGCAAGAACACGGGCGACCCTTACTCCTACTCCACCTCGGCCTACCAGGCGATGTTCTACAGCAGCGACGCTCCTTCAGACTGCATCCCCTTCACAATCGAGTACGTCCCTGTCGGACAATCCGCCAAGAACTCCTCAAGCACCACATACTCCAGCTCGACCACCAACGCGACCTCCACTTCTGTTCCTACCGCTACTTACACCGGAGGTGCGGGTATGCTCAAGGCCAGTGCTGCTTTGACCGTTGGTGTCGTTGTCGCTGCTTTGGCTCTTGTCCTATAAGCGCGTCTATTTCCGAATGCAGCTGCTCGTCAGGTTCGAAGTCTTGGAGATAAGACCTAGTCACTCTTAATGGTCACTGCCTCCAAAGATCTGTATGGAGGCAGATTTATCATCATCATCATCATCATTTGTATAATAGGAGTACCAGGGACAATGTAAATATGGCGTTATTAGGGAATATTGTTATTTTAAGTAATAGAATTCATATACAAGATACAATAAAATTCAGTAAAATCTATAAACAATTGAAATCGAAATCAGGTCCTAGAAAAACTGGGAGATTTAGTTGGATAGGACAGTAGTTGCCACTGGTTAAGATGCGAACTTGGAGAGTGGGCAATAAATGCAATGCACACTGGTGACGCTGCGAGAGTATCCGGGAACCTCATCTAACGGAACAGCTAATGCGCTGAAAACGCATGAAATAGATACTGTTGTATAGTAATGTGATATATATGGATGACATTCCAACCAAAAACTAGTAGAGTTGGCGTTTTCCGGATCCCGGAAGAATATAAGCTTGTGTACGGTCACATCTACCAAGACTAGAACTGATACAGATTCCACCTAACCAGCTCGAGCTCTCCTCACATCCGACACTTCCCAATTGATTCCGCCGACAGCAGCGGCGTCACGGGCTCTTTGCAATCGCAGCCTGAGCAGGTCCCTGTGGCTGAAGAAAAGGGTCAGTAACTGCCTTCTCTTTTTCCGAGTTTTATTGTTTGTTGTGGGGAGAGTTATTGTAGCTACTGTCAAGTTAAAAAATCTATTATATCACCTCTTGATCATTCTTGTATATCGTAGCAGCTAAATCAGCAGTTCTTATATTGGTGCTTGTAGGGCTACTTCTATCGGCAGAGAAGGTTTCGTGAAGGCTTGGTATTGTACTACATGTGCTACACAAGACACTAAGCGAAGACGATAGCCGAGTGCACTCTTCAGGCTCAGACAGAGCTTAATTACTCCAGCATCATCTAAAATAAATTAAACTGCAGAGGATGTTGATGCATTATAGACACCAGAAACTAAGAATAGTACGCGAACGTGGCTGGATCAACGACGCGGCTGGGGCGCGGTGAGCTAGTGCAGACTTAGCCGCACTCTACGGGCGCAGCAGACTGATTATTGCCATTCAGGGTTAGTTGTAAACAATCCCACGCCTCGAAAGACACCTCGTGCTCTCGATGAAGCTCAGAACTTACACAGAACCTCTGACTATAAAAATGCTGTCTCCTGCCGTTGTTTTCCTTTCTCTACCCTCACAGATATCTCAATCTCAAACAACAACATGAAATACTCACTTGCTCTCCCTCTCTCCCTTCTCGGACTCGCGGCCTCTGCTGCTGCTCAAGTCGCAAACGTCACCCTCGAGGTTATCTCCTCAGACTCCACAATCGACGGCAAATTCCTGACTTCCATCCACGAGAGCGCCGGCGTCAACTACGTCTTCCTCGCTGACTCTGGCGATTCCTACATTTACGACTACGGCGTCAACACCTTTTTCGGAACCAGCTTTGCCGGCGTTTCCGCGTTGCTCCAGGTCGATGATGAGCTCCTCACCGTCTCTGTCTTGGATGGGTACACCAAATTTGACATTGTCAAAGGCAACACCCTCGCCGTCAACGGCTCGTCCTCTGGCTTCTACGCTTGCAAGAACACGGGCGACCCTTACTCCTACTCTACCTCGGCCTACCAGGCAATGTTCTACAGCAGCGACGCTCCTTCAGACTGCATCCCCTTCACAATCGAGTACGTCCCTGTCGGACAATCCGCCAAGAACTCCTCAAGCACCACATACTCCAGCTCGACCACCAACGCGACCTCCACTTCTGTTCCTACCGCTACTTACACCGGAGGTGCGGGTATGCTCAAGGCCAGTGCTGCTTTGACCGTTGGTGTCGTTGTCGCTGCTTTGGCTCTTGTCCTATAAGCGCGTCTATTTCCGAATGCAGCTGCTCGTCAGGTTCGAAGTCTTGGAGATAAGACCTAGTCACTCTTAATGGTCACTGCCTCCAAAGATCTGTATGGAGGCAGATTTATCATCATCATCATCATCATTTGTATAATAGGAGTACCAGGGACAATGTAAATATGGCGTTATTAGGGAATATTGTTATTTTAAGTAATTGAATTCATATACAAGATACAATAAAATTCAGTAAAATCTATAAACAATTGAAATCGAAATCAGGGCCGACAATAAATTGGAAGGTTTAGCTGGATAGATGCGAACTTGGAGAGTGGGCAATAAATGCAATGCACACTGGTGACGCTGCGAGAGTATCTGGGAACCTCATCTAACGGAACAGCTAATGCGCTGAAAACGCATGAAATAGATACTGTTGTATAGTAATGCGATATATATGGATGATATTCCAACCAAAAACTCGTAGAGTTGACGTTTATCGGATCCCGGAGGAATATAAGCTTGTGTACGGTCACATCTACCAAGACTAGAACTGATACAGATTCCACCTAACCAGCTCGAGCTCTCCTCACATCCGACACTTCCCAAATGATTCCGCCGACAGCAGCGGCGTCACGGGCTCTTTGCAGTTGCAGCCTGAGCAGGTCCCTGTGGCTGAAGAGAAGGGTCAGTAATCTTGCCTTTCTTTTTCTTTCCGTTTTCGATTGTTTGTTGTGGGGAGAGCTACTGTAGCTACTGTTGAATTAAAAAATCTATTATATCGCCTCTTGATCATTCACAGCTTGTAAATCGTAGCAGCTAAATCAGCAATTTTTATATTGGTGCTTGTAGGGCTACTTCTATCGGCAGAGAAGGTTTCGTGAGGGCTTGGTATTGTACTACATGTGCTACACAAGACATTAAGCGAAGACGATAGCCGAGTGCACTCTTCAGGCTCAGACAGAGCTTAATTATTCCAGGATCATCTAAAATAAATTAAACTGCAGAGGATGTTGATGCATTATAGACACCAGAAACTAAGAATAGTACGCGAACGCGGCTGGATCAACCGCGGCTGGGGCGCGGTGAGCTAGTGCAGACTTAGCCGCACTCTACGGGCGCAGCAGACTGATTATTGCCATTCAGGGTTAGTTGTAAACAATCCCACGCCTCGAAAGACATCTCGTGCTCTCGATGAAGCTCAGAATTTACACAGAACCTCTGACTATAAAAATGCAGTCTCCTGCCGTTGTTTTACTCTCTCTATCCTTACAGATATCTCAATCTCAAACAACAACATGAAATACTCACTTGCTCTCCCTCTCTCCCTTCTCGGACTCGCGGCCTCTGCTGCTGCTCAAGTCGCAAACGTCACCCTCGAAGTCATCTCCTCAGACTCCACAATCGACGGCAAATTTCTGACTTCCATCCACGAGAGCGCCGGCGTCAACTACGTCTTCCTCGCTGACTCTGGCGATTCCTACATTTACGACTACGGCGTCAACACCTTTTTCGGAACCAGCTTTGCCGGCGTTTCCGCGTTGCTCCAGGTCGATGATGAGCTCCTCACCGTCTCTGTCTTGGATGGATACACCAAATTCGACATTGTCAAAGGCAACACCCTCGCCGTCAACGGCTCGTCCTCTGGCTTCTACGCTTGCAAGAACACGGGCGACCCTTACTCCTACTCTACCTCGGCCTACCAGGCAATGTTCTACAGCAGCGACGCTCCTTCAGACTGCATCCCCTTCACAATCGAGTACGTCCTTGTCGGACAATCCGCCAAGAACTCCTCAAGCACCACATACTCCAACTCGACCACCAACGCGACCTCCACTTCTGTTCCTACCGCTACTTACACCGGTGGTGCTGGCATGCTCAAGGCCAGCGCCGCTTTGACCGTCGGTGTCGTTGGCGCTGCTTTGGCTCTCGTCCTCTAAGCGCGTTTATTTCCGAATGCAGCTGCTCGTCAGGTTCGAAGTCTTGGAGATAAGACCTAGTCACTCTTGACAGCCACTGCCCCCAAAGATTTGTACGGAGGCAGATTTATCATCATCATCATTTGTATTATCGGAGTACCAGGGACATTGTAAATATGGCATTATTAGGGAGTATTGTAATTTTTAAGTAATTGAATTCATATACAAGATACAAAACAGTTCAGTAAAATCTATAAATAATTGAAATCGAAATCAGGGCCTAGAATAATTTGGAAGATGATTTAGCTGGATAGATGCGAACTTGGAGAGTGGACAATAAATGCAATGTACACCGGTGACGCTGCGCGAGTATCTGAGAACCTCATCTAACGGAACAGCTACTGCGCTGAAAACGCATGAAATAGATGCGCTTGTAGAGTGATGTGATATATATCAATAATCCAACCCAAAACTCGTAAAATTGACGTTTCTCGGATCCCGGATGAATACATGCTTTAGTCTACAGTCACATCGCCCAAGACTAGAACTATTACAAACTCCACCTAACCAACCCGTGCTCTCCTCACATCCGACACTCCCTTTCCTCCGAACCACTAGTGACTAGCTTACAGAATATGCATTTTGGCTAAAGCGTATGAAGTATGGGATATACTCTCGCTAGTTGCATTTTAGCGAGACATATGACTGATCAGAGACGTTTGGTGTCAACGGACTACCGTCACACCGTTGTCTTTTGCTTTTTGTTTCATTTATATATTAGACTGGGATTTGTGGTGTTTGCCACTACTGACAATAAAAGCAGATAGAACTAGTGTCGCTGGATAATTATCGTCTCTTCAGTAAAAAGACAAGCAAACCAGTACTGTAATGAATGACGCAATTCTTTATCTCATTTCATGGCATATCATTTATTTTAGCGAGAAACTCATAAGTGAGAATGATTTTGCAAGAACTAGCACATATGCAGCTAGTATCAATACACCAGATAATCCACCGAGAAAAAGGAATGGCATTGGTGATTGCGCTCACAGGACCCCCATCCCAACAACAGCACAACCAAGAAAAATGAAGTCGAAATCAGGAGAAAGCAGAAGAAGAGACGACTAGCGCAGATCATAAACCTATCGATTACCAGATGATACCGCACCTCCCGCCCGCCAATGCAGAACCCACTACCACGGTTCGCGCCGTTCAAAATAGAGGGAGAGACAGCACGAACAGTGGTTCAACGGCTGGTGCACGAGCCGGCAGGATGGACTGCATATGCGCATAAGACAGAGCGGGAATATTGCCGATGGATGTGAAAATCTGGACGACGCAGCGGTGCAGCGGTGGAATTCTTGGAATTGGGTGATCTGATTGTGTAGGGAGGGGTAGTCCGTTTCCGAGAGGTCGGTGCTTAATATCTCTGGGATTAATTAGAGATTGGTATTGACAATAGGTCAGTCAGGCAAACAGTTTTTTGTATCCCAATCCATCATCATCAAAGTCGATAACATCGACAATCATCGCCCAAAACTCCTCAAAACCAGTCAAATAGCATAAACAGACGAGAAATGTGAGCAGAACAAAAGACAGATGCGCAGATACGCAGATGCATGGATGCATAGATGTGCAGGTCTGGAGTATCAGCGTAGGTGATAAAGAATGCTGTTGAAAATGATATCATATCATTTCCTGCGCGTCTCTTGTCTGTGCTTTTGTCTGCATGTGGCTGTATTCCTGCAATATCAAGCGAGTTTTTTGGGGTTTCTGTGAGATGATATCGAGACTCGGTTCAATCCTTAATATAGCTATATCTTCAAATCTATGAAATATTAGTGCAGATTATCTATGAATATTAAAATGAATAGATACTTGAAGACTGTGACGACTTACAGAATATGCAGAGTGCGGCGGGGTAGTGGGGTGAAAAGACAAAAAGGCGAAAAGTTAAAGTCGTTGGTCTTCGGAAGTTTATCTCGAATCATTTCTATTAAATCCTGCAGATCATTATGAACAGCTGTATGAATTCTGGAAAATAAAGATGAGAATCTATTTTGATTATGAAGAATAATATTACAGATTCAAATTTATCGATCTATAGCATGCATTTGGGGATTTGTCGTGTGTTCGATATGACCGTTCGTTAGCCAGAGAATCCTCCGGTTGAAAGTGTACGCGTCCACCACACTCGACTTCATATCGCTCGCACATCACTTTCCAGTGCGCTACTTTCGCAGAACTACCGCCGACAATAGACCTATCACATAAACCGGCCAGCTGGTATCTAGCTTATAAAAATGAGCATATCAACCTCGGCTTGGACGAATATGATCTACGACAATATAAAAGAGCCGAGCCTGTCCTCGAGATATCCACCTCTCATCCACTTCATCTCTCACTTCACTCTGAACAATCAACATGGCTGAAATTCCCTCCTATGACGTGATCATCCTTGGCGCTGGTTTCTCCGGCTGCAGCCTTCTCTACCACCTCCGCAAAGCAGGCTACAACGTGCACATCTTTGAGAAAGCTCCCTGCGTCGGCGGCACCTGGTACTGGAATCACTACCCCGGTGCGCGCGTCGACTCCAACACGCCGATGTATGAGCTCGATATCCCGGAGGTGTACAACACCTGGAACTGGTCGCAGCGCTTCCCGGACTGGCAGGAGCTGCGCGAGTACTTCAAGCACGCCGACAAGGTGCTCGAGGTCTCGAAGGACACGGACTTCAACACCACCATCACCGACGCCGTTTGGGACGAGGTCTCTCAGACCTGGACCGTCACCGCCGAGAACGGGAAGCAGGCTCGTGCAAAGTTCTTCCTCGCCTGCGTCGGCTTTTGCGCAAAGAACTTTACCCCCGACTTCAAGGGTCTCAGCAAGTTCAAGGGCGAAGTCTACCACTCTAACGAGTGGCCCGAGGGCACCGTCGATCTTTCTGGCCGCCGGATCGGGTTGATTGGCACTGGATCTACCGGAGTGCAAATCACGCAAGAGGCGGGGCCGGTGTGTGAGGAGCTCTTTGTCTTTCAGCGCACGCCCAACCTCTGTCTTCATATGAAGCAGGAGCACTACGACCCTTCCGCGCCGATCGACAAGGCAAAGTACGAGGAGTATTTCAAGCAGCGCATTACCTCGTTCGGCGGCTTTCTTTTCGATTTCCTAAAGAAGAAAGCAATCGAAGACACCCCCGAAGAGCGCGAGAAGCTCTACGAAGAGCTATATGCGCAAGGCGGGTTCCAGTTCTGGGTCGCAAACTACCACGACGTGCTCCTCGACGCCGAGTCCAACAAGTTTGCCTACGATTTCTGGCAGCGCAAAGTGAGCGCGCGCATCATGGATCCCAAGATCGCCGAGATCCTCGCGCCCAAAGTCGCGCCTCACCCGTTCGGCACCAAGCGTCCTTCGCTCGAGCAAAACTACTACGAGCAGTTCAACCGCCCCAACGTGCACGTCGTCGACGTCAACGCCGAGCCGATCGCCGAGTTCACCGAGAACGGCATGCGCACGAGCGCCGGCGAGTACAAGTTCGACCTGTTGATCCTCGCAACCGGCTTCGACGCCTTGACCGGCTCGTACAAGCACATGAACATCAAAGGCATCAACGGTGTCGACCTCAACGAGAAATGGGCCGAGAAGACACGCACCTACCTCGGCATGACGGTCCATGACTTTCCAAACATGTTTTTCACCTACGGTCCGCAGGCGCCGACCGCGTTCTCGAACGGCCCGTCCTGCATCCAGGTCCAGACCAAGTTCATTCTCGACACGCTCAACCACATGCGCGACAACAAGCTCACTTCGTTCAACGCGACCGGCGACGCGGAGATGGAGTACACGACGCAGATCGGCGAGGACGCGAGCATGTCGCTGTTTCCGTTGGCAAAGTCGTGGTATATGGGCGCTAATATCCCCGGTAAGGCGGTCGAGATGTTGAATTATATCAGAGGATTGCCTGCGTATGTGGATCTGCTTGATACTGTCGAGAAGGAGAACTGGAAGGGAGTTGATTTTGCTCCTGTCGCTGTTGCCCAGAACTGATTTTGAATTTGATTTTTTGTTGTTGAGAAAGACAATTATTTGTTTGGCTACCTATCTCTGTTTTTGATTTTACATTATGATTGATTTGCGCAAGCGTTTAGAATATAGAAATACAAGTATACAAGTGAAACAAAAGCAAAAGACAACGGTGTGACGGTAGTCCGTTGACACCAAACGTCTCTGATCAGTCATATGTCTCGCTAAAATGCAACTAGCGAGAGTATATCCCATACTTCATACGCTTTAGCCAAAATGCATATTCTGTAAGCTAGTCACTAGTGGTTCGGAGGAAAGGAAGTGTCGGATGTGAGGAGAGCACGGGTTGGTTAGGTGGAGTTTGTAATAGTTCTAGTCTTGGGCGATGTGACTGTAGACTAAAGCATGTATTCATCCGGGATCCGAGAAACGTCAATTTTACGAGTTTTGGGTTGGATTATTGATATATATCACATTACTCTACAAGAGCATCTATTTCATGCATTTTCAGCGCAGTAGCTGTTCCGTTAGATGAGGTTCTCAGATACTCGCGCAGCGTCACCGGTGTACATTGCATTTATTGTCCACTCTCCAAGTTCGCATCTATCCAGCTAAACCTTCCAATTTATTGTCGGCCCTGATTTCGATTTCAATTGTTTATAGATTTTACTGAATTTTATTGTATCTTGTATATGAATTCAATTACTTAAAATAACAATATTCCCTAATAACGCCATATTTACAATGTCCCTGGTACTCCTATAATACAAATGATGATGATGATAAATCTGCCTCCGTACAAATCTTTGGGGGCAGTGGCTGTCAAGAGTGACTAGGTCTTATCTCCAAGACTTCGAACCTGACTAGCAGCTGCATTCGGAAATAAACGCGCTTATAGGACAAGAGCCAAAGCAGCGCCAACGACACCAACGGTCAAAGCAGCACTGGCCTTGAGCATACCAGCACCTCCGGTGTAAGTAGCGGTAGGAACAGAAGTGGAGGTCGCGTTGGTGGTCGAGTTGGAGTATGTGGTGCTTGAGGAGTTCTTGGCGGATTGTCCGACAAGGACGTACTCGATTGTGAAGGGGATGCAGTCTGAAGGAGCGTCGCTGCTGTAGAACATCGCCTGGTAGGCCGAGGTGGAGTAGGAGTAAGGGTCGCCCGTGTTCTTGCAGGCGTAGAAGCCAGAGGACGAGCCGTTGACGGCGAGGGTGTTGCCTTTGACAATGTCGAATTTGGTGTACCCATCCAAGACAGAGACGGTGAGGAGCTCATCATCGACCTGGAGCAACGCGGAAACGCCGGCAAAGCTGGTTCCGAAAAAGGTGTTGACGCCGTAGTCATAGATGTAGGAATCGCCAGAGTCGGCGAGGAAGACGTAGTTGACGCCGGCGCTCTCGTGGATGGAAGTCAGGAATTTGCCGTCGATTGTGGAGTCTGAGGAGATAACCTCGAGAGTGACGTTTGCGACTTGAGCAGCAGCTGAGACCGCGAGTCCGAGAAGGGAAAGAGGGAGAGCAAGTGAGTATTTCATGTTGTTGTTTGAGCTTGAGATATCTGTGAGGATAGAGAAAGGAAAACAACGGCAGGAGACAGCATTTTTATAGTCAGAGGTTCTGTGTAAGTTCTGAGCTTCATCGAGAGCACGAGGTGTCTTTCGAGGCGTGGGATTGTTTACAACTAACCCTGAATGGCAATAATCAGTCTGCTGCGCCCGTAGAGTGCGGCTAAGTCTGCACTAGCTCACCGCGCCCCAGCCGCGTCGTTGATCCAGCCACGTTCGCGTACTATTCTTAGTTTCTGGTGTCTATAATGCATCAACATCCTCTGCAGTTTAATTTATTTTAGATGATGCTGGAATAATTAAGCTCTGTCTGAGCCTGAAGAGTGCACTCGGCTATCGTCTTCGCTTAATGTCTTGTGTAGCACATGTAGTACAATACCAAGCCCTCACGAAACCTTCTCTGCCGATAGAAGTAGCCCTACAAGCACCAATATAAAAATTGCTGATTTAGCTGCTACGATTTACAAGCTGTGAATGATCAAGAGGCGATATAATAGATTTTTTAATTCAACAGTAGCTACAGTAGCTCTCCCCACAACAAACAATCGAAAACGGAAAGAAAAAGAAAGGCAAGATTACTGACCCTTCTCTTCAGCCACAGGGACCTGCTCAGGCTGCAACTGCAAAGAGCCCGTGACGCCGCTGCTGTCGGCGGAATCATTTGGGAAGTGTCGGATGTGAGGAGAGCTCGAGCTGGTTAGGTGGAATCTGTATCAGTTCTAGTCTTGGTAGATGTGACCGTACACAAGCTTATATTCTTCCGGGATCCGATAAACGCCAACTCTACGAGTTTTTGGTTGGAATATCATCCATATATATCACATTACTATACAACAGTATCTATTTCATGCGTTTTCAGCGCATTAGCTGTTCCGTTAGATGAGGTTCCCAGATACTCTCGCAGCGTCACCAGTGTGCATTGCATTTATTGCCCACTCTCCAAGTTCGCATCTATCCAGCTAAATCATCTTCCAAATCAATCTAGGCCCTGATTTCGATTTCAATTATTTATAGATTTTACTGAACTGTTTTGTATCTTGTATATGAATTCAATTACTTAAAAATTACAATACTCCCTAATAATGCCATATTTACAATGTCCCTGGTACTCCTATAATACAAATGATGATGATGATAAATCTGCCTCCGTACAAATCTTTGGGGGCAGTGGCTGTCAAGAGTGACTAGGCCTTATCTCCAAGACTTCGAACCTGACTAGCAGCTGCATTCGGAAATAAACGCGCTTATAGGACAAGAGCCAAAGCAGCGCCAACGACACCAACGGTCAAAGCAGCACTGGCCTTGAGCATGCCAGCACCACCGGTGTAAGTAGCGGTAGGAACAGAAGTGGAGGTCGCGTTGGTGGTCGAGCTGGAGTATGTGGTGCTTGAGGAGTTCTTGGCGGATTGTCCGACTAGGACGTACTCGATTGTGAAGGGGATGCAGTCTGAAGGAGCGTCGCTGCTGTAGAACATTGCCTGGTAGGCCGAGGTAGAGTAGGAGTAAGGGTCGCCCGTGTTCTTGCAAGCGTAGAAGCCAGAGGACGAGCCGTTGACGGCGAGGGTGTTGCCTTTGACAATGTCGAATTTGGTGTATCCATCCAAAACAGAGACGGTGAGGAGCTCATCATCGACCTGGAGCAACGCGGAAACGCCGGCAAAGCTGGTTCCGAAAAAGGTGTTGACGCCGTAGTCGTAAATGTAGGAATCGCCAGAGTCGGCGAGGAAGACGTAGTTGACGCCGGCGCTCTCGTGGATGGAAGTCAGGAATTTGCCGTCGATTGTGGAGTCTGAGGAGATAACCTCGAGGGTGACGTTTGCGGCTTGAGCAGCAGCTGAGGCCGCGAGTCCGAGAAGGGAGAGAGGGAGAGCAAGTGAGTATTTCATGTTGTTGTTTGAGATTGAGATATCTGTAAGGATAGAGAAAGGAAAACAACGGCAGGAGACAGCATTTTTATAGTCAGAGGTTCTGTGTAAATTCTGAGCTTCATCGAGAGCACGAGGTGTCTTTCGAGGCGTGGGATTGTTTACAACTAACCCTGAATGGCAATAATCAGTCTGCTGCGCCCGTAGAGTGCGGCTAAGTCTGCACTAGCTCACCGCGCCCCAGCCGCGTTCGCGTCCTATTCCTAGTTTTTAGCCCACTTCAATGTTCTAAATAGAGTATATCGTTACTAGGTACAGCTGCATACTTTTCTTAGAAATATAACAAGGGAAGAAAGATAGAGCTGTTGATATGCTATCGAAGGCTCTATAGTTCAATAGTCTGATCATAGCCGAGATGAGTGATCGCCCGGTGGCCAACTTAGAATTGAACGCTGTGCACTGTTTATGTGAACAGAAGGATGATCTGGCTGTTCCTCCTCGTATGCCTGTTAAAAATAGGTAGGTGATAGGACTGAGTGCTATACGACTACACGCGACTGATTCAGTCACCTACGTTCCTGCATCGGAGGGTATTTCGATTTATTTACGCAGATCACTAAACCCTATAATAACTGTAAACCCAATTGTAAACCCTATGCAAACGACCGTAGTTGACAAGATCACATCAAACGACCGTGGTTTGGAAGATCACATTCAAAGAGATGAATTTAATCAGAACAGACCCTTAATGGCCTTCGCGGTGTCTTCAAAGAACTGGAGTGATTGAGGAAGCGGGAAGAGCCAGAAGACGTGCGGCAGGCCTTTGTAGGTCTTGTGCGTGATCTTGCCGCCGGCTTCCTTTACTAGTTTCTCAAACACATACGCGTCGTCTCGCAGCGGATCAAACTCCGCAGAGACAATGTAGACCGGCGGAAGAACTTGCAGTTTGGGGTAGTAGATTGCAAACGTGTACTTGTCGTCCAAGGGCACCGTATAGGTCGAGTAGAACGTGCGCATGGACTCAATGTCGATGACGGGCAGCCGGCCTGCCGAGTTCTCCGCCGATGTGTGCATGCCCTTGAACTTCTCCGGAATATGATCAGGATGAACTTCACACGGCGACAACGAGATTACGCCCTTGACGAGTCCTGCACTGTCGCCGCCTTCGTCGTGCAGACGCAGAGGGACAGAGATCGAGAGCGCCGCGCCGGCCGAGGGACCCATCGTGTAGAGTTTGTTTGGATCAGCACCCCACGAGGCGGCGTTACTGGCTACCCACTTTGTCGCACGCACGCAGTCGTCGAGCGCGGTGGGCGCGGGATATTCCGGTGCATGGCGGTACTGAATTGAGGCAATGACTGTCTGAGATAGCTTGCAGAGGTTGCGAACGAGGGCTGTAGAGTCAGCATACGAATTGTTTGTGATCAATATAAATAGATAAAGACTGCTTACTATCTTCAACTTGAATACCACCGATGCAGTATCCACCACAGTGATAGAAAGCGCCGATCGGAACTGCCTTTCCTTTGGAGTCTTCAGGCTGGTAAACGCGCACGTCGAGGCCGCAGGGCGTAACGAGATCGATGGTGGACACGCCGCCGTCGAGGGGATGGAAGTCGTTCCATTGATCTTTGAGCAGCTGCGAGAGACCGTCCATTTGCTGGCGCATGTTGGGGATGTCGCCGGAGAGAACGGGGCGGGTGCCGGCTTGGGTTTCCCACTGTTCGAACTATAGTTAGTAAGCGGTAGGGAAGAGATCAATTCAGCAGTCTGACCTTCATCCACTCAGGCGCGAGGCCGATGTCTTCAGCAGCAGAAGTAACCATTTTGCAGTGTGAATATGAAGAAGCAGAGCAGAAGCAGAGCAGAAGCAGGGCAGAGGCAGAGCAGGGTGAAGAGCAGAGAGGAAACGGGAGGCGCGGATAATAATTTAAGTGCGGTGATATCATCAACCCCGCAACCCCGCACTCCGCCGCACGCCTCGATCAGAATCAGTCCGCTCGTCCGAGATCGCGGATCGCGAGAAATTGTTGAGAAAAGAAGTTGAGTGCGGGTAAAGCGGCCAGGTCGTCGGATAACGTAGCTCGTCTTGACTGAATGCGCTGGACGCGGGGACGGGATCGAAGTGGAGACCGCGGGGTAATCAACTCACCCCCAAACGAGCACTGCTTCTCGTCCTCCGCCTCGTCCTTACTTCTCAATCTGGAGGATTCTTCCTACTCCAGGTCAATCACGACTGTCGGGGGAAGGGAAGCTCTCTATATTGAGCCCTGATCAAACATATTATATAATAATCCCATCTCCACCTCCACCTCCACCTACCCATCCCTCCCCAATGGCTTCCGACATCCCCTACTACGACGTCCTCATCCTCGGCGCTGGCTTCTCCGGCTGCAGTCTCCTGCACTACCTCCGCCGCGACGGCTTCAGCGTGCGCATCTTTGAGAAAGCGCCCACCGTCGGCGGCACCTGGTACTGGAACCGCTACCCCGGCGCACGCGTCGACTCCGACGTTCCAATCTACGAACTCAACATCCCCGAGGTCTACGAGTCCTGGAGCTGGTCTTCTCGCTTCCCGGACTGGCAAGAGCTGCGCCAGTACTTCAAGCATGTCGATAAGGTGCTCGAGGTATCAAAAGACACAGACTTCAACACCAACGTCACCGACGCCGTGTGGGACGAGGCATCCCAGACCTGGACCGTCACCGCCGAGAACGGCAAGCGCGCGCGCGCAAGATTCTTCCTCACCTGCATTGGCTTCGCGTCCAAGAACTTCACCCCCGACTTCAAGGGCCTCAGCAAGTTCAAGGGCGAGGTGCACCATTCCAACGAATGGCCCGAGACCGGCGTCAACCTCGAAGGCCGTCGCATCGGCCTCATCGGCACTGGCTCGACCGGTGTGCAGATCACCCAGGAAGCAGGCCCCGTCTGCAAAGAGCTCTTTGTCTTCCAGCGCACGCCCAACCTCTGTCTTCCCATGCACCAGGCCTACCTCGACGAGTCCTCTCAGAGCGACAAGGCAGGCTACGACGCAATCTATCAAAAACGCCTCAACTCGTTCGGCGGCTTCCTGTTCGACTTTGTGAAGAAAAAAGCCACCGACGACACCCCCGGGCAGCGCGAAAAGTTCTACCAAGCGCTCTTCGACCACGGCGGCTTTGCCTTCTGGGTCGCAAACTACTACGACCTCTTCACCGATCCCGAGTCCAACCGGCTCGCCTACGAGTTTTGGCAGCGCAAGGCGAGCGAGCGCATCAAGGATCCCAAAAAGGCCGCGATCCTGGCACCGAAAGTCGCGCCTCATCCGTTCGGCACCAAGCGTCCGTCGCTCGAGCAAAACTACTACGAGCAGTTCAACAAGCCGAACGTACACGTCGTCGACGTCAGCGCGGAGCCTATCGCTGAGTTTACGGAGAAAGGGTTGCGTACCACTGACGGCGAATACGAGTTCGACCTGCTCATTCTCGCGACCGGCTTCGACGCCGTCACGGGTTCGTACAAGAACCTCAAGATCAGGGGCGTCGGCGGCGTCGAGCTCAGCGAGAAGTGGGCGAAGCAGACGCAGACTTATCTCGGCTTGACCGTCCACGACTTTCCAAATTTGATGTATACCTACGGCCCGCAAGCGCCGACTGCGTTCTCTAACGGCCCGTCGTGTATCCAGGTGCAGACCAAGTTCATCGTCGACATCATCAACTACATGCGCGACCACAACTACAGCTCCTTCAACGCGACCAGCGACGCCGAGACTGAGTACACGGACGAGATCAACGAGGAGGTCACCAAGACTTTGTTCCCGTTGGCAAAGTCGTGGTACATGGGTGCGAATATCCCGGGAAAGAAGATCGAGATGCTGAATTATATCAAGGGGATTCCTGCGTATTCGAGCTTGTTGGACAGTGTTGAGGAGAACTGGAAGGGTGTTGCGTTTGCCAATTGATTTTCTTTCTTCTTCTAATTTTATCTTTTTTTGTTGTTAGTTGATTTACGACAGGAATACACAAACTATTTGCTTTCTCTCTATAAAGACTCCTTCGACCACTAGGTTTAGAGCAGCAGCAGATCAGTTCAACCTCGGCATCTGCTATTCCCAACCGGCTCCCCACAGAAAGCTTCAATGTTGAACGAGGTGATCAAACCCACGCGCAATCAGCTGAGCAGCGATCGTCGATGGCTGCTAATATCTCTGTAGTTCTCATATTATCACATAGATTACATCCGAATCAAAGATCTGAGTCTCATCTCATCTCATCTTCTGACCAGGGCAACGGTAGCCGGCAACCACTTTGGCGCTTTTGGCAGAACCGCAGTCGGACTTAGTCCTCGCTTCTAAACCCCGACCCCAGTTCAGGTAGGAACATAAACTACCGCGATCACCATGGCTCTGTCCTCATAACCCCAATCCCTACATCTGTTGAGCTATTTCATAGACATGGACCAGACTGCGCAACAGCCAGAGGACTTCCTCGGATGGCCTAACGCGCAGGGCTTCGCGGACCAAGAAGAAACCACCGTCCCCACCCCGCTCGAAATCCACGGCCGTATCCCTTCCTACGTCAAGTACACCGCCCTCACCCTCTCTCCTCCACCCATACATAGCTAACTGTCGCGCACAGCTGCGCCCTCTACCGCACCGGTCCAGGAAGCTACACGGTCCCGCTGACGAAGAAACCAGGCGGCGGAGAATTCAAGATATACCACTGGTTCGACGGCTTCGCGCAGCACCATAAATTCGACATCACCGCCCCGTCAGCCGACTTCCCGGATGGAAAAGTCGTGTATCGGTCAAAACACGCTGCCACGGGCCTCAAGAAACGAATCGATGACTTGAACGGAAGTCCTAATAACCGTTCGTCTTCCTCCTCTCTCTCTTCTTGCAGTCACAGATACTGACGACCATGCACCGCAGCAAGCTTCGGATACCGCGACCCATGCAAAAACAAGTTCCAGAAATTCTTCACAAAGTTCGAACGCTCGTCGCCCGACGACCCCAGCACCGCAAACGTCTCTGTCACTGTCAATCCGAATTTCCCGTCGTCATTGATGTCTGGCGACAGCGGCGAGCTCCTGCTCTACGCCAAGACGGACGCGAACGTGCTCATGCAGTTGAACAAAGAGACACTTGAACCCGAACAGGTCTCCACCTGGACAAAACTGTACGCGGAATCCCACGAGCACCACGACAGCAAAGATGAGGAGGCCGCAAAGTTCGCGTTCCAGAACCCGCTCGACGGCCCGCTAAGCGCCTCACACTCCTGCTTCGACGCCGGCAAGGAATTCAACTTCACCATGAAATTCGGTCGTCAGCCCACCGTCACGCTTTTCAGCATCGACTCCACCCGCACCTTTGAGATCTACGCCACCGTCCCGATCGAGCGGCCGGCGTACCTGCACTCTTTCTTCCTCTCGAAGTCTTACATCGTGCTCTGTCTCTGGCAGGCCGATTTCACGTTCGGAGGTTTGTCGTTCTTGTGGAATCGCAACACACTCGACAGTATAAACAAAACCTGGAATCCCGCGCGGAAAACGCTCTGGTACGTCGTCCCGCGCGACGGCTCCGCCCGCTCCGACCCATCGAAAATCAAAGTCTTTGAATCCGACCCATTCTTTGCATTCCACACCATAAACACCTACGAACAAGACGACGATATATACCTCTCCATCGCACAATGCGACACGCACTCCTTCCTCTACGGCCTCGCACTCGACTCCATCAAAAGCGACACCGCAACCTCCTCGTTCCTCCCCGACGCGCCCTACTACGCGCGCTGGAAACTCCCCTCGGTATCAAAAACAGGCGGGTTCACGTCCACAGGCAAGTCCGACCCCGCAGCGCGCGGCACCGCGATCCTCGACGCCCGCTCAGACAAGCGCGAGGCAAATATCGAGTTGCCGACGCTGAACCCGGCGGTCGCGTTCAAGCGAGAGCACTTCGTCTACGGCATCGGCACAGACGGCGTGTCATCGTTCTTTGACCGGGTTTTGAAAATTAATACGCAGACAATGCAGGCTATCTACTGGACGCAGCACGGCTGTACACCTTCCGAACCGCTGTTCTTTGCAGATCCGCAGGGTGAGAAGGAGGATGATGGCGTGCTGCTTACTGTTGTCTTGGACGGGTTTAAGAAGCAGAGCGAGCTGGTTATTCTCGATGCGCGTGATTTGAGCGTGGTCTGTCGCGCAGTAGTGCCGGGGAATAAAGCGGTGGGGTTTGGATTCCATGGCGCGATTAGCCCTCGGTGAGATCTCATGTTGGTAAATAGATTTATTAAACTATGCATATGAGAAATGAAATGCAGTATTGACGATAGAGTAAACACCCGCTGAGTAAACTTATAACTTGTACACAAAAAAACACTGCCCAAAACATATCCTCCAAGATAAACGATATTACATCTCCCACTCTACAGCAGCCTGCCCATCCTTCTCCGACACAAACGGCTCGTCGATGCTATTAATCATATACGGCCCGCACAAAATACACTCGGCCGCCACCAACGCATCAAGTTCATCCAGCACCGCTCCTGCTGCGCCGGCGGCGTTCGCTCCACCGGTAGTAGCAGGCGCGGGAGCAGCCGTCACCGCCTTTTGCGTATCGAGCTGCAGCTCCGCGATCCGGCGCCGCACTCGCACGTTGGAGATCTCAGAGATCTTCTTCACGAGGCAGTCGCCGTGGAACGCGTGCTGACAAGGAAACACGTAAAATTGCCTCGACAGAAGCGGGTACGAGCAGATAAAACACCGCTCGCCAGGCTCGACGATCGCAAACCGCGACCCCAGGCCCGCGATATCCGCACGGATCGTCTCCGCAGTCTTGGCAGACTCATCCATCTCCTTCCGCAGCAACTCGATCGACTTTGAATAATCCTCCAGCGCGGCGCAGATCTCCTCTTTGAAATCGTCAATCACGACGAAATCAGGGAAAAACGGCAGCAGATCTTCAATCTTGAGCAGCTCGCATCGCTTCAGAAACTCGATCGCAGACTTGATCCCGTGCTCTTTGTTGATCACGCGCTGCGCGACCCGCAGCCACAGCTTTTTCCCCAGCGGCGCATCGTCGGACGGCCGATCCGCTACCACGCTCGCAAGCTCGATGTTATCGTTCTTGAGCGCGAGATCGACTGCTTCCTCGTACAGACCCATCGACGAATATATAAAGATGCAGGACTGCACGCGCTGGTGCTTGATGCACAGCCGTAGCGCGAAATCGGTGTCGTAGCATCGCTCGAGGTCGTGGAATTGCAGGTACTCCAGCAGCGCGCTCTCGTCTCTACTCTTGTCGCTCGCGTACAGCGAGATGAGCGTGTTGTGCACGGCCGAGTCCTTGCTCTTCAGACTGTTGATTGCGTACAGCAGATACCTTACTGCCAGATTCTGCTCGCCCGGTCCGACAGTTAAACTGTACGACAGAATCGCCGGGATCAGTTTCCGCGGCGACAGATCCGGCATGCGCATCCAGGTATCCACCGTCTCCTTTGGCACATTAACCAGCAGCACAGTCGAGTACTTGTAGTAAATCTCTGGCTCGCTCTGCTTCCTCAACACCTGCAGCGCCTCCGTCCACTTCTCCAAACGCACCCAGTACGAGAGCACATACGAATAATCCCCGACGCTGTTTGCGTAAAAAAGCAACTCGGCCTGTCGCCCATGCGACGAAATAATCTCGTAGATTGTCTTCCGATCTAGTGCGTTCTTGTGCTTCTCCACAAACTCGTGGAACTCGTCGCGCACCCGCTTGAGCTCAGCCTCAGCCGCGTTCTCAGACGGCCGGCGCGGCTTCTTGGGTTTCTCAAATAGTTGCGCTGTCTCGTCTTCAGTGACCTCGCCTAATTTGTGCTGTTTGTGGTTACCGTTGGTCGCGGGTTTGATCTCGGGCTCGGTCGTGCGCTCGGATTCTTTCGTCGCCATCGAGTCCTCGAGAGAGTTCATTTTCTCCATAAACAGCTCCACAATCCAACTTGCCAGCATTATCCTTTGCATAACGTGCTACAGATTGTTAGTCTTCATATCAATAATAAGTCAAGAATAAGAATAAGAGGGCGCTTACACTGGGTTTATAGGAAGACAGCTTGACAGACAAGTACCTCCTCAACGCATCAATCTTCTTCTTCTCCACAAACTGAATGGCGACTGACTCAAACGGTTTACTGCTCTGTCCGAGAACATTCGCGGCCTCCAGGAAACTATTATTCTCCAACAAGAACTCTCCGTTTGCAATCGCGACCGCGTCCTGCTCCTTCGGCGTCCTCGCGAGCCGCAGCGCCTCGTCGAACCTGTTTTGCTCAAGGTAGATGCGCCAGATATCCCGGTCCTCGTCCGTGACGGTGATCTCAAAGATCGAGTCGGTAGAGTAGGCCCAGTAGGTTGAGTTTTTGACGTCGGAGGTCACGCCGATGAAGCGGTCGGACGCGGGAAGGCGCTCGTCGAAGACGATGGTGTTGTCGAGCAGGTTGACGGCGAGGATCTCGTGGTCGCGCAGGATGAGGACGTGGTATTTTGTGAGCGTGATGCTCGATATCGAAGCTGGGCTGCTTGGTAAACTGCTCTCCCTGCGTCACATATTCATTAGTAGAAGTAAAGAAGGTGGGGCTATAAGTTGACGTACGGATATAGCTTAGAGTCCTGAAAGATAATGGAACCGAGCCCGGGCGTGGTCGGCGCGGTATACAGTTTGCCATGATAAACGCCCGCGCTGTTCAACCACGCAAACGCCTTGTCGTCCGAGAAATTCTCGTCATCGGGCGATATAGCAAGGACTGGATCGCCCGCGGTACTATAATCCACATGCACGGCCGCCGTGTTCTCGTCGTCGAAAAACTTGGTAAACGTCGGGCTGTAATCCCCTGGCGCGTGTCTGACAATGCGCGAGACCCAGTGCCATAACCTACCTCCCGTGGCAGCGAGCAAGCGGCGCATATCTGGCTTCCCGGGCAAGAGCTCGACATAGAGTCCGTCGACGGGGAGGCCGCCGGGGACTTTCCAGACCAACCGCGAGAAACGTTCTTCGCGCTTGAAAAACTCTTCCGAAGGCTCGATGTAGGTCTCGATAACCTTTCCGTCGGCGGTACCGATCAGGATCTCCTTTGTCGACGAGCTTGGCTCGCTGGGGTTCCAGGCGACGGCGGAGATGATGTTGCCCTTCATTCGCGACAGGTGCTTCGCTCTCGGCGAGCGCGCGTTCAGATAAAAGTTCTCCGCGGTGGATGTAGTCACAAGCAAATGAGACCCTGTCGGATCCAGGAAGATCTCTCTGACGCTGCCTGTCCCCGGCGCTTTTAGCTTTGGCAATTCGACGTCGTCGATATCCTGCGGATTGTTTAGATCGATGCGGAGAATGCGCCCGCTGGTGACTGCGAGATAGAGGATATTATTCGAGACCGCCATCGACGCCAGCGACGAGATCTGGAACTGCAGCTGCACGCGCTCGAGCGCAAAGATAGGCAGCTCGTCCTCGTCCTCGACCTCGTTGTCGGCAGGCGATAGCGCTGCGGACGGGGCGATGGTCGAGGCGTCCGCGGATCCATTATATACCGGATAATTCATGATTCTGCTTTCGATAACCAGCCGGTCTCAGCGCAGAGTAAAGCAATCAGTTATCAGCAGCACGGAAGCAGACGGTGGTGGAGTATTATGCGATTGCTTGATATTTGGTAATCTGAGGTGCTCTGTCCGGTTTTGGCTCATATCGCGGTTGCTCGAGTGTTGTGAGTTGCCAGTCACAGATGAGTCACAGTCACAGATGCCGATTCAGGCAACAACGATGAGCCGGATCTATGAGATAGATGGAGTGAGTAAATATAGATGGCAATTAGTTGTTTTAAGAATAATAAGAAGAGATTTAAGTTATAATCCACTAAAAGAATTGCTGTGGATGAGTACAGCAGATGAATCTATACAAGCATCCCTCAACTTACAACTTCTCCACTGTGCATGTGAACTAATATGGAAATAAAATTTTTATAATAGAATGAAGCACCCAACCATTGCAGAGATAACCTGAATAAAGCGAAATATAAATTGGATATAGATGAAAAACTGAAGAGAAAAAAGCATACAATCCTGACAAGTATATATATATCGTAAAACAATCCATGAGTGAACATTTGAAGGAGGAAAGACAAGAAAAACAAGAAAAACAAAAGACTTTACTCGGTTACTCTCTGGGATGGGAATATGCACATCGGCTTGTGACTTTGAAAAAAACAAGAAAACAACAGACAAACGATAAACAGAGACGAAGCGATGAAATATTGAATTTTAATTGAAGGAAATAGAAAAGAAAATAGTAATGAATAAATCAATCAGCTTTTTCAGAGATGCTCTCACGGCTATCGACAAGAGTAACTTCATCATCATCGTCGTCGGCGTCTTCTGGGAGTTCAGCCAGCTTCTTTTCATGCTCCAACTCGTCTTCCTCCTCATCGTCGCTTCGCGAGTCGTCGGCACCAGCGCCGGTGACGACTTTGATAGCGACCTTGAAGATCATGTAGAGCCAGATGAGAGAGATGACTTGCAGGATCCAGAGCAAGCCGACGAAAGAGTACTGGACGAGTTCGGTGAAGCATTGCTCGTCGCCGGAGGAAGATATTGTTTTGTTGAGTCCACGGGCGACGAGTTGCGAGTCGCTGACACTGACGACGTCGTCGAGGGGATCGAAGAAGCACTTGTAGCCGATGAGGTGGTGGGCGTCAAACATGGCGGAGAGGGTGACTTTGACGTAGAGGATGTGCTTGGTGATGATCCAGAGGAGGATGAAGATGCCAAAGACGCAGTCGCAGAGGGTTTGGAAGCCCAGGTACTTTAGCATTTTGGCAGAGGAGAGGGCGATGTCGACGACGTCCATGAGGCAGAGGATGACGTTGCCGCTGCGGGTGAAGCAGTAGTTGTAGGATGCGACGAGGAGGACGGAGGTGACGATGTGGTGGGTGAACATCTGGGTGAAATCCTTGCGGCGCTTTTCGATGTTGAGGACAAAGATCTGCTGGAGCCAGAAGGCGAGCTGGACGAGGTAGTAGAACTTGAAGAGGGGCTGGAGCTCGCGGTGGGGCCAGTCGAGCCAGAGGCCGTCGAGGTTGAACCAGTAGGGGGAGTTGTAGGCGAGGTAAGTGCCGAGGGGGGTGAGGACGAGGTAGTAGGCCAAACTCCAGGCTTGCTCGGCGAAGCGGGCGAGATCTTTTTTGGAGGAGATGCCGGCGCGGGCGGCGAAGGGGACGAAGATGTAGTCCATCATGAATGCGCGGATGAAGGTGAAGGCGACGACCCAGAAGAAGACAAAGTAGATGTCGTCGTGGCCTTTGACGTAGAGGCCGGAGTGCTCTACTCTGTGGGAGAGGTATAGGAATTTTGAGGTGGTGTGTTGGAAGGGGAGGAAGGTGTGGACGGCGAGGAGGGCGCCGATGAGGTAGAGGGGGAGTGCTGGGGGGTGTTAGATGAGGAGTGGAGGGGAGGATAGAAAGAGTGAAGAACATGGGGAGATCATGACGAACAGATTTGATTTCGGACGAGGAAGGAGACGACCGGGTTTGAGGTAGCAATGGCAGCCTCTTTGGAGGCAGCGAATGCGCTTGAGTTGTCAGGAGAGGTTGGAGATGAGGAGGAGGGTTGTTTCAGGCGCAGACGGGGGTGGTGGAGGAGAGGGATGAGGAGGAGGAGGAGGAGGAGGAGACAGAGGCCATTTTGTCGAGATCAGGAGGAGACGCGCAGGGGCAGAGGCGCAGGGGGGTAGTTGCGGGCAGAGAAGAGGAAGAGGGATGAGAAGAAGGAGAATAAGAAGAAGCAGACGACGACGAAGAAGAAGAAGAGAATACAATAAGAACGAACGACAACAAAGAAGCAAAGAGCAGAAGCAGCGAGCGCGGGTGAAGCAGCAAAAGAGGAATTTGCTGTGCAGCTGTGCAGCAGCAGAGGCGTCGTCGGTTTGTGTGTGGTAAAAGTGGGGCGAGGAATACGGGCCCAGCACAGCCCCGGAGCAGTGGCTGTTCGTGTTTTTGGTCCCAGGAGTGGATGTGCTTCTATGAACAGACAATGGATTTTCCACTGCTGAATGTATTCTCTCAAGCAGTTCTCTTCTCAGCAACTGTATCTCTTCTTCTTTCTCTCTCTTCTTCTTTCTCTCTCTTCTCTATTCTGCTCACTCTGCTGTCCTCTCTATTCTGCTCACTCTGCTGTTCAACAACTCCCTACAAAGGTGCGGCTCAGTGCGGCGGGAGAGTTAAGAAGATTAGGGTTTAGTCAGCAGCCCAAACAACGTGACTTTTGTGCGGCCGCTGAGGACAACGCCGCCACTCAAATTCTTTTTCTCTTTTTTTCTTCTGTCTCGCTCTCTGCTTCCTGCTCCCCACCGCTTCCTCATCTTTGCTCTGCGTTCCTGCGCATCTGGTAGGTGTATTCTATATCGTCTGTTTGATAGTGTTCTGTTGTGTTTTCTGGTTTTGGTTGTCGTGTTCAGTCTCTGGGGTCTCTCGTTTTTCATTGGTCGACCTCCTCTACAACTCTCCTCTCCGACTCTCCTCTCCTCACCAATATCAACACAATCCCATCAACCTCTGTTCAACTTCTATCTTCTTCATATTGTCATCCTCTCCGACTCTTCACCCCCGCAGAGACACCAGACACCACACCACACCACACCACTACACACCACTACACACCACCCAACCCCTCTCTTCCACCGACTAACCCCCGCCGCAGTGTATATCTACCCCTCCTCACTCATGTCCTACTACGACTCCAGCGCATGGCAAGCCGCTGCCGCTCCTCCTCCTGCTCCTGTCTGGGAAGCGCGCTCTGGTTAGTCTCCTCTTTCTCTCTTCATTTATTCTCAATTTCACCCACTAACCCCCCCTAGTCTCCGCCAACTCGCTGCCTGTCGAAGAGACCGGGGCTTTCTCCTCTCAAATCGATGGTACGTCTTCTCCATCCAACCACTCCCCTTCCCTTCTTATTTTCCTCTCTAACATCTCTCAGAGGTCGAACGCGCCCTCGACAACCTCATAAAGTCCGGCAAGTTCTTCCCCGCCAGACGCGATGGCATGCCTCTCCTCTCCCCCGGCATCCCTCACGGCCCCGTCGCTCCCATCGACCCTCGCATGGCCCAGCCCGTCGCCCGCCCTCCCTTTGTCTCCATGGCCTCCGACCCTGAAATCATGCGTTCGCAGTCCTCCATGGCCGCCCTCAACGGCTTCTACGCCTCTCAGCGCTTCCAGCCCTCGCCCGTCTCGCAAACCCCCAACCCGCGTGGCGCTGCCGCTGCCGACCCCGAGCAGGTCTTGCAGATGAAGCGTCGCTTGGCCGCCGCTCGCGAACGTGAACTCCGCAACTACCACCAGGAGCAGCAGTTCAACCGCAGCATGTCTCCCGACACCGCTCGCAAGGTCTTTCCTCCTCAGCAGCCTCCCACTCCTACCGGCATGATTCACGATCTTCCCGCGTTTAACCTCGCTGGTATGGGCAAGGAGCGTGTCATGTCTCCCTCTGCTCTTTCGGAAGATGATCGTCGCGAGATGCTCAACCGCCAGCACCGTGCTCTCTACGGGGAGATGGTGTCGGCCGAGGAGCAGCAGTTCCTCCGGGCTTCTGGCACTCCCAGCGAGCCCCGAGTTATGTCGCCTCGATTAGCCTTCGACCCTTTCCAGCAGCAACTACTGAAGCAGCAGCAGCAGCAGCTTCAGCAACAACAACAGCAACTCCAGATTCAGCAGCAGCAACAGCATCAGCAGCAGCAACAACAGCAGCAACAGCAACAGCTGCAGCAACAGTCGCAGCAACAGCTGCAGTTGCAGCAGCAGAACCGCGAGTCAAACTCTCCTATCGGCCGTCCTCGCTCGAACTCGAACGGCACCTCCTCTCCTTCCTCTCGCTCGGCGAACTTCAGCCTGTTTGACAGCACAACCACACGGCAGTCAAACACATCTGCATCTTCTCCCGAGCACTCTCCTCCTCGCGCGCCTTTGGTTCGCGCAAACACGTCTGCTACGGTCGGACCGATTGGTTCGCGCCCTATCGGAATTGGGTCTGGCGCGATCGGCGGCTCGCGCCCGATCGGGTCTCCGTTCTCGCTCGGGCACGAGTCCGATCCGTTCAGCCATCATCTTCCGGAACGGTCTCCGTCTGTGGCGTCTAACCCGTCATCGGTTGTTGGCGGAGGCGACACATCATCGTTGTCGAGCTCGTTCAACGGCGGAAGCCTGTCGAGCAGCACGAACAACATCAACAACAATCAAAACAACACACCTGGCGCGAAAAACAGCGCGCCAGGATCCGCTTCGAACCCTTCGACTTCATCGTCTACTGGCAACATGGCATGGTCATCAAAAGTTTGGGGCAATAAGGGGTTGGGTATGGCTGCATCTGTCTGGGGTTAATCAAAAGAGAAAAAGAGATCTTTTTTCTTATTTTTTTTGACTTTTGTGCGAAAAAGAAGTTCAAAAAGCGTTCATTGGTGTTTCCTTTTTTTTTGATTTACTTTTATAATCATTTTTTTGGTGGATTTGATTTTGTGTAATGTGGTAAAACATCGTTTGTTTTTTTTGTGTTTATCTCTTTTATATCTACTTGTTGTTATATGCGTGTTTATGGATGTGAAATTTGGGCAAAAGACGGTGTTTTAAAATTTGCGTTGAATACGGGTTGAAACAAACAGTTATTCCTATGATTTGGTCTCTTAAAATTTATCATTTTTTATTCATTTTTACATATTCCTATTGTTATAATGTATGCTATACTATGTACCCTCCTGCTTATATCACTGTTTGTCACTGTTTGTTGCGCGTTCGGTGTGCTGTGCTGCGTGTTATATTTGTGCTTGCGATTTATTCTTGTTATATTTGTGTTCTACTAGGGAAAGCATTACATGTTGAGTCAGAAGATGTTTTTTTATAATTCAGCATTCTCAAGCAATAATATGATCTTTACATTTAGTTTATAACTTTTGGTAACCTATATACAAATCTATCATGAAGTAAACCACGACCCAAGCACCTTCCTTCTCGCCTGCGGAGAAGCGCGGATCTCGACAGCGGTAGAGTCGGGTTTGATGTAAAACAGACGATTGCGCCATTCGACGCGAGTGCCGAGCATGGCGGTGATCCAGATCGGGAGCGCGAGGGATTCGCGCAGGAACCAGGTCAGAAGCCATGTCGGGAAGCCCGAGTGGGCAGCCATTGCTGCGTTCGGGCGGGCGAAGTAGGGGGTTGGGGAGAAGGAGGAGGAGGGGGAGTCTGTGAGTTCGATGTTTGTGGAGGAGTGGATGGAGCAGAAGATCCAGTAGTCGAGGGCGGCCCAGGCAGCGACGTGGAGGAGGAAGAAGTGCGGTGCTGATATAAGGGGGGATGAAGAGAAGACGGAGTATGCAAAGGCGCCCATTGCTCCGCAGAGAAAACACTCAGTCATGGGCTCGACGAGGGTGGCCGCGGTGACGATGTACTTGCGCACGCGCAGCCACCGCGTCCGACGGAAGAAGTACTCCTTCAACGAGGTATTTGCAATCGGCTGCACGACGCGGTCGCCGTCCATCGCATGTCTCCCGCCCTGCTTCCAGATCCCGTCGCCAATCATCTGATCCTCGGCGATGAACCGCGAGAACGAGCGGATCCCCGCCGGATCGACCTTATTCAGCACCGACCGGCGAAACAGGTTCGACTTACCCATCACGCAGGACGCGACCGCGACAGTGTTGATGGCGGTGTAGAACTTTGCGTGCGCGGACGACATGAAGAGTTCGTCGAGACGCGCGCCCCATGCCGGCGGCGGAACCGCGACGCAGATGGGCAGGTGGTGCACGAGCTGGGTGCGCGGGTTGGCTTCGAACGCAGCTGCCGCGCGAGCCATCGCGCCTGAGGTCACCCACACGTTCGAGTCGAGCACCCAGACGATGTCGTGCGCGGCGGCGTCGTATGCGCGGACGAGGTTGTTGACTTTCGGATTGACGCCGCAATGCTCTGCGCCGACAAACAGCCGCGAAGGCACGGACGGATAGCGGGCCATGATCTCGCGGACGACGGGGATCGCGGGATCTTCGGCGTCGTCGACGCAGAGCAGGATTTCGAATGTCGGATAGGCTTGCTCGAACGCGGAGGATACACAGGCTTCGAATTCGGTGTCGATGCCTTTGAGAGGGCGAAGGATCGAGATCCCGGGAAGGGTGCGGGAGACTGCTGATGCTGGCGGAGGCGGGAACGGACGCGGTTTGTGCGAGAACTTTTTCCGTCTGCAAATAATCAGAGAGTCGTTAGCTGTTGTTAAGAAGTAACAAGTAGATATCGTGAAGAGATATCGCGAAGTAGACACACAGTTGATAGTAACCAATACAGCAAACCAGCCAAACAGTTCCATACCACACCCCAAACACACCAGCGGCAGTCCTTACAAATACAGCTGCCCACGCCATCTCTTTCTTCTCTATTTCATCCTCTTCTTCTTGTAAATCCCGCTGCTGCAGCTGCCTTCAATCCTCCTCGGGCTGCGGCGGCAGCGCAGCAGCAGGGTTTTGTTAAGGTTTATAAGTCACGTGGAATGTCATGTGACGAGTGGGATGACTGACAATTTTTCGTGGATCAGAGAATACAAAGAGACTTGTTCAAATAGGAAATAGAAGAGGAATTAGAAAGAGAGAAAGAAGAAGAAGAAGAAGAAGAAGATAAAAGCGGTGAAATATATGTCGTTTGCGTTATTCTCTGCTCTCAACACCCACCGCATCCACTTCTCGTCCTGCTCTTCCCACGTCGCTGTCTTCTGCCGTCTTCTGTCCTCGTCCACCTCCATCTCTGCTTCTACTTCTACTTCCTACTCTCCATCAAGATCATTTACTTCCTCCTCCTCCGCAATGGCTGATTTGAAAGCAAAACTGCCCGAATGGCTGCCTCCAAAAGGCGCTGCCTCCGAACTCAAGCTGCTCAACACCCTCACCAAGACAAAGGTACCATCACCGCCCTCTCCTCTCCTCTCCTCTGCTCTTTACTAACTCCTTACTTCTAAGGTCCCATTCGTACCCATCAGCGGCAAACGCGTGACCTGGTACTGCTGCGGCCCGACGGTCTACGACGCAGGCCATATGGGCCACGCGCGGAATTACGTCTCGACCGATATCTCCCGTCGGATCTTGCGAGATTACTTTGGCTACGATGTGTTTTTTGTCCAGAACGTGACTGATATCGATGATAAGGTGTGTTTTCTCCAACTTCCATCATCTACGCAATTCCTGCTAACATTTGTTTCTAGATCATCATCCGCGCCCGCCAAAACTACCTCTTTGACAAATACCTCTCCGAAAACGCAACAATCACCCCCCAAGTCCGCGACAAAATCTCCTCCGCCCTCACAAGCTACGCCGCCAAAAACCTGCCCGCAGCGCCTACCTCCTCGCCCGCCGCCTTCTCCGCCTGGGCAGCCGGTCTCGATCTCGCCGCGCAGAGCAGGGAAAATCCCAAATTCGGCATGCATCTCTCGGCATTAAAGTCCGCGTACACGGCGCTTCAGCTAGCTGCCGTCGACGGCGAACCTGCTGAGAAAGCTCTCACGGCCGCAAAGGACGTTCTGATCCTCCTGCTCGACGAAGAGGAGGGATCGCAGGTGCGCGACCCGGAACTATTCAGAAAACTGCCCGCGTACTGGGAAAACCACTTCAACCAAGACATGCGCTCTCTCAACGTCCTCCCCCCCACGGTCGTCACGCGCGTGTCCGAGTACGTGCCCGAGATTGTCTCGTTCGTCGAGCAGATGGTCAAGAACGGGTACGCGTACGAGGCGCAGGGAAGCGTGTACTTTGACACCGCGGCGTTTGAGCGCGACGGCAAACACGTCTACGCCAAGCTGCAGCCCTGGAGTCGCGGCAAGACCGACCTGATCGACGAAGGCGAGGGAAGTCTTTCGGTCCGCACCGCCGCCGACGGGAAGAAATCCCCGTTCGACTTTGCGCTGTGGAAAGCGAGTAAGCCCGGTGAACCTGAGTGGGCGTCACCCTGGGGCCAGGGCCGGCCGGGATGGCATATCGAGTGCTCGGTGATGGCGAGCGAGGTGATTGGCGCGCAGATGGACATCCACAGCGGCGGCATCGATCTCGCGTTCCCGCACCACGACAACGAACTCGCGCAGTCAGAGGCATACCACGAGTGTCCGCAGTGGGTCAACTATTTCCTGCACACAGGACATCTGCACATCGAGGGTTTGAAGATGAGCAAGTCGCTCAAGAACTTCATCACCATCCGCGAAGCTCTACAAAAATACTCGTCGCGCCAGCTCCGACTCGCGTTCGCGCTCACGCAGTGGAACAACGCGCTCGACTTCAAAGAAGGCTTGATCTCAGAAGTCAAGACCGTCGAGTCCACGCTCAACAACTTCTTCGCCGTCGTCCGCGCGCTCGTCGCCGAAGACGCCGCCACTGTTTCCCAAGGCGGCCACGTCCCTCAACGATTCTCGGCCCTCGAGCGCGCGCTCTTCGCCGACCTCACTACCGCCCAGCAAGACCTGCACGCCGCGCTCTGCGATAACCTCGCGACCCCCGCAGCAATCCAGACTATAGTCTCGCTCGTCACCCGCGCGAACGTCTACTTGGCATCCGCAAAGGCAAACGTCAGCTCCTCCGCCGTCGCCGAGGTCGCGCGCTGGATCACCCGCATGCTCGCCGTTTTCGGCTTCGATCCCCGTCCCGACTCCCTAGGCTGGTCCGACCCAATCGACCCGACTTCCTCTTCCTCAACTGCTGACTCTTCAACTACCACCCCCTCCTCAGTCGAAGAAATCGCAATGCCGTTCGTCCGCGTGCTCTCGCGTTACCGCGACGACGTCCGCCGCGCCGCAATCGCAAAGGCCCCCTACGCCACCTTCCTCACCGCCTCGGACCGCGTGCGCAACGAAGACCTTCTCGATCTCGGCGTCGCGCTGGATGACCGCGACGGCGACTTACCCGCTCTCGTCAAGTTTGTCGATAAAGCCGAGCTTGCGCGGCAACGCGCTGAGAAACTTGCGCGCGAGCAGGCAAAGGCGGAGAAGAAGAGATTGGCGAAGGAGGAGGAGGAGAGGAAGGCGAAGGAGAGGTTGGAGAAGGGGAAGGTTAAGCCTGAAGAGATGTTCAAAGCGACTGGAGAGTTTAGCCAGTTTGACGACGCGGGAGTGCCCACGCACGACAAGGAAGGCGTGGAGCTGGCCAAGAGCAGGAAGAAGAAGTTGCTGAAAGAGTACGAGAACCAGAAGAAGTTGCATGCAGAGTATCTGAAGTGGCTCGAGTCGCAGAGCAGCTAGATGTTAAGAGAAAAGTACTACTAAATTGCATTTTATATACATGTCCATATCATTAGATCCCATCATTAGTCGTAGTCGTTATTCAAAGTCACAGACTGTAAAGAGCGTGCTAATCCTGCATAACATTGTCTCCATCATTCTCTTGCTTATCAACCTCCATCAGACTGCTCTCGTTGAACTGCGCTTCGCCCTGCCGCCGCCCAAACCGATCGCACCATCCTTCCGCACGGTCGAGAGTGTCGCCAACGATATGCGTCACGCCCCCGAGCATCTGCAGCGCCTCGCTCGCGAGAATAATCACCCGACTCGCCTGCTCGGTCGCCTGCTGCGCTTGCTCCTCCGCGCTCTCTTCCTCGGGCGACACTGAGCTACCTGCGCTCCCGCGTCTCGACGGCGGAATCGACGCGCTCGCAGTCGCCCACCGCGCCGGCAGTTCAAGCACATATGTGCGCACGTGCGAGCGCGCGGGCTCGGGAAGTGCCGAACCGGCGTAGGTGGATACTACACCGACAACCTTGCGGATCGTCGAGACAATATCAGCTTTGGTTTCGGTGACGCGCACGTTGAAGAGAGACCGCCGGCGCCGGCGCTGCTGCTCCTGCGTCTCGGGGTTGGAAGGGTCGGTGCAGGCCGCGTCGTTTTGCTGCTCGGCCACGATGGTGTTTAGAGTCGTGACTGCTTTCTCGAGGTGGCCGTTTGCGTACTTGAGCCATTGCAGACAATACCGCAGGCTTTTCAGTGATTCGTCCGACATTGCTACTGTGAGTCCGGAGGCGTTTGTGATGACATTGTGGAGGAGGGAGGCTTGCTGCTGCTGTGGTTGATTTTGTTGCTGCTGCCAGTATTCTTGGGGTATGAATTCGGTAGATTCTTCTGCGGTTGGTATATCGTTTGTCTTTTCGTTGGAGCTGACGGACTTGCGCTCTAGGCGATCAAGTTGCCGCAACGCGAATCCCTCGAGAGGCTCGAATCTGCGGACGACGGGTCTGGCGACGGACTCGACGATCTCAGCGCCGTACTTGAAGCCTCGAGAGTAGGACTTGCCGGACTCGTAGACGCGGACGGCGGAGGAGACGAGGGTGTAGTTTGACATGCGGGAGAAGAGCTGGGAGGCTGCTGGAGAGGAGGGAGAGGGAGAAGTCACGGAGGGCGAGTGGACGGTGGGGCTATCGGAGTGGTCTGGTCAGGTTAGTGAATGATCGAGAAAGAGCAGAGACAAAGAGCATAGACTATATCAACAGACAAAGATCATCACATGAGCCATAATACAGAAAAACAGAAGAAGAACAGACAAAAACACGTGCAGAAGCCGCGGTTTGGAGTTTGGCCGGTCGGCGAGCGGAAGGAAGCGAACGTGTTGGGTCGAGCGAGCGTGCGGCGGGGCCCCAGACCCGCACGTGAAAGCGGCTGTTCGTCAGGGTGCGTGATAGGAAGGTGAGATGGGATGGGATGGAGAGGAGGCAGTGATGTGTGGGGGATATGGACAGAATGGAGATGGAAGAGGTATAGGCTCATGTAGGTGATCTTGTTGTAGATGTAGATGTAGATGTAGATGTAGAAATAAGAAAGATGGAGGGCTCACCGCATCTCAGGTCCTCGAGTGCCTCGGCGGCCAGACGCACGTCGGGGTCGTCGATAGAAAGACCAGAAGTGAAAGACATGCACTCGTCGTCATCGTCGGCAGAAGAGCGAGTAGCAGAAGACGAGTATGTCGATAGCGGGGTGTAGGAAGAGGAGGAGGACGTGTCTGCGACGGCGAAGGGGTCTTTGTCCTTGTCCTTAGCTTCTTCGTCGCGGGCGCAGAGGGCGGAGATGGACAGCCTGCTGTCGGCCATTGCGACGAGGAGGGCGGTGAGTTGATGTAGATATGAAGAAGAAGAGTAGAGAAGGAGAAGTAGAGGGAGAAGTAGTTGGTGAAGTAGAAGAGAAGAGAAGAGGCAGGCGGGGAGAGAAAGAAGTTGAGCCTCAGCCGTTAATCGGCTCGATCCGCTCTTGAATGCTGGCAATGACCTCTGATCGCCAATTGAGCGGTGATATCGACAGGAGACTGAATAGAAGCAGAATAGGCAGATTCAGACATTCAATTCCTGCAGATATCCTCTATAAAACAACATCATATACCCCATTTCGTCGTGAACAATGGCCAAGAGTCGCTGTGCACTGTTTCTTGCTCACTTAAACCACAACCGCCCTCGTCTCCTCTTCAACACCACTTCCTCGATATCTACTCTACTCTACTTCCTCTACTTACTCTACAGCACGGCATTATGCATCTATAGACTCAACATAGACTCAAACACCCCTACACAGCATGCAGCGCACCGCAAACCTGCGCGCTGCCCTCGCAGCCATCCCGGCCCTCTTCCCGGCATCCATCGGCGGCCTCCACGCCCGCGTCGCGCTCGCTCTCGAATCCCTCTCGGACCAGAACAGCAAGATCCACATAGCGCGTATGATCCCTTTTACTCTTGTTGTATGTCTGCGTTAGCTTATATCTCTCAGTTGCACCGTTCTACGCCGACAGACGCATCACAAAACGTGTACCTGACGCGCTCGTCATCGCAAACATGCCTGTTCCTGTCCACAAACAGGCAGCAAACGAAATCGAATGGTTCAACAATTACCGGCGGCGGTCTCTGGCCAAGGACTCAAAGATAGAGTACGACTCAATTGCCTTCTACCTGTATAATCAGAGCTAATAAATCTCTCTCAGAGCCGGACCTTTCCTCCTCACCATCACAAACTTCATGCAATCATTCACCGCGCCCTCGCCATTCCTCATCAAAAACAATCTCGTGCTGAATGAGAGCGTGAGCCAACCACTCAGTCTGCAAGACATCTACGAACCCTGCCATCTGCACGTCTTTGTCTCCAGCGACATCTCCTCCCTCACGCAACCCCTGCCATCAGACATGCTCCCCGCCGTGCGCGTCCTCGACCTACCCGACATCTCCGCCGTCGACGCAAACGTCGCCAGCTCGGCGCTCATCGTCTCCACCTCCGCCAACAGCCCGGAGTCGGCCGACGTCACCAGTCTGATTGCTCGTCTCGAAAACCGCGAGCGAATCATCACCGACCTCCTCCACTCCATCTCCAACGCCTGCACTTCCTACGTCCTCTCCTCGCGCGCATACATCGACTCCTCTTCCTCCTTCCCTACCCCCTCCTCCGCAACCGACATCATCGCCACGCGCAAAGAATGGTCCCGCGCGGCCCACACCGAGATCAGAGACGTGCTCGAGCGCGGACTAGCTGAATTCGAGCGCCGCGCAGTCTGGTGGAAACTCTCGTTCGTCATCGACGATCTCCAGCAGATTGGCGAGACTGCTGTTCTGCGCAACTTCCTTCCTGCCGCAGAGAAATCGCTCATCTACGTGCTCGGCCAACTCAGCTCGCTGCGGCCTCGGGATGATCCCACCACCGACGCCGACGAGCTGCTCCAAATCCCCAAGCTCCCCACCACAGCGACAGCAATCGACCTAGCTCGGATACGCATCGCCCAGGATCTCCTTCCAAACATGCAAGCGCAGGCGCAAAAACTTGTTCTGCGCACCTTCTTCGACACGCAGCTGCCGATCGCCGTGCTCGCCTTCGCAGGCTGGCAGGTCGAAATGCTTCAGATCTCAGGCTACGCCGCCTCAGCCTTCGCACTGCTAGGTCTGGTCTGGGGTTTCAAACGCGTGCAGTCGTACTGGGACGGTCTCGTGAGTGCGTTTGCGCGAGATGTCCGCGACGCGGCGGTCGAGGCCGTCGAACGGAGTGAGGCCGAGATCCACAGCGCGTGGGAGGCAAAGGTGGGGAAAATGCGCAGTCGCATTAACGAGCAGGCAGCAGCAGCCGAGCAGCTCGAGAAGTTGCTGCAGTGATGTAAAAAGTAGTTACAAAATCATATAGAGACATTAATAATCCATTACATAATCAACTTCGACTGCCATTGGGAGTTCGCAGAGATCCATCGGACAACGGCGTTCGCCGAGTGCGGTTTGTTTACTTTGCGAGTAGCCGAGAGCAGCTGTGGAGAAGAGGAAAAGAGAGGAAATTAGTGACAATAAAAGGAAAAGAAAAAGAGAAGAAGAGAAGAAGAAAGAATAGTATAAAACACACGCAGGAAAGTGGGAATGTGGACTTGTGTTTAGTTGGATCTTTGATCTCTTCCCGTCTTTTCCTTCTTATTGCTCTATTCACCTTTTCCTATTCTTCTTTCTGCTGTTCTCAACATGGGCGCCATATTCAACGCGGTCTTTGTACGTCTGTTCTTCTTCTCTCACTCGTCATTCTAATACTAACATCACCAGTCCTCCGCGCTCTTCCTCGCATGCGCAATCACCCTCGTCCTCATGTACAAATGGGCCCTCAGACCCGTATTCGACTACTACAACATCTCCATCCCCCTCCGCGACATCTCCGCCTACCTCCAGCAACAGCAAGAGCAAGGCGCCATCTCCCTCTCCGGCCCCGACGAGTTCCCTAGTCCTTCCTACGACTCCCCCTCCGCTCAGCAGATCTCCCCCCGGCTCCTTGAATCAGGCATAGCCATCTCCCCCCTCCCCCGCCCGGACGTCGTCGAAACCCGCACCCACCCGTCCTCAGAAGACACCACAAAACCCCCGTCGATGCTGACCACCCCCGCCGTCGCAGACGACGACGCGTCAGACATCTTCTTCGACACACACAGCACTATCGGCTCCATCCAGAGCATTCCCACCGGCTCCTTCATCCCGCGCAGCAACTCCATCTCCAGCACAATCAACGCCTCTGCGTCCACGTCGACCAGCTCGGCCGCGCCGACGTCCATCTCGTCACTCTTCTCGCCGCCGCCGCCGCAGCCGGCTATGAGCCAGAATATGAACCAGGGCCAGAATCAGGTGGCGTATGCGGTCACTGCCCGCATGCCTATGCAGCCCAGTCTTCTCGAGAGCTCGGAGGAGAGTTGATTTCTTTTCTTATATCTCTTGCTTGTTTTATCTATGTTTGGCGTTTATCTTGGCAGTTCTTCTATTTGTGTACTCAGTCATTGGCAATAAACTGATATTAATCCACCTCTAAACAGATCATCTACTACCATCTACTCCTTCTCCCCTCCGTGATTCACCTCCCACGCCTTATTCAACTTATTCAAAAACAACCGCACCCAGTGCGCGCACGTATTCGTCGTCACCTCCGCATACAAAGCCTTATACCTCCGCTCTCTCTCCTCCTTCGGCATCGTCAGCGCCTTCTCAAACGCATCCGCTACCTCAACGCTGTCCCACGGATTCACCAGCAAACAGTTATTCCCAAACACCGCCGCCGAGCCCGTGAACTCTGACAAGATCAGCGGGCCTTTGCTCGTCTCGCTTTGGCAGTAAATGTACTCGTGGCACGTCAGGTTCATTCCCTCGCGCAGCGACGTCACTACAAAGACATCCGCCTCGTACAGTAGCGCGAGGTACTGCTCGAACGAGATATCCTGGTGCAGAAACACCACCGGCGGCTCAGACACGACGTGCGTCGACGAATTGATCCGCGTCACGATATCAGACACCTCAGACTCGAGATCCTGCGACGCAATGTTTGTCAAACACACCTGGATAAAAATTGCCTTCTCCTTGTACTCCGGGTGATTCTGCAAAAACCGCTCGTATCCCAACAGCTTGTGCCGCACGCCCCGGAACTGATCCAGCTTATCCCGCCCGACAATCATCTTCTTATCCGGCCACCGCTCCCGCAGCATCCGCCGCCACCGCTTCACCTCGGGATCCTCGCCCAGCGCCTTCAGCGACGGCGGATCGATCCCGATCGCGACGTCCGTCACGCTCACCCGTCGGCCGTCGCAGTCAATCGACCCGTCGCGGTTCGCAAGCAGTCCCAGCACAACCTGACAGGTTTGCCGGAAATGCCGCGCGTACTCGTTGCTCTGGAACCCGACCACGTCCGCGCCGAGCATGCCGCGCAGCAGCAGTTTCCGCGTCGGCAGGCATCTGTAGACCTCGGACGACGGGAACGCAATGTGTAGGAAAAACCCAATCTTCGCATCCGGGATCTTCTCGCGGATCAGACCGGGTACCAGCAGCAGATGGTAGTCGTGCACCCAGATCGTGTCGCCCGGCTTGTAATTCTGAATCACGACGTCCGCAAACGCCTTGTTGAGCGCATGGTAGTGCACCCACGAGTGGTCCTCGTACGCTTTCGACTTTGCATTGTCCGGGATCTGGTAGTGAAACGTCGGCCAGAGAATGTCCTTGCAGTAGTGCGTATAATGACCTTCCATAGTCGAGTCCGACACAAACACCGGCGCCTCCTGGTTCTTCTCCATCAGCACCGCCTCAAAGCTCTTGCGCATGTTCTCGTCGATCGCGTCCGTAGGCATGCCGAGCGTGCCGATCCATTTCTTATCCGTAATCGAGCCCTCGGCCTCTGCGCGCGCAATCGCGTTCCGCAACCCGCCGTTGCCCTTGTGGTACTTTACGATACTCCACGGCGCAGACGAAAACACCGCCGCGGGATCCTTGGGCGACAGCGGCGCGAGCGGCGCCGGTCTCCGCGGCGCGATCTTCAGCGACGGCGTGTTTGGCACGGTCGGCGCGCGCGAATCGACGATCCGCTTCGCCGGCGGAGGCGAGTTTGCGCGCGATTTGGGATGTGTGACGGTCGGAGCCGCGGCGCTGCGGAGCGTGGCGGTGAGTGACGAGGAGGATGATGCGGACGCAGAGCCGGCTGGAACCGAGCCGGAGGAAGTAGCAGCGGCGGCCTTGGTTACGGCTTCGCGACGCTTCTTCTCGACCGAGAGCGCGTAGATGTTGCGGAAGTTTTTCTCAAACTCGAGGGCGGCGGTCGGACCGGCAGGAAGGGAGTCGTCGTCGTGGTGCAGTGGGAGCGCGGAGCTGAGCGAGGTCGGCTGCGAGGGCTGGACGTATTTGTAGAAGAAGTCCTTGACGTTCTCGCTGGTGGGCGGAGAGGCAGGCGGGGTGTTGTTGGCGGAGGTGACGCGCGAGGCGAGGGACTGGATGAAGTTCGGGACGGGCGAGGGCGAGGGCAGCGGGGTGGCCTTCGGGTGGGGGTGGGGAGCCGGACGCTGGTCGAAGGAGGAGGTTGTGCGGGAGAGGATGGGCGAAGAGACTACGTTGTCGACGAGGGCGGGATCATCGACGTTGAAGTGGATGGTGTGCGGAAGATATCTGGGATGTTAGTGGTGATCGGGGAGGAGGAGGAGGAGGAGTACTTACAGAGACACCACGAGGAGGGTCATTGCGTGGATAAAGAAGAGGAGAGGAGGAAGAAGAAGAAGAAGCAGTAGATATAGAAGTAGATATAGAAGTAGATGTTATAACGTATAATGAGAATGCAGAGTGAATGGAAGAACAAGAGAAGATCAAAGCCCGAAACAGACTTTTGTGTTTTCGCTTTCGAGAATCTCCCGTCGACGTCATCACTTTTCTGTTATTAACAATCAACAGCGCGCTTTTTGTTCATTGTATTTTGTATATTCATTGTATTGTTTGTTGTTTTATTCATTGTATTATTCATTGTTAATTGTCTATTGTCTAGTATCTAATATTCTACTTGTTAGTATTGACCACCTCAGCGCTGGTGAGCTGCCCCTCCCCCTCCCCCACCGCCTTTGCCAGCAACTCAGAAAACACCTGCGACTTTGATAGGTTTCCAGGTTTCCAGCACCTCAGCTCCTGCGCTCTTAACCGGCTCAACGCTGCTGGCTCGGCTGCGGCGGCTCTCGCTCTCAACTACGCCTCCTCCGCCAGAATCTGTAAGCTCTTATGTCATATTCCCTTCAGGCATCTCCTCCATCTACTTCATCTACTCCACCTCCTCCCCCTTCACAAACTTATACACCCTCTCCCCCTCTCCACAACCTCTCCCGTAAACCCCTCCTCCGGCACCATCTCGTGTCGCAGCTCCCACCCCTCTCCCATCCTCCCGCACAGGTACTCCACCACATCATCGCAATCCCCCAGCAACGACACATCAAACGTCGCGTGCGTGCACGGCGTCCGCGATATGTAAATCTGCGGCACCCGCGCCGGAAGCACCCTTATAATCTCGCTCACCGGCGCTACCTTCAACGACGTGCCAATGCAGATCAACAGATCGCATTGATCCACATCCTGGCCCAGCAGCCGCGTCTCAAACGTCTTTGGCAGCGCCTCGCCAAAGAAAATGATATCCGGCTTCATCACCCCGTTGCATCTGTCACTCGCTTCTTCCTCGTGAACGTCGTCGTCTTCATCCTCGTCGTCGTCGTCGCGCTTCCGTTTCCGCAACGGCGGTGCGGTCTTGTCCGCAACCGCCTCGCCCTCTGGTAGTGCTACCATCGGCGGCTGCTTGCACCTGCTAACCACCCCATTTCGAATATCGTCAAAGACCTCTCGGCCGTCCACCTTATGCCAACACTTTTGACATGTCGCCTTTGCAAACGAGCCATGGCATTGCACTAGCTTATCCTCCGAAATCCCCGCATGCGTCTCCCTACACTCTCGTCAGCCTTATATCAAATATAAGATAAGAACAATATCCGACTCACAGGTTATCAATGTTTTGCGTGTAGTTTGTCAGTAGCTTGCCATTGTCCTGCACGAGCTTGATGAACGCGTGCGTCGGACTGAACCGCGATACCGACGGCAGAATATCCTTCGAAAACGTATAAAATATACTGCAACCATAAACATCAGCATCACTTCAACCAACCAGCCCCCTCTCACTACTCACCTCGGATCCTCTCTAAACACCGTCAAATCAAACACCTCCTGCGGTTCACTCAACCCCATCTCCTCCAACTTCTTGTATATCCCCTGATCCGATCTAAAATCCGGAATCCCCAAACTCGTGCTGATTCCCGCGCCCGTCAGAATAACCACGTTCTTAGCCTGCTTAATCACCCGCACGACGTCCTCCAAAGTAGCCACGTCCGGCAACGCGTCCCGCCGCGAGAGCTCTCTGCTGATCGCCGCGTTCAAAAGACGAAAGAGCGTATCTTCATCCAGCACCTCTAATGGGCCGCTTATCCGTAGTCCGAGCGCGTACAGGACCTCCAATATCGATAGTTTCTTCTTTTCTTCAGCAGACGGCGCTGTTCTGTCTTCACCTGCTTCTGGCGGTGGTTCGTCGTCGTCTTCCTTGCCCAGCAGATATCTGTATAGAAACGCTTGTCGTCCGTGTTCACGGAGATACTTCCTGACCTCCTCGCACGCTTCCTCTGAAAGCAGCGGATCTTCTATAACCAGTCAGCACCGTCTTCTTCATTCATAAAATCATAACTGTGTGCGCGTACCGTCGTCGTCCTCTGACCCTCCATCCTCCTGGTCGCCAGACCCTGCATCCCCGATATCAAGTATATTCTCCAAAAAACTGCTATCGTCAGAGTCACTATCCTCTTCTTCATCACTCCCTCGTCCTTCACCAGCACCCTCTGCACCATCATCTGCATCATTTCCGACATCCAATCCACCACCGCCAACCTCCACCTCGTTCCCAATAATCTCGTCCTCTGTAACCCCAGCCAATTCCTGCATTCTCGCTCGCTCACTCAATTCTATACACACTCTATTAAATCCCAAAAATGCACCAAAAACCTTCCTGCTCTTGCTCTTCGTCTTCAGTTCACTCGCAGACGCGTCCGTACCGCGTCAGTCTGCGTCTTCTGCTCGGCTTTGGGAGATTCCTGAAAACTTTGTGGTCGCGGCGACGTTGGGAGTTTATTTCTTGTTATGTAATTTATTACTAATATATTTGTTACATGTTCCAGTTCTCTATGTTGCTGTGTATATACAATATGCCAGTCATATGCAGGCAAGAATCTCACAAATGTTACCAAAACCCAACGTTTGGCAATCAGTTATATCCACCCCTCCAGCGCCAGAAGCGCGTTATCCATCCTCCGTCTGCCCTCATCCCTCTTCTTCTCATCCATCGCGACATCAACGCTCAGCCGTCCCAGCGTCTCGATAAACTTCTCCAACATCCGCTTATGCTCCAGCTCCAGATTAATCAGCTCGTCAAACTCTGCCCCTTTGCCCAGCCAGTCCAGGTTATCAGTCTCCTTGTCGAGAAACCAGGGCGCCGCGTTCGCCGCGTCGCGCGGCTGCGAGTAGATTGACGTGTGCGTGGACTTGCGCTCGCGAATGGGACTGCCAGAGCTGCTCATAGAGCTGCTGTACTGATGCGACTGTCGACCCGTAGGAGCACCAGTAGCCCTCGGCGCCCGCCGCCGATCAAATTTCACGTTCCCTTCCGACGTAGCCCTCTGCCTCACACCCCCCGCCCCTTTCTGCTGATGATACGACGCGCGCGGACGCGGCGGCGCCTGCCCTTGACCTTCCATCTCTGCTCGCGCATCTGTTCGCACATCAGCATGAGACCGTGGCCGTGGCTTCGGCTGCGGCTGCGGCTGCGGTGGTGGTGGCGATGGTTCGTAGTAGCTTTGACGCGGATCGGGCTGTAGATTGTATCTCTGAGCTTGTTCATACTGCTGCCGCTGCTGTTGCTGCTGCTGTAGATTATATCTCTGACTTTGCTCGTACTTCTGCTGCTCCTGCTGCTGCGCAATAGCCTTCGCCGGACTAATCCTCGGCGTCGTATCAAACGAAATACTCCGCTGCTTCGACCTCGACCCATGTGCCCTCCCCGAACTCCGTCTCGGCACCTCCGGCGGCGGCAACATACTCTCGTCCACCGCCTCCTCTTCACCGTCCTCACCCACATCGCTCTCCTCCGACTGCGGAACAGACGACGCAGCAGTCACAAACGACTTTCGCTCGTCAGAGTCCGTTCGCGCGCGATCAACCGCTCCGCCCGCCGCCTGCGTCTCCATCCGCGAGCTAGACCGGTCTTCGGCAGGAGAGATCTCAGCCGCTTGTGCCAGTTGCTGGCGCATAGACGACAGACTGCTTGTGCTCAGCGCGCGCGGGCCGCGTGGTCGGCTATCAGGTCTTGTCTGCGAGAAACTCGAACTACTCCGCTGTTTGACAACGTGCAGCTCTTCATCCGCAGCAGTACTCCGCTGCTTGACAACGTACAGCTCTTCGTCCGCAGCAGTAATAGTTTGCTCTTCCTCCTCCTGCGCAAACTGACGCTCTTTCCGCTGACTGCCTCTTTGACTTATGAAATCCGTCTCAAGCTCTTCCTCCTCCTCTTCCTCCTGCTCATACCTCCCTCCCATCAGATCAATCGGCGGCGGCGGTGCCAGCATCGCGCCTTCGTCCCGGAGTTCCTGCGCGATCCGCTTCGCCTGCGATGACGGGATATACACCGACGACGGCTGCTGTCCTCCGTACGCAGCCAGCACGTTCTCCTGATTCGGCGAGTGCAGCGAAAACTGGCTCAGTCGTCCGTAATCTGTCATCATCGTTGCCGTCGACGCGCGCGCTGCATGCTGTTTACTCGATCGCTTTTCTGGCACCGAGAGCGTCTGCTGCTGCTGCTGGTACTGTGGCATGGACGTGGCAGTAGTTGACAGCGGCGGCGTGGGCGGCGCGGTCGACGCGATATCCGACGAGTTGGGGAAGTTGCTAACCGTACTCCGGATCGACGCTACGCGGCCTCTGAAATCGCGGACCTCGCGCAACAGGTTCTCCATGTCCTCTGCCAACGACATTGGCTCGCCATGGATCTCGAGCGGTTGCGTAAGCGGTAGCGAGCGCTCGTCCTCACTGCTTTGTCGGCGGTGGTCAATGATTGCCGAAAGCAGCGGCGCGTCGGTCTTGCGCTGGACAGAGACAGGATCGACGGTCAACCGACTGAGGTTAGCTGGATCAGACACAGATCGAGGCGGAGGCCGATAGACCCCAGCAGCACCTCCTGAGCTCGACGAGCTCTTGCTGACACCGCTGCCGTCGCTGCTCCCTCGCTCCCGAGACCGCACGGAGCTCTCTGCAAACTCGAGCGGCGTCTCCTGCATAAGCTCGTCCTCGATCCGCTGCAGCAGATCGGCGTGGCTGAGCCGCGATCCGGGCGTGAACTGCGGCAATACTTCCGCGTCGTGCGATGTCTGGCCGGCCGGGGGAGAGGTGAAGACCGGTTTTCGGTAGGAGGGGCTGTGGGTCGGTAATCGAGATGCGTCGGCGGCCTCGGCCCTGTTGCTGGGAGAGAGGCGGGGATCGAGTGAGCGGTAGTTGACTGTGGTTGTGTCGGACGGAGCAGCGCTGCGGGGACGGTGATCGTCCGCGTTTTCGGAGATGGACTCCAGAGCGACAGAAATATGCTTGCTGGGATATGTAGAGGTGGAGGTATTGAAAGACGAAGAGGAATCGGCAGCAACGGGTACGTAAGCCGGCTCATGAGCAGAAGCCTGGTCCTGTGGGGGCGTTGAAGTTGCTTGCACGTCCTCAAACCCGGGCTTCCCTGCGTTTGCAGAGCGCTGAAGAGCGAGAAGTACATCCTCTGATACTTTTGAGCGCATGGTCGGGATTGGTGCGTCGGGGTCGACTATTGGTGCTGATATCTTGCGGGCGTCGATGTGTTCTCTGCTGCGGGTCGGAGAGCTGCTGAGCGCGAGGGCGATGCGGGCGTCCACTTCCTACAAATTGTCAGTTGTCAGTCTGATGATAGAGCAGCACTAGACTGAACAGCAGCAACACTTACTCTCAATCGTCTCTTTGCTTTCGCAATCATCCTCTCAGCCCTCGTGGTGGCAGGCTGAGAGCCGCCGGCTGCCTCCTGCTGTTCTCTGCTCATGCGCTGCGCTGAGGATGCTGATAACAACGCTATACTATCCAGTCGTCTGCAGCAGGTCTACAGAGCAGAACACACGATATATAAACAACCGCAGCGCAGCAGCAAAAAAAGGAGGAGCGCAGACGCAGATGGCTGGGCTGCACGTCCGCTTTGGCGACGAGGCTGGCTTCCGTGCGGCGTACAAACCTTAAATCGCGTAAACAAACGCGTAATCGTCGGGCAGCCGAACTCTGTCTCGTCTCCCCGGCGGTGGATTATTTACATTTCTTTGTTTGTTATCGTACAATACAGAAGTAATGTCAGAGACAATATGTAGGCCGTGTCTCTGACCGCGTGGGGCGTCATGAATTCGCAGAACGGCTACTCGTCGTCCTCGATCTCGTCCAGCCACTCGTCCTCGTCCTCGTCCTCGTCCTCCTCATCGCCCTCCCTGCCTGCGCCTGCCCCATGTCGTCGCCCCTTGCCTGCACTGGCCGCAGCGTCAACCGTCGGCAGCCCTCGGTTTGCCATCTCGGCCTCTGTCTCCGCAAGCCGCTGCTTGAGCTCGTCCGCCAACTCCTCCGGCTCGTCGCCTCCCCCATTCTCCGTAAGCTCGAGCGCGTTCAAAAAGCTCTCGTACGCAGCCGTCAACACGGCCGGATCGCCGGATTTGCCGTACTTCTGCGCAGCAGTCAGACCAGCTAAATACCACACCTCTGCAATGTCCTCGTCCAGCGCCAGGATCAGCTTGCACGCCTCCTCCGCGAGATCGTGCAGCTCGGTCTCGATGCTGAGCCGCGTCAGGTTCTTGAGCGCCGTGATCTGCGCGACCTCGTCCGAGCCGTATTCGGAGAGCGATTGGTTGAGGCGCTGGGCTTCGGCAGAGGCGTTGAAGAGCTCCCATGATCGCTGTACCGCAATCCTGGCGTCGTCAGGGCGCTGCTGAGACAGTCGGATCGAGGCTAAGGTGGAGTAGGATTCCGGATGATTGGCATCGATCATCAGAGACTCTGTGATCAGTGCATCGCAGGTCGATTCTGCTTCCGGCTCCATGCTGTCTCAGAATGTTAGTCTGTTCTCTGCCACTACGCACTCTGATACATCTCGCGAGAGATTTCAGTGAGAAACTTCAGTCAGTGGGGAATCTCACCATAGATCAGTCATCCAAATCTCGACCGACGCACACAGCGCATCACACAACTTCTTCCGTAGCTCGACCTTCTTCTCATCCTCCACATCCTCGCTGCTCAAATCTTTTCGTAGCCCGTTGCACCCCTTGCGAAACCACTCCACCGCGTCCCGTCCACCAGACAACTGCCCAAGCCAGAGATACTTTGCATGGTCTCCCTTGCCATTACTATCGTCCAGATTAGCGGCCTTGACAAAATACTCGTACGCCTTCTCCGCGTGCGTCTCGCCGTCGGCCTCCTCGGGCAGTGCAGATACCTCCAAGTGCGCGGTCGCGAGGGTCTGCAGCAGCTCCGCGTTGTCGTTGTTTGATGCGAGAAGGGGTGTGAGCGCACTCAGCGCGTCGTATGGCCTCCGCTGGCTGATGCTCTCCTGTGCGGACTGTATGCTCTGTTCTATAGTCGTCATGATCTGTATTTCTTGCTGTAAATGTCCTGAATCTTTCAAAAACAGTGCAAAAACAGTGCAAAAGTCCCAAATATCTGGTTTCTGTTTGCTCCCAAAGATTTTTTTCTTCAGAGCTCAAACCCGAACCCTATGATTTCCATCTCCGCCGACCCAGATATTTCTCTAAACCAGCTGATTTGAGCAGGAAATAGCTGCTGTTGTCGTGTTTATCGGAGCTGTTGTTGGATATCGTGTTTTTGGGAGCTGTATTTATTTGCATTAACAGACTGTATGTGTTGCATCTCTCTCGAGAGCTCAGACAAGTGCATACAAGCTAACATCCAACCCACAGGACACTACATCACCATCATGGACTACGAAGAAGAGAAAGCCCAGGAGATCGAGCTCCTGCAGTCAATGTACCCCGACGAGATGACAATTCTCTCGCCGACCACATACACCATCCAGCTTGCGCTGCAGGCACCCACCTCGTCCAAGGGACTAGCCACAAAAGACAACAAGCAGCTGCTGATAGTGCGCGTCGAGTACACAGAGAAATACCCCGAGACGCTGCCGATTATTGAACTGTCGCTCGAGCAGGAGGAGGAGCAGGATGAGAGTGATGATGAGGATGAGAGTAATAGTCCAGAGGCGCTGGTGCTGGATAGGCATGATCTTGATGCGTTAAAGGAGAAGGCAGCTGAAGAGGTTAGTTCCTCTTTCCTACTTGCAACGACTTGCTCTCTTCCAATACAATTACTGACAAACTATCTAGATTGAAGAAAACCTCGGCTTCCCGTCCATCTACGCGGTAACCTCCTCGCTAAAAGACCAAGCCGAAACCATGCTTCAATCAAAACAAGACGCCATCGAGCGCGAGCTCGATGAGATAGCGCGCAAGGAGGAAGAGGCCGAGCAAGCAAAGTTCAGAGGCACGCTCGTCAACCGCGAGAACTTCCTGATATGGCGCACGAAATTCAAGGCCGAGATGGCAGAGAAGAAAAGGCTCGAGACTGGGAAGGTTGAGGAGAAGAAGAGGCCTACGGGTAGAGAGATTTTCGAGAAGGGTCTGGATGGGAGTAAAAACGAAGGGGATGATGAGCTTGGGGATTTGCCTGAGGCGGTCTCGGAACTTGCAGTGTCTGAGGCGTAGTGTTGGATATCTTGTGCATTTGTATTGATCATGTAACAAATACTATCGATCTCGATGATAGACCACTCGTCTGATCCCGATCACTGATCTGATCTTCGACCGCTCATCTGATCTATCGACTCTACATCCAGCATCTCCATAAGCCATATAGTCCCACATAATCCAGTCCCAATCAACCGATAATAACATTCTGTAGCTCGTCGTTCTTCTCGTCATTGCTTCGCGTCTCCTGCCGCGGTCTCGCTACTACTCCCTGCACTCACACCCTCCTTCTCCTCCGACACATCGAAATTTACTATCCAGTTAGCACCAATCCCTCCACTATCATCTCACCCTCATCTCAACCAGAATACATACTCAACAAGTCCACATCGCACAGCGGATTCACACGCGCACACTCGCTCTCAAACCGCTGCGCATCCCACCGCCACGCCTGCGGAATCGCCGCATCCCCGCCTTCAACGCCGTCCGCATGTATCTCGTCCTCGTGGGCCGAAGGAGAGGCTAATCTGTCGGCTGCGGATGTGCTGCTCTGGTGATCTGGTACATCGTTGATGCGGTCAGTTACTGCGCCGGCAATATGTATGGAAGAAAAGAAATCAGCGTGGATCTTACCTGGCCGGCCTCGGAAAGACATCTTTGCTGGCTCTAAGAAGAATATCCCACTGATTGAAGATGTCTGCTGTTTAACGCAAACAAACTACGATTCTCGTAGATATCAGAGTGGTTGCTATAACAAAGCTCTCTTAATTCCGGGGCGGCTGTATCTGTTATGTAATCAAAAGCCTGAGCGCTTAGTAATAATCTGATCAAGGATCTCCTTTCTCACATCAAAGCAGAATACTGCTTATATCAATTACAACTGCAAAGGAGTTCATAAACATATCTAAGAATCTCAATTAAACATCCTACTCAATAACAAACACTGAAGAAGCCCTGCCGACAGCTAGCAAAATCTCAACCAGCCGAATCAGCACAATCAAAAGATCCACCTTAACTGCCCAAGTCAACAGCGACACCTGAAATAAACAAAATAGAGTACAAACAATTAGCTAAAAAGAAAGAAAGCAGATATTAGAACAGAGTACAGACAAAGAAATACATCTGCCAAAAAAAGAGAAAGGGAAATGGAAACTGGACAAACTAAAACTCCTGTGGAAAAACCCCGCGATATCGAATATACATATATAAAATGAAATGGCAAGATTAGATATAACAAAAAACCATTCGTACACTCAATCTTCCATCTGTCTACCCATCGCACGAATGATAATAACAAACATTAAACGTCAGAGTGAAAGCACTAGTTGATCTCCATATTGCTGAATCGACTGGTAGTACTCAAATCATCTCCCAATCCCTGCAGACTGGTATCGAATACGTTATCGGCATACTCAAAGTCGGCAAAATCGTCGCTGTCAGACTTTGAAGGTGTCGTCTTCAGATAGTCCTGGCTTCCAGTCTGATTTCCGACTCTCAAATTCTCGTCATTCCCATCTCGCAGCTCTAGCCTTTGTAGTCGCTTCTCCAGCTCTTCATTCTTCCGTCTGAGTTCCTCCTGTGCCAGCTGCAGTTGTCGGATATAGTCGACGCTCTTCTTCAAGATAATCCCCTTGTTTGGCTTCCCATCACGACCCAGCGCGGCGGCTGCCGAGGCTGAAAGCCCTGGTGTGCCGCTAGTACCACCTGGGGTCGACACCTCAGTGCCGACACTGCCGACATTCACTCCGCTTCCTGGGTTGTTGTTGTGTGTGAAGCCGGTGCCTTCTAATAGATGCTCAGGAATCAAAGAGGCCAGCTCTTGGATTTTCTCGTTGATGTTATCGCGACGACGTCGTTCGACTAGTATAAAAGTCAGCAAGACGAAAGCTCACGTTAATTGATCAAATAAATAACTCACCAGCATTATGTGACTCTCTACGCCTCCTCCGCTTCTCCATCATCAGCAGATTCTGCTTGTCAGCGCCCTCGCCCTTGATCGCCGGCGGCGGCGAGAAAGTCTGATCGAAGCTTTCCGGCGTGCCTCCCGCGCCCCAACTGCCAACCGAGTTCGGAATCGAGACACTGTTCATGCCAGACTGCTTCTGTGGGCGGTTGTACTCGTTCACGTTCAGGAAGCGCTGCGTGTGACTTTCAGGCATCATCTGCCGTGGCGCGCTGCCGCTGCCGCTCGGCGTCTGCTGGTACATTTGCCGGTTGCTGTAGTCGTCGAACGGCGAGCCCGAGTTCAGCGGCACGTTGCGGTTCGGCGGCGAGAGGTAGCCCCCGACGCCCATGTTCTGGGGTGCCGAGAACTGACTCTGGCTCTGGAGGTCCTGGCTGACGACAGCTGAGAATTCGGGATAGTTTTCGTTCAGACTTTCGAGCAGGTCGTCTTCGGGGATCATCGACGACGACGGAGAGTGGCCGTCAAAAGACGAGAACCCGCCACGGTTGAAGATCGGTTCGGGGTTGCCGCCCATGGAGGAGAACCCTCCCTGGGAGACCTGATAGAAGGACCCATCCGGATCCGGCTTGATGTACGGCGGTGACTGGTAGGACATTGTGAGTAGAGGGGTGGGCTGTAGACTCTGTGAGTCGCAGACTAATCACAGTAGTAGTAGCAGTGAGTTCCGGGTAGTGTATCAGCGCGAGCTACTCCGGTTTGTCCATAGAAGTTGGTGAAGTTGGTGAAGTTGGTGGAGGAGGCAGAAAACGGTGGCAGCAAAGCTCCACGAAACCCGTTTTGCTGACCGCTCAAATCCGCCTCAGACGCGTCCGCTCCCAACTCGCTCGTTGTTGATATCCAGACAAGTATCAGCGTGTCTTCTATTCTGCTTGTTATCGCGATAATTTCACTGCTATCTGACCTCTTCAGTCTCCCCGCAATGCCCTTCTCATCAGCTGAAAACTCCTTCCGCCAGCAGTTCAGCGGCTGGACCTCGCGTCCCGCCGCCGCGCCGCCACCTCCCCCACCTTCGCAGCCTCTGCAGCTCTCGGACTTCTCCCTGGCCCGAATTACCACGACCGTCAAGTCCATAAACCCGTTCAACAGCCAGGGACCGGGGTACATGCAGCTTCCCGTCTCTGAGAACGAGCCCGCGCCGTCGACGATCCAGGAGCCCTCGTGGTTCAAGAGTACGTATTCGTTGGGGCTGGCATCGTGGATTCCTGCTGACTGCCGTTTCTAGTGTCGAGATGGGACAGGATAGTCTGCTTTGGCGTCTGTCTTGGTGCGTCGGCTTTGTTCTTTGTGCTCTGTTTCGCGCTGTTCCCCATATTACTTCTCAAGCCTGTCAAATTCGCCATCTTGTAAGTACTCGTGTGGACTTGTATGCCACGTACGTACTCGCGTTAACCTGTCTTTTCTCTTGAAGATGGTCCTTTGGCTCCCTACTATTCGTCATTTCATTTGGCTGCCTCCAAGGACCTGTCAACTACACTCTACACCTAGTCTCGCCTAATCGACTACCTTTCACAGTCATCTACTTTGGCTCTATCATCCTCACCTTGGTCTTCAGTTTGGGCGTACGTATCGTCTACTCCAGTTCCTCAAACAGTTCAAAAGGTGACGCTAACAATGTTGTAGATGCACTCAAAGATCCTAACCGTGATCGCGTGTGTTGCGCAAATACTGGCAGCGCTGTGGTATACCGTCAGCTACTTCCCGCTCGGCACGCAAGGGCTCCGCTTTGCCAGCAGGTATGTCATCCTCTCTTTTAGTTTCTCTCATCTATGACGACTCTTGTGCTGACCATTTCTCCAGACTGGGTCTACGACAGGTCAACGGTTGGCTCGATTCGTAAATGCACTCTCGCATCAGAGATATCAGAAACCGAATATTGACAGCCGGAAAAGTACATAATCAATCTGAAAAATCAGGGAAATATCACTGCATGGGAGTTCTTTTGTTTATCGAGTTTAGTATTCAAGTGTCTTAATTACCAACGATGTTCTATGAACCCTCTTGCCTTTAAAGTACAAGCCATAAAACGTAGATATATTACAGTCTGATCCTCTACCCCGTCCGCACATGCTGGACAACTCCAGAGCCATCCACGGTCACGTTAAGTCTACCATCCCGTCAGCTCTTGCTCTTGATCTTGAACTCCATCGCAGCAAACACGAGTCCACTCACCTCTTCGGATCAAAGTCCATCGTCGAAAGCGTTCCCGGTTTGATAACCCTCGACGGACGCGGCAGATCTGTTTCCACAAACGTCTACCATATCAACAATTAACGGTCAGCACCACAATCATAGACAAGGACAAGAACCGTAGATCATCATACGTTATCAGACGCCGGCCCAGATTTCACGAGCTGTTTGCCAACTAGTCTTGCGCTCCACTCTTTTGCCTTCGGGGCATCGTATCCATATGGTGTTTGTGTATTCATGATTCTGTGGTCTTGTTGTTGCCGATGGTGTCGAATATCAAAGGTATCCCAAAGCTGGTGGGCGAGTTGGCAATGGCGATCAGCTGGGACTGAAACTACGTCATGGTTACGTAATCGTACTATTTTAGAATACACTGACATTACTACAAGGGCTTTCTATGTATTTGTTTCATGAGTCTGCCTGTTGATTGTTCTATTGCCTATTCTCAAGCAAATAGTGGGTGGTTCAAGCGATCGACAGGAACTATACTCTGGCTTATAGTACAATGTAATTTATTCCTGATAGCCTCTGTATGCTACATCCAAACGCGTTATTCAAAAGAATCCCCTTCTTTCCATACTGGTAACGAAAGCAGGGAACAAAGATGTCCCATCAAACCACCAATTCCCACAATCATCACCATCTAGCTACCAACCCAAATCCCCTCACCGCTCACGCTCAGAAGCAGCATCAACCAAAATCGCGTCATCGTCCACGGGCTCGTCCTGGAACCGCGAGATACCTCCTGTGGCGGACAAGTCGTCATCTGAGTGAAGCGGTTCGGTTCGTCGGAAAATCTGCTTCTTGTCGTGGGATTTGATGATTGAGTCGACGAGGTAGTATTGAATCATGTTCATGCTGTGTCTTGAGTTAGTATTTATCGTGTCAGCAATTAAATTTATACGCGTTGCTGTGTACTTACATCAGCGGGAATACCTGTATCATTCATTCAGTCAGTAATCAATCCAAACAATATTTCCATACACCAGCAATAAACGGAACAACTCACCAGCATAACAAAAGACACCTCCGTCCGCTGCCGCCCCTTCGTCCAAGACAACAAGAATCCAGCAAGATCATCCCAAAACGGCATCACAATGAGCATCACATAGACTGTAAACTTCATGCAGCTCAAACCCAGGAAATACATGATCGCCTGGCGCATAAACCAGTTGAACTGCGGAGGCGTGCCATAGTCGCCTGACCGCGTGCCAGGGATATTCAGCCCTTGCACCGCTTTGGATATCATCGAGAGAAAGAACCAGAGCATTGGCACGCCAATCGTCGTGTCCAGTAAGATATTCAAAAAGTACCTTCTCATCTGGTTAGCATGGTCTTGTAAAAGAGTTCTGAGTACTCGGTGCTCACCAGTGACAGGGATTGGTAGGCGCATCTTCCTCTTTGTTGCTTGACAATATCGCCAAAAAGAGATTCATCACATGGATACCACTAGCACCCAGAACCTGTTTCGATACATCAAACGCCCTATTCCAAGCCAATTAGTCTTCATAGCATTCCCTCTGCATACCAGATACCCCCGACGCATACCAAACAATAACCGGCCGGCGCGGTTCTTCCTTGTATCGTTTATACACCAACGACAGAACGGCAAGACCCCCCATCGCGCCCTGCACAACAAGTGCAAACGGGCCCAGCAATTGGCATCGGTCGTCCATTGTGAATATATGCTACCTTGTCGAATGAATGAATACAATAACTCTTAAACAGCGTCGCGAGTAGTCGACTGTCGCGCTCTTGCCGGGGATTCCTAGACTCGTGCGGTAACTCCTGCTTTTCTTGATCAAACGTAATTACCAGCAGATCTAGACACAGGCCATTCTGCCACACAGAAACAGAGAATCCGGTACGCGTTCAAGTGCTCGCTCTCAAAGCACAGATTATGGGGAACGTCTGGGCTTTCACGGGCTGAGCCGACCGAAGATAACGAGCGTCAGCCACAGAAGGCGCAGCCACAGCCACAGCGGATATAAGCGGATGTGCAATAACTTGCTGTGGGCATCTTAATGTTATATCTGGCTGTTATATAGTTGTATAGCTACTGGTATAATGAATATGTGGATAGATCTGTACTTGGACTGTTGTTTCTGTAACTACAAAACCATGTATATTGTGAAAATATCTCTGAATACTTCTATGCCAGTTAAAGATACCCATTATCCTCTTCTCGTTCCTACAAGGCTTTTCCACACAAAAGTCGGTCCTTGTTCGAACAAGGCACGGATTTCCAGTATAAAAGGGACCTTTTCCGCCTTCTCTCTCTTTCCTCTTTTCTTTCCTCACCTCTCACTACTTCCACACTTCAGCAACAACTTTCCCGTGTCCCCCAAGAATGGCTTACGACAAGAAGAAAACACGTTCTTCTCGTGCATCGCAACATGCTGCTGCGATTTCCAAGCACGATCCCCGCCGCCCACACCCGACGCACTCGCACTCGCTTCTTTCCTCGCAAAGCACATCGACCGCCGAGAGAGGCAACGGACGTCTCCCGCCCTGCGACCGCGACCCACAACCCGACATCGACTCACAATGGAGAGAGTATATGAACGATTATCTCGACGGGATACTCTTCTCCTCCTGCTACACTGACGCTCAAAAATTTGACGCCATCAGGTTTGCGTACGACAACTTCGTCTCTCGTATTGACAATAGCAACCATAAGGACCAGCTAGGCAACAGATGAACCGCCAGGATCCAGTCCGGGTTTCTGTTTTTAACTGCCTATGATCGTGCTTTCTTGTAAAGATTTTCTTTGCTGGTTATCAAGGCTTCGCTGTATATCAGCCAACGTATGTATACGCTCTTCACTCCTTGTTCTCCCTTGTTCTTCTCTCGAGCCTTGCTGACTTTCCTTGTTGATTCAGCCGTCCTCCCGCAGCATATCCGCCTGGAACGAACCAGAAGAGTCCTATACTTCGACTACTGCTCAGGCTAATACCCCAACATCTCATGAGAGAAGTGGTCTACCTCCTGTATTCCTGTCTCGCCACTGTACAGAATACCCTTGCTGAAGTCATCTCATCGAACTACATGTTGGTATCTGCCTAAAGAAGTAACCTTACTGTCTGTCTGCACCCCCTTCCCTGCTGTACGGTCATCACTGGACGTTAAAACCACTGACCTCTGCAATGTACTGGCTCGGAATACCTTTTCTTTACTATTTTGTGTAACAGGGTTATCTTTACTCCCGCCAAAATCCAAAAAAAAGAAATTACGAATCGCGCGGAGCCGGAGACGAATCATTCAACTGGGCTCTGTCGCTTGATTCTCGCGTGTGTAACCACTCGTGAAGTCCTTGTCAAATTCCTTTACCTCCTTTTTGTTTTTGCTTTTTGTTTTTGTTTTTGTTCTCTTCTCTTTTTCTTTTTTATAATTCATTACGGGAGTTCACTAGGGATCTTCTCATTAGCATTCGATTGCTAGTGGCTCCCATCACCCCAATCTCTTCTGTAAAAGCCTTCTTTCTTGAAGGACTTGTAGGATCTGGAAACTCTGTTTTATTGTCGTCGATTATGGTACTTCTTTGTAGCTCCCCCAGTGTCGTGTGCATTCATTTCTATTGCCATATATTGTTCTGACCTCTCATTACATGTGTGGAGCCTTTTGATCTCCTTTCTGTGGTATTTCCTTGTAGCTGCTCGAGTGTTGTGTGTATTCATTTCTACTACCATATATCGTTCTGACCCGTCATCACGTGCGCGAAGCCTTTTACCATGTGTTCCCGCTGCATTTCTGATCAACCAGCACTAGTCTGTTAACTCACCACGCCAAAATGATAAAAGAGAAAGAGAGGTTTATTTTTTTTTCTTTTTCGGTTTTACAATACGGTACCGCCCCAGCGCTCTTATACAACAATTACAAAACAAGTCAGCCGTGCCCACAACTAAGAGATACAGTACTAAAACAGTACAGAAAAAACAATACAGTAACATAATAATACAGTTACACATCAGCACAACGACAATACAGCAACAGCTGATACAGAAAATACAGAAAACAGTAAGAGCGCATGAAGCGGCTGGTGCCAGGATCGGGAAGAATGCATTACGCATACTCTTGAACAAGACATTCAAGAGTTATGTGGGACTCTGCGACTGCGCTTGTGTTGAACAAGCGCTCTCTCGACGTCGCCATACCCACTAAGACCCGACTCACCCAAAAGACAGCTCCGGAACTGCCTTCCGTATTGATAATTTGTCAGTGTTGTCGCTTGATCCGCTCGTCTCATCTTCTGAGGGAGCTGCGGCCACAGACCTCCCTCGTAGACAAGACGGTTGGTCGCGCAGACTCTCTCCACAACCATCACCACGGGCTCCATGATGGCGCGGCATGCCAGCACGCGTGTTTCGAGATGCGACAACGATGACGTTTTAAATCCGAATGAGTAACCTGGCTAAAGAAGAACTCATCAGATTGGCCGCCCCGACCAACAGCGTAAATCACACGCCTAATGGGCAGCGCGCAGAGGTACCCGAGCCGGCAAGCATATACATGCTCACTCGGTTCTGCGCAGCTCGCGGAAGGTTTGCCGACTTTTAGGGCTGCTGCGAGGCCATGCCAGAACATCTTCGCCCAAAGCTCGAAAGCTCTCTTCTGGCGGGCCATGGTGGTCGAAGCAAGCGCGATAACAGCAACACAAGACAGGACAAGACTAGCGACTCAAGAGTATGCAAGTCTTCCGATCAACAGGCAGCGCCAGTCCGCTTGACATGTGCTCTCGCAAGAGCCGGCTTTGATTCTCTGTCTCTCGCATATGCGGCACAACGCCAACTCTTAGAAGAGTGCTACCGTCAACGGTATATGCTACTCTCTGACGTCTCCGCGGAGTATTGCCACAGAATGCTACCTAAGGTATATGCTATCATCCAAGGATGTCACCCGCGGTATAGTCTACCCTCGGAGAGTGTTGTCAGCGGCATGCGATCCATAGGAACGCCTCGTTGCGGCATCAACTACTCCCCGAGAATGCTACCCTTGGAGATGCCACCTGTGGTATATGCTACCCTCATATAGAGTGTTATTTGCGGCAAGCGATCCATAGGAACGCTTCGTTGCGGCATAAACTACTCCCGAAAATGCTACCTGCGGTATAGATCACCCTCAGAGAGTGTTATCTGCGGCATGCGATCCACAGGAACGCTTCGTTGCGGCATAAACTCCTCCCTGAGAGTGCTACCCGTGGTATAGGCCACCCTTGGAAGATGCTACCTGCATAAGGAGCAGACTGTGGAATATCCGCGGGGCACCGCACATGCAAGAGAAGAAAGAACCACAGCCCATGTTTCAGATCCGGCCGGAAGTGCGATTTGCCCTACAGATGAGACGCGTCGTTAGCACTCGAATCCACTAAATGAAATGAAACTTATCGCTCATGTGAAGTAGAAAAAGAAGGTATTCTAAGAGATAATTTGGTGCGCACTCGTCTTGCTGATCGCTCTTGCTTCCCCGAGTCGACTGACTTCTTCACCAAACGATATCCGCGATCGTTGATGGTATAGACGTCCCTGGAAAACAAGGACGCGTGCAGCAGACGCGCGCTGGGCGGAAGCGTGCGCCTGCGTGTACGCTGTTAGTAGTCGGGGGCTTTGGATCAAACGTATTACAATACTCACTTATTTGCCGTATGTATGGATTGAGAGGAGGCCAGAGCCACCGCCGGATGATCGTGAGATCATCACTTGATAGCTCCGCATACGACGGGGTGGAGCAGCCCGGTCGTAGTATCGGGTATACGCGCGTCCGGGATACCTACCTAAGTTAGCATGCCCAAGCTGCCCCAGCCATAAAGAAAGACTCTGTGAGTCTTCCTTATGGCAGGATCACTTGGGCGGTTAGTAAACAGCAAAGCTGTACACACAACACAACAACAAAACAACGCCGAATCTTGTAAATAAGATCTTTACATTAAATAGCAAATACATCAAAGTTGTGAGTGAGAGACAAGCGCATAAAGCGGATCGGAAAAGAAGAAGAGAAAGAAGAAAAGAGGCGGAAGCGGCGAGCGCGTTAAAAGTGGGCGATTCCAGGGCGGGCGGGCGCGTGTCTGGTGTGTAAGGGTTTCTCGATCAGGTCGAAAGTAAACAGAAGGTAACGCGCCGCCCGTTTCGTGATTTTCATTGTGTAGAGATTTATTCGCTGCTTATTTGCTACCTATTCACGCTTTATTGTCTATTGAGTGGTATCAGGCTGTAGCAGCTAAGCATTCGTTGCCAGACGGACCTCGACTGGCCTCCTAGGATGTACGATAGTCATGAAACCCTGATGAAGCGGTCAGACACAGAGCAATGCCGATTGCCTAATAAGAGTGATAACGTAGTTACATTTCCGCTTTCTATGATATAGAAGCTGAAGGCTTTTGCAAAGGAATATGTAATTTACCTTCCTCTTGGTTGTGGTGACCGTCCCGGACAGTAAGAAAATCAGACCTCGAACAGATCAATAAAGCCAGATCAGGCAATTCCAAATTGATTCTAGACGCGTTCAACTAGGCTCATCCTCGAGTTTTGCTGCGTTTAGTATTCTATTTATGTGCTCTATATACTATTACAACGTCTTTTTGGTTGAATCATTTTTGAGCTTTTGCAGAGATACAAACGACTCTGATGTAGCTGTAACAAATATCAGTGCCTTCATTCATTAGGGTTTATTGACACATCAGCGCTCTTCCTCAATTCGGCTCTCTTTATCGATTTACTTTTCCTTCAGATATCTCAATCCACTCTTCCTTCTACTTCTCTCAATCTCCGATCTGGCCATTAACGACACAATTATGGGGCTTCACTTTGCAAAATTCTATACAAAATCAATACTTTTGATCCTGTCAGCCCTGATCGACGTCGCACTCAGCAACGTCGCGCTGGTATTTCTCAAATGGACCGAAACTCGATGGCCTGCGCAGTCTGATCTTTTGCGAACCGCTGTATCTGCTTCGCTATGGGGATATTTGCTTTACATTGTTCAAGTTCTGTTGATCTCAAATTGAACTACTGAAGAGCTCGACTGACTTTCTCCAGGTCATCAAGAAGGTCAATATCTCATTCAGCGGCGACCTCGTCAGCGCGGAAAGCAGCGCGCTGTTCATATGTACAACTCCTACATTTGTCTTCAGAACCACGATCACTGACTCAGTCTCGCTAGGTAATCACAAATCAACTCTAGACTACATCATCCTCTACGCCCTATCCAGCTACCACGGCGTTCCAGGACGCATGCGTTTTCTCAATTGGCGATCTATGTTCAGTATTCCTTCTTTAGACTGGTTATTTGCTAGTCTATGGGTTTCGCAGAACTGGACTTTGGATTCAGAGGAAGAGAAAGAAGAACTGTTTAGACCACTTGCGAACGGTCTCCACTGTAATTATTTAAACTCGCCTGTCTCAGGTCTGTTGAATGAATCAAGAGGGCTAAATCTGTGGCAGGGACTGCTGTTTTTCCAGAGTCGATTCGATATACTCCCGAGGTTGCGTTTGAGCATAAACGATACTGCGTACTGAATGGCCTACCTGTGTTGCATCACTGTCTCTACCCGCGGTTTGAAGGTGTTTGGAAGAACTAGTTCTTATGAAAGTATTGGGTCTTGATTATGAAGTAGCTGACTTTTACCTTGCAGCCTTTGTGCCTATTCTACAATATCTTATAGAGCAGGAACGAATTGAGTGTGTATACAGCGCGACCTTATTCTACGAAAAGACAGATCAAGATAACGAACCCGTCTCTTCCATCGCCACATCCTCAGCCAGCGCCGTCACCGCCCCCTCCACAACCAGAAGAAATTCTCCAGCAGTGCACCTTCTAGACTCTCCAGGCTCTGAATCCACCAGCAAGATCGACATCGCACCAACCCTCCGCGACGTCCTGCTTGGCAGGACAGACTGCTGGAACTTCCACATGCACATCGAGAAAGTGGCGATCGATCAGATACCGACTGATCCGCACTCGATTGAACGATGGCTCGAACGGCTGTGGGTTAAGAAGGATAGGTTTCTGTCGATCATTGAGCAAAAGGGAATGTCGTATAAGGGACTGGGGTTCGTATATTACCTTGGGGACGAGTGCGTGGTGAACGACTCATCTACACAGATGTCTACACAGATGTGACCTTCACAGTTGCTTAAAGATATTTTTATCCTTGCTTAATGCTGTTCTTATTACGATTTATTCTTATTACGATTTATTAATTTATCCTTCTGGTAGCTGTTAATAGCCTGCGTAGCACTTGAAAGAGAAAATTAAAACTGATATCATACAAAGGGTTGCTTGAGCTTCGCAAGCTCAGATAGACAGAGTGCCCATCTTTGCCGCGATCTCGTCGTCGTTGTCTTCCTCCGCGACCGGCTCGTCCTCTGCAAGCGCATCATCCCGCTCGACAGACTCAGACTTTGCCTCATCCTCCTCGTCAGACTCGTCCTCCTCATCTTCCTCTTCGTCACTGTCCTCCTCCATATCACTCAGATCGTCCAACTCGCCAAACCCACGATCCTCAAACAAATCGTTGATCTTGCCAACTATCGGATGATCCTCGGAAAACTTGTTGCCGTTCAACTCCAACTTCTTGATGTTCTCCAACGTCGTGTGCAGCGCAGATGTGATGAGCTCGACTCCCTCGGCGTCGATCTCGTTATACTGTAATCGCAAAACCTCCAGCTTGGGAAACTTTCCCGCCTCGAGCAACGCTTTGCCGAGAACCACACCTCCTCGAGTCGAAAGCAGACAGTCGCCGATTCCAAGCTCGACCAGTTCCTCTGTCCAGTTGGGGATCACCTTGGCAAGCGCCAAAGCACCCTTGACAGTAAATGTGTTGTCCTGCAAATCCAACCGTTGCAGCTTCTTGCTGTTTGCGAGACCGGTCGTGAGTAGCGTCTCGATACCTTCCTGTCTGATTCCATTCTGGTAAAGTCTGATCTCCTTGATATCCTTGTTAGCGGCAAAGCACGCACTCCACGCCTCCATACTGCCGTTCTCTAATCTGTTTCGTCCGCAAATCACAGTCTCGAGCGCATAAGGGCTCTTCGCCTCCTCTTTCGCCTTTGCAAGATCACGCAGCGCGGTAGCAACCTTGGCACCCGCAATCGGTCCAAATCCGTTGTTGGCCAGAATCAGATCTTTGAGCGGCGTGTGCTTGGATAGAAAGTCCGAGAGCGGATCGACGGCTGACAGACCGAGCGCATTGTCGGAGAGGTTGATCTTTGTCAGGTCCGGGAGCTCCAAGAGGGCAGGAAGCAGATGTTCCAAACATGCCGGAATCTCGTCCTTTAGTCTGCCGGTGAACATATCCGCAAAGTTCACTTCCTGAGATCATATTATATATCAGCACAAACGAATCCAGGGCAAGACACATCAATCGTCACAGTGCGTAAGTATGTACCTTTAGTGTCTTCTTCTCCTTCAGCACCTTAGCCAAGGCCTCCGACGCCTCAACACCAAAGGTATTTCCCGACAAATCAACCACCTCGACGCCATCGACCTTTTCAAGCTCCTCGATATAGGGCGCGATATCCGCCGCCGTATCCAGCTTCAGGGATTTGTCTTTCAGAGAGAACGTCTTCTCAGCCATTCTGATTTCGTCGGTTTGAGTGGCTGTATGTTAAGAATGTATTAATGAGCGAGCTGATGCAGTTATCAGGCCCAGTCTTGAGTATGAACGAGCGCTGGTCGAGGTTTGCAGAGAAGAAAAGATTCACGCAGGAAATCAAAGAAGCAGAAGAACGCGTTTTGCCGGTAAACACTTTCGTACCCTCGGACCCATAATAGTATGTACAAACGCCTCAAATGCTTACTTTCTCCGGTAGATCCCGAGGAAGGTTCTTAAAGGAATCGCAATCAGTCAGGTCAATTAGATCAGTTTTCATTTCAACCAGGACCCTTATTGCTTTGCGAGCAGTTAGAAAGATCTTTGAAATACGTGAATAAATACACAAAACAAAGGATAACAATGTCTCTTGAGAACACGACTCTGGCTACCTCGAAGGTCGAGGACAAGCGTATGTAACCTGCTCTCTGTGTAGCATGATCTTCTGCTGACGTTCTTCTCGTTATTGTAGCCATTTCTGAGGTCAAAGCTGGTACGAATATCTTCTAATCACTCTGTGTTTGATCAAGTACTAACGAATATCTCATCACAGAGCGCCCGAAGCCGTGCTGCGTCTGTCTCGATCAGAAGCAAGCTCGGGATGAGTGCATGCTCGTCAGCGAAGACGGTCGCAAGCAGTGCGCTGATCTGATTCAGGAGTACAAAAACTGCATGAAGGGATACGGATTCAATGTCTAGATCGTGAATCAGTGGTGGTTCTTACTTGTTTTGTTGGCTCTCCTCTCTGCAGATGCATTTTGTATATTATGGCGTATCGGTGTCGGCGTACCGATCAATAGATTGTACATATAAACATGACTACTATATCTCAAGCTCTACCTCGACATGCAGTATTCCCCGAAAGAGTCCATCATACCCAGCTATTGGGTGTTGCCTTTGTACAGCTGACTAGTCATCCTCATCTTCCTTGAACTTCTATCATTTCGTAATGCAAGCTTTGTACAGTTTGTAATTATTCCAGACCGCAAACAGAAAGAAGCAGCCGAAGCATAATGTGACGTTCGCGACCACCCATATATCAGGGTATTGTGCCGGTGGTGGGACAGTTAGCTCGAGTATCAGTAGAGCGGCTACCGCAAGATATGACGACTTCGCAAAAGGTTAGCACCACGTTGACAGAACTTAGCTGTACATATGTAGAGACTCACAATCACGACAAGCTGTCCTAGAAAGTATTTCGGGGCTTTGGAAAATGACTTCATTAGCCAGTTCCATAGGAAAAAGATGGTGAAGAACTGCATGACCAAGCCATCTCTTCTTATCAACGGGAAAAGACTGCACGCGGTTCAGTTAATATCTTCCCTATAAAGCATGTATGCACAAAAAACCCTCACCTGAACATGGCAATATTATTGATCCAGTAAATGCAACTCTGGACATTCAAATCCGTCTCGCCCACCAACAACAAAGTAGTTGGCATGAGAGGCAGCAGAACACTCTTTTCGTGCACCTGGAACGAGAAGAGGAAAAATCCCCACGCTGAAGCAGAGACTCCCCAGATGAGTGCCTTTTTTCGCGGATGGAGAAGGATTAAGGTAAAGGCCGGGAGAACCGATATCAGTGTCATAACCAAACTGCGAGATGTCAGATAGAATGTAATTAGTTGGGGACGAGAGTGATTTGCGTACCTTAACCTCTGAAGAGTTTCCGACGGAAGAAGCGTTTTCAGCTTCACAAATGTATTAACAGCACACCAAAAGTTGGCAACCTTGTCTTCCCAGAGTCCTCGCGCAAAAGGGAAAACGCGGATGACAACCTGTAGAGACTGCGTGAAAACATCTCTAATAGCAAATCCTTTGCTGAAAGATATAGGCGCCAAAATTGCCGCGAATGAAATCAAAACAGATACGGCTAGCGAGCAAAATCGCGGAATATTGATACGCGGAAAGATGCATATTCCTAGCAAGTAAGCAAATACTGGGAGAGCGTAGTAAAGCGCCATTTGCTTGAAAGCCAATGCCAAAACAAAAAATATAGAGCCAATGACAAGCTTGTCTTTTAGAATATTGGTAAAGCCCAGCAGAGCTAGGCCAAGCATGACCGAATTGTACTGGAAATGTCCGTGATCGATCAGTATCAACGAAGGCTGCAGTAGGATTGCGGCCGTGGATATACTGTGATGAAAAGGAGACAGTTTGGCGCTCTTCATCTTCCAGCGGATAAACATCGATACTGCGGGTATATATACCGCAAGATCACTGACGACGACAGTCATCCGCATATACGAAATCAGGTTCGGGTCTTCACAGCCTCTCGAGGTATCCAGATCAAACCAGGAGGAGTTTACCTTGGATCCACTAAACGATCTTTTTAGCCAAAGACTCTAATAGTAAAATAAACTCCAGTAAAGATACTTACATCCAGCCAAGGATCCACGAGTGATATGCGGTCACAGGTGGATAGTCTAACCCCCAATATTGAAGATCATACCAGTACCATTCCCTCACAGGTAAATGATATGTGATCTCCATCCAATGTCGCTGGGCTTCAAAATCACCATACATTGGAGGAGTCCCCTTGCCTAAAAGAGTAAAATGTTAGCAACAAACCTCCGAACTGGGCAAACGTTCTTGCAAGCGAGTAGAACAACGACGCACCCGAATAAGGACCCAAGCCAACCCCGAGACGGTAAAGGAGCGAGATCATGATTATGACCTGCCTAGCAACCCATTGGGTACGTGCGGCCTTAAATGTAATCAGAAAGACATTCAGCGGTGAATTGTCCGAGTCCTCGTTGACTTCTGAAGTATTGACAGCATCTTTCTTTGCGGGTTGTGGAGCAGACACATCTGATCTCTTGTCGTCCGTCGCTTTTACCGCGGGAATTTTCGCACTTGCCGCAGATTTTGACTCTGTCATATTGTTGTTCCTCTCTTATTCGACTGCTCAAAGGAATACCAGCTGATTGGCCGACCTGGAGCAATTCATTCCAGCAAAGTGAGTGAGTATTCGGTCCTTGTACTTTGGGCGCGGGAACAACAAATTACTGAACGTGCGGCTCGTCGACGGTCGCTCTTCCACTTCCTGTCTTCTTCCCAGCGGACTACCACTTCTTTCTGTATTCTCTATTGATCTGGCGTGCTCTTTGGTGCTGGGTGGTTTGATGTCGGAAGATTGCTGATTATCTCTTATATCGAGAAAGGAAATTTGCAGACCGAATAATCAGGCAGACTCTATCAGTGGCAGCGCTCGCATCGCGGCTCCAGAACCAACCAACAACAATGTCGCCAATAAATCGCAAGCGGAAGGTATTATTGGAGAACGGTTCTTCTCCGTCGATGGCGGATTCGGTTTCCAGAATAGCTGGCCAGAAGGATTTTAACAGGACTGAGAACCTTGTCATGAGATCGAAGACTGTTTCGACCGCCACCAATCTGCTCAGAACACCACTGAAGAAGCCAAAGAAAGAGATTCAGGGTCCAGAGGCTACTGATCTGTATGCATTATATTTTACTATTTTGTCGATACTATCTACTACTGTTACTGATACTCCTTTACTTAGGTTTGTGAACGAAAAGGTAGAGAAATTGCATCGGTATAATATGTTTATAAGATGTCATGTCTGTCAGCGACACAATCCTTCTTTATTGTCTATGGAGAATTGCGAATGCGAAGTATGCCATGGCGCGACATGTTTAGTATGTATGCGTCAGTGCGAAATCTGCCGGTCATTATGCTGCAGTACTTGCAGTCATGAAGCGTACGTATTTCTTTTCAGGTTTCAGATCTACACAGGTCCACATTCGTACTTACACGATCGAATATACAGATATCCTGACGACGCGGTGTATTGTGAGACATGTTATACAAACAAGTGAGAGCTCTGGGTTGTTCTTATTGTGATTTATATTTCCATTGTACATATTTGCAGTTTGGAAGATGACTGAGATCATCTACCGCATTGTGCTGCTCGCATTCATCCGCATCTCGCGAGCAGGCTGGCGTTCTTTTTTCATTTCTGGAGTCTTATTTATGATTTTTGTTGCTATTTATCCGATAATTTCCGAAAGTACGGATGCTATTTCATGGGAATAAAGTACTATTTAACACCGTAAATTACTACTAGTTCTGGTGGCGCTTTAGACTTACCTTGCCCATGCCGCGCCAACAGAAAAGAACCTCTAAACAACAAGAATTAAAAATACCAATAATACTGAATACATATTCGACAATTGCTGGCAACAGAGCTGAAATCACATGCAAAATAGGCGAGAGATCGTCGGCCGGCCGAGTGCGGTCACTGCTTTGGTGAAGTAGCAAACTTAACTTTGTCTGCTGTCCACTCTGCCCGCCAACTGCTTTTATATCGTCTCCGCTCCTCGTGCCAATTCTTAGACTCAGCCTGGTCTGCTTCTAATACATTCAATAGAACAATAGACACGATAGAGTGCTGTTGATGATTCACTCCCTGCGGTCATTCATCAGGACAAAGCAGTGCTACTATCTGGCTACTACAGCAACAGTTGCATCATCATTTCTCTTATACAACTCGGCTGCACCTGCTTTTGGATCCAAATTCAGCTTTTCTCGATATTCTTCTTACAGCACATCTACTCACGGTTCTTCAATTGTCCCCGACATGCTCACGAACCAACTCCCATTCGGCGGATCGTCCGGAAGTGGCTCGTCACCACCCTTCACCGTCCTCGCGTCAGCGCTGGAGAAGCCCGAGCTCGACAATCGCAAATACAAAGTGATCAAGCTATCTAACGAGCTCGAGGCACTGCTGATCCAAGACCCCGAGACCGACAAGGCTTCAGCTGCTCTCGATGTCAAAGTCGGCAGCTTCTCTGATCCTGCTGACCTCCAAGGACTGGCTCACTTTTGCGAGCATCTGCTCTTCATGGGTAACGAGAAGTACCCGAAGGAGAACGAATACAGCGAGTACCTGTCCTCTCATTCCGGCCACTCGAACGCATACACCGACACTTGCGATACGAACTACTACTTTGAAGTCGGCCATGAGCACTTGGAAGGTGCTCTTGATCGGTTTGCCCAGTTCTTCATCGCGCCTTTGTTTTTGGCTGACTGCAAGGACCGTGAGATCCGCGCTGTCGACTCGGGTCAGTATTCTCTTCTCAGAAATTGCCAACTATGCTCGTACTAACTAAACCTACAGAGAACAAAAAGAATCTCCAGTCTGATATGTGGCGTCTGCATCAACTAGACAAAGCTCTTGCCAATCCCGACCATCCGTTCTCGAACTTCAGCACCGGAAACCTCGACACTCTAGAGGTCTGGCCGACCGCAAAGGGAATAGATGTCCGAGATGAGTTACTCAAGTTCCATGCAAAGTATTACTCGGCAAATGTGATGAAGTTGGTAGTCCTGGGTCGGGAACCGCTGGACGTTCTCGAGCAGTGGACGATTGAAAAGTTTTCTCCAGTCAAGAACAACAATTCTTCGTATCCCAAGTTTCCCGGCCAAGCGTTTACGGAGAATGAGATGCAAAAAGCCATTTTTGCAAAGCCAGTTATGGATGATCGTTCTATGGAGCTGACGTTCTTGTTCCCGGACCAGCGTCCTTTCTACAAGAGCCATCCCGCGCAGTACTTTTCTCATCTCATCGGACATGAAGGTCAGGGATCTATTCTTCACTACTTGAAGAAGAAATCCTGGGCGAATTCACTTTCTGCCGGGTCATACCATATCTGTGATGGATCCGAGGTATTTTCTATCTCGGTCGACATGACAAAGGAAGGCCTGAAGGAGTATGAATCGATTATTGTTGCCATTTTTCAGTATTTGAAATTGCTGCGATCTACTCCTCCTCAGGAATGGATTTACGAAGAGTTGCGTGATGTCGCTGCCTCTAATTTCAGATTCAGACAAAAGGCATCTGCATCGACTACGACCTCCAGACTTGCGGCAGTCATGCAGCGACCTCTTCCTAGAGAATGGTTGATGAGCGGACCGGCTCTGTATAGAGAGTTCGACGCTGATCAGATTGCGAAGTCTGTCGAATACTTCACTCCTGATGCCTTCCGATTTGTGCTTACGAGCCAAGAGTTTCCCGGCGACTGGGACCAGAAGGAGAAATGGTACGGAACTGAGTATAAGGTGGAACCGCTCAGCTCTGAGTTGTTGAACAAGATTAAAAACGCACCAGAGTCACCGGAGCTTCATCTCCCGGGAAAGAACGAGTTCATTGCGACCGACTTTTCGGTTGACAAAAAGGAGATTGAGAAGCCTGCTAAGAATCCTGTGTTGCTCCGCGATGGAAAGGATTTGAAGCTGTGGTACAAGAAAGATGATTCGTTCTGGGTTCCGAAAGCGAACGTGTACATCAGCCTTAGAAAGTAAGTTACTGTCTTTTATTTACGTTACATGCGTCGAAATACTAACTTGCGTTAGCCCAATCACTTGCGCGACTCCTGCCAATCTAGTCAAGGGTAGACTCTTTATGGAGTTGGTAAGCGACTCTTTGAATGCATATGCGTATGACGCTGCTATCGCGGGACTCAGCTACAGCGTCGAATTGGCTTGGGATGGCATATCGATCTCTGCCCAGGGATTCAACCACAAGCTTCCGATTCTGCTTGAGAAAGTGATTGAGGAACTGAAAGATTTCAAAGTCGATCCTGAGCGGTTCAAAGTGTTTAGAGAACAACTCCAACAAGAGTACAAAAACACAATGCTCCAGACGCCGTACCAGCAGATTGGATTCTACACTTCCTACCTTTTTTCGCAGACTGCGTTTTTGACGGAAGAGAAGCTCGCTGAGCTGGAGTCTGTTACTGCAGAGGACGTGCAGGTTTTTATTCCTCAGGTCTTGCGGCAGTTTAACGCAGAGATTCTTGTCCATGGAAATATTCAGAAAGAGGTATTGAGTCTAATTTTTTCTCTTGAGGGAAATATTTATTGACGTGAACGTTGTAGGATGCGCTCAATATCGCGAAGCTTGTTGACGAGACGTTGACGCACAACCCTCTTCCTATTTCTCTGGATATCCGACAGCGCTCGCTTGTTCTTCCCAAAGGTGAGACAGACTGCTAGAGTTATACTGTATCAGTACTGACAAAGATATAGGATCGAAATTTGCGTATAAGCGTCCATTGGCGGATGACAAAAACATCAACTCGTGCATTGAATACTTCTGCCAAGTATGCCCACTGAAAGAGCGCCGAATCCGCACGACGCTGAGTGTGCTCGCGCAAATCATAAACGAGCCGGCGTTTAACCAGCTCCGAACTAAGGAGCAGCTCGGGTACGTTGTCTTTTCTGGAATCCGGCTCACCAAGACGCTTGCCGGTTTGCGGGTTTTGATTCAATCGGAAAAGTCTACGGAGTACTTGGAGAGCCGGATCGATGCTTTCTTCGATAAGGTGGGCGATATACTTAAGCAGATGCCTGCGGACGAGTATGAGAAGCAGGTGAAGAGTATCATCGCGAAGCGGAAGGAGAAGTTCAAGAACTTGAATGAGGAGAGCAATCATTACTGGAACCATATCTCGAGCGGATACTATGACTTTTTCAGAGGTGAGTTATTATTAGATTATGGTATGCTGGATGGAGACTAATCAGATTTTTATAGATGACATTGATATCGAGCTTCTTGGCGAGATCAAGAAAGAAGAGGTCATTGACTTGTTCTACAAGTACGTGCACAAATCATCCAAAGAACGCGCGGCAGCCATCGTTCAGCTTCAATCAGTCTGCGTGCCGCCGGTAGCCGATCTGTCTACCCTCTTGAAATCCAAGGTGACGGACATGTGGAGCAAGTTTGAGCTTCCTGCGGACAAAACGCTCTCTGAGAAGGTAATCGAGCAGGCTGCTAGCGACGCGGATCCGGTTTCGGCACTCAAGGCCTCGTTTGAGAAACTGGGTTTGCTCGACGCCTGGACGAAGAATGGGATCGAGGAACAGATTACGGAGCAGATTAGACTATCTGCGCCTATGACTGCGGACGAGGATGAGAAGGTTATTACTGATGTCTCTTTGTTCAGGTCTCAGCTTGAAGTCTCGCCCGCGTCTGCGCCTGTGAATGATCTTTCGATGTTTAAAGAGCCGAGTGCTAAACTGTGAGAGACTAGTGGGGGTTTTAGGGCGGCGTGTAAGCTTAAGTCACTACTCTGAATGGATGAATAAACTCTTTTGAATTGGTTGATAAATATGTGTATGAGAAAAGATACCCAATAACTTGCGCCCTGAAAGAAATAATTACATGCCGCCGTACGTCTCCTCTATATCACTTCCTCTTTGACTCCACCTCGATTTAGGAATAGTGCTCCGCTTAATGGTGATGCTTCATCTGGTATCGAAGGCCGCCTAGAGATGAATTAGACAGGTGTGTGGGATTGACGGTAGATAAGAAGAGAAACGACTTACAGTACGTGCATGTGTTGGGGCCGTCCTGATCCAGATTAATGAAAACTTTCTGTAAGAGCGGATAGGTGGTTAGTTGAATGAAGTCATATTGTTGACGCACTATCGAAACAATGAGAATCTTACGGGATGACCCTGAACTCCGCGTCCTATTCAGAACTGAATTAGTAAAGTGCTTTGAAATAAAGAGTTGGATAGAAGGATATGAAGTGCATACCACCGTCGCAGACTGCGATGTTCTCCTCAATGAATCGGACCGGCTCCTGTGCAATTAAGTCGATAGCAGCATATGGTTGAGGCTAAACCCTTAAGTCAACAATCAATCCAGAAACCACTCCAAGCACTAACACAAGCAAAAACACACCTGAGTAGCGAGGTTATGCTGAGCAAATCGGGGACCCTGCATGGCTTCTGACCGGGGTCTCTGGCTGGGCGCCCAGGTCTCTTTGCGGTTAGGAGCCTGCATGGACAGGATCTTCTCGTCTTCGGTCAGAGCAGCATCCTCAGGAGTCGATACGGCGACCTTGGAGGCAGCGCGACGCTGGGATAGAAGAGCGATGCGAGAAGCAACTGGTCTGGCGGCGGCGGATGGTAGTCTGAGCATGATTCGGAACTGAAGAGGTGTGAGTATTTGGTGAATTGCGAATAGTATATACTCTGCTAACGTACTATTAACTAGTTAAAACTGCAGATGGTCTTTTCTTCTTAATCTGCCTCTTCTCTTCCAATATCAAAGAAGCTGCTAATCGTCGAGGAGCAGATTGAAGCCGGTCCTCGAATTGAAGATGAATAAGGTTTCGAGAAGCCCAAAGGATTAGCCGCGAGCTGATTGGGCGCAGAGCGTTGACCCGGCAACCGCGTTTAAGGTTCGGACTCGCCAAAATCAAAACAAACCCGCGCCGCAGCGGGCGATGAGCATCCCATCTTGTTGTTGCTCTCCAATCTTTGTTAGATCAGCAGAGAACTACTACTACTTCAACCATGCCGAGAACATCACGCAGAGCTCAGGCTGAGGCTATGGAGCTATCGCCGCTCAAGCAGCGGGATGCGAATGTCGCGACTCAGTCTGCGATCGACCCCGAGTTTGCCAACTACGCAAACACAATCGCCCATATCTTCCAGGACGTGCAAAAGTCGACCACGTCGCATAAGAAGCACGGGATCAGGTTGTGGAGCATACACAAGCAGGCGTACGAGAAGGACATGAAGACGAGCTTCGATAAGAAGTTTTGTGCTATGCTCAACCAGATCTTGCCGGTGAAGAAGAGCGAGCCTGCTGGCGAGAAGGTGGCCAAGTTTGTCACGCATTATGTGGAATACATTGCGACGCAGGGTGCGTAGTTACTCTTTTTTTATAAATGCGACTTGGTGTCTGTACTAACTGACTGTGATTAGGAGCGCCAAAGGCACAGGATAACGAGGACGTCGATATGGACATCGACATGGACATCGACGAGGAGGACGAGAGCTCAGAGCATTTCATGGCTCACTCCTTCATTGAAATGCTTTTTGCTCATCTACTCCAAGGTGTGGATGCAAAGAACAAAGCAGTACGCTTCCGCGTCTGCCAACTACTGGCTTCGATTGTCGTTCACCTCGGTGAAATCGACGATGATCTATTCCAAGAATTGCGGGCTGCTTTCGTCAGACGTATTCACGACAAAGAGAGCACAATCAGATTACAAGCTGTGCTTGGTCTTGCTAGACTACAAGGAACAGACGATGAAGATGAGCCGGAGCCCATCACTGAGCTCTTGTTGAATGCCCTGCAAAATGATTCCAAAGCGTAATATACCTTTTGTTTTGATTTTATTATTCATTTCTCCGCGGCTAACATTTTGACTTAGTGACATCCGCCGAGCTGCACTACTCAACATTGAAAAGAACAACGTCACCATTCCATACTCTCTCGAGCGCGCTCGCGATATGGACGCGGCTACCCGAAGAAGTGTATACACTCGCATTTTGCCCGAGATTGGAGACTTTCGTCTTCTCAGTATCGGAATGCGAGAGAAGATTCTGTCGTGGGGATTAAATGATCGTGATGCGAGCGTTAAGAATGCGTCTGTTAGAGTGTTTGCTCACGGATGGCTTGAAAACACGGGTAATGACGTTCTTGAGCTGTTGGAGAGACTCGATGTTTTGAATAGCAGTGTTGCAGAGGATGCTATGAAGGCCCTATTCTCTCAGCGGAAGGATGTTGTCAACAGTTTGGAGTTCCCGCCAATGCTATGGGAGAATCTTACGGCCGAGACTGTGTTTTTAGCTAGGACGTTTGCGGCTTACTGTCGGGAAGAAAAACTTGATGATCTTTTCGAAGAGAGAATGCCAGAAGTCACCAAACTTGGTTTTTATCTGCAGGCTTACAGCAAATTTCTGGATAGAGAGGAAAGCGAGGAAGAAAGCTCAGTCGAGGAAGATTTCACTTTGGAGCAGTTACTAGCGATTGCGTCTCTTATGGACTTTTCTGACGAGATTGGACGACGAAAGGTTTTTGATGTCATTCGGATGCTGCTTGCAAAGGAGAAGCTTTCTGACTCTGCGACCGAGTTGAGTGTGGTTGTGCTGAGAAAGGTGTCTTTGACTGAGCGAGAGTTTTGCGAAGTTATCGGGGAGATAATTTCGGATGTGCATGACTCTGTTGCAGATGATGAATTTGATGATTCGTTCCACTCGGCTTTGTCGGATGTTGAGAGCGTGACTGGAAGCAGCCGGAGGTCGAGCAAGACGCGCAGCAGCATTGCATCGAATGGCTCTGATGCGAAAGATAAAGCGATTCATGAACTCATGATCAATATGAAGTGTCTCAAGCTTGCGCAGTGTATGCTCGAAAATGTCGGCTGCCGGCTGAAGAGTAACATGGCACTGACGAGCTTACTGGACCAGTTGATTGTTCCGGCAGTTCGCAGCCACGAAGCGCCTATTCGAGAAAGAGGTCTTCACTGTCTCGGACTGTGCTGCCTACTTGACAAGGATCTCTCGCTAGAGAACACTGTTTTGTTTATGCACTGTTTTAACAAGGGACACGAGGCATTGCAGGTTGAAGCGATTCACATTATCTGCGACATTTTGGTGTCCCATGGTGGCTCGATCTTGAGTGTCAACAGTGGCATTGATACCGAGATGATTGTGAAGATGCACACCAGAGCGCTTGATTTGGGCACAGCGGGCGATGTGCAGGTAGCGGCTGTGCAGTCTCTTAGCAAGTTGCTGTTAGCAGGGATCTTGACTGACCCGGAGGGCATGCTTTTGGAGAGACTGACGACTCTATATGATGATGAGGGCACGATGGGAAATTCTTCACTGAGACAGACTCTTAGCTACTGTCTCCCGGTCTTGAATGAGCACATGAATGAGATCAAGGCAGCGGAGGAGAAGGAAGCAGCGGAGGAGACGGCGAAGGAGGAAGATGACGTGGAAGTCAGCGTGCAGGTCGAGAAGGAGGATGCGTTGGATAGCGACGAAGGTGAAGAGGTGGATATGAGTAGAGCGGAGTCGGTGATGAGTGTGCTTACTGAGGTTTAGGATGTGTGACGTTGTAATCTAGTATGATACCATTGTTTACCAGTAGATCTTCTCTTTCTTCCTCTCCTTCTCTCCTTCTCTCCTTCTCTTCTCTTTACTACTTCCTACTGCTCTCGAGTCAAGTCATCGAGCATCCGTGGCTGGTGCGATGAGAGCCAGCCGCAGACGGCGGTGCATCTGTGGCGCAGTCTGTTGACCAATTTAACTTAATTTCCGCCGCGTACGTCGCTCGCCGTCGCTGCCTCTGAAATCGCAACCGCCGCTGCCTTCTTCCTCTCCTCCTCCGCCTCCACCCGCTCCCCGTCTCATGAACGTCCCTAAGCGCTACCGCTCCCTGCGCAGGACGAAGCCCGACGCTTCTGCCGCCGCGGGTCCTCCGCGGCCGTCGGTGCCGGCAGTGCCAACCCTGCCCGCGATCAAGAGCGGCGGTCTACTCGCAAGCGGCTCTACCGCGACCGGCAACCATCAACAAACCAGATCCGCCGGCCCTGAGCTCTCGACTCCCGCCCACTCGCGCTCGACGGGTCCACAGCTCACCGTCACCATCGAGATCTTCGACGCAGATCACCCGATATCGCTCGCGTGTGCCCCGACAACCACCGCGACCGCGTTGATCGGGCTCGCGGTCTCTGCCGCCCAGCGCCAGCGCGGCATGCGTATCAGCCAGCCCGTGTCCGCCCTGCGTATCCACGAACTCTGTCAGAACCACGACATATCTCGCGACTTATTCGGCTGCGAGCTCATCGACTCCGTCATCAAGGACTGGGACCCAAAGAAAGTCAACAGTCTGCGCTTGGTGCCTGCCATCTCGTCGTCGACCCAAAACGACTCTAGATTCTCAGAGTTTGTCCCGCCGGTATCCGGCTGGATCCGTGTAAAGCTGAAACCATCCAAGTGGTCCAAACGCTGGGCGTTTGTCGAAGACTCGTTTATTTACATCTCCAAGAAGCCAAGCTCAAAACCAAAGGACAAAGTCCTGCTCTGCAATCTGTCTTATGTCAATTTCTACACCCTCGCGCCTTATCACCTCGCGCAAATAGGATCACCATCTCAGTTCTGTTTTGCGCTAAAGTCTACCAAGAAGCATGCCATGTTTGAGAACCAGCATGCGTTTCTCCACTTTGTTGCCTGCAACGACCGTCCGAATATAGAAATGTGGCAGCGATCTATCCAGTCTGCGCGGTTCCTCGAAGTTAGCAAAGAGTCACAAGAGCGGCTCGAGATCTTTTCGCAAACACAGACAGCGAACTCCCGGGCTGGCCCGTCGAATGGCCCGCTTATCTCTCACGAGGATCTCAAGATGAAACCCGCAGAGCATACAGCGGTGCAAGTTCCACCACCTCTTCTCGCAATCGAACAGGTAAGCAGCATCACATCTCCTCACTTTCTCCTCGACCATGCTAACAATGATTCAGTCATCCGTGAACCTGAGCAATCCAGTCAAACGTCACAAGAGTACATTACAGAGCTCAAGAACCGTGAAATTAAAGGACGTGCCAGTTGTATATCAGCCAAAGCCCGACGTGGCAGTCACGAAGGACTCACTACTCGATAAACTCATGCACGGCGAGAACCTCGCAAGCACCTCAAACATACCCAACCCCGAAGATTCCGTCAAACGCACGTCGTACGACGAACCCGGCTCTCGCTATCTTGATCGTCCGTCAGGTCACAACGTCCGAAGAACAGGCTCGACGAGAAGAGATGCAGGCTACAGTGCTCCCGACTCCTACAGCAGAGGCTCATCAGACTTTGACCGAGCGCGAATTAACGAAGCTAGCGCGCGAAGCACGAATCATTATTCCGACTCCCACGAGATCGTCGACCCGACACCGCAACACGCGACACGCTTATCAGCCGAAATCCATTCATCGAAGAAGATTGAGGACGACGAAGACGAGAATGTGCCTTTATACAAGAAGCTCCAGCAGTTGGATTTGAACGTTGGATCCAAGAATCCATTCTTAGATCCGGATCTTCTCGCTCTTCCCGGCGCGAGAAGCTCAGAACCTGCCGAGACAATCACAAATCCAGAGCCGGTGCGTACCACACCCACGCCTCAGCTCTTCTTACCGACCGAGAACCTGTTTGATTCTCCCACGCAACCTGTCCATCAAAGCCAAATAGAAGCTCAGACAACGAGCTGGAACATGCCTTTGGCTCCTCAACCGATCTCTCCTGTCTTTCAGCCCCAGCATGAAGCAAGTTATTTTCCGCAGCAGCAACAGCAAGACGATATATTTGGCTTGTCTGCCCATGGAAATCCTGCTGTACCGTACTCTGCCCAAGGGTCCACCATGTTTGAGAATGGCGATCACGTCTACAGAAGATCCGAAGAGGACCAGGGTGTCACACGAACCGCATCGCGGTACCGTCACCAAAGCAACAGTATCCGCCACCCTCAATCCCATGTTCTGCAGCAACAACAACAACAACAGGCACAACAGGCACAGCAGCCGCAGTATTACCACCCCCAAGAGACGCATTACCAGCAAGCAAGTGTGCCTCAGAATACCTTTTATCAGCCTCATGCATACTACCCCGACAAACATCCCAGTTCTCCAACGCATATCTACCGTGCGCCCCAAGAGCCTGACGGACTTTTCGATCATCCCATGACATCATCGTCATCGCCCCGCGGCATCGGTCGCTCGCAATCCACCCGCGCTGGATCCTCTACGACCGCAGCAGCAGCAGCAGCGGCAGTGCGTGCACGTGCAGAATTCGCTGCTACGAACGATACTTCAGGTATGCGCCGGTCGATGACCACGACGCGGAGGAAAGTGCCTCCGCCGGCTATGCAGAAACCGTTGATTACTGTCAGGTCTGAGGCTGAGGTTGCTGTCGGACGACCGATGTTTAACCAGGGAAGTTTGCTGGATAGAATGAATAGATGATTAGTGCTAGTGAAGGATGAACAAGTTTAGTTGCGAGGTTGCTGTAAGACTAGATGTTGATATTGCTATGAGGTACGATGAATGTACTATTAGACCTTTGTATTTACAATACATTTCTCCTATAGAATATAATTATTACGACCAAGTTTCTTAAATATAGATGAAAAAGGCAAAGCATTATCAGTTAGCTATATATAATACACACACACCACAAAACAATCTTTTTTCTGTTCATAGAGTCCCAAGCCAACTTAACTAACGAACCTTTCGAAATAACCAAAAAAAAGTACATATAATGCCAATCAAACGCAAGGTAAAAACAAAATACGGGGGGCAATACAATAAAAATCAGATAGGTTCACCGAAATTTTTTCCAACTCGCCAGGCACTTTCCCAGACCTCATCATCGCCCTCATGAAATGTACAAGAATCGAATCTCGCTCGTTTCTTTCTTCATTTTTTTTTGCTCTTGTTTTGTTTGTCGAGGGCACATACGACGTAATGAGATCCGAGGCGCGATGCAAAAAAATAAACAACATAAAAGAGAAAAAAAAACCCCACGCTATAATATAACAAAAACTAGTAAGGAAATAGTAAAAAAAGATCCAGCATTTTTTCCAAAGTGAAAACACATACACACACACCCGAGGTCCATCCCATTTTTTGAAAATATATATAAATATCAAAGAGAGGTTTGTGCTTTTATAGCACGCACCGGCACTCCAGCAGAGTATTAATGACCGAGCTTTTTCTTTTAACTGAACTCCTTGACAGCAAAAATAAAAGCAGAAAAAAGACGTAAAAAAGTTAAACACCAGCGTATTAATGTTCGGGATATGTCTCGCGATCTCGATTCATGTTTCGTCATGTTTCGATTCAGCTCATCATGGCGCCGTTGATCGCAGACGGATCGACCATACTTATTCCTCCATTCATAAGCGTGGGATCGGCAACGACAGCAGCTCCGGCACGCGAGGCTCCGCATCGTAGACATGAGACATTCTTTGCAAAGTTATGGTATCCGCAGCCTTCGGTGCCGCACTTCCAATCGCCAGCACGGAAGGGCACCATACCGAACGAGCCGTTGCCGTTTCCACCATTTCCACCACCGCCGCCTCCACCACCGCGACCACCTTGCCAGCCCATGCCAGGCATACCGTTGCCGCCACCGCCGTTGGCAGGAGGCATCATCATAGGAGTCTGGTAGTTGTTGTACATGTTGTACATGGGATCTTGAGCTGGCGTGGTGGAAGAAGCGGGGAACGAGCAGCGGAAGCATGCGGTTCTTCGCTGGAAGTTGGAGAAGCCGCAAGACGGGCACGTCCAATCACCAGGTCTCGGGCGATTTTTACTCGGCTGGAGAGGATAGTTAGCACAAAACAATCAAAAGCAGTAAGCAATATCCTGGGTACATACGGGAAATGGAGTGAGGATCTCCTGCGCGCGATCCAAGACGCGGCTGCTGGAAGGCGAGACCTCGATCGCCTTTTCGTTCAAAGCGCGACCGTTCATAGCCAAGCTTTCGGCCGCTTCTTCATGGGAAGAGAAGACAGCAAAGCCGGTGCCGGTGGGTTTATGCTGATCGGGCGTCCGCAAGGTCCAGAAGGCGATCGGACGTCCACCGTACTGCGTGAACCAGCTTTCGAGTTCACTCTGGGTGGTGTCGTGGGGAAGGTTGGAGAGGTGGAGAACCTTTGATCGCTCAGCGAGGAAAGCACGGACATCCGCGCGAGCATCGAGGGGCTTGACGAGGACATCAGGGTGCTGCTCGGGAGGTTGAGACTTCTTGATGAGGCCCTGGAGAACGCGCGCAAGGGTAATAGCTTCCTCCATCGCTCTGCGAGGAGAAGCAGGCGCAAGAGCCTGGAGATGGAAGGGCAGGTTGTGTTTTATAGGGGCCGAGCTCTGCACGGATTCGACCTCGAGGGCCGCGCAGATGTTTGAGAGCGAGGAAGCAGAAAAGGGGAGAGACTCGGGGTGGTGCGCCTGCCAGCGGGTATACTCTGTGCGGAGATCGAAGCATCGCGAGTGCTGGAGGTATGCGGGGAGAATGACAGCCTTGTCGCGAGCCTCTCTCGGGAGCTGGACGCGAAGGTCCCATGCGTTGAGGGTAACAAAGGTGAACTCGATGCCTTTTGAGATCAAAAACTCCTGCGCAAAACTGTCGAATCTGTTGATTGCGTCCCGGAACGTGCCCGCGTTTCGGACGTGTTCCCAGGTAAGCGTGGTCAAGCTCGCTAGAGAGGATGGCTGGTTAGAGAGGAGAAAACTGCTGCGACTGCCACGTATATACGTACTGCACAATGCTGTTATAGGCGTGTTGATGGGACGGACGAGCACACTATCGCGGTGCATCTAGAGAACGAGGATGTGAGTAATTCCACCAAACAGGATCATGACAGCAATAGAAAAAGCATTTGATACCTCCTCGAGTGTCTTTGCGTTGAGAAGAATCCAGGCAATCTCGATGACCTCGGCCGAGTCCTTGGTAACGTAGACGCCGTGCTCATCGCAGGTCGTGGCGACGTGAATAACAACATACGCGTCGGTCATTGCTATTCAGTAGGATTATATCTGCACAAAGGACAGAGCAGAGAAGGAAAGAGGAGGAAGAAGCGGAGGATGGGTAAAAAGCCTTGTTTGTCTGTGAGGAAGCTCAAATTTGACGAACTTCTGGCGGCAATTTTTTTTTTTTTTTTTTTTTTTTTCGCTGCAATCAAAATAAACTTTAAGAGCGAACTCTAAGTTTTGTTTTTGTTTGGCGACGCGCCCGGCAGCCAGCAAACAGGTTACCCGGCTCTGATGCGGCTCACATTTACCCGCCCTTTGTGCTGCGCCTCCACCGCCCTCCTGCACGCGCCACATGCGGCTGGCGGCTCTGAGCCGAGAAGAGCTTAATGAAATTTTTTAGAGCCCATCGCCAGGCCCAGCGATAACCACCAGCAGCGAGCGCTTCACGAGAATGGACGGCGGGCGCGAGTTTCCGATCCCGGATGGGTTTGAAGGGGGAGTAGATCAGTATCTGGTTAGTCTTGTGGGGCTTTATCTCGAGCCGCTTGTGCAGGATCTGGTGGGGAAAGTACAGATCCTGGATTTCTTCCTCGGCGAGAGAGACTTACTGCAGGAAACCGTCTCGGAGGAGTGGTTGCAGTTCTTTGACGATGGCGACCTCGACCAGATCTTGGATTTTCTGATATTCTTTAAGAATCCCGAATGTGAGTTTGCTGTTATTGCGGACTGTCGAGATCATTCGGTCTAACAATCGTTGTATAGCACTTCATCCGCCCTCGTCGCTAGTCGACTTCATATCAAAGATCCGACACCTCTCAATAGACCGAACACTCCCCAAAGACCTGGCCTCAACAGCACCCCTGCCCTTCCTACAAACCTCAGCCCTCTCACTTGGAATGTCTCCGAAAAAAATCCACGAATGCCAGTACCTCGCCGCCGCTGTCTCCTCCATCTGCGACGACGTCGACACGCGACACGTCATTGATCTAGGCAGCGGCAAGGGCTATCTCTCGCGCACTCTAGCCCACGAGTTTGACTGCTCGGTGGTCGCAGTCGAATCTGTGAAATCGAGAACTGAAGGTGCAGGTAGACTCGATACCCTCTACGACAGCAAAGGCGGGAAACGGAAAGCCAAAGCGCTTGACGCATACAGGGCGAAAGGGTCACTAATACACGTCGAGAAATTCGTCAGCAGTGGTGACTTGCACGAAGTGGTAGACCAGGCTGAGCTGTTGGATGAGAAAGCCGTACTTGTCGGACTACATACTTGTGGTAACCTTTCGCACCACGCGCTGCGCAGCTTATTCGAGACTAAGGCAATCCATGGCGTTGCAGTGGTTGGATGCTGCTACAATCAAATGACGGAAAAGCTAGCAGGTTAGCACATGCTATTTTATTTCGTCATATTTCTGATACTGATCATTTCATTACGCTAGATCACGATGATATTGGATTCCCAATGAGCTCAAAATTAGACACATACAACATCCCATTACCAATGTCTGCCCGTATGCTAGCATGCCAAGGTACACCATCTCTACTTCTCACCCCAGACTTGAACTAACATCTCTCAGCCCCCGCGACTTGGACAAAATCCTCCCGCGAAGACTTCTTCAAACGCCACTTCTACCGCGCCCTCCTCCAGCGCATATTCAAAGACCGCAACCTTCTCGAGTCCGACAAAGACAAAATCGTCATCGGCAGCCTCCGCAAACAATGGTACACGTCATTCAGCACCTACTGCACCGGTGCTTGCCGCCGCGCCGCTTCAGCTCACTCCTACCGCATCCGCTCATCCTCTCCCGCCGACTCGCAAAACCCTTTCGAAATCACCCCTGAAGTCGCAGAGCATTACCACGATCTCTATCTTTTGAAAAAACGAAGACTCAGTATTCTCTGGACTTTGATGGCTTGCACTGTCGCTCCCTTGACCGAGGCGCTCATACACTTGGATCGGTTCTATTTCCTGAAGGAAAACGGCGCAAGAAAAGTCAGTGTCTCGGTGGTTTTCAATCAATCAATCTCTGCCAGAAATTTACTGGTCGTCGGTCTAAAGTGAATTTTGTACGACTATTTTTTCTCATTGTGTATGTGTAAGATATTGAATTAAGGCTTTATTTCATCAGTACTCGTCCCACACCTAATATACCCGCTGAGCAAATCTCCCAGCTAAATATGCTATTGTACACTGCTCCCACCACAACTGTTTTAGAAATTAAGCATCGCCTGAGAATTCTCCTCCAGCGCACGTTTGAGAAGATCCCACGCGACAGGGTCGTTCGGCGCTAAACTCAGTGCCTATATCAACAGCGTTAGTCAAAAGACAAATAAACATCCGAGAAGAAGTTTGCTCATACCTCTTGGAAATTCATCACGGCCTTGTCGGTACGGTTTAGATGAAGATTCACAAGGCCTAGAGCTGAGTATACCTCAGGTTCATGCTTTGATATCCGCAGTACTTCCTCAAAGTTCTGCAGCGCCTCGGGCCATCGCCTACACACCAGTCAGCATCCTCCATAATCACTAATAATCAGCAATGATACCCACCTCAGCTGTCTAAAGGCATGCCCCAGATTAATCTTTATCGGTACCCAGGCTTTTGTATCGCTATCCAAATCCTCTGCAACTTTCAGCGCTTTGAAGAAAAACTCCAAGGCCTCCTCTAATTGGTTTTTATGATACAGCACAACGCCCATCTCATTCAGCAGCAGCGGATCTGTTTGACAGATATTGTATGACGCGTCTAGGTATTCCTCTGCGAGCGTAAAGTTATGTAGTTGGAGATGCTGCATTCCTAGGAACATCGACGGCAAATGCGTTCTGACAGAACGTTAGTAAATATTTCAAACATTCAATCAAACTAGTAGCATACCCTTGAAAAAGTCTAGCGGCGGTGGAGTAAGCAGACACAGCTTGCTCATGTTCACCTTCCACCGCAAACGTGTGCGCAAACCCGATCCAAGCAGCTCCAAAATGAGGATTCATCATCGACGCCTTACTGAAGAACCGGCGCGCTTCGGCAATCTTATGGATCGAGAGATAATACACGCCGACCGTCAGCCAGGTCACTGGCTCTTCAGGGTGGTTTTCAGTCATCTCGTGCGCGAGTAGAAAGAGCTTGTTTTTCTGCTCGAGCTCGTGCAGACATGCGAGGTAGAGCGGTATAATCGAGAATTTAAATCTATCATTTTTCAGAACCCTGCAGACCAGTTAGCGTCACCTCTCAAAACACTCAAAGTATGGCAAGTAGAAACGCACTTTTCACATAGATCCATGCACTTGTTAAACCTGCACTGCACGAAGAAAAGCTCCGCCCGACTCTGCAGCAGATCCGAACTCTCCGAAAGCTGATACACAGTCTGAAGCTGATGCTCGGCCTCGAAGAAGCGTGCTGTGTTGTAGTATTTGTTTAGCTTGGTGGAGTATAGAAGCTTCACAAGGTCGCCGTCTGGTATATCCTCGAATTTGAGCGATTCAAGGAATTTCCATTCTAGCTCACGTTAGCAACCACGCAAATCAACCAGAAGATAGCAGAATATAAATACCCTCAGCAGGAGACATTAGACTATTCGTAATCAGCTCATCAAACGCCTCAAAGCATTTAACGTCGACCGTCAGTGCCTCCATGTAGCACTCCTTTGCCTTTTCAAAATTGTTCTGATTCGAGTATATGATTCCGCGCAGATAGCACATCGAGGCTTCAAGCTTGATTCCGCCGTCAGAGACCACTTCGGCCTCTTCAGAAGCGTTTCTGAATGGATTTGATTCCCCTACGGTTGCAAGAGCCTCGTCCCATTTGGATAGTCGCGTCTATTAAGACGAAGTTAGTACAGCGCAGCAGAAGACTGTTAGATCGAGACTCACCAGACACAGCGCGGCAAGGTATCGACAGCTAGAGCTGCGATTCAAGTCCTGGCGCATAAGCAGCTGTCTTGCACGAGCGTAATGCCCAGTATTGTAATGCACTTGAGCAAGCCAAAACGCATCGTTTGGATCATCAGTGAGTGCAAGTACGGTATCACCGACAAACACCGCCGTCTGGTTCTGGTGCTGCATCAATGCGTCGTGTCTCCACAGACGAAGTCGATCTGCCTGCGACAGCTCTGCCTGTGCCGACGCTGTGGTATCCCGTTCGGCAGAATTGTACACCGGTGTCGACGTAGCGTCCATATCAGACCCAAAGCCAAACGGGTAGGCATTTTTGGTGGTCGGCGGGACGGGGGTCGACGACGCGAGAAAAGGGGAAGGCGGGACTGTTATCGCGCGGACGATTGGAGAGATTGAGAGTAGTGATGAGGCATGTGACGAGTTTGAAGAGACGGAAATACTGGGCAGGTCCGGGTTCGCGGCCGAGGAAGCAGAGTCGAGACGGGACCGTTGCGAGAGCTGCTGCCGCGACGGGGGGACCGGGGTCGAGTATGCTGATGGAGCTCTGCGTGGTGCCGGCATGGCGAATGTCTGTTGCTGTCTGTCGCTGTTTAGATAGAAGCAGAGTAGCTGATCAACTGGAATACGCCTGATCCTTGAACCTGCGTGGAGTATGATCTGCTTCGTGGAGTATTGCGCAGAACTCGATATTTGGGTTGAGAACGGTTGTTTACAGTTTGGTCGCGTTCAGTCAGTCCTGGCGCGTCCCTGAGCTCTATTCGGATCTGCTCTATCTGCACATTACAGCTATTAGTATTCTGAAAATGAGGTAAAACATTTACTATTCACAATCTTTGGACTATTTAATACTATAGAAGCTCTTATTTATCGATCGAAGAACGCAAAGAGAAAGCAGACCAATAATTACTCATATCTTACTAATCACTCTCGTATTCGGATTCTGCGTCCCGAGAAAGCTCGCCCCGACTCGAGCTTTTCGTGTTTTGCTTCTATCAGCTTGCACGAACCACTTCAAATAGCTATCTTATTCCTCGTCTTCTTCGCTATAAGTCCGGTCTATACCTCAATTTCCTGAGATCTTTCAGCTAAAACGCATACATACGACACATAATGGCCGACAAAGCTGCTGCTAAGGAGAAGTTCGTCTCTTTCTTTGATAAAATTGCTGAAGAGCTTCTGGGCGAGCTTCAGAAGTTCAACATTTCCGATGAGGCCGTTGCCTGGTTCAAGAAGGTGCGCAGTCGTATATTTCAATTCTCTATGCTCTTTTGCATTTGCTCTTGCTCTGTTTCTGGAGAAGAAAGTGGTGCTAATAGTCCTTCATAGAACCTCTACTACAACTCCGTCGGTGGTAAACTAAACCGCGGTCTCTCCGTCATCGACACCTACCAGATCTTGACTGGCAAGACCGAGTTGACTGACGAGGAGTACAACAAGGCCGCCGTTCTCGGCTGGTGCATTGAGCTGGTAATTGCCCTCTGCCGCGAGATTTTGAAGATTTCTGGAATGGTGCTAACAAAGTGTATATTAATAGCTGCAAGCTTACTTCTTGGTCGCTGATGACATTATGGATGCCTCAAAGACCAGACGTGGCCAGCCGTGCTGGTACTTGGCCGTAAGTCTAAACTGCTGCTGTTGCAATTGACATACATGCATCAGGTTACTCACATGTATTTACCTTGTAGCCCAAGGTTGGCATGATTGCCATCAACGATGCCTTCATGCTCGAGGCCTCTATCTATCTTTTGCTGAAGAAGCACTTCCGCAGCGAGAAGTACTACATCGACCTTTTCGAGCTCTTCCAGACCGTTAGTACCCCAATCTCAACCCAAATCACACCTCAACTCTCTCACACTAACGTCTACCAACAGGTGACCTTCCAAACCGAGCTGGGACAGCTCCTCGACCTCATCACCGCTCCCGAAGATGAAGTCGACCTCAGCAAATTCTCGCTTGCGAAGCACTCCTTCATCGTCATCTACAAGACTGCCTACTACAGCTTCTACCTCCCTGTCGCTCTTGCCATGCACATGGCCGGCGTCGACAGCGCCGAGGATCTCAAGCAGGCTCATGATGTTCTGATTCCTCTTGGCGAGTACTTCCAGATCCAGGTGCGTCATCTTTTTTGTTAATGTGATTACTGTGTTGTTAACGTTATTTAGGATGACTACCTTGACTGCTACGGTGACCCCGCTTTCATCGGTAAGATTGGTACCGATATCCTGGACAACAAGTGCAGCTGGCTCGTCAACACCGCTCTGAACAAAGCCACCCCCGAGCAGCGCAAGGTTCTTGACGTAAGATTTCCCCATTTTCTTCTCCCTCGCCATCGTTATTCTCCTTCTTACGCTCTTTTGACTATTTAGGAAAATTACGGCCAAAAGAACAGCGAGTGCGAAGCGAAGGTCAAGGCTCTGTACAAGGAGATGGACCTCGAGAAGGACTACCTTACCTACGAAGAAGAAGTTGTTGGAAAGATCAAGACCCTGATTGAGAACGTCGACGAAAGCCGAGGATTCAAGAAAGCCGTGTTGACTGCTTTCCTTGCCAAGATCTACAAGCGCCAGAAGTAGAAAGTTACTGCTTTACGGTAACGTGTACGTTAGTATAAGATGGAGACTATGCTTTGGTTTTGCTGGCTATTCGCTTGATGCTAAGGCTAGTCCAGCACAGTCGTAATAAGTAGTATGTCGTAATATATAGTTCCAAATAATAGAAACATTTTGCTTATCAACAATATAACTGGACGCGGGGAATGAACTCGCAGCACTCGCTGATGTTCTGCTGTCATGCATGCATGCAGAAAGGTCAACGACATGATTGACTGAACAAGATGTCGGAAGGAGTCCTGTAGAGCTTCCAGATCCTGCGGGCCCTTGCAGAAGGGAACCACCACCAATAGAACGCTAATGAGATGATTTCGGGTGAACTCTCATGATATTTTAAAATAAAACACAAAACTCTGTATGAGCAACTTATAAGAGCAAAATGGAAAAGACACGGAAGAGTTCGACAATACTGGATTGGATCCGCTTGGAACGCTGGTCGGCTTCGCGTCTGATCATTTTATCAGGGTTTCATAGACTATTGTACATACAGGAAAGCTAGCAGGGTATTATAATGCTCATTACTACAATCTGTCACCACCCAATAGACGAGAGAGCATGATTAAATAGCAATTACCTTTCCGCATCATAGATAATTACGAAATGGGCGGCGCGTTGCCTTCTGTTTACTTTCGGCCAGATCGAGAAACCCTTACTCACCAGACACGCGCCCGCCCGCCCTGGAATCGCCCACTTTTAACGCGCTCGCCGCTTCCGCCTCTTTTCTTCTTTCTCTTCTTCTTTTCCGATCCGCTTTATGCGCTTGTCTCTCACTCACAACGTTGATGTATTTGCTATCTAATCTAAAGATATTTACAAGATTCGGTGTTGTTTTGTTGTTGTGTTGTGTGTACAGCTTTGCTGTTTACTAACCCCCAAGTGATCCTGCCATAAAGAAGGCTTCTAGAGTCTTTCTTTATGGCTGGCGTTGCTTGGGCTTGCTAACTTAGGTAGGTACCCCGGACGCGCGTATACTCGATACTACGACCGGGCTGCTCCACCCCTTCGTATGCGGAGCTATCGAGTGATGATCTCGCGATCATCCGGCGGTGGCTCTAGCCTCCTCTCAATCCATACACACGGCAAATCAAGTGAGTATAGCAATACGTTTGATCCAAAGCCCCCGACTACTAACAGCGTACACGCAGGTGCACGCCGCCCTGCGCGCGCCTGCTGCACGCGTCCTTGTTTTCCAGGGACGTCTATACCATCAACGATCGCGGACATCGTTTGGTGAAGAAGTCAGTCGACTATAGGGGAAAGCAAGAGCGATCAGCAAGACGAGTGCGCACCATTCTATTTCTCTGGATACCCCCTTTCTCTACTCCACATGAGCGATGAGTTTCATTTTATCTGGTGATTTCAAGTACTAACGACGCGTCTCATCTGTAGGGCAAATCGCACTTCCGGCCGGATCCGAAACATGGGCTTTGGCTCTTTCTACTCTTGCATGTGCGGTACCCCGCGGATATTCCACAGTCTGCTCCTTATGCAGGTAGCATCTTCCAAGGGTGGCCTATACCACGGGTAGCATTCTCAGGGAGGAGTTTATGCCGCAACGAAGCGTTCCTGTGGATCGCATGCAGCAAGTAACACTCTCTGAGGGTGGTCTATACCGCAGGTAGCATTTTCGGGAGTAGTTTATGCCGCAACGAAGCGTTCCTATGGATCGCTTGCCGCAAATAACACTCTATATGAGGGTAGCATATACCACAGGTGGCATCTCCAAGGGTAGCATTCTCGGGGAGTAGTTGATGCCGCAACGAGGCGTTCCTATGGATCGCATGCCGCTGACAACACTCTCCGAGGGTAGACTATACCGCGGGTGACATCCTTGGATGATAGCATATACCTTAGGTAGCATTCTGTGGCAATACTTCGCGGAGACGTCAGAGAGTAGCATATACCGTTGACGGTAGCACTCTTCTTAGAGTTGGCGTTGTGCCGTACATGCGAGAGACAGAGAATCAAAGCCGGCTCTTGCGAGAGCACATGTCAAGCGGACTGGCGCTGCCTGTTGATCGGAAGACTTGCATACTCTTGAGTTGCTAGTCTTGTCCTGTCTTGTCTTACTGTTATCGCGCTTGCTTCGACCACCATGGCCTGTCAGAAGAGAGCTTTCGAGCTTTGGGCGAAGATGTTCTGGCATGGCCTCGCAGCAGCCCTAAAAGTCGGCAAACCTTCCGCGAGCTGCGCAGAACCGAGTGAGCATGTATATGCTTGCCGGCTCGGGTACCTCTGCGCGCTGCCCATTAGGCGTGTGATTTACGCTGTTGGTCGGGGCGGCCAATCTGATGAGTTCTTCTTTAGCCAGGTTACTCATTCGGATTTAAAACGTCAACGTTGTCGCATCTCGAAACACGCGTGCTGGCATGCCGCGCCATCATGGAGCCCGTGGTGATGGTTGTGGAGAGAGTCTGCGCGACCAACCGTCTTGTCTACGAGGGAGGTCTGTGGCCGCAGCTCCCTCAGAAGATGAGACGAGCGGATCAAGCGACAACACTGACAATTATCAATACGGAAGACAGTTCCGGAGCTGTCTTTTGGGTGAGTCGGGTCTTAGTGGGTATGGCGACGTCGAGAGAGCGCTTGTTCAACACAAGCGTAGTCGCAGAGTCCCACATAACTCTTGAATGTCTTGTTCAAGAGTATGCGTAATGCATTCTTCCCGATCCTGGCACCAGCCGCTTCATGCGCTCTTACTGTTTCTGTATTTTTCTGTATCAGCGGTTGCTGTATTGTCGTTGTGCTGATGTGTAACTGTATCGTTAAGTTACTGTATTGTTTTTTCTGTACTGTTTTAGTACTGTATCTCTTAGTTGTGGGCACGGCTGTCTTGTTTTGTAATTGTTGTATAAGAGCGCTGGGGCGGTACCGTATTGTAAAACCGAAAAAGAAAAAAAAAATAAACCTCTCTTTTCTCTTTATGATTAAGGCGTGGTCAGCTAACAGAGTAGTGCTGGTTGATCAAGAATGCAGTAGTAGCGTTACAGAGATCACGTATGTAATGGCGGGCCAGAACGATATATCGTAGTAGAAGTAAATACACACAGCACTGGAGAAGCTAAAAGGGAGTACCATAATACCACAATAATACAGAGTTTCCAGGTCCTACAAGGCTCTCACAGAAGAAGGCATTTACAGAAGAGATTGGGGTGATGGGAGCCACTAGCAATCTAATGCTAATGAGAAGATCCCTAGTGAACTCCCGTAATGAATTGTAAAAAAGAGAAAAGAAAGGAAAGAGGAAAACAAAACAAATAGCAAAAACAAAAAGGAGATAAAGGAATTTGACAAAGACTTCATGAGTGGTTACACACGCGAGAATCAAGCGGCAGAGCCCAGTTGAATTATTCGTCTCCGGCTCCGCGCGATTCGTAATTTCTTTTTTTTGGATTTTGGCGGGAGTAAAGATAACCCTGTTTCACAAAATAGTAAAGAAAAGGTATTCCGAGCCAGTACATTGCAGAGGTCAGTGGTTTTAACGTCCAGTGACGACCGTACAGCAGGGAAGGGGGTGCAGACAGACAGTAAGGTTACTTCTTTAGGCAGATACCAACATGTAGTTCGATGAGATGACTTCAGCAAGGGTATTCTGTACAGTGGCGAGACAGGAATACAGGAGGTAGACCACTTCTCTCATGAGATGTTGGGGTATTAGCCTGAGCAGTAGTCGAAGTATAGGACTCTTCTGGTTCGTTCCAGGCGGATATGCTGCGGGGGGACGGCTAGATCAACAAGGAAAGTCAGCAAGGCTCGAGAGAAGAACAAGGGAGAACAAGGAGTGAAGAGCGTATACATACGTTGGCTGATACACAGCGAAGCCTTGATAACCAGCAAAGAAAATCTTTAAAAGAAAGCACGATCATAGGCAGTTAAAAAGAGAAACCCGGACTCGATCCTGGCGGTTCATCTGTTGCCTAGCTGGTCCTTATTGTTGCTATTGTCGATACGAGAGACGAAGTTGTCGTACGCAAACCTGATGGCGTCAAATTTTTGCGCGTCAGTGTAGCAGGAGGAGAAGAGTATCCCGTCGAGATAATCGTTCATATACTCTCTCCATTGTGAGTCGATGTCGGGTTGGGGGTCGCGGTCGCAGGGCAGGAGACGTCCGTTGCCTCTCTCGGGGGTCGAAGTGCCTTGCGAGGAAGAAAGCGAGTGCGAGTGCGTCGGGTGTGGGCGGCGGGGATCGTGCTTGGAAATCGCAGCAGCATGTTGCGATGCACGAGAAGAACGTGTTTTCTTCTTGCCGTAAGCCATTGTTGGAGCCATTGTTGGGGGACACGGGAAAGTTGTTGCTGAAGTGCGGAAGTAGTGAGAGGTGAGGAAAGAAAAGAGGAAAGAGAGAGAAGGCGGGAAAGGGCCCTTTTATACTGGAAGTTTGTGCCTTGTTCGAACAAGGACCGACTTTTGTGTGAAAAGCCTTGTAGGAACGCGATGCCCTGTAAAGACAAGATGTCGAGCCTTGAACCTGCAAGGCTATAGCGAAGGACAGAACAAGAATCCCGCTGCATAAGTAAAACATAAGCAACCAATATATCGTAGAATAAGACAGCAACAAACTGCAGACCTTGCTGGTATATGTTGTATGCTAAGGCAAACTGGGTGCAATAACCTGAAATCACGGGCAAGTAGTAAACATTACTAATCCGTTAGTAAGGAGCCGCACACTAGGTCGACGAAGATACTGTTTAATCTCACAATGATCTTAACGTTATTTTAGGGCTTTATTGCTCTGCGTGCATGGAGAAGACAGTAGGATCTGCAGGAGTCGGAATCAGCAGCTGGGATGGTTTGTGAATAAGTGGTTTGTATTGGGCAAAAGTGGTACTGGCTAGAATATACGGTGCTGAGAGTTGACGACGAAGGATGTGCAGATACGATGGCCATTTCATTCTATTCTCAAAGGCAAGGATTTAAACATTGGTCATTGCAGTAATATACAAGAGTACCTGATTAATAGTCTCACAGTTATCTTACAGAAAATGGCACTATTACACCACCCTCGCGCACCGTGTAATTCCTCCACCCGCTTCCTTCAGTTGCACCACCTTCAAACCAGACAGGACCATTGCTCTCAAAATGAGATTCTATCAAAATGCACATGACTCCTCCGATGCCGCTGGGTGAGCTCAGGGACGCTGATGCCGATATCGCACTGGGAACAAATTACTCAAACGAGGTGTTAATTCCGAGTTTTTGATTCCGTGCGCGCTACAACTGATTAGGCCTCGGGACGTTTGAGGAGATAAGATTGTGCTCACACACTCTCTTCCTCTCTCTCTCTTAACTCATTCACACTCTGTTTCAAGCATTTTGAGTGCAGAAGAGTGCGCCTCGTGGAGACGTCTAGCGTGTTGAATCATATCGAGATACGAGTACGAGAACACGCGTGAGTTTCCGTGTTTTTCGCGCATCAAAGATATGACCCCTCCAAGCTGCAATACATCACAAAGCTGATCTACAAGCTACAACATATACAACAGCACACCAAAGTTGCTTTCTAATTGCTCGGAGACCGCGCTGCAAGCCTGCCCTTCTCCGTGCGTCAACACGGAACTGAGCTCGCGATGCGTGCACGGGCCCCTATCAGCACCGCGATAACGACCGGTCGGCTCTTATCCTGCATGCACGCAGAGTTGGGTTCATTCTGATGATGAAAGATAAACCAAAACCAAGCTTCCGAACTTGCATTCCCCAAACAAGGACAGGTCTGTCAGTCTGAGCTTTCGATGAGATAGATAACGCATTGATATTGTTGGTCTGACGTAGAAAGTGCTGTGTAGGGTCGTGGCGAGAACTCTGTGGAGATGGATAAGTCTATTGTTGATGGATGCACTTCAGTCACAGATAACCAACACGAGTTTGAACACCGATCGGCATAAGTCAGAGTTATTGGAAAGACGTTTTGATATCTATGAATCGCGCGATAGTCCTGCGATAGACCTGATCGGGAGCGGCTTAACTATTCAGGTGTCTTGTAAAGATAGTTCGAGATCAAACTACTCCTTATTCTGCCCTATTCTGATCAGTGTGGCAGTGATATGAGTATCGTGTAAACTAAGGATTAACAAACTGAAACTAGAGTATATACAATTGAGCTACAGACACTAAGAAAGCAGATGATGCAAGCAGATAATAACCTTTGCCTACTCCTTAATCGCGCCTACCTTGTTGCCAGCCTCTCAGTTGAAGCGTTTGACTAGTAGTAGCAGAGTAGTAGATAGTGAAGTAGAACGGTAGTGAGTCCCAGATGTGGCTCTTTCTTCCTCGCGCTCTGTTGACTCATGGCGGATCCAATTTCCTAGACAGGCCAAGGCGATAATAATACCAACCATGAGAGCAGACAGTCCAAGTTGATGACAATAACAGTCAGCACCTGTCACTACCTTTTAAACTTCTTCTTTTAATGAAATAACGTCCCGTGTTTGCAGTGGGACTGTGCCGAAACACGGGAGGAAAGAGAGACAGTGATAAGGATCCTGCGAAGAGAGTTGTGATTCCTACACCCTCCACTCTGCGGGAATTTCCTCGCCGTCCAGCTGACACCACATAATCAAGCAAAGCAATAATCTTAATCCTTAATCTCCTTTTTTTTCTTTTTTCTCAGTTCAATCAATGCCGGGCAGGGAGCCGTTATCGCACCGAGGAATGAGTGGGAGCAGAGGAGGGAAACCCTTATCGATAAGGAACGGTCTGGCGGCGCAGGATGACATCAGTTCCGCAGCGGACGACGGGATTGCAAGCGGATAGCCCCTGGACGCATCGACACTGACGCTCTCCAAAGCGCGGAATGCTTGTTATTATTGATTATATATCACTTTTGGTAGCTGAAAATAGCACGATACTGCTGGTTTATGTATCGATATAGACAACTGCTCGAGTATCAAGGAGAATCAAAAGTCTGGCGCATCAGATAGGCAGGTGCAGATAAGACGATTAGTGCAGTTCTTAGTACAAGAAGAGCATTTCCGAGCGCCATGTGCCCGCATGATCAAGCAATCGGACGGAATATCGTCGGCTAGCCTACACAGACGACATCAACAAGCCGCCTGTGACAAGTCCAGTTCTGTGCGTGCACCTCGGAAGATCACAGTGTTTGGACAGTGTCTTGGGTGATTGATGTAGGATATGCAAGAGAATACGGAATAAAGTATACAAATTAAGGGTGCGGATATACAAACAAGAACGGTTACTCTGCCGCAGTGCAGTTAATAGACCAGATCGGGGTTTTGATATCTAATAGATAGCCGCTCTTGGATGTACGGGGCAAGCTAGAAGCTATAGACAAGCTTGGATACGGCAAGCGCAACTAGTGCCTCGATCATGAGGCATGCGGTTTATCTATTCGTACCAGTATATCAAGTTAGCTTGAGTAGATGTTTGTACATATTATAGTCAATCGCCGTATTGAATATGTAATAGACAGGAGAAATGTTCGAATTCGCGGGCTTATTCACTCGCTCAGCGTAGTCTATCTAATCGCGCCCTGCGCTGCGCGGCGGAGTGCCTGCTCGCGGTCGCTCTGGCTTGGTTTTGTCGGCCGCTCCGAGCGGGTATCCGGTAGGAGGATGGTATGTCAAGGGTGGGAACGTGTTTAAGGTTGCTTTGTCTGTCTCAATTACGGAAGAGGGCAGGTTGCCGAGCGGGAGGAAGCGAGATGGCAGACTAACCCTACGCCAGTAGATGTAATGAGGATGATTGAATACTATAACAAGGAGTGTCTTGGAGGTGATAGTACTGGTGAATAGAAACAGATGAGGATCAGCTCAGACAATGATAGCAGGGTTGGTGCAGAGACAGAGACAGAAGAGAGGAGAGGAGGGAGGAGAGGATATGCACGAACCAAGAACGCGGCAATGTCCGAGACCACGAGGATGCAGACAGAACGCGCTAGAGGCCCTAAACATACAACGACGATGGTCGACCGCGATAGTCAAAAAGTCGGTTCAGAGCAGGGAGAGAAGGCCTCGGGCGGACCGCAACCTTGATTACCGAACTCAGCCCAAGCGTCGTCGAACCCGACGCTCAGTCCACATCAAAAGACACACGGACCGGATCCTGAACTGAGTCTGCACTTACGCCTCCTTCCCCTCGCTCCTCTATCGCTCGTGCTCGTGCTCAGCCTGGTTATCTCGCGCACGCTTGATTATATATTGCCCGCCTGGCCGCCGCTCCCGCGCGTGCGTGCGTGCATACGGACTCCCGTCGATATCGTTGCCGTAGCAGCGAGAAGCAGTGCTATACAGTCCGGCGGTGTTGTGTTCTCGGACGCGGCATGCCAGAACTGTTTTTTGTCTTCTTCTGTCTTATCGCATCGCCCGCGTATCTGCAGTTATTTCCCGTGTCCTCGTTCTTCAGCGATCGCTGGTGATCATCAGAGTGTCTCGGTGACGACATATCTCCCAACTATCGCTACAGAGAAGGTATGTACATATCCTTTTGCACACGCACACGCAGAATCGGATCGGCTACGGTCGCAGTAGTCAGCAGGGCAGCAGGCAGCGGCACCTCTATATTTCCTATCTCTATCTACTCTTGCCAAAGTGGTGAGAACAGCAGGAAGTGGAGGAGGACGCGGAAAGGGTTTTGTGGTTCGCAGATGTCCGGGCCGAGTACGCCGCACTCGCTCGTCTCCGGCGCTGCTTGAAACAGCTCCGAAGCCGGTTTCCGCCCGCCTCCTCCTCGAAGGCACTGCGCAGGGCCAATTCCCTGCTGAACCGCCGTTCTGGAGGTCTTTTGGTGCTCGAAATCGAACCGGGCACGTTCACAAACCCGTCTGAGCGCGGCCCCGTGCGTATTGGGGAGCACTGCGCTCAAACCTCGTTGAGCCGCTGCTGAGGTACCTCGGAGGTACTCTCGACCAGCCCCGTTAATATTTCCTTCTTCTCGACATTCCCTGTTTTCTCTTCTTTTTTGTCTGCGCCTTCTTTTTCCTTTTTTCTTCTTCATCTTCTTCTTCTTCTTCTTCTTCTTCTTCTTATTAGCCCGCCCGGCTCTGCGCTCATGTGCTGCGCCTGCTCCTGCTCCTGCACATCTGCTCCCCTACTGACCGCTTCCTGCCCTCAGCCTTATCGCCGCCGCCTCATATCTCCCTATCCCCACTGAATCTATGCCACTGACCCTCTCCCTCTGATCTACGCCTCTCCTCCTCCTTCTCCTTCCTCTCGGCACACATATATGACAAGGCATGGCGTCGCGGTCGTCGTCGCTGCCGCAGACCTTTCCGTTATCGCGCCCACCGAGGAACGCTGGCGGTCTTGATGATTCCTCTGGATCTGCCCAGCACCCGACTTCCTCCACCAGCACCCGGCAACGCAGCGCCATAGCATGTCGCTACTGTCGCAGGCGGAAGGTAGATATCTTCTTTTGTCAATTCTGATCTTGATACTGAACCCAGACATACTAATCATGATCCACCCCAGATCCGATGCTACGGCTTCGAGAGCAATCTCCCTGATCCGCGATGCTCAAACTGTATAAAGTTCAATCAACAATGCGTCTTCATGCCTGTATCCGCCGTCGCAGGCCTGTCTCCGGAAGAATACAGCTCGCGTTCGATATCAGATCAGCACCATATATACCCCAGCTCTTCGCACACCCACGCATCATCAGGTGCACCCCAGTACAGAGCTGTCTCGTCGCCGCATTCGACATCAGAGATCGGCCAACCTCACCAGCAATTCGCCTCATACCAGGTTCCCACCCCGCTTCCTTCTCACATTCCTCAAGGATATCCATCAACAACCACACCCCAATCCTCCCAACACTATTCCCAGCACAGCCACACTCAGCAGCCTGGATACTCGCTTTCCGGACGAGGATCAACCGACCCCACAAACTATCGCCACTCCAGAGTCCGTCGGCTGTCGGTCCCGGAGGGCGCACAGTACGGTCTCGGTCTGTCGCTCCAGTCTCCGCATTCTGCGATGGTTAGACCTGGAAGCAGGGATCGAAGTATTTCAAACTCATCTACAAACTCCAATGCCTCTGCTGTAGCTTCTGATGTGCCGCTATTCCAACAGCAGCAGCAGCAGCAGCAGCAGCAACAGCCGCCAGGAGCAAGAGCAGCGCAGCTCTTCCAACAGCCGACGATGCTAACCCAGCCTGCTCCGCCGATGGTGATAAGATCAGCGCAGGCGGCGCAGGCGGCTCAGGCAGCTCAAGCAGGCTCGCCGTCGTCTGCATACTCCCCTCTCAGCACCTACGACGCGCAAATGAGCCCGGTCTCACCCACAGATACGTTCCAGCACGTGTCGCCGTATCTCGGCGCGCACGGGGTTTCTTCTAGCTACGCGTACGCGTCTGAAGGGCGGCGGCAGCTGCTGCCTGAACATCAGCAACCCTTGAGTCATCATCAACAGCGGTACACGGCCGGTCCGCCGCTGTTTCAAGAAAATCAGCTGCAGTACGGTAGAGCCGACAGCGAAATAGGGTACCCAAGAGACCCGTCTTTACAGCACATCCAGACGTCACTACCAGAGTTTGACCGCCACCCGCAGCAGCCGACCCTGGGTTATGGCTACACAGCCGGATCCCACAGCAACAGTGTTCCGCAACCGCCGAGTACGCAACCACAGTCCTCGCGGCCGAGTATATCGATCAAGAACCTGCTCGACCCATCCGGCGAGACGATATCCTCGCGCCCTACCTCCGACCTCTAGACCATGTGATATTTTTCCTTTGAGTATCCTCGCTATGGTTTCGATAATGATAATTATGATTACGTCACGCTGCATTGCTTTCTGTTTATAACAACTTTATGTATCTCTAGTTTGTCTCTGGGTCAGGAGTATATGAGGGATTATTTTTTATTTATTTATTTCCTTGTGATCTGGTTGTAAACGGCATTTGCTTCTCTATCGATGTTTACTTGTTTTGTACTTTATTCACTTTTGGTATAGTTAGTTAGATAGTGGAGTTCATGTGCATATTCTTTTTGGTTTATTCAATTTCGTTACATTATTCTACCTGAATTACAGTTAATACAAGAATACAAAGAGAAATAGATATTAAGAAGATCTTAAACCAGATAAACAGTTGGCGCGTGCGAGACAACAGACGAAATACGTCGATTAGAGTTCCGAGATGTCCACACCTTATTTGCATTTCTTATTTTCTGTTTTTTTGCTGATTGTTTCCGAATTGGGTGAATATATTCAGATAGCAGTGATATTAATATTGTGAAATCAATTACATAGTCTTGACTACATAGCAAAATGACCGACTACGAGTCAGGGAATATAAATGCGCTGTGGCCGTGCTAAAATCTACTAGAATCATTTTATTCTCGATATTCCTCAGCACCTTTACACCTCACCACCTTCATGATCCTAAATCATTTGAGTAGAACATTGTTTGAAATTTTCATAGTCTCTGCTAAACTTTTAGAGCATACGCAAACTGCTGTTGAGCTGTTAGAAGAGGTTGTAGAGGTGCTGAACAACATCTTAAGCATTTCACCCTCAACCGTCACATAACCAAACACATGATTTTGCTATTGATGCACTTAATTCATTTATAATAAACAACACTAAATATTAGAAGACCTTTGAGATAGCAGGAAGCATCAACAAGGAAACAAAGAGACCGGACAACTTCCCAGAGCGGAATCTCCAAACTTACCTAATTCCTTACTCATCTCCTCTCGACCTCTTTCTTTCTCTCGAACCATCTTCCCCGAGCCGTCCGACGACGATTCAAAATCATTTTCCCAAGACTCACCACCATCACCAGATCCATCCTCCGGCAAAACGCTTGATCATGTCGTTGACAAGAACGCGCATTGCCTCCCGCGCTGCCGCAAACTCGCTGCTCTCGCAATCCGGCCGTGCTTCAAATCTGCTGGCTATCCCGACCGCCGGCTCCAGCAGCACATTGTTCTCGCCCGCATCACTTGGCTCTGTTCGATATGCCTCCAACTCCGGGCTCAATTTTTTTGCCAGCTCGCGACTTCCTTCAAACACTATAATCAGGTACGATTTCTTTCTCTCGCAGTGAATTTGCGGTAGTCAAATTCCCATGCTGACGTGACGACATTTCAGATTCGTGCCTCAGCAGACCGCGTGGGTGGTCGAGCGCATGGGCAAGTTCAACAGAATATTGGAGCCCGGTCTTGCGATCTTGATTCCGTTTCTGGATAAAATCAAATACGTGCGATCGCTAAAAGAAGCCGCGATCGAGATCCCGAGTCAGAGCGCGATCACCGCTGATAATGTCACCCTAGATATTGATGTACGAGTTTATTATTTCTATCACCTACTCCAACTACATACTGATTGTGATTCTGCAGGGCGTCTTATATATCCGCGTTGTGGACGCATACAAGGCGAGCTACGGAGTTGAGGACGCAGAATATGCCGTCACTCAGCTTGCGCAGACAACCATGCGAAGTGAGATCGGCCAAATGACGCTCGACCACGTCCTGAAAGAGAGGTAAGCCAGTATATCTCAACATCTTAACATTCAGTAGCAGCAGCAGAAGCAGCACATCTAACGACTGCAGACAATCTCTCAACACGCACATCACACAGGCTTTGAACGAAGCCGCCGAAGACTGGGGCGTCAAATGCCTGCGCTACGAAATCCGCGACATCCACCCTCCCGCGAACGTTCTCGACGCGATGCACAGACAAGTCTCTGCCGATCGTTCGAAGCGCGCCGAGATTCTCGAGTCTGAAGGTCAACGCCAGTCCGCGATCAACATCGCCGAAGGTCAGCGCGAGGCCGTCATCCTTGCCTCTGAGGCCGAGAAAGCCGAGCAGATCAACCGAGCGATGGGTGAGGCCGAGGCAATCAGATTGAAGGCTGAGGCTACGGCCGAGGGACTCCGGAAGGTTGCTGCTGCGTTGGGCGATCCCAAGAGCGGCGAGGCTGTTTCGTTGCAGGTTGCGGAGAAGTACGTCGAGGCGTTTGCGAACGTCGCCAAGGAGTCTACTACTGTTTTGTTGCCCTCACAGTTGGGCGACATTAGCAGTTTTATTGCCAGTGGAATGGGAATCTACAACCAGGTCAAGGACAAGAAGACTACTGAGAAGTCGTCATAATCTCCAGTCAAAATAACCACCTATGAATAAAGAATAAAGCATTCTAAATAACTAGTAGGACTGAGTGAATATTTTGTTATAATTATAAATTACATAAACAGCACTAGACAAGAAGGAAAGAAAAGCAAAACGCCTAATCCTACATGAAGTTTTCCCGGGCTAATGTAAAGATGACATGAACCAAAAGCACTGCTTGAAATCACTGGGCTCTCTTCCGCCTCCGCTCCTCCTCCTCGTACTGTTCTAGCCGCTTATTCAACTCTAGCCGCTTCGACTCTTGCCACCGTGCCAGGCGCGCGTGCTCGTGGATCTTAAAACCAAAGATAGCAGGCACGAACCGCTCGGGCGAGGTCTTGTTTGGGATCAGATGGGGGTAGGCTTGGAACAGCAAGAACGGGAAACTGGTGCCGAAGTAGGCGCCGTCGATGCTGGCGAACCGGACAGATGGGGGATTGTACACGTCCTCGCATTTCATGCAAAACATCTTGACGGGGGCCGAGTGCGGGACATCGCTGAGACCGATGGGGAGAACGGGTTGGCGTTGGCAGTGGACGCGGGGGCAGACTCCAAAGTCGCCTTTTTTGTACTTGTCCAGCTACATTATTACTAGCATTAGCTGAATTCAGAATATAGAATGGGCAAATCAAGCTATATTACCATCTTTTGGAGGCCACGCTGGGTGAGGATGTAGCGGGCGTGTATGAGTCCATAAAGATGCCGAGCCGACCGCTCGATCTGCTCGCGTGTAGGATCATCACATTCACGTTCTATCAACGATATCAGCACATTGCATCTCGAAAACAAAAAACAGAGAACCAACTCACCGAATGTGTCCATGATGAGGTCCATCGCGTACTGGTAATACTGCACCTCCGAGTTGAGCCCAGTCATATTGAATCTGTCATTCAGAAACTCGTCATCGATCTCGCAAAAGAACTCATTTCCCTGAGCTCCTAGAAACCAATCGATCCAGTACTCTGCTATAACCGTTAGCTCTTTTCTCTTCTTCAACTTCCAGAAGAAATGAGGAGGGAGGGAGGGTGGTCGCGGAGGATACTTACTCGTGCAGTCTGAGTCACTTGAGAAATCGTCCATTTTTCCTACTTCCCTCAAACAGATGTCTCAAAGCAGCAATACCAAATATATATCCAGATATACTCAATAAAGCACTTGCTCGCCAACAACTTTTTCAAATACAGGAAACTGCTCGACGAATTCCCGGTTGAGCCTGCCACAATTTTCCTACGTCGGGTGCTTGCGGCTCCAGAATAGTGAACCGAGGGTCAGGGTTCAGACAGGGGCGTCCCGGCTCCGGCCACCTTGTTCAGATGGAGGATGGACGAGGTTCAGCTGCGTGTTCTCCTGGCTGCTGACAACCGTGACTGACTTTGTACGATATCTGTTATAATCATAGAGTACGTATTGAGAGATTTGCTTGGAAGGTATTGATTGCTGCGTGAAAAAGAGAGGGACAGATCAGGTTATCGTCAGATTGTCAAGAGCTGCAGTGCTGCAGCAACCAGCCAATTTCATCTCGAATACGGCAAGACACTTGAGTCTTGACTGAACACACAATCAAAAAGGAAAGAAGGGAGAGGAAATCAAAATATCAGCAATGGCAGTCGCAATCCAGGATCGCACGTCCGAGTTCAGGTCGTGCGTGGCGGCCGTATCGAGGATAAACAACTCGACCGCATCAGCAGCCCGAAGCCAGCTTCTGGCACCAACCTCGCCTCCACCGCTCGGTGGTGGCAGCAGTGGTGGAAACGCGATTCAGACCCGGGGTCAGAGGACAGAGTTTGCGATGCGGGCGGCGAGTATCAGCAAGGATATCAACAGCGCGATGAGTAAACTCCAGAGATTGGCGCAATGTCAGTATTCTTCTTTCTATGTGATGTATGCTGCGGGAGTTCAAGCTGACATTTGAGTGATTATGTAGTGGCAAAGCGAAAGACATTGTTTGACGACAAGCCGGTTGAGATTGCGCAGCTGACGTATGTGATCAAGCAAGACCTCGCAAAGATCAACACGAGCATCTCCGAGCTGCAAACGTTTGTGAAAACGGGCAAGAAGCACTGGGGTCGGAAGGGCGAGAGCCAGGTGGACGAGCACTCTGAAAACGTCGTTGTGCTGCTGCAGGGGAAACTTACTGATGTTACTGCTGGGTTCCGTGAGGTTTTGGAAGTTCGCACAAAGGTATGCACATTTACTGAATGCTGTTGTACTGATTTGATATGTATGTGTGGCTAATGACGGTATTTGATTTAGAATATTCAAGCTTCGAAATCGCGGACAGAGCAGTTCATCTCGTCGAGCTCTGCCGCGGTTAAAGATCGTGAGTGGACATTCTCTTCTTGTTTCCTCTTCTGGAATCTAGTCTAACAGATGTACGCAGCCAACTTCCAAACTGCATCTCCACTATACTCGCAAGCAAACGGTGGCGGCGCGAGCAGTTTAGAAAACCCATATGGAGCTACGGGTGATCCTGACAATCCGTACGGGTCCAAGAACACGGATGGAGAGTATCTGACGGTACCGGACCAGCAGCAGAGTCTGATGCTGCTGGAAGAGCAGCAAGATACGTATATCAGTGAGCGGAATACGGCGATTGAAGCTATCGAGAGTACTATCCACGAGCTTGGAGGTATCTTTTCGCAGCTGGCGACGATGGTGGCCGAGCAGCGCGAGGTTGTGCAGAGGTAAGAAGAAGTCTGAGAGAATGGTATCACTACAAGAGAAGAACTAACAGGTCATAGGATCGATGCGGATACTGAGGATATCGCAATCAACATATCAGGAGCCCAGCGGGAGCTGCTAAAGTACTTTGCGACAGTGTCGAGCAACCGGTGGCTGATGATGAAGGTGTTTGGCATAGTTATCGTGAGTATTCCTCTCTTCTTTCTCGACAACACTCCTTACTGACGATTTCCAGCTTTTCTTTTTACTTTGGGTGTTGGTGAGCTGAGCAGGTGGTTTTGTTATTAGTAAGCTGAATGCAGATTATTACATACTCACAGGCTGCGACGGAAGGTTTCATCTGGTTGCACAAGCGAGCCCCATCTGGATAGCGGCTAGTCCTAAAGCAGCAAGCGCTGTTTGAAAGGATGTCTACCGCTAAGGGTTTTCCGTAGTTAATGCAGGGCGTAGCGGCTAAAAGTAGACAATTACGTCAGCGCCGGTGTAGATCTATTTGGGGCAAGCGACGAGCTCGTGCGGCCATCGGAGCAGCAGCGAAGTAGCAGCTTTTCGTTGATAAAACCGACTTTTCCGGAGATGCAGCGGTTTCACCCACAATTGCACTCGTTCTCGTTGTTTGAATACTGTAGTTTGTCTTCTTGTTGAATATGGCGCACTCGGCGCAGCTCCAGACGCGTGAAGACGAGGACAAGGGCCAGATCCTGCTCGTGAGTACCTCGAACAGCTTACTATCGCGTCGGATCATCATGCTAATCCTCATCTTCACCACAGGATCTGCTGCAGAACTCGTTTGCTTCGTGAGTATCTCTACTATACTCTCTGACACTATTCAACCTCTACTAACACTGCCCAGAGCGCAAATCACAGGCAAGGCCGTCTGGGTAGGCCTTCTCATCTCCCTCGGCTCCTCCGCCGCCTTCTTCGCCCTCTTCTGCCTCCTCCGCACCCGCAACACGATCCTCTACGCCCCCAAAACCCGCATATCCGGTCTCAGCAAACACGACTCTTTCTCCACCGTCTCCTCCTACCCAAGACTGCGTCCAGGCTACTTCAAATGGATGCTGCAGATCTACAAGCTCAAGGAGTCAGACTTGCTCTTCATCCTCGGCCTCGACTTTGTCGTCTACCTCAAATTCCTCAAAATGAACTGCCACACCTTCCTCTGTCTTGCCATCTTGGGTGTTACCGTTGCTATCCCCGTCAACTTTGCCCTCTCAATCAACTCCCCGAGCGCAAAAGCCGCCTCCGCATCCGACGCCTTCATCCTCATGACTCCCACCCTACTCAAGGGCCCGAGCATGGCATGCCACGTTGCGCTCGCCTATGTCTTTGACGCCATAGTCTGCTTCTTTCTGTGGAAAAACTACAAGGAGATCCTCCAGCTGCGCAAAATATACTTCACCTCGTTCGACTACCAATCCAGCATCCACGCGCGCACTTTGCTCATCACCGAACTCTCCAAACCTTATCGCTCAAACGAAGGCATCATCAAGATCTTGAAAGATGCAGCCGCGAGATCCACAATCGCTTCCTCGTCATCGATCGCCATCGACCAGATCTTTGTCGGTCGCAGCGTGAGAGGTCTCGGCAAGCTTGTCCGCATGCGCGAGAAAACCGTCTACCGACTAGAAAAAGTATTCGCAAAGTATCTCAAAGATCTCGACAACCTTCCCGCCACGCGTCCGATGATGAAACTCGACCGCGGCGACAAATTCGCCGACGGTTCCAGAGGCGGAAAAGTCGACGCAATCGACTACCTCGTCACAAAGATCCGCGACTACGACTACAAGATCGCTGCCGCGCGCAAATCTGTCGACTCCCGCCGCGAAATGCCGTACGGTTTTGCGTCCTACCACTCCGCGACCGAAACACACCTTATCGCAAAGGCCAACTCTGGCCGCCGCGTACTAGGCGCGGGACGCATCAGACTCGCACCGAGGAGCAAGGATATCTTGTGGGAGAACATCGAGCTAACATCTCGTGAGCGCCTCAACAAAAAGTACTGGGGAAACGCCATCTTCATCATCTTTTGTATCGGCTGGATCGTGCCCAACGCCTTCATCGGAACTTTTCTCTCCCAGATCTCTCGTATCGGCGTGCTCTCAGACTCGTTCCAGCGCTTTGCAAACACGCATGCCGGCTTCATCTCTTTCATCCAGGGTTTTGTTGCACCAGCTGTGACCTCAGCTATCTTCCTTATCTTCCCGATCGTCATGCGACGTATCTCTGCCTTCCAAGGCGCTCACACAAAGTCCATGCGCGAACGCAACGCACTCCGAAAGCTCTACATTTTCTTTGTGTTCAACAACTTGATCGTCTTCACGATGTTTGGCGTGGCCTGGTCTGCGATCTCACAGATCATCCAGCTATCGAATTCCAGAGACGATATGTCGGCCAAGGAAATCTTTGACTCGCTAGACCTCGCCGAGCAGATCTCGAGCTCAATCATCGGCGTGTCTTCCTTCTGGGTCATGTACGTTGTGCGCTCAAACCTCGGTGCACTCCTCGACCTGATCCAAGTCTGGTCTCTACTCGTGCACTCCTTCGCCCGCCGCTTCCTAGCCCCTACACCCCGCGCCCAAATCCGCTGGACTGCGCCTCCCGAGTTCGACTTTGCCTCCCACTACAACTGGCTGCTCTTCTATGCCACCATCGCACTCACATTCACCTCAATCCAGCCCATCATCCTCGTCGTCACCTGCTTCTACTTCACAATCGATACCTTCCTCAAGAAATACTCTCTCATTTACGTCTACATGCCCAAAGTCGAAAGCGACGGCGCGTTCTGGAAAGACCTCTTCAACCGCATTCTCTTCTCCCTCGCGCTCGGCAACGCAGTCATGTTCATCGTCACCTGGGTCCAAGGCACCTGGCGCGTCGCAGTCGCAATGCTTCCTCTCTTCCCCGCCATCCTTGCCTTCAAAATATACTCCTACTACGCCTTTTCTCAACAAATGAAATACAACCTCGACTCCCAGAGTCTCGAGTCCATCACCCCTCCCGCACAATCTTCATCAGCACACACAGACCCCCGAAACGAATTCGGCAACCCGGCGCTCTACCGCACGCTCATCGTCCCCATCGTCAAAAAGGGCGCCGAAAACATCCTCGAGCAGATCCTGGGCTCGATCTACCTCGACTCAAACTCGCACGGTCCTTCTGCTTCTGGAGCTCTCGACGGCGCTTTTGAGATTGTGGACGAGCGGGAACTGGACTTTATCAGGTTCCTTGACGATCCTAATCTTCGCGACTCGGAGGATCCTGCTCCTCGTCCTGCCACAAGCCTCTCAAACACCTCCAGGCAAACACAGTCCTTGCGGTCTCTGTCCTCGACCGGCATGAAGAACATTTACCGCACCCACAGCGACGACGACACAATCTCCACTTCTACTGCCGCCGTACCGCCCAGGTCTGCTTCCATGGGTGACTTCGCCGCCGACTTGGCCGATGAGGATATCGTGGCATACGCCAATCCCTATGACGATGGCGTGTACAGCGAGGACAACGTGCTGGGTATTTCATTTGCCACAGAGACAAACCCTGCACCAGATAACGAGGAGGACGAGCAGAATTTGCTGTAACTCATACTTTAGACTCCCCGCTTTAATATCTCATACTTGTTAGAACTATTGTAATTATAAATTCCACGTCACAAAATTCTATTAAACTAAATGAAAACAAAAATACACAAATGACAGAAATATAAAAAATATGGTATCACAGAACTACTCCTGCTTTCTCTTCCACGACTTTGGCACTCTCGCCAACCAATAGAAAAACAAAGCACCAAAAATGTTAAACACAATGTAAATCCACATCAATCCGAAGTTTCTCCATCTGTGCGAGTAACTTGCCGATACACTGGCCAAGAAAGTGTTTGTCGACTTCACCGTGCAGAACTTGCAATCGCTCGTCGCATCAGGGTTCATGATGTTTCCGCCGTGCGTAAGCACGTACGGCGACAGGAAGTCGTCGCAGGTCGTGCCGTTGGGGGGAGGAATCGTCAACAGTTCGATGTCGGAGCAGATGACTTCAGTGTTTGCAACACCAAGCGAGAGCATGCTGTCGACGAGGTAGGTGAACGGAGACACGCGGTACATGAAGATCCAGAATCCAGGCATCGACGAAGGGCTCGCAAGCACACCACAGAAGATCAAGCAAAGAGAGAAGCATAGCTGCGCAAGAGAGGCCGCGTTATCGGCAATCTCAATTCCCGCGACGGCCATGTCGGCAAACGTCGTAGTGAAGATCATAAACTGCAGAATCATCAAAAACATAAGACCTCCGCGCTCGTGCTGCTGGCCGGCAGCAATAGCATTGTTCTGGAGACCAATAGGGTAGTACCAGGAAACATACGAGAGCACGGCGCCGAGGAACTGCCAAGGGATCTCAGCAAGAATGTTTGCAATCATGAATGATTGCCACGAATACGTCTTTGAGGGTCGCTCGCGAACCTCGTACAGAGCGCGCTGGGTAGCAAAGTTAGGCATAAGCTGGGCACAAATATTTCCAAAGACAGTGTAAAGCATGAAGATCGAGAACATCTGGTTCTGGAGACCTTGAAGCGACGTTCCTGCTTTCCAGAACGAGAAACCGATGAAGAACGCAGGGAAGAAGCAGAGCATGAGCTTGGACCAGATATAAGACGGAGTGCGGTAGTACTGCTGCGAGACACGAATAAGCACTTCACGGAACTGCGTCCAAGTAGTAGAGGCAAACTCTCTATGGTCAGCCTTCGAGGTCGTGACGGGCAGCTTTGAGAGCTCTTCCTTCATGTCGTCGATCTCCTCACGAATCTTCACACGTTCGGGACTCTCGAGCCAGCACTCAGCCCAATCGCGCACAGCGACTGATCCAGGAGCGGCACCCACGACCTCGAGCATCCACTCGGCAGGGTTGGCCTGGGGAGGGCACGGGTGAGCACCTCCACGCTCAAAGTAGTCGATAAGCGTGCGGGAGTTTTCGCCAATGAGGCCAAAGTAGGCAGTGCGACCACCAGACATCAAAAACAAGAGACGGTCAAACTCCTGGAAGAGAATAGCCGAAGGCTGATGAATGGTACACAAGATGGCCTGTCCGTTAGCCGCGAGCTTCTTGAGCAAGGTCAGGATAGACCACGCAGTCTGAGAATCAAGACCCGAAGTAGGCTCATCGAGGAAAAGCAAGAGCTCAGGCTTAGCCGCGAGTTCGACGCCGATGGTAAGACGCTTGCGCTGCTCGACGTTGAGACCTTCACCGAGAATACCGACGACGGCATCAGCGTAGGCTTCCATCTCCAAAGTGTGAATGACTTCCTCGACGTAGGCGGCCTTCTCTTCATAAGGCACATGGGCCGGCTGTCGGAGAACAGCAGCGAACATCAAAGCTTCGCGGACAGTGGAGGTCGAGAGATGAAGATCCTGCTGCTGGACGTAACCGGTCTTGCGCTGGAATGAAGAGTCGCGCTGATGGCCGTTGACAAACATGCCACCGGTGACAACACCCATGGTCACGCGGGAAGCAAGAACATCGAGGAGAGTGGTTTTACCGGCGCCAGATGCTCCCTATGTAGATGGTTAGTAGTGAGGTCAGAGATGGACGTACATATAAAACATACCATAAGAGCAGTAAGGGTACCAGGCTTGACGAAACCATCGACATTGCTGAGAAGTCTTCGCGGTTCACCCTTGATCTTGATGTCGTAGCAGACATCCTTCCAGAAGAAGATGTCGGTGTGCTGCTGAAGATTGAGTTGGATTTCAGCGTCTGCGGCAGCGCTCGTGTTGGCGGTGAGTGGCTTCTCAAGAGTGTTCTGAGCTTCAACGTCTGACTTCTCGGTGTTGTGTTCTTTCATGGCATCAGGAACCTGTCCTCGCTTGAAGACAAGAATCTCACCCTTGGAGCGGGCCGACTGAATGTACTCGGCAGCCAGGAGATACATCAAGGTGAAGAAGACACCGAAAGCAACAAGGATACCAAAGTTTCTCCAGATATGGGACTTGTAGTACTGGTAAGTGACGTTGATGTAGCGGTCACCGTCCATATAGTCCTCACCGACGATGGCACCATTGACAGAGCAGACCATGTTGTCGAGCGGGGTATCTTCGTAACCAGCGCCGGAAGGAACAAAGGCCGAGCAAGGAAACTGGCGATTACGGAATTCGTTGACCATGAAAGCCTCGAATGCGTAAGCGATAGGATCAAGATAGTTCATCCATCTGAACCAACCGTGCATGTTTCTGGTGGGAATTGCAAAACCAGTATAGATGACGAGCAAGAGCATGAAGATACCAGCGGGAGCCATAGCCTGGGAGATAGTTCGAGTGACGGAGCCGATCCAGCGGAAGATCATAGACATTGTCAGGACACAGGTGAAGGAGAAAAGAAGGAAGGTGAAGAAGGCACCCGGAGTTCGTCTGAGGTTCGTCATGAAGTAAAGAGTGAGGTTCGACATGAGACAGTTGAGAATCTTGGTTGGCATATCGCAGGCCATACTCGCGATGGCTTCAGCCGAAGCGTGGTAGAAGGCATAACGAGTTTGCTTTTCAACGATCTGACGCTGAGCGTAGAGAGTAAGAATCTCGAGAGCAGAGGAGAAGGCATTGGTGAGGACGGCAAAGAAGAGCAAGGCACCACGAGAGTAGAACGATCCGGTGTTCTCGGAAAGGTTGTAAAAGACAGACGAGATGACCAAGGCGAGGACGGTGTTGAAGAAGACGGTGAAGAAAGCGATCGAGGGATCTCCCGCAAGTCTCTGGAAGCCACGCATGATGCAGAGTCTGATTTGCATGGAGTAAGAGATGGTGAAGGGAGACTTGACAGAGATACGGCCAGCCTGGTTTGCCTTTCTCGAATCGTAAAACTGCTGCAAAGCCGGACCGTTCAATGGGTATTTCTCTTCAAACTCATCAATCTCCTTGACGACATTCATGCGGAGCTGACTCTCTTGCCAGCGCTGAGCGAACTCGTCAGGCGTACGAGGGACGCGGCTCTCGAAGCCGGGACGCGCGATACGCTCGCCAGGGTTGGTGAGCGAGGTGAGGAAGTCACCAGTGGTCTGACGAGCAGGGCACTCGAAACCCATGTCGATGAAGAACTGCTTGGCAAGCTTGGTCGAGCCAAAGTAGATCTGACGACCCTCGTAGAGGACGATGACCTTGTCGAACTCATCGTAGGCGTCCTGCGAGGCCTGGTAGAGCGAGACAAGCGAGGTCGTCTTTGTGGTCTTGGCAAAGAGCTTCAAATTGCGGATGAAGGTCAAAGCAGTAGCCGAGTCGAGACCACGGGTGGAGTTGTCCCAGCATTGCAGGGGAGCACCACCGAGCATGGCTTCAGCGATAGAGACACGCTTGCGCTCACCTCCGGAGACACCACGGACGTACTCGTTGCCAACCTTGGTGTTGATGGTGTGAGTAAGACCGAGCATAGCCATGACAACGTCGCGCATATGCTCAGCGTAGCGCTCACGGGAGACGCCCTCAATTCTGTTATGCGGGGTGCGCGCAAGAGCAGCAAAGTAGAGGGTCTGGCCGACAGTCAGGTGAGGGAAGTGAATATCGACTTCGGCGTTGTAGATGACTTCACCGCGGAATTGCGAGCGCATGAGCTTGGCGGGGACACCCTGGTAGTTGAGGTGGGAGTCTTCCTTGATGTAGTAACCGTGAGTGTCACCGGACATTGTCTTGAGGAAGGTCGAGCAGCCACTAGAGAGGATGAGTTAGATATTGAGGGTGGAGAGCAAAGGACAGGATGGAGACGTACGATCCGGGACGACCAAGGACCATGAGCATTTCACCGGGTTGAAGGACACCCTCAAAGTTTCTGAGAATGTCGATGCGAAGACCCTTGTTGCGGGTGATGAGCATGCGCGCGCGGTTCAGGCCATCGAGGGCGATATTTGCGACGGTCTTTTGAAAGTCAGCAGCGGAACCGAAACCGAAAGCGGAGAGATTGCGGAAGGCGACGCCGGCGGTGCGGACGGGGAATGTTTCGGGGTCGCGTGTGTGGATGTCAAGAAGGGTGCGGACGAAGTAGTTGGGGGAGAACTGCTTGGAGAAGGGATCAAGACGGGGGTCGTTGGAGGAGTCGAGGAAGGGATTCTTGTCCTTGGCGAAGGCGGACCCGGAAGCGGAGAGGTTTGAGATCTGACGGGCTAGGGCGAGAACTTCGGGATGGTGATCGTCGTCGCCGGTGGGAGAGGAGGAGGAGGAGGAGGAGGAGTTTGTGACTTTCTCGTCGACTTTCTCGTCGATGGAGGGATCCATGATGCGAGTGATGAGGAGGAGGGGTGAGGAGAAGAGGAAGAGGAGGAGGAGGAGGAGGAGGAGGAGGAGGGAGAGTGGTAGGAAGAGGAAATCGGGCAAATAAATAAAGAATGAATTCGGGCGGCGGCAAGAAATCCTTCGAACAAAGAAAGGAAGAAATTAAGTCAACGTCCAGTGATCCTTGGAAGCGTTGCGTCGACCGCTCGACTCGGGACGGGGCTCCTGGCTCCTTGGCCCCCGGGTTCGTGACGTCAAGAGTGGACTACGCCGGACTGAACTGATGTCGGTGGTGGTCTCTACGCTGCTTGTTGTTTCTTTATTATTCGCATTGTTTGAGTACTGAAAAACCAGATCATCGAGCAGTTCAACAATGGCTTGACTGAACAAGGGAAGCTTATGTAATAAGGCGGAGGATGGAAGAAAGGCATTGTGAAGGCTCCGAGTATCCAGAGGCGCGGGTTAGGGCTCTGGCTCGGAATTCAGCGCATCCGCTCGTATTCAGGTCACGTGTTTCGTATTCGAGCCGCGCCGCGAGTATTGGAGGTACTACGATATCTCTTGCAAAGAGCAGCGCAGTGGGGTCAATTGATAGAACAAACTGTCACTCAGCTCAGAGCTATTGTTGCGATCAAAATCAACAGACAGTCAGCATCAGCATCAGCATAGCAAAGTACAGAGGAGGAAACAGAACAACAGAGGTCTCTACGGAGCGGGAGAGCGCAGGTCCGGCGTCAGCAGTGCGGTTGGCTCCAAGGCCCGAAGTCGAATATGTCGACAGTCAGTGTCGCCCTGTGTCGAAAAGCAGTCGACACAGTAGTAAGAAATTGCAGCTTCACAAAATGAAAACGTAAAAATAAATCAAAACAAACAAACAAACCGCGAATTCAGATCCCGGGCCCGGTGACGACGACGATGACGCCGGATCATCGGTCGATCAGCGCTTCTCTTCCTCTTCTTCTTCTTCCACTGCTCTGTTTTCCTGCATACAATTCCTACAACTTCTCTACTCTTCTTCCCGGCCGCGAGCTCACAACAGCGCATCTCCCTCTCGCTGCATGCGCCCCGCGTGCGCGCGCGCCCCTACGGACGCCGCAGTGCCCGGGACCCGCGCCGCACGAGAACCCCGATCGGGAGACCCCAACCCTGCACCTGATCCTGCTCGGGAGCAGATCGCGGTGGTCTCCCGAGCCGGCGTCTGTCCTCGTCCTCGTCCGCGAGCGCCGGCTCCGGCCCAGCGACCCCGGTCACCTTCTTACTTTCTTCGCGGCCACCTCAGCGTATTCCTGCTGACTGTGCACTCAAATCACGGCCGCGCCTTTAGTCAGACATCCCCACCCTAGCCCAAAGACCGCTCCTCCTTCCACCGGAATCTTACTAATCGTCAACCCTTGCCCTCGATATCTCCGTCGGTGCCGACCGGCGCCGACATTTCCTTATCTCCTTCACCATCTATCCGTCTTCCGTCTCTCTTTTTTGCTATTATACCCTGTTTTTTTTTGAAAAAATTGCATATATCTGTGATGATCGCCTATGATATTGTAATAAACTCATTTAGAGCTACTATTCCGCGACTCAGCGGGAGTAGAGAGTGGTGATCTGACTCCGTCCTTACAAATCCCTCTATCCGCACGGTGCTCCTCTGCCAAAACAAAATCACACCTTTGCCTACTCTCAAAATAAGCCTCTTGATATGCATCTGATTCGAATCGACATACACCGTCCTTCTATCTCTATCCGACACCCGCCCTTTGGCTTGAGCCTAAACCAAAATCATCCCACGGCGCTGTCCTCGTAATCGCCTTTGCCAAACTTTTTAAAAGGATCTGCCTCCCGCTTTTGTTTTTATTTTTTTGCCTTCCTCGTCACTCTCCCTCTCCTTCACCCCCCTCCTCTACCCATCATCCCAATGGCAGACGAAAAATCCCCTCTCGCCGACGACGGCTGGGTTCAGTCCTCTGCTCAACCCGGCGAAATCGTCAACGACACTGGTGCTCAAGACGATGACTTCGACGCCCGCGTCACCAACCTCGCCCGTCAGATTTCCCATCTTTCGACCTACTCGAGTCAGCACGGCCCCAGCCCGGACGGCCTCAACCCTTTCCTTGACTCCTCCGACGACCCTCGTCTCGACCCCTTCTCTGACAAGTTCTCGGCTTCCTTCTTCGTCGAGACCTTGCTCGATATCGGACGACGGGACCCCGGTGCTTATCCCGTCCGTACGGCCGGTGTCTGCTTTCGTGACCTGTCTGCTTACGGATATGGTACCGGCTCTGACTACCAGATGACCGTCGTCAACGCTATACTCAAGATTTCCTCAGCAATCACTGATATCGTTGTCAAGCGCAACCGTCAGCGAATTGACATCCTCAGAAACTTTGATGGTGTCCTCCAGCCCGGTGAGATGCTTATGGTCCTCGGTCGTCCTGGCTCGTATGTCTCACTTCTCACTTCTTTCCCATCCTCTCTTTCTTACTAATCCTTCATCTCAGTGGCTGCACCACCTTCCTCAAGACCATCGCTACTGATACCCATGGTTTCTTCCTCGACGACACCAGCCACTTCAACTATCAAGGTACATCTCTTTCTTCTATATCTCTACTCTATCTTCATCAAGCTCACACCTCCTAGGTGTCCCCTACAACCTCATGCGCTCGCAATTCCGCGGTGAGGTCCTCTACAACGCCGAAACAGATGTCCACTTCCCTCACTTGACCGTCGGCCAGACCCTCAAGTTCGCCGCCCTCGCCCGCACCCCTCACAACCGTATCCCGGGCGTTTCCCGTGACCGCTACGCTGAGCACATGCGTGATGTCGTTATGGCTATGCTCGGTCTTTCGCACACCATCAACACCAAGGTCGGTGACGACTTTGTCCGCGGTGTCTCCGGTGGTGAGCGCAAGCGTGTCTCTATCGCTGAGGCCATGCTCGGTGGTGCGCCATTGCAGTGCTGGGATAACTCCACCCGTGGTCTTGATTCCGCTACTGCTTTGACATTTATCCGCAACTTGAAGCTCTTTGCCAAGACCACAAAGACGACCTCGCTCGTCTCGCTCTACCAGGCCTCGCAGGACGCCTACGATGAGTTCGACAAGGTCATCGTCCTCTACGAAGGTCGCCAGATCTACTACGGCTCGACCAAGCTTGCCAAGCAGTTCTTCATCGACATGGGTTTCGAGTGCCCTGCTCGTCAGACCACTGGTGACTTCCTCACCTCGCTCACCAACCCTGGCGAGCGTATCGCGCGTCCTGGATTCGAGAACCGCGTCCCTCGTACGCCTGACGAGTTTGCCGCTCGCTTCAAAGAGAGCGACATCTACAGAGCTTTGCGCCAGGAAATGGACACTTTTGAGAACCAATTCCCCGTCAACGGTCCCACCCTGCAGTCCTTCATCGACTCCCGCAAGGCCAACCAGTCTGGCAACATCTCAATCAAGTCGCCCTACACCATCTCGGTCGCCATGCAGATCAAACTTTGCGTCACTCGTGGCTTCCAACGTCTCAATGGTGACTGGACTCTTTTCTTCACTACCTTGTTCTCTCAAATTGTCTTGGCTCTTGTCGTTTCCTCGGTCTTTTATAACCTGCCCTCCAATACTGGCTCGTTCTATTCCCGTGGTGCCTTGCTCTTCTTTGCTATCTTGCTCAATGCCTTCTCGTCTGCTCTCGAAATTCTCTCGCTCTACGCCCAGCGTCCGATCGTCGAAAAGCACACAAGATATGCATTTTACCACCCGTTCACCGAAGCCGTTGGCTCCATGCTTTGCGACATGCCGCTCAAGATCTTGGTCGCCATCGGCTTCAACGTCACTCTCTACTTTATGAGTAACCTGCGTCGCTCGGCTGGTCCCTTCTTCATCTTCTTGCTCTTCTCCTTCTCGGTCGTCATGGCAATGTCTATGATTTTCAGAACCATCGGTGCCTGCTCGCGCTCGATTTCCCAGGCCATGGCTCCAGCCGGTGTTTTGATTCTCATGCTCGTCATCTACACCGGTTTCACCATTCCCGTCAGGAACATGCACGGATGGGCTCGCTGGATGAACTACCTCGACCCCATCGCCTACGGCTTCGAGTCTCTCATGATCAACGAGTTCCGTCACCGCCAGTTCCCTTGCTCTTCTATGATTCCTTCCGGCCCTGGCTATGAAGACGTTCCCGCCGACGCCCAGATTTGCTCTGTCGTCGGCGCCGTCGCTGGCCGCGATTACGTCGAGGGCAATGACTACATCGGTCAGAGTTTCAAGTACACCAACGGCCATCTCTGGCGTAACCTTGGAATCACCTGGGGTTTCGTCGTCTTCTTCTGTGGTATCTATCTTCTTTCTACCGAGTACATCTCTGCCGCTCGCTCCAAGGGTGAGGTTCTCGTCTTCAAGCGTGGTCAGCTTCCTCCTGCCTTGGCTCATCCTGATGATGTTGAGGCTGCCAACATGCACGAGAAGCAGAAGCTTGAGTCCAGTTCTTCCTCTGAGCAGATCAACATCCAGAAGCAGACCGACATTTTCTTCTGGAAGGATGTTTGCTATGATATCAAGATCAAGAAAGAGCCCCGTCGTTTGCTCGACCATGTTGATGGTTTCGTCAAGCCCGGTACTTTGACCGCTCTTATGGTGAGTTTCGTTTCTATTTTTTTTCTCAAGTTATATGCAAGTTCTAACATTTCCACAGGGATCCTCTGGTGCGGGTAAAACCACACTTCTCGATGTTTTGGCTTCTCGTGTCACTATGGGTGTCGTTACCGGCGAAATGCTTGTCAACGGCCACCAGCGTGACTCTTCGTTCCAGCGTAAGACCGGTTACGTCCAGCAGCAGGATCTTCATCTCTCGACCTCTACCGTCCGTGAGGCTCTGACTTTCTCTGCTCTTCTCCGCCAGCCAGCGTCTACTCCTCGTGCTGAGAAGATCGCGTACGTCGACGACGTTATCAAGATTCTTGAGATGGAGGCCTACGCTGATGCCGTCGTCGGTGTCCCTGGTGAAGGTCTTAACGTCGAACAGCGCAAGCGTCTCACTATCGGTGTCGAGCTTGCTGCTAAGCCCCAGCTCTTGCTCTTCCTCGACGAGCCCACTTCCGGTCTTGATTCCCAAACTGCTTGGTCTATCTGCTCACTTATGCGCAAGCTTGCAAACAACGGTCAGGCTATTCTTTGCACTATCCATCAGCCTTCTGCTATTCTCTTCCAGGAGTTTGATCGTCTTCTTTTCCTCACCCGTGGCGGTAAGACCGTTTACTTTGGAGAGATCGGCGAGAACTCGCATACTTTGACCTCTTACTTTGAGCGCAACGGTGCTCACAAGTGTCCTCCTCAGGCTAACCCTGCCGAGTGGATGCTTGAAGTTGTTGGTGCCGCCCCCGGATCTGTCGCTGTCAAGGATTGGTTCGACGTCTGGTCCCACTCTCCAGAGCGCCAGGCCATCCGCGACGAGATCGACCATATGAAGACCGAACTCTCGCAGATTCCAAAGTCTGAAGATGATACCGCGTCCCGCGAGTTCTCTGTCAACTTTGCCGAGCAGTTCAATGCCGTCTTTGTTCGTGTCTGCCAGCAGTACTACCGCACTCCTTCTTATCTATGGTCTAAGATGGGTCTCTCGACCGTCTCTGCGCTCTTCATTGGTTTCTCGTTCTTCAAGGCTGGAACTTCGCTCCAGGGTCTTCAGGATCAGATGTTTTCGATTTTCATGCTCTACACCATCTTTGGTAACATTTGTGCCCAGCTGATGCCCAACTTTGTCACCCAGCGTTCGCTGTACGAGGTTCGTGAGCGACCCTCAAAGACCTACTCGTGGCAGGCATTCATGCTCTCCAACATCTGCGCTGAGATCCCGTGGCAGACTATCTGCGCTGTCACTATGTACTTCTGCTGGTACTACCCCATTGGTCTGTACGCCAATGCTGTACCCACGGATGCAGTGCACGAGCGTGGTGGACTCATGTTTTTGCTCATCTTTGTCTTCATGATTTTCACCTCCACTTTCGCTCACATGGTTGTGGCCGGTATCGACCTTGCGGATACGGCCGCTAACTTGTCCAACTTGTGCTTCTCGCTCACGCTTATCTTCTGCGGTGTCCTTGCTACTCCCGAGTCCATGCCCGGTTTCTGGATTTTCATGTACCGCGTGTCGCCGTTCACTTATCTCATCGACGCTATGTTGTCCGTTGCTGTCGCAAACACGGATGTTGTCTGCGACTCCATCGAGCTCAAGCACTTCAACCCTCCTTCCGGCCAGACCTGCGGTGACTACATGCAGACCTACATTGATACAGCTGGTGGCAAGCTTTCCAACCCCAATGCCACCACGGACTGTGAATTCTGCACAATTTCTTCGACCAATACCTTCTTGGCCAGCGTCAACAGCTACTACCATCACCGATGGCGTAACTTCGGTCTCATGTGGGCGTACGTCATCTTCAACGTGTTCGGCGGTATTGCGCTGTACTGGCTGATGCGCGTGCCCAAGAAGTCGATGAGAAAGAAGAAAGACGACTGATTGAGTAAATATGGAAACATATCTTGTTTATACTATATTTCCCTTTTATTTTGCTTTTCATTTTTATTATTTATGGGTTTTTGTTCCTAAGCATTAAATTTGTTCCTAAGCATTAAATTATATGGCTACATGACTTGGTGCACAGTCCGGTTTTATCATATTATATAGAAGACAGATGGATACCTTTTATTTTTTATTATCTCTTAGTTTTTGTTGTGTCAAATAGTCACTCTTTACCCTTTTCTATATTATATGCGATTAGCATTCGCGTGTAAATCACAAAGTAGGATTCTGAGGTGTAGACTAGTTGACAAACTCCCAATGGCGATAACTATGCGGTAACTGTCTCAGGGAGAATACAATCTTTCATGATTAACGTCAATCCCTGTAGATTCGCGCTTCAGTAGGGTTCCGCGCACTTTCAACCACAGTACTATAGTTGAAAATAGTGACGACTTAGTTAACAATCACCTAATGCGTAGGCATCATAAGTGCCCGGTAATTTGAGAGTGTAGTGGCAAACACACAAGCCTGCTCAATCGCTCTATATATTTCATCTAACCATCTATAAAGACCGTACTATCCCTCTAGTTCAGTTGCAACTACGAAATACAGCTCGAATGCTGTGGCATCTGATGCATCATGGACGCGATCCTGAGGCCTTGCTCTGTTATGGGTATACTTAGAAAGCGACGGGCCTAGAAGTACGTTGGTAAAACAAACACGGTGAGTACAAGAAGCTGAACCGGCAGACCGTTGAGAAATGGCGATCTTGATGTTTACATATCATTTCTGGTCAACATCTTAACCGCAACTTGACTCTAGGTAAAGAAAGAGATCCAAAAGGATACTGAGCATACAAGGCATCATCTATAAGCGCGCTGATGCAAACCTGGAAAGACAGGAATATGATTTATAAAGACAATATCGGAGCACAATGCAAGGCGATCGGTATCGGCGATATATACGACCGAGAGGCGAATACAGGTCGGGGAAGTCAGAGTTATTTAAGATAACACCCGGAACTCGGAGAAGGGGCGCCGCGCCACTGCTTAAAGCCCTTTGCCTGCTCAGAACTTGTCAAAGACGGTGTTGACGTCCGCGAGCTAAAGCTTAAACAGGAGAAACTTGAGCGAGAAAGTTTACGCCTTCCTCAGTTTGAGCTAGTGCGAAGCCGAGATTTATGCAAACCATGAGCATGTGCCTTTCGTGCTGTCTGCAGAGGCAGCGTCTCCCTGATCTTCAATGCTAGAAAGACTCAAACTCAGCTCCAGCCTTCTACACGTTGAAAACAGAGGTCTGAGACGGTCAGTTATATAGCCTGCTTCTTGAAAACGGTCGATCCCAATAACAACGCTGCAGATGATATCATCGCTCTCATACTAATGCGCCGCGCCGCTGCAAGCGGGAGGCAGTCGCTATTGTCAGGTCTTGGGACTTAGGCGAGCCCAGCTGTAATTTAAGCTTTCTATTTTCCACAGTCTCACCTGATAAATAGCCCTTCCAGCTTTTCGGTCAGTCCACACCTTTTCTATGCCCACCCGTTGCTCTGGTGACGTAGCTCTGGCCCATGCCTTGTCTAGCTCAACGGTCGTCAACGACTATGCAAAACATATATAATAACCAACCGGCTCACCGTCCTCGTAGATTCATATTCCCCACCTCCATACTCATATCCTCACTATGCCGCCTGAGAAGTTATCGTCGAATACCTCTCTCGCTTCCTCATCTACTGCATCCGCAGTCAGGGCAGACGCCAAAGACGACAGCAACTCCAATGGATTCGAAGAAGATCCTGAAATTGAAGCCGAGGTTCTTCAGCTCGCCCGCACAGTCTCGAACCTCTCTTCACGCAGCGCCGCAAGCAGCGACATCGCCTCTGGCAACATAAACCCATTCATCGACCAATCAACAGATCCTAGACTTGATCCGAACTCTGAGCACTTCTCGGCTGCCTTCTTTGTTCGCACCCTTCTAGACATTGAGAAACGGGACCCCCAAACCTATCCTGTTAGAACGGCTGGCGTATCATTCAAGAACCTTTCCGCTTTCGGCTATGGCACCTCCACAGATTATCAAAAGACCGTCGTCAACACTCTCTTCCACCTTTGTGACCGCGCTTTTGCTATCCTTACTCGTCGAAAGGAGGCTCGCATTGATATCTTGAGGAACTTTGACGGCCTACTCCTACCCGGGGAGATGCTAATGGTCTTGGGACGTCCTGGATCGTACGTACTCGTTCATATTGTCTGTACTATCGGCTCATTTTGTCTGACTCTATCAACTCTGCTAGTGGATGCACTACATTCCTCAAGGCTATTGCCGTAGACTCTCACGGCTTTCACTATGGACCCGAGTCCTTCATGAACTATCAAGGTATACTGCACCTATTATGTCAGAAGCCCACATTTTACTGAGCTGACAATGATACTCTTTAGGCGTCTCCCGAGAATTGATGGAGAACCAATTTCGTGGCGAGATAGTTTACAATGCCGAAACGGAAGCCCATTTTCCTCATTTGACTGTTGGTCAGACCTTGTACTTTGCAGCTCTCGCCCGCACCCCCAAAAATCGGATCACAGGTGTATCGCGTGATACATATGCCTCCACTATGCGCGACGTCGTCATGTCGATGCTCGGACTGACCCATACTCTCAACACAAAGGTCGGCGACGACTATGTCCGCGGTGTATCTGGCGGAGAGCGCAAGCGCGTGTCGATTGCTGAGGCCATGCTCAGCGGGGCTCCTCTCCAGTGCTGGGATAACTCTACTAGAGGACTGGATGCGGCAACCGCGATCTCGTTCATCAGAAATCTCAAGATGTTTGCAAAGACTACAAAGACTACCTCATTTGTTTCTCTCTATCAAGCATCACAGGACGCATACGACATCTTCGACAAGGTCACTGTTCTGTACGAGGGACGTATGATCTATTTTGGGTCTACAAAACGCGCGCAAAAGTTCTTTGAAGACATGGGATTCGAGTGTCGAGCTCGCCAAACCACTGGTGACTTCTTGACATCGCTCACGAATCCTGTGGAGCGCATAGTCAAGCCCGGGTTTGAGGGAAAGGTTCCAAAGACGTCGGACGAGTTTGCCGAACGATGGAGGCAGAGTGAGATGTACGCAGAGCTCATGAACGATATCGACAACTACAACAACCAGTATCCGCAACTTGGTCCATCGTTCGAGCAGTTCTTGAAGTCACACAAGGCCGCGCAGTCGGATCATATCTCCTCAAAGTCTCCTTATACTATCTCATATCCAATGCAGGTTAAAATCTGCGTTGTGCGCGGATTCCAGAGAATTGCAAACGACATATCGACTCCGGTTGTTAACGTCGTCTCGAACTTTGCTCTCGCGCTCATTATCTCCTCTGTCTTCTATAACCTTCCTCAGACCACTTCATCCTTCTATTCTCGAGGTGCTCTCTTGTTCTTTGCCGTCTTGATCTCTGCGTTCTCTTGTGCTATCGAGATCATGCAGCTCTACAGCCAGCGAGAAATCGTCGAAAAGCACCGAAGATACGCCTTGTATCATCCGTCTTCGGAGGCAATTGCAAACATGATCTGCGAGCTGCCAGCCAAAATCTGCACTTGCATCAGCTTCAACGTCACTCTTTATTTTATGACAAACCTGCGTCGTGAAGCTGGTGCTTTCTTTATATTCTTGCTCTTCTCGTTTACCTGCACCTTGACAATGTCTGGCATCTTCCGCACGATTGCAGCCTTTACAAAGTCGATTTCTCAGGCCATGGCTCCATCCGGAGTTATTATGCTCCTCATCGTCATTTATACCGGCTTTACTATCCCTACCCAAAACATGCACGGCTGGTTCCGTTGGTTCAACTATATCGACCCAATCGCTTATGTTTTCGAGTCTTTCTTGATCAACGAGTTCCGCAATCGCTCATACGCATGCTCAAGCTTCATCCCAGAGGGCGGGGTTTATGATGAGATACCGACTTCTGATCGTATTTGCTCATCGACCGGTGCTGTGCTGGGTGAGGACTACGTCCAAGGAAATAACTTTATTGAGACGAGCTACAGATATATGCCATCTCATATTTGGCGGTAGGTTATCTTCTCATTCTTCTTTGCTTATACTTTGGCGACGATAGTTGTACTTTAATCCGGCCACTAACACTCTACTCTAGGAATTACGGTATCCTTTGGGCGTTCCTGATTTTCTTCAACGGTTTATATCTCTTCGCGACTGAATACATCCGCTCCGCTCGATCAAAGGGTGAAGTGCTCGTGTTTCAGCGAAGCCACTTTGCTAAACACGGAAACGCGGCCAAACTTCCTTCGGATGATATCGAAAGTGCTAATCAGCACGAGAATACAGCTGTGGGAGATGACAAGTCAACTGACTCTCAGGATATTAATCTCCAGAAGCAGACCGATATCTTTTTTTGGAAAAATGTCTGCTATGATATCCCAATCAAGGGGGGAAAGACAAGACGTCTTCTGACCAACGTCGACGGATACGTGAAACCTGGAACTTTGACTGCACTTATGGTAAGCACTCATACTTCCATTAGATATCTATAATCATATCACTAACATCTTTGCGTGTAGGGTGCCTCTGGTGCTGGCAAAACGACTCTTCTTGACGTTCTTGCTTCTCGGGTCACTTTAGGTGTCGTTACAGGCGACATGCTTGTCAATGGCCATCAGCGAGACAATTCATTCCAACGCAAAACCGGTTACGTGCAGCAGCAAGATCTTCACCTCTCTACATCGACTGTCCGCGAAGCTCTCAGATTTTCAGCCGTTCTGCGCCAGCCAACTACAGTCCCGATGAAAGAACGCGTTGCCTACGTCGACGAGGTCATCAAAATCCTGGAAATGGAGTCATATGCTGATGCTGTGGTCGGTGTTCCCGGTGAGGGACTTAATGTTGAGCAAAGAAAGAGACTGTCGATTGGGGTCGAACTTGCCGCTAAGCCACAGTTATTGCTATTCCTTGACGAGCCTACTTCTGGTCTTGACTCGCAAACGGCGTGGTCAATTCTTCTTCTGCTTCGCAAACTCACAAATCATGGTCAAGCTATCTTGTGTACTATTCACCAGCCTTCAGCGGTCTTGTTTCAGCAATTTGACCGGCTTCTTTTCCTAGTACCTGGAGGCAAGCCCGTGTACTTTGGCGAGATCGGACCCAACTCGCGAACTCTCATTGATTACTTTGAGCGCAATGGCTCGCCTCATTGTGCAGAAAATGCGAACCCTGCAGAGTGGATGCTCGAGGTAGTGGGCGCCGCACCTGGAAGTGTGATGGTCAAAGACTTTGCCCAAGTTTGGCTAGATAGTCCAGAGCGTGCTGCTATTCAACAAGAGCTGGATCAGATGCGAGACGAGCTTTCGAAGTTGGCTGTCAACGAAGATCCACACGGATCGCAGGACTTTGCAGCTCCTTTCAGTGTTCAGTTCAAGGAAGTGATATATCGTGTATCTCAACAGTTTTATCGCACGCCTACATATATCTGGTCAAAAATGTTTCTGTGTTTTTTCGCCGGGTTCCTGATCGGATTCTCTTTTTACAAGGCGGATAAGAGCAAACAAGGCCTTCAAAATCAAATGTTTGCTGTTTTCATGCTCTACGCAATCTTTGGCAATATCTCGCATCAGCTTATGCCGAATTTTGTAACTCAGAGATCGCTATATGAGGTTCGTGAGCGACCTTCGAGAACTTATTCGTGGCAAAGCTTCATGGCCGCCAATATTGTTGCCGAGATCCCTTGGCAGCTACTTTGTGGCCTTCTTGCTTTTGTGGTTTGGTACTATCCAATCGGACTCTATGAGAACGCAAAACCAACGCACAAAGTTGGTGAGCGCGGTGTTCTCATGTTTTTACTTATTGAAGAGTTCATGACATTTACATCGACATTCTCGCATATGATGATTGCTGGTATTGAGGTCACTCAGACTGCCGCTTTCATTACGTCGTTTTGCTTGTCGATGACGCTCACGTTCTGCGGCGTCTTGGTATCGCCTGACAGCATGCCTGGGTTCTGGATATTCATGTATCGCATTTCTCCGTTCACTTATCTGGTGGACGCCATGCTCTCTGTCGGGGTTGCAAACACAGAAGTGACTTGTTCGGCAATTGAGTACTCACAATTCCCAACGGAAGGGAATTTGACATGTGGGGAATACATGTCGGGCTACATGTCAGTTGCTGGCGGGTATCTGGAAGATCCAGAGTCGACCGACATGTGCTCCTTCTGCTCACTCAAATACACCAACGTCTTCCTCGCTAGTGTGCATTCGAGCTATGATTTGAGATGGAGAAACTTTGGACTGATGTGGGCGTACATCATATTCAATGTGTTTGGAGCTTTCTTTGCGTATTGGCTATTCAGAGTGCCAAAGAAGACGACAAAACACATACACAAGATTTCTTTCCATCCCTCGGAGCATAATCTTCTTGGTCATCATCATCAGAAGGCGGACAAGGAGAACTCTGCTGAGAAAAGTCCAGCGGAGGACAAAAGCCTGGAAAAAGGAAATCTTGTTGAATAGTAGTAGGTAGTGACGGTGTTTTTAGGGTGTCGTCTATGTCAGCTTGTCAACAGTACGCGATTTAAGTTGGTCGTAGGGTAGGGACATACATCAGTTATAGTATAGTATAGGTATAGGTTACAGTAGTAGTAGTAGTTGTATTAATCTTTTATTTATTTTATGTTATATTTCTCTATCAGTACGGAAATGCGCAGCTTGGGAAGTGAGATTCATCGATCATATCCGCGACTCCTCCGAGAATTATGTAGCTCAGGTCCTCGGCGGGTGAGACCGTTGAATCCGATGCTCTTGATTCTCTTTTGTAGCAACGTTATACAAACCCTACACAAACCCTTTAGTGGCGACATCAATCATCCCCGAGGAAGGAACACTGCCAATAACGTGTGCAAAAAGACTAGCTAGGTGAACGGAATGCTGGATCTTCCTGGACCGCACCCGTAGAAGGAAGGTTCCTGGGGTGAGGAGTAGAGCTTTAGCGGGTAGCTCGGTCGGAAGTCTGAACACAGACTCGCCTCGCGTTGAAGGCGGAGTCTGGGAAGAGGGTTATTGCACAGATAAAAAGCGACTAGGCTCTTCAATTTCAAATCTACTCTCCCTCTCTGCTCTCCGAAGGTACAGAAAGAAATGGAGATGGCGGCATCAGCACGGTAGACGCAGATTGTGATTTTCTGTACTAGCGACAATCAGCAGCAGTCTCCAGACCTGAGCCGCATGCGCGCTATTATGAACAAGTGTAATCGACAAGGCGGAGATTCGTGAGGTGATAAATAATAATACTGGATGGATGAGAGAGAACGAGTACTCAGAACCGAGGGAAGCGCTGGTGCGTCATGATGGGATCTACGAGTGTTTTCTACAGGAGAGGAGCGATTAAAAAAAAAAAAAAAAGGTAGACACTAGCAATCAAATGCGGTTCAGAGATGATCCCTAGTGACAACCCGTTGATGATAATATTGATGAAAAGCAAAAACGAAACTGAAAAGACTTGGAAAAAGGTCCGACGAGGACTTGAAAAGCGTGATATACGCGCGGGGGAATCAAGCGACAGAGCCCAGTGAGTGATTCGCCTCCAGCTCTGCGCGATTAGGTGATTGTTTCTTTTTTTTGGTATTTGGCGGGATCAAAGATAACCCTATTTCACAGAAATAAAAGAGAGGGTATTCCGAGCCAGTACATTGCAGAGGCCACTGGTTTTAACGTCCAGTGGCGACCGTACAGCAGGGAAGATGGTGGTGCAGACAGACAGGTGGGTTACTTCTTGAGGCATATACCAACATGTGGTGCGATGAGATGACTTCAGCAAGGGTTCCTGTACAATGGGTATGAGACAGAAATGAGGAGGTGTAGACCACTTCTCTCATCGGATGTTGGGGTATTAGCCTGAACAGTAGTCGAAGTATAGGACTCTTCTGGTTCGTTCCAGGGTGAATAGATATGCTGCAGAAAGGGTGGACTAGAAAGTGCAACAAGGGTCAGTCGGAGAGTCGCAGAGCAAGGCTAACAAGGGCATATACATACGTCGGCCGCTATTATAGCGAAGCCTTGACCAGCGATTGAAAATCTTTATAAACAAAGCACGATCATAGGCAGTTAAAAACAGAAATCCGTAGGATGATCCGGTGCCTAGCTGGTCCTTATGTTGCCTTTTGTCGATACGAGAGGCGAAGTTGTCGTAGACAAAGTCGAGCCCGTGAAATATCAGGGCGTCGTTGAGGCGGATGCGAGAGAGATCCACGTTAAAGACCGGGGATTGTCTCTCTTCGGGGATCAAGTCGTCGTCGTCGTGGGCGGCGAAGCAAGTGCTGGGCTGAAGGCGTCCGTAGCCTCTCTCGATCGTCGGATAGCCCGCAAAAGCAGATTCGAGCCGCGATTGCGCGTATGTAGGGAGATGTCGGCAGCGACGGTGCATGTAGAACGCAGCAGCAGTATGCGATGCACCGGAGGGGCGTGTTCCCCTCTGGCCGAAAACCATTGTTGGAAAAGCACGGGAAGGGTGGGTGTTGCTGAAGTTCAGGGAGTAGTGAGAGGTGAGGAAGAAGAGGAGAAGAGAGAGAGCGGCGGGAGAGCGGACTTTTTATATAATAATATTCCATCCTTGTTCAAACACAGGCGGGCGGTCTTCTTGCTCGTAAAAACGCGTTCTGAGGTCAACAAGGCTTTTGTCACATGTTGTAGGATAGGCACGTGACTCTTTACTACTACGGTTCACGCAGCGCTGTCCCCTATTAGTAGGTAGGTAGTGCTGATTCTGTTCTCCCTCCTCGGGTGTCAGCTCTCCTAACCGTTTGGAGCCGCAACTGGGAAAACCGAGATGGTCAACGATGACTCGCTTGCACTTTTCCAGGGTTTTGTGTAGATATCTCCTTGTTCAAAAATATACCAACCGTTCTACATGCTCAGACCCTACACAAACCCTAGCTCAGCAGGTTCAGATACAAGGCCGCCCTTGTTCGAACAGGGCACAAATGGCCAACATGAAGGGCCTCGCTCGCTCCCATCTATCCTCCTCATTCCTCCTCACAACTCCTCACTACTTCCCTTCCTTCGTCACCTCAGCTGCCACTTTCCCCGTTTCCCTATCCCAAACAATATGGCTGTCGACAAGAAGGAAACGCGTTCTTCTCGTGCATCGCAACATGCTGCTGCAAGCTCAAAGCACGATAGCCGACCAAATCCAACGCACACTCACTTGCTCTCCTCATTACAAGGTAACTCGATGGCCAAGAGAGGAGACAACGGACGTCACCCACCCCGTGATCGTTGCTTACACTACGACAATGAAGCACAATGGAAAGAGCACATCAATCATGAACTTCATATTGACAGGGTGGTCCTTTTCTCACCCCTTCCCGACGCTCATAACCATATTGATGAACTCAAACGCCGCTTACGACGATTTCGCCTCTCGCATTGGCAAAGGCAACGATAAGGATCAGCTGGGCAACGGATGAATCGCAGGATCGAGTCCGGGTTTCTGTTTTTAACTGCCTATGGTCGTGCTCGCTCGAAAAGATTTTCAATCGCTGGTTATCAAGGTTTCGCTGTATAGCAGCCAGCGTATATATGACGGTCCTATGATTTCTTGTCTCTTCCCTCAAGCTTTACTGACTTCCCCTTGTTCATCTAGCTGCCCCCCCGCAGCATATCCAAACCTGGGACGAATCAGAAGAGTCCAATACTTCGACTACTGCTCAGGCAGATACCCCAACCTCTCATGAGAGAAGTGGTCTACCTTGACCGTATATCTGTCTTGCCATTGCATAGAATTCCCTTGCTGAAGTCGTCTTATTTACTGAACTACAGGTTGGTATCTCTTCAAAGAAGTAACGCTACTGTCTGTCTGCACCCTCTTCCCTGCTGTACGGTTGTCACTGAATGTTAAATCATTGGTCTCTGGAAAGTACTGGCTCGGAATACCCTCCATATTCTTCTGTGAAACACTGACTGTTATCTCTTATCCCGCCAAAAAGTATCGAATCGCGCAGGACTGGGGGCGAATCAATAATCCGGACTCTGTCGCTTGATTTTCGCGTGTGCGATAGCTCGTGTTATTTCAATTCAACACTCCTTTCAGTTTCTTATTACTGATTTGTTTTTTGTTTTGTCTTTGTCTTTGCATTTCAAATTTATTGGGGGTCGTTGGCGAGCATTTTGATCGCTGGTGGCTCCCTTCACCTTATTGATTCTGTAGCCGTGTTTGTAGATCGCTGTATAATACTGCAGCATTTAATATACACCAACCCTCTTATAAAAGTCCATAAATATGCAATCACATTAAATTCAGTGAAGAGCTACACATCACCCGTTTGTCTGTGCTTCCTTGTGTAGCTTGCTGCTCTGGATCGCCGTAAAATGTTGATTTATTATTCACAGAAGTGGTGTCCTCAGTTCTCAGCTCAAAATGCGACATCAGCAAGTTGACATCGGCGTAATGATGATTCTCTAATGTTGGGATCTATTATTATTATTATTATTTAAGAGTTATTATAAGTACCGGCCTAAATTGTATTATTAATATCCAGAAGAAAGGAAAGTGACCAAAGAAATGACCAAAGCCGCCAAAATGTCATGAGGTTGCGAGGCAGAACTGCCCGGCCTCCTCCAAACCCTCATCCGTGTCAGAGACCTGTCATCCTGCCTCACCTCACGATGCTTGTCCGTCTACTACATCTATCCCTGCAAGAGCCCAGCCATCTTGCCTCACCTCAGAACGCCTAACCAGCAGTCCATCCACGGGAGATTACCTCTGCCTCACTTCACAAGGTCACGCCTACACCCTCCCGCATGAAGAGTACTTCGCAGGACGCTAAGGCATGAGCAGGGAGGTTTCCCCTCATCAAAGATCCCTTCATCCTCCGCACGGTTCCTTCTTGTCAACAAACCACACTCATTTACTAACATTCTTACTCCTCGAGAGCCAGCCTCCTCGTCCTGCTAACGTGGAGACTAATCTCTTCCGGCGAGAGGATAGAATGAGGCATCTTGTAGAGTAATATTTAAGGAAGCCTGGCTTACCCAGTCTTCCTGATAATCAACGATCATCTACTATCTTCCTAATCACTTGCGCTTCCACTACAACTCCCACTTACCTTCCACTTATCCATCGCTTATCCCCTCATTATGTCATCCAACGACAACCCTTCGGCGCGCGACGACGCTACTTCGCCACATGGTAGCGATGCGGCTACAATTCAGGCAGCATCTCAACCTACGGAGGCCGCTAGCGCCTCCGTCCCGGCTACCGTTTCCACTGAGGAGACGGCTGCCCCGGTTCCCGTTCCCACTGAAGGAACGGGGAACCCTTCTGTGGGAGACACCGGCCCGACGGTGCCTCTCCCCGCGGATACCACGCCTTCGACGGCGAGCGTTTCCCCCGGACCCGAGCCCGAGCCAGTTCCCGCAGTTGTATCAAGACCGGTAACCTCCCTTCTTGAGCGCATGAGGCGCCCCAAAGCGCCGACTGCCGCAACCGGTCAGACATCCACCTTGCCAGCGACTCCCCCGACCAACGCCCCAGTCGTCCAGAAGTACACCGCCGTCGATCCTGCAAAGGTCCAGGCAGCCTACTTCCGCGAACTGGCCCTAACTGAGGTGGATCCGCCTTCTATGATCCCCCTTGATCAGGTCCCGCGCGGAATCATTCGCACGTTGGCAGGTTGGAGCCCTCTCCCGGACGATACCTATATCGACTCCAAAGTCCTAAGTACTTCAAACCCCTTACTGCCCGAGGAATCTGACACCGTGTGTGTCCAGATGAATTTAAATGGCAACACCATTCCAGTTACTATCGATACTGGGTGTTCCTCTTTCGCAGTAAGTGCTCGGTTTTGTACGACGCACGGGATTAAAACCCAAAACCACAAATTCGATAAACCTCGATTCATGTCTACACCTAATGGTCTTGTGGTTGCCCACAAAACAGCTAATATTACGTTAACAGTCGGAGATTACGACTTCCCTCTTCATTTCTACGTTCTATCCGGCCTCGACGGTCCACCGTTGTTAGGTATGCCTTTCTTAAGAAAGTACGGAGGAATTATCAATACATTAAACAATACACTCATGTTACAAAAACAAGACAACCTAATCCTTCCTTTCAGTTCTGAACGCCCATCATTCGGGAACGTCGAGAACCCCATCGAAGTTTGCAGTATGCATCAGTTTACCAAGCACCTCAAAGATCGACCTGGTAACCAAAACACCGAAGTATATCTTATCCGAATTCAGGAAGGTATCGACGGTATCGACATCTCCCAAAACGCGGTTCCCTTCAGCCTCCCAGAGCATATGAACGGACTCACGGTCGAAGCGGAATTTCTTGCAGGATATGAATCCAGAGTCGAGAAACTGCTCAAAGATTATCAAACCACTTTCTCGGAAACAGTACCTATGGGAAAGGTACTTAGTAGAGAATACCAACATCGGATCGAACTCAAACCTGGCGAGGAAGCTCACCCGCCGCGTAAAGGTATTATCCGATTATCGCAACAAGAATTGCAAGAACTAAAAAACACAATTACCAAACTACTCAAAGAAGGAATGATAAAACCTTCTAAAAGTCCTTACGGCGCCCCTGTCCTATTTGTTAAAAAGACAGATGGGTCCCTCCGTATGTGCGTAGACTATCGCGCACTGAACAAACAAACAATCCGCAACAGCTATCCAATCCCTAGACTGGACGAACTGCTAGATCGTATCGGTGGTGCCAAAATCTTTTCCAAAATGGACTTGACCAGTGGCTACTGGCAGATTCCGGTGCACCCCGAAGACCAACACAAAACCGCCATGAACACGCGTTATGGCTTATATGAATTCACCGTGCTGCCGTTTGGTCTCACCAACGCGCCAGCAACTTTCCAACGCTTCATGAACCAAATCCTTGCCGACGTGCTCGATCAGTTTGTGATTGTCTACATGGATGATATCCTAGTTTTTTCAGAGACTATGGAGGATCACCTTTCACACCTTAACTTGGTCCTTAAGCGACTATCCGACAACGCGCTTGTCGTCAAACCAAAGAAAACTACTCTATGTGCATCTTCTTGTGAGTTTCTAGGTCATGTTGTCTCCGGTTCGGGACTGCAGCCCATCCCTCGACACATTTCTGCGATTCTAGAACGGCCGGTGCCTACCTCTGTTAAAGACTTACAATCTTTTCTTGGTATGGTTAATTATTACCGACGGTTCGTGCAAAATTATGCTCATATTTCCAGCCGCTTGACAGCTGCGTCGTCTAACTCACGGATCCTACGTTGGGACGAAGATCTCCAACGCGAGTTCGACGCGGTTAAGAAAGCCCTCACTACAACGCCGGTACTCAGCCATCCCGATTTCAGCAAACGCTTTTCAATCGAGACTGATGCTTCACTTGTAGCAATTGGCGCCGTGCTTGTTCAAGACGAACACCCGGTTGCCTACTTCTCTAAGAAGCTTGACAAACATCAAAGGAACTACCCGACGCATGATCGAGAGGCCCTCGCTATTGTTGAAGCTTGCCTATATTGGAGACCTTTCTTAGTGGGTCAGGAATTTGACGTCTATACCGACCACAAGGCTCTATTATTCCTACCAACTCAACCAATTCTTAACGACCGACAACGTCGTTGGATCGAGAAGTTGGCAGATTACCATCCAGTGTTTCATTACCGCAAAGGCCAAGATAATGTCGTCGCCGACGCACTATCTCGCATCCCTATGAACAAACTAATCTATGTGCAACCTGCGTCTCTAACCATCCATTACCCTGTGGACTTGGAGACCATTCGACAAGAGTACCAAAAAATTCCCCAATGGAAAATACTCATAGATCAGCTGACACACAGAACCCAATCCAACACACATATCACGGACAACATCCTCTCGCGATACGACTACCGCGAGGGACTGATCTATCTCCGTTTACAAGACACAGCTCCCTGGAGATTATGCATCCCTGGAGCAGATCTTCCAATTAAATTCCTTGAAGAATATCACGACTCAGTTACCGCTGGACACCCAGGTGTTGCGGCGTTGCACGCTCAATTAGCAAGGGACTTCTATTGGCTGAACATGTACCGAGACATTGAGAGATTCGTTCGCTGCTGCGACAAATGCCAGCGGACGAAGGTTCCTCACAAGCCTCCAGTAGGTATGTTACAACCAATGCCGATCCCTAATGTCCCCTTTAAATCCATTAGCATGGACTTCGCAATAATCGCCGAACAAACAACTAACGGGAATAACCAAATTCTTGTGGTCGTAGATCGACTCACAAAATTTGCTACTTTCATTCCTATGCAATCAACAAGAAAAGCAGCCGATGTCTTCGATGATTTAATCGACTACGTTTTCACCAAACATGGACTCCCGGACACCATTGTCTCCGACCGCGATAGTGCCTTCACCTCCGCGTTCGTTAACAGATGCCGCGACCAGTTTAACATCACCCCTCTTATGTCAACCGCCTCTCACCCGCAGACGGATGGCCAATCTGAACGCACAATTGAGACGCTGAAGAACTTAATAAAGCATTCGCTGACCAGAGCACAGAGAAGGGAATGGGATTCCTATCTTTCCTTACTCGAGTTCGCTTACAATCAATCCCTGCATACTTCAATCGGCATGTCACCGTTCGAAGCCTTGTATGGCTACACTCCTAGATCATTTCATGGCATAACACCATCCGTTGCCGCACCAGAGCAGCACTACACTGAAGATATACAAAGTGTTTGGCTCAGAGTTCAGGACGCAATGCACGCGGCCCAGGTCAAACAAAAACGAGCCTACGATGCACATCGCGCCCAACCACCACCCTACAAAGCTGGCGACCAAGTGCTCCTCCGCAGAAGAGCCACTCATCTATCAGCTTTCGATGATCCATACGAAGGCCCCTTCGTGATCACTGCAATTGAAGCAAATCAGAATGTCCGCCTTCAGTTCAACGACAGACGCCGTCACCCGGTAGTCAACATTGATCGCATCAAGAAGTATTACCCACCAGGCTCACAAAACATCTCTGAACCCGAACCATCCTATCACACCAGGTCGAAACGAGCTCAGAATGTACGAGACCCCATGGAATTCTTCGAAGTCGAAAAAATTATTGCTGAGGAACCTACTGGCATCAACAATGGTCGCCGCTTCCTATGCAAATGGAAACATACACCAGAATCCGAAAACTCTTGGGCTGAATCGCAATTCGTTCCCTGGCAAGCTATTCAGTTCTGGGATGCTACCAAAACACTAACTACTTCCTTATAGGCCGTCGACCTCTTTGACTAGACGTCGCCTGGGGGGGGAGTGTCATGAGGTTGCGAGGCAGAACTGCCCGGCCTCCTCCAAACCCTCATCCGTGTCAGAGACCTGTCATCCTGCCTCACCTCACGATGCTTGTCCGTCTACTACATCTATCCCTGCAAGAGCCCAGCCATCTTGCCTCACCTCAGAACGCCTAACCAGCAGTCCATCCACGGGAGATTACCTCTGCCTCACTTCACAAGGTCACGCCTACACCCTCCCGCATGAAGAGTACTTCGCAGGACGCTAAGGCATGAGCAGGGAGGTTTCCCCTCATCAAAGATCCCTTCATCCTCCGCACGGTTCCTTCTTGTCAACAAACCACACTCATTTACTAACATTCTTACTCCTCGAGAGCCAGCCTCCTCGTCCTGCTAACGTGGAGACTAATCTCTTCCGGCGAGAGGATAGAATGAGGCATCTTGTAGAGTAATATTTAAGGAAGCCTGGCTTACCCAGTCTTCCTGATAATCAACGATCATCTACTATCTTCCTAATCACTTGCGCTTCCACTACAACTCCCACTTACCTTCCACTTATCCATCGCTTATCCCCTCATTATGTCATCCAACGACAACCCTTCGGCGCGCGACGACGCTACTTCGCCACACAAAAGCTGAAGCAGTGGTGGGACTGGGATTGCTACAAGGCAAACCCTAATTATCTGAGACCATGTTCTCACCTCCCAGCAACTCTCTCTTGTTCAAAAACAGCTCGAACAGCGCGAGGTACCGTCGCATCAATAATATATCGTGCATGATGATTTGATTCAAGCTTCGAATCTGGTATGTATGGATATATTGTTACCGGTTTTACGAATACAAGAGACAGGAAAGGAGAGGCCGGCGGCAAGGAGAATGACTATCTTGCTAGTTTTCCGGTCAACAAGGCTTCGACTTGCACAGCAATCACGGCCTTCTTTCCGTACCTGACGAAGCCACCCTTTGCCTTTATTTTTAGCTACCATGTGCGGCATCCTGCCTTGTTTGCTTGCTATGCCTGGTTATAAATTGTACGTCCCGCGCCCTTCTTTCCTTTCTTCTTCTCTTCCCTCATACCTTTCCTTTCGATCAGCACCTCGTTCCCAACCTTCGGCTCTCCCAATGACCATGGCTTCTTTTAATCTTTATAGTGAACAAGCTGTTCTTGATCTTCTTTTCTCTTCCACTTTTCTCGATCCTGTGCCGCCCACGGAAAGTCCACCCGCGTACGAACCTGTCCAAGGAACCGAAGTCATAGACCACTCGAACCCCTTGATTCGTTCGCTCGTTCGGCGGATTCCGCTCCCTCCCGGCTCACACAGCACGTTGGAGTCTTTTGAGCTCCACCTCCCGCAGGTCTTGAACGATTTTCTGAACTTCCAAAGATCTCTTACGCGAGAGGGCTTCGAGCGCATGGTCAACACGCCCTATCCCGAGCGGCTTTTGAGTGAAGAAGGCTGGCGTTTAACACATGAGAACATGTCAACGGTCACCTTCTCGTCTTTATCAACAAAGCTCGACGTTAGTCGCCCTTCGTTCGAATTCATACCCTTGAAGGCAGTGGCAGATGGTCGACTCAGCCTTCGCCAATTGGACTCTGCATTGACGACCCTGATGCGCGACTTCGAGCGTTTCTATCATATCGGGCGCTTCTATTCCATCTATCTCACGATTGACCCCGACCACAGACAGATCAGACAAGAGTGGGTCGACGCCGCTCTCCTACGGCATAAACTGTCTCTGCGTCGAAACACGCGCATGCGCGAAGAGTGCGAGCGATTTTTGGGCCGGCTTGCGAGGGTCGATCAAGTCGGCTACGGCTACAAGTTCAATGTCCTCGTCATTGCTTCACACAGCAAGTCAGACTTTGAGGCTGAACTCGTCTGCCCTGAATATGCTGAGAGCGTTGCGGAACAAGGGTACCGAAGAACCCATCCCCACGGCGGCTTCAGTGTATTTTCAACGGCACTGGAACGCTACTTATCCCCAAACGATCATTACAGTGTGTACCGGATGTGCAGAGAGATAATCTGGTTCAGAATGCTGACGCCAAGTCAGCGCAAAATGTTCCAGATGCTGCACGATGAGATGAGAGCTGTTTTCTACATTGTGCATCCAGAGCACGCGCCTCCGTCTTACGACCCGGAACATCAACAGACCCCAGTTGAGAATAACGAACAATTAGGCGCTGTCGGATCTCCTTTGTCTGTGAGCAGTCAGGTTAATCCAGCCAAGCGCGTCGCCGACACGGATGCAGATGCAGACCTGCGCCCAGTGAAACGACGACGATGCTTGTCTGGTAGCGAAGGAGACCACAGACGCTGCTCCTTTAGTTAATTCGATTCTGCGGAAGTTACAAGTAGTGATCATGGGGATGGGTTTGGAGGATAGCATCACATGGACGATCGCAACGAGTCTCATCTCTAGCTCTTGCCGACTCGTCTGATCCTTTTAGTTTCCGCGCGCTCACTCGTTTATCTGTTTTTTCTGTCTGTGTGTCTGTCTTTCTGTCCGCCTGTCTCAAGCATCTGCAGTCGGCATTGAATTATGGGGCGTTCTTGATTTTTGTATAATCGTTGTTTTGTATCAAATATATTATCATCATTATTATTATTATTATACCTTATAGTAAACACCGCTCGAACAATCCCATGAGAACTGGGACTCACTACGTTCTCGAGATCTAGTAGGAAGAGCAGTTTATAGAGATGTTGTTCATTGAAAGCAGCAGCAGACACATGGCGCGTCAAAGGAGTAGAAGCAAGCGACCAGCAGATTGTCGTGGACGCTCTGATCTCGGCTTTGACAAGTGCCAATCAGCGCTCTCGGAGAGTTTGGCGCAGCTTGACGCGTCTACCAGGGGTGTTGCTGAGAAGTGCACAGCTAAATGCCGATAGGGTGAACGGTCGAAGGAGGGGTGAAGAAGCGTCAGTAAGGCGGGTTTGGAAGTGTAGGCATAAAGGCGAGTGTAGGGAGAGGTAGCGTCGGGTAGGTGTTGGATGAGTGTAGGCAGGCGAGCATCGTAAGCGTCGGGTAAGCGCAAGGGCGGAGGACAAGAAATGGATTCGAAAGCTCGACGACCAAAGAATAGCAGAAGAAAGTAGTTTAACGCTCCTTAAGGGCGTGGGCAAGTGACATTCAACTTGGCGCGCTCTGTGGGACTCAGCCGGGAGTTTGCGATTTCGTTTGATCCTGGAATAGAAGGCGTAGACGTACGGGAACCGACGCATGGGAGGAGAAAAGACCGAAGCGTAAACGCGAGGGTATGAAGAGACAGTATCAGCGTCAACATCGACGAAGCGTAAGGGTGAAGGACGAAAGAAAGAAACGGAAACTTCGATCAGCTCGACGCACTTACGAACACTGGCTCGGGAGGGAGGTTGGCACTCAGCAGGTGGGAACGACAAGAAGCGAGAAGTTAAGTAGCGAGCTTAGGAGACTCGGTTGAGGAGCGTGACGCTGGACGCGCCTGGCACGTCCAAAAAGACTTGACCAGACAAGAGCTAGGAAGCGTGAGTTGGACGGACCTGGAAGCATGGGAATAGGATCAAGAGTGAGGAGAGGAAGCGTAAGTGCGCAGGGTAAGCGTAAGGGTACAAACCAGACGACAATGGCAAAGGCGCGACTAACAGCACGCAACAGAGCAGAGCAGAGCCAGCGTTGGGTAAGCTGAAGTACAGAAGACAAGAAACGAAAACAAAAGCGCGACAGACAAGTGTACCGTTAAGGTAACGTGCTCAATGGGTAAGCGCAGTAAGGAGCTAAAGAGATTACCCGCGAGCTTTGGGAGGGTGGTGCAGGTGGGTAGCGTCAGTATCAACGTCGAGGAAGCGCAAACGAGGAAGAGAAACACGGAAACGGAAGAGCGACGCACATCAAACAACAGCCAAAGAAGAAGACAAAGGGTACAAAAACACCGTACCAAGAAAACAAAGCAGCGCGGTTAGGTGTTGAGGCGGCTCGGTTGACAAGCGTGCAGCTCTACGCGTTTGACGAGTTCGGAATACTCTTGGGTTGGAAAGAGTGTGCGCGCTTGAGCTGAAGAGGTTTTCAGAAAGCGCGTCGCACGAGGACACAGACTGTTGAAAAAGACGAGCGTTTGAGTGGACTGGTATGGGAATCTGCTAGGAACGTTAAAGTGAACAGGGAAGGAAGCGTAAAGGTTGAGACAAGGAAGAGTCATGTGAGCGTCTGGTCATTGGACAAAGTGTGAGGTGCGTGGAAAGAGATGTAGCCAAATAGCAGCGACGAAAGCAAAGATCACAACAAGCGAGCATGAACGATGAAGAGAATGAGTGGTATTTCAAGAGCGTAGGCGTTCAGCAAATATGAATGAATGAGTAGTTGGAGCACACAAGCGTTGAACAGTTCAGGAGAGGAGTGAGTAGACGGCACAGGTGTAGGCTGTGGAGGTTTCATGGGAAGGCGGGTTTCTATAAAAGCAAAGCGAGTAGCAAGGCTAGCGCGCTCACGCTACTGGGGAGTATATTATTATAAATTCATATCATTATTATTCAAGATTTGACAAGAGAGTGAAAAGGACTTGTATCTGGGGGACAGGGACAGTGAAATCAAAAACAGACTAATCTCCACGCAGCTGCAGTGCTGGAGGATGCATATGGGCGACTGTGGTGATGATGCTGATCAGCAGCTTGAGGCGTTGAGGGGAAGCCTAGGCAAGAGTCAGGAAAGGTAGCGTTAGTACTGGGTAAGCACAAGAGCAGGTGACGAGATCCAGAAGTAAAAGTAACGGCGCAACAAAACAAATAATACTCTCCAGTAGAGGTGGGGTCCGGCGTGAGAGCAAAGAACCAGGTTGAGGAAGCGTGAGATAGGGAAGCGAAGGGATGCGTAAGAACGAGGGGCAAGAAAGCGGGAGAGAGCAGGTGAAGGTAGCTGAACGCGTTCAGATGATTCAGCCGGGAGTTCGTGGATGGGCTCGGTGATGCGACTTGGACCACGACTAACAACAGCAGCGTAGACGTAGAGGAACGGAAGCGCAAGAGGAAAGGAAGGGGGAGAGTCAAAGGAGGCAGGGAGCGCGTCAAGTTCGAGGAAGCGTAAGGGCGAGCGGACGAGGCGGGGGTAGAAGCGAAGGCATAGCCGTGAAGCGTAGGGCCGTGAAGCGTAGGGGTGGAGGCGAGTGTTGGGTAAGTGCAAGAGCTGGAAAAAAATAAAGGCGAATGACTGTGTTCAGTCCTGTGAGGTTACACTCCCCACGGTGGGGCTGGGTTTGTGAGAGCGAGAGCGAGAGGAGCAAGCAAGGGACAAGGGAACGATAGCGTGAGAAGAGACAGGGTCTGCATCGAGGAAGTTGAGGAAGCGCAAATGCGGGTTGTGTCGGCGTTGTTGAACGACAACAACGAAAAACGTGAGCGAGGGACAAAGAGCGGTAGCGTGAGGAGGAGAGGCAAGGTCAAGGAAGAGTGGAGAGAGAGAGCAAGGCGTCGATTTGGGAAGCGCAAGGGTGGGTCGTGCCGGGGTTATTGAGAGGCACAATGGAGAAGCGTGCGAGCGAGGGACCAGGGAGTGAGAGAAGCAGTGTCGGCGCGTCGAGGATGAAGAAGCGTAGTGCAGAGGCGAGTATAAGGAGAGGTGCGACCAGTGTGTGGCTACTCGAGAGGAGGACAAAGACAAATGCGAGGAGGGACTGTGTTCAATCCTGTGAGGTTGCACTCTGGACGGTGGAATAGAGGAGGGTGAGAGCGATACGAGCGAGCGAGGGACAATGGAGTGGTGGCGTGAGCAGACGGGTTCGGCGTCGAGGTTGAGGAATCTTAAGGGCGGATCGTGACGGGGTGGTGGAAGGACAAGAACAAAGAGAGCGGTCAGAGAGAGTGAGGCGAGGCAGTGTCGGCCTTGGGTGAGGTTGAGGAAGCGCAAGAGTGGGTCATGTCGGGGTTGTTCATAGGACTTTGAAGAAGCGTGCGAGCGAGGGACCAAGAAGTGAGAGAAGCAGTGCCGCATCAAAGATGAAGAAGCGTAGGGGTAGAGGCGAGGACAAGGAGAGGTGCGGGCAGGGCACGGTAAGCTCAATAGCGGAACTAAGACAAAGGCGGGGAGGGCCTTCAGTCGTGTGAGGCTGCACTCTGAATGGTGGAGAGGGGAGGGTGAAAGCAATAGCAAAAGCGAAAGCAAGGGCCAAGGAAATGATAAGGTGTGGAGAGTGTGCGAGAGAGTCAAGGTCGATGACGGAAGTGTGAAGGCAGAAGACAAGAAAGTAGAAGGAAAGCGCGATGATGGAAGTAGCAAAGAAAGTGAGATGTAAAAAAAAAAGAAAAGCGAGCTGAGCACAATCAGGACTCACGTGACAGAGGCTGGATCTGGAGAAATACTTTTAACAGTGGCGGATAGGTAAAGATTTGTGGAGCACTAGGTAAAAGCAATAACAGACCAAATTTCACAAAATTCGGGGACTACTTTAGTTCCGAGAAGATCTAGATGGAGAATATACGAAAGGAAAGGAAAGTATCAAATAGTGGGAGAGCGCAGGGAGCAGAGGAGAGGCGCCCACCAAGAGAGTGAAGTGAGGGGTTTAAGCGGCTCACCAACAGCGAAGGGAGTTGGAGCGGTCCCAGGCCCATGAGCAGAGCGATTTTGTTCATTCAAAATATCGGTAAATATAGATGAGGAGAAAGATGAGGAGCATGATGACGACATATTGATAAGGCAGGTCGAACGAAAGGCTGGGAAGGGAGGAGGAAGAAGACAAGTAGAGCGTTAGCAGTAGCAAGCGATAAGCAGGAAGAAAGAGCGATAAGCGACAGTCGAAGGGAGAGTTCGAGAGAAACAAGTGAAACAAATATAGGAAAATAACGGCAAAAATCAGACAAGAGCAGTAGAGGGTAGAGACCGGTAGAAAGAAAGGAGGAGGGTCGCGAGTGAGTGGGGGAGAACAAGGATAGAATTGATGGAAAGGTCTAGGCTGTTGAGGTGAAGGGAGAAAAAACCACTTCAGGTTCAGCAGTCATCAGGTATTATTTTACAGATGAGCAACACCACCCTCTTATTAGTACACTGTTGGAGCACACTTGGCCCTCACTAGAATTGCATAACTGCGCAGCAGCTTTTGCTACTCTACAATCCATCTCCCCGCGTCTTCCCTCCAAAACCACAGGCGCCTGCCACTATAATCCTCTACAATCCGCCCCATTCAATCCCAATCATCTTCCCTCTTATTTATTATCTTCCGACACCCCGCCACCAATCCCGAAACCTTAAAAAAGTCTTCACCAATCCCACTCTTGCTCTACGCACCATACTTACTCAACCGACGATCCGTCTCAACTTACCATACTTACCCGACCGACGACTCGTCTCAACCCATTCCACAAAACTGACTGCCAAATGCTCTCTTATTATCTGCTCAAAGTCTGGATCCAGTATATACCCAGCCACTGCCCAACTTTCAAATCCCCAAATCACGAATTGCATGAGTGGCGGGTCTAAATTACTTGGTGAGCGTGCAGACAGCGTCCACCTGGCGGCTCACTATACTTACTCGACCGACGATCCGTCTCAACCCATTCCACAAAATTGACTGCTAAATGCTCTCTTATTATTTGCTCAAAGTCTGGATCAAGTATATACCCAGCCACTACCCAACGTTCAAATCCCCAAATCACGAATTGCATGAGTGGCGGGTCTAAATTACTTGGTGAGCGTGCAGGCAGCGTCCATCTGGTGGTTCGCTATAGTTACCCGACCGCGTCCACCTGGCGGCTCACCATACTTACTCGACCGACGATCCGTCTCAACCCATTCCACAAAATTGACTGCCAAATGTTCTTTTATTATTTGCTCAAAGTCTGGATCCAGTATATACCCAGCCACTGCCCAACTTTCAAATCCCCAAATCACGAATTGCATGAGTGGCGGGTCTAAATTACTTGGTGAGCGTGCAGACAGCGTCCACCTGGCGGCTCACTATACTTACTCGACCGACGATCCGTCTCAACCCATTCCACAAAATTGACTGCTAAATGCTCTCTTATTATTTGCTCAAAGTCTGGATCAAGTATATACCCAGCCACTACCCAACGTTCAAATCCCCAAATCACGAATTGCATGAGTGGCGGGTCTAAATTACTTGGTGAGCGTGCAGGCAGCGTCCATCTGGTGGTTCGCTATAGTTACCCGACCGCGTCCTACACAGTATCAGAGCATGCCGGAATGCCGGAAAATCCGGTATTCCCACTTGCTTTCTATGGGACTCGCGCTTAAGGTTTGCGCCGCTTGCCTTCGATTCCCACATGGCGCAAGTGGGAATCCGGGGATTTCCACTTTCCAGCCCTTTCTGCAGATTTTTAGACTGCCTAGCGGTATTATCGACCTCTTATTATTTGCAGATTATTTTAGTTTTTGAATTAGAGTCGATTTGCGATCATTTTGGGCCGCTTGAGCGTAGAGCGCTTGTTTTGGATGGGCTGCCTCTACGAGCCCCCGGGTTTGGCTTTGGCCTTGTAAGCGCCTCTACGAGCCCCCGGGTTTGGCATGTAAGCGCCTCTACGAGCCCCCGGGTTTGGCATGTAAGCGGACACACAGTATCAGAGCATGTCGGAATGCCGGAAACTCCGGTATTCCCACTTGGTGTCTATGGGACTCGCGGTTAAGACATTGCGCCGCTTGCCTTCGATTCCCACATGGCGCAAGTGGGAATCCGGGATTTCCACTTTCCAGCCCTTTCTGCAGATTTTTGAATAGTCTGGCGGGTTTATTGAGCTTGGATTATACGGCAAATGTTTTTATTTTTTGAATTAGAATTGATTTGCCATGATTTTGGCCGGGTTTGTTGTATGTCGCGCTTTTTGTATGGGGTGCCTCTACGAGCCCCCGGGTTTGGCATGTAAGCGGACTTTGGTTAGTCATCCATTCAAAAAGGTATCACGTGACATTAAAAGTCGAGGGGTTTGTGTGTCTGACTTTGGTTAGTCATCCATTCAAAAATGTATCAGGTGACATTAAAAGTCGAGGGGTTTGTGTGTCTGAGATCTTAAGAGAATTAAATTGATTTTCGCAAATATTATTGTAAATTACATCAGGCCTTACGTAAGCACACTTTACACCATAAGAGAATTAAATTCATTTTTTACCAAAAGTCTTGGAAATTGGTTTGTAAAACAACCAATAATGCTCTGTCGACTCTGTTTTTTTGTCTTCACACGTGCTGTACTCTTATACTTGATCGGCCTCTTTTTCAATTTGTTTCGGCTTTGTTTAAGCCTTCGTTTTAACATATTTGTCAGCTTTGTTTTTCTCAACTTTTGTATGAGTTTTCCTTCTACTCTTTCCCTACCTGTTCATACAAGGCTTTAATGGTTACCTTCTATGCTTAAATACTACATCTAACTGGTGGTTCTAAAGCGTACTCTCCGGGTTTGAGTGTACACCTGTACTTTGTACTCTAATATATAATTGAGGATTTGACACTGTACTTTGTACCATACAAGTTCTTCTGCTTTGTACTTTGGAATTATGTTTTAACTCTTTAAACTTGTACTTTTAACTCTTTAAACTTGTACTTTTAACTTGTTCTTTGTACTTTTAACTTGTTCTTTGTACTTTTAACCTGTGCTTTTAACTTGTGTCTCTATCTTGTACTCCAAACTTGTACTTTTAACTTGTTTTTTGTGCTTTTAACTTGTGCTTGTACTTTTAACTTGTTTTTAGTGCGCTTTCAACTTGTGCTTATAACTTGTGCTTGTACTTTGTACTCTTAACTTATGCTTTTATCTTGCGCTTTTAACTTGTGCCTCAGACCTGTACTTTTAATCTGTTTTTTATGCGTTTAACTTGTGCCTTTATCTTGTACTTCAAACTTGTACTCCAAACTTGTACTTTTAACCTGTTTTTTGTACTTTTAACTTGTGCTTTTAACTGGTGCCTGTACTTTGTGCTCTTAAATGGTGCTTTAATTATTCTGTGCTTCAAACTTGTACTTTTAACTTGTGTTTTGTGCTTTTAACTTGTGCTTTTAGCTTGTGCTTTTAGCTTGTGCTCTGAACTTGTGCTCTTAACTTGTGCTCTTAGCTTGTGTTTTTGTTTTGTGTCTCAAACTTGTACTTTTAACTCGTTTCGTGTAGTTTTAACTTGTTTTCTGTGCTTTTAACTTGTACTTTAGACTAGTGCTTTTAACTTGTACTTGGGCTTGAAACTTGTACTTTTCACTTGTACACGTTTGTGTTTTTTTAAGCGCTTTTGGCGTTGGAAGCAAGCGCTTTGGGTAAGTGTAAGGGTTAAGCTGGTAGAAAGAGCAGGGTGTAGGGTTTGTGTAGGGTTTGTGTAGGGTTTGTGTAGGGTTTGTGTAGGGTTTGTGTAGGGTTTGTGTAGGGTTTGTGTAGGGTTTGTGTAGGGTTTGTGTAGGGTTTGTGTAGGGTTTGTGTAGGGTTTGTGTAGGGTTTGTGTATCTCTCTTGT